ATCAAACTCACGGCCAAGCAGCCAAGGCTCCTGGGACCCAAGGACACCAATTACAGCACTAGAGGGCGTACGAAGTGCTACCTCCCTTAAAAGGAATATCCAAGCACATCAAGGTAGCTCACCAACACCAATGTACGAAGTAATTGACTTCCAGGCCAGAGGTATTAGCAAGTTAGCCCATAGGCTTGCTATTATTGAGGCTGAGAACCGTAAGCTTCGTACGGGGATAGAGGTACTAAGTAAGCGCCGGAGGGCAAAAAAGACCCGGCTACGTCTTGGAGGGTCACTTAATAGTGCTGAAGCAGAGGCACTACAAGTAGAGAAGGGTGGTGTTAATGCTGGAGGAGAGAATAACCCTCAGAAGGAGGGTCGTACGGAAGGTGCTGAACCACGCGCGCGACGATGTGGTAATTGCGGGAAGCCTGGACATAACGCACGAACCTGTGAAGTGGTTTGGGATAGTAATGAGGAAGAGGGTGATATATAGTTTTAATTGATTTCGTACGTTGTGGCTAAGTTAACTTATACATAAGGTAGAAAGGTTTGAGAGAGTGCGTCGCTCGCTATGATGCGTCGCTCGCTATGCAGGTACGTTACTGATTGCGGGGGATTTTAACTTACACTATTAAACGTAGTAGCCCGAGGCCACGAGTTCCCCGGACGCTGAAAACCTAGTAGAATGGGCAGAAGCCGCCAGCCTTGTCCTAATGTCACCTATAGGTGAACCAACGCACAAAGGCGGCAACACCCTAGATTTATGCTGGGCGTCCAGCAACCTCCATGGGGCTTCCACCAGCATAGAAACGTCACTACAAACGACATCAGACCACGAATCTCTGCTTACCCGGGTCCCCTTGGCCCTGATCGATTCACCCAGCCAGACCCCGGGAAGGTTTCGGCTCGACATAATAGACGAGGAGCTTTTCCTCGACATCATTAAACGCAACTTACAACCCATACGCCGTACTATAAGCAATATCCAAGACCCACAGTCTTTAGATCTCCTAGCACAACAGCTTACGGACTATCTTATTAAAGCACTCACGGCTTCCATAAAGCGCACGCTCGGGAAAGGTATAGGGAGACCATATTGGAGCGAAAGCTGCATACGTAAATACCGAGCCTATACGAATAAGCGAGCGATATTAATAAGACTACGCGCAGCCGGAGTGAACTACCAATGGGAAGAAGAGGAGGTCGAAGCTCTAAAATAGGACTTCCTCTACGAGTTTAAACGCTCTAAGGATACCTTTTGGAAAGATAAGATCTCCTCAGCCTCCTTAAGCAAAGACATATTTGAAATGGTCGGTTAGCATAAAGCCACAGGATCCTTTCAGACCCCGCCACTCCGAGATGTAGACAACCAAGACACGCTTGTCTCACAACTAAAAGAGAAGCGCGACTTATTTACCCGCGTCCTCCTTAGAAACGCTGTAATCTCCGAGGACATACCAACAGAAAGCCCAGTCTTATAAAGGCAAGCTACGCTTCCTTTCCCGCAGGTTACGAAGGACGAGGTACGGTCTTCGGTTCTCACCGCGGGAAACACGACTCCTAGGACCGACGGAATCACTACGACTGCTTTGAAAATAACATGGCCAGTTATCGAGGATATTGTCCTCTCACTTTATAGCGGGTGTATACGCGAGGGTTGGCATCCTACTTGTTTTAAAAAAGTAACTCTCGTGATCCTAGCAAAACCGGGAAAAAGAGACAAGACACTCCCGCGCTCCTATAGGCCAATTGCGCTCTTGGCCGTCCTCGGAAAAGGCTTGGAGAGACTCATCGCTAGACGACTTGCCTGGATCGTAGTTAAACATCGTGTTCTGCACGATTAATAGTTTGGAGTACTCCCTCTTCGCTCTTGTAGCGACCTTATCGCAGCGGCTATCTACGATATCGAGTACGCCTAGTAAAGAGGCCTGGTTACCTCTATGCTTATGCTCGATATAAAAGGGGCTTTCGACGTCGTGCTCCTAGGACGACTAGTCCGATGCCTTTACGAATAAGGATGGCCGGAGAACCTCGTACGCTGGGTCTTAAGCTTTGTTACCGGAAGGAGAGTAAGAATAAGACTTGATAGGGAGTTAGGAGACGTCTTCGGTCTTAAATACGGACTATTATAAGGCTTACCCGTGTCTCCCATTCTGTTTATGCTCTATATTGAACCTCTTTTTAAGCTAGGTATAGCTCGCTTAGGAAGGAAGTAATCTCGTTTGGTTACGCCGATAACGTCGCTATCTTAGTAAGCTTAACATCACTAGAGAATAATTATGATATCCTAACTAAGGAATGGAAAGAAACCTTAGGATAGGGCGCGACGGAAGGAATCACTTTTGACTTCGATAAGTCCGAACTAATCTACTTCACCAAGAGACGAAAAGACGGAAACCTATTAATCACAATAGGTTTACTGGATAGGAAGTATTATATAGTTTAGGCTATTAAAGAAGGCTCTTCTCTACGCTGGCTCGGCGTTTATTCGACCGTAAACTTACATTCAAGAGTCACGTAAGAAACCTCTCTATAAAAGCATGCTAAGTAGTTAATAGACTACGGGGACTAGGGAATACTATCTGGGGCGTACCTGCGTACTTACTTCGTCGAGCGATCACCTCTTATGTATTACCTATTTAGTACTATATATCTGAAGCATGGTGGCCCGGCAAGAGCCGGATAAAGAATGGACGTACTATCTTAGACAGGGTTGGTAGTCTGCTATACTAACTAGACGCGACGCAAACCAAAGCCATTAGAGCGATGGTCCCCGTATATAGAACTACGCCTATACCGATCCTACAGCGCGAGGCGGCTCTACCCCCAGCAGAGGTGATACTGGACGCGAAGCTCTACACAGCATCCACCAGAATCCATCGTCTGGACGAGCGACACCCTCTCCGAACGAGACTCAGGGACAAATCAGGACCAGACTCACGGCTACGACGAATGGCAAGCCTCGTAAGCAAAAATACCGAATACATCGATCCGTTAGAACTCCCCCCTTGGGAGCAACTAGCGGACTGGCAGACAGCCCTCGCCAGGGTCGGCTACGAACCTAATAAGACCAAAGAAGAACAGGCCCTCTCCTTTGCAGGCAGGATGGCAACTTTCTCCAAGCGGGACATTATTATCTATACTGACGGGTCCCAGATGTCGGACGGCAGCAGTACCTCCGCCGGAGCAGGCTGGGTAGGGTACCAAGCTATACGGCAGATCTTCCGCGGATCCGAACCACTCGGCTCCTAAACTGAGGTGTATGTTGCGGAGGCATATGCTGCGTATTACGGCCTGATGGAAGCTACCCGGGCTCCTACGGCTCGTATGGCAGATAACGTCCATATCTGCCTCGACAACCTCGCAGTCGCGGCTAGACTATACTCCCAGAGCACAGGAAGCAGCCAGGCTAGATTTAGGGCCTTCAATAGGCTCTCTTCTTCCTAGACTCGGAGACAAAGAGAGAGCTGAACAACCCCCGGCAGGGTTTATGTTTGGTGGTGCCCTGGGCACACGGGAGTACCAGGAAATGAAGAAGCAGATGCTCTAGCCAAGGAAGCCTGCAAACTAATCCCAAAATCACAACCACAGCCCTCATTAGCGCACCTAGAAAGGCAAGCTAAAGTAGCTACCTTCCAAGCCTTTGCCAGAAAATGGCTGTCCCAATGCCCTCGGCAATATGCCGACCTCGAGATAATTCTTCACCCCAAGCCGCCCGAACTCCGCCTCCCTCGGCACTTACTAGGAAGGCTATACGTAGCAAGATCCCATCATAGAGACTTTGCAGCATACCACGAGAGATTCGCTCATCAAGATACGTTGCTCAACTACAGCTGTGGGAAACCCAAGACACCAGTCCATTTCTACTTCTACAAGCGTAGACGCAAGGCTACACCGCACTACCTCCGCCAACGTATAGCCAAAGTAAGCATTGATTTCTTATTAGGTTCTGCTAAGGGAGCCTCTCTTCTATGCGAATGGATAGAGGAGACCAATTTCTTTTCCAAAATTTGCCCGAGTCATTAAACAGGAACGTTAGGTGAAGACGGTAGCCTGTAACATAGTTTAGATTAGCATAGACCATGTCGGCATAGCGCCCGGCACGTCCTTTTGTTACCAGACGTTAAATACATCATCATCATCATCATCATGATTGCTGAAGAAAGACAGGGTGCGGCATGTCACACAGGCACCGCGAATAGGTGATACTACCTCGTAGTTAGGCAGACATTTGATTCACCATTTACGAGGTGAGATAGGTAGTCTCTGATTAGTCAATGGAAATTGAACTCTATAGATAGAATATCAGTCAAATCCTTCGCGATCCTGGCGGGGTCTAGCACTTGGTGCCGACTGGGGCTTCTTCCGTGGACATGAGCATTACAATTTACCGGGGAAACAAGATCCGTTAGCGATCGGAGCCGAACATTCGCTGGCTCCGGACTCCCGGATCGCTTTGAGACGCAAAGGCTGAGGCCCAGACTTGGTCGACGAATGTAAGCCCGAAGATTTTATTTCAACTCCTTACATTTTATTGACTATAATAGTCTTCGAGACTGTGTTGCCTTTGCCGCCAATCCCTGATTAGGAGCGAATCTGTCTGCCGAATCGCGCCTCGCGCAGAGGATTTGAGACCAGATTCCGAATAATGACGAGCCATGCGCTATCCTCAGACCGAACAACAAGATTTCAGTCTTCAAATTGCCGAAATTCGATAAAGACTGAGGCTTTGCAACGTTCAAAGAGGTAAGAGTTTGTAGATGGTTCCTAAACTACATCTAGGCTTTGGTGACATGAGATAGTGGTGAGTTGTGTCTGTAACACTGCCGCCCTATTCACTGCTCTATGTTGGAACTTCGCATAGCCTCGACTATAGTCTTCCAACCTCCCAAAAGCTCTCTGCCAAGACGAGTGAATCTTGTCAGGCCGATCGCGGAGGAACTGCGTCGTTTCTTGACAGCACAAATCATCTCTCCACCCGTATAGTTGCAACGCCGAGGGCCCGGCCGAGGAGCGTCGGAAATCAGAATGGTTCAAACCCCGCAATGCCACCCCGTCACCAAGCCCGTATCTAAGCTATCAGTGCTATCACGAGGATGATGCAACCACACCACCCCTCCTCACGATCTTGGCCACGTATTGCATGCCCTATTCGCTGAGACAACTTGGAGACTGAAGGGTTGACTAAAGTTGCTGAAAGTTACACAGCGCCGTACATAGACTCCCGTCTAGCGTTGTGTTACCTACTTTTCCTACATGTACTGCAAGGGCCAATAACTCTCACAACCTCTCAGCATGATGACTTCAACACATGTCGTCTTCCAGAACGGAAATATCTTTAGGTCAAACAAAGCCCCTGCAGGCCAACGTTCAGAAGCCATCTTTGCAGAAGCACTGGTCATCAAGGATGGCATCATCACTTTCATCGGAGACGCCTCCGCACCCGAGGTGAAGACCGCCATCGACGCCGGCGCAGAGGTCCGCGATGTAGGCGGCCACACTCTCCTCCCTGGCCTCGTAGATGGACACATCCACTTGACGCAACTCGGCCAGGCGCTCCTCAAGCTGAGCCTCTCCCACTGCAAGACCCTTGAGGACATCCGCACGACAATCCGAGACCACGCCGCCGCCCACCCGGACGCTGAACGCATCTTTTGCAGCGGATGGATGCACTTCATGACGCCCGAGGGACCCCTTGCCTCCCTCCTCGACGACCTCGACCCCCGCCCCATCCTCATCACCGCAAAGGACCTGCACTCGACATGGTGCAGCACCGCCGCTCTCAAGGATCTGGATCTTGAGAATGAGCCCGACCCGCCGGGCGGCGAGATCGTGCGCGACCCGAAGACGGGCAAACCCAGCGGTCTGCTCTCCGAGGCGGCGAGCATGAAGTTCATCCCCCTCTACATGGCCCGCACCTCGACCCGACAAGACCACATAGCTGCCATCGAGACGGCCATCAACGACTACACCGCCGCAGGCTTCACCGGCCTCATCGACATGGCCATGGAAGAGGACGGCTGGACGGCGCTGCAGGAGTACCGCAAGCAGGAGAAAGCAGCGGGCCGCCCGTTCCCCATCCGCTTCGCCGCTTACTGGATGATCCTTCCCAAGGACGACGACGAGGAGAACATCAAACAGGTCGAGCGCGCGGCCGAGCTGGCGCGTGAATTCAACCTCGAGACGGATCCGGACTGCCGCCTCGTCGGCATCAAGCTCGTCTGCGACGGCATCATCGACGGATGCACAGCGAGCTTGAAGGAGCCGTACAGCCACAACGGCGACAACTGCGACCCCGTCTGGTCGCAGAGGTACATGGCGCCCGTGGTGCAAGCCGCTACCAAACACGGCCTGCAAGTCGCCCTCCACGCCATCGGCGACCGCACCGTCGCGGACGCGATTGACGTGCTGGAGGCGCACGTCGGACCGGAACACCGCCCGCGCATAGAGCACCTCGAAGTCACGACCGCCGAGGACGCAAAGCGCCTAGGCAAGCTCGGCATCACGGCCTCCGTGCAGCCCGTTCACTCAGACCCGGCGATCCTCCGCGCCTGGCCGACGTTGATCGGGGAGCACCGGTGCGGGCGGGCGTTTGCGTACAGCGATTTCGCGGATGGGGGCGCGCACGTGGCGATTGGGTCGGATGCGCCGACGGCGCCGCACCATGTGATTGATAACTTGTACATTGCTACGACGCGGCGGTCTGCGCGGGAGCCGGAGCTGGAGACGGTTGTGAATTCCCAGTTTGCGCTGTCATTGTGCGATGTGTTGACAGGGGCGACGGAGGGGGCGGCGAGGAGTTGTTTCCTGGAGGATCGGGTTGGTTCACTGGAGGTTGGGAAGAAGGCTGATTTGACTATTTTTGATCTTGATTGGGATCCGAGAAAGGCGTTGCAGGCGAAGACGTTGGAGACTTGGTTTGAGGGGAAGCAGGTGTTTTCTGGAAAGAGGTAGCACGCGTCTGCGATGACATAGATTCCTTGTTATATAGATGCCGTTGATAGTTGACTTTCATATTGAGGCATATTGTAGACTTGGTAAACAGCAATGATTTCAAGAACATCTCATAGACCCATCGACTTTCGGTGGACTGTTTCCTGGATGATGGCGAGATAAGAAGAGCAAGACTACCAAGCCCGAATATGCACAATGAACACAGCCTCTCCTCTACCTCTCGAGACTCTTTCTCTTCTATGCCCAGATCATACCCGCGACGACGATACCCATCAAAGTAGCCAAAGAGACGCTGTAAGGAAATGACGTTGCAACACTCTTTGGCTGGTTCCCAGGACTCCGCCCAGCATCGGGCATAGACTGGTGAAAGGCAGCGTACGTCCTTTCCATGTCGCTCTGGAGTCGTCGAATGGAAGCTTTCCCACGGTAAGCGTCCCAGTTGTGGTCCAGAATAGCTATCATGGTAAGATTAGCAATCATCAACATCTTCTTAAAAAGGAAAGTAGACTTACCCCAAGGCTCATCCTTATCCTGCACACCCTCGCGCGTGTAGTAACTTCCACCCATCACCCAAACCATCCAGCTAATCTGCCCATCAACCATGAAGTCCATTAGACACCTCCGGAACTTGTCCTTGAATGCGCCGCTTTCATCGGTCTGATCATGCCCCCACTCCGTCATCACCAACGGCGCCCGATTACTCGTCCCATTCGTCATGGTCCCATTCGTCATGGTCCCGTTCGTCATGGTCCCGTTTCCAGTTGTCCCATTATTCCCAATAGTCATAACATCAGAGCCGAACGCCGTCAAGATATCCCGATAAGTCGTACACGCGTCATCAACAAGGCCTTGGTCATACTGGTGCTGCTCAAACACAAACTTGTTCTTGAAAGAAAACTCGGCAATGGAGAAGTTGAAGCCCGGTTCGCTGGCAAACGTCCCCTGTACCGGAGCCGAAATGTCAAAGTCAAAGATGCGCCCGCCAAAAAAGATGAGAACATCCGGATTGGCGGCGTGGATCGCGTTGGCGCCTTGGACCATGCGCGTCTTCCAGGTCGTCCAGGTCGTGTTCTCCAGGCTCTGGGGAGGGGTTGCGGAAAAGGGGTCGCGGAGCTCGTTGCGGAGACCCATGCTTGTGAAGGTTGTCCAGTTTGAAGCTTTTCCCTGCGCAAAGGTTAGCCAACGGGAAGTTTGACCAGGATGAGATGCGGGAGTATGTTGCAACTTACATGTTCTGCCATGTAGGATAGTCCGCGAACCCAGTTAGACGTGTTGAAGTTTGTGTCGCCGAACCATCCATTCCCATCATACGGCGTACAGCACCAGCCAGCCTTGGAAACATGATTATCAAGATGCACGTAAATCTTCTGCCTCCCCAGCTCCGCCGCAACAGCATCCCACACATCAAGCCTCTTCGAGCTCTCGTTGAAAGACGGGTTATTCTTGAGAACCTGCTTCAAGACAGCCGTACCGTTCTCCGGCCCCAACGCATTCTGCAGCGTCGTCTTGAGGTCCACGTCGCCGCCCCGATCGACGATGTCGTCCACCATTTCGGTGGCGAACGTTAGCCGGACGGAGTTGAAGCCTGTCTCGGCGATGCGCTTGACGATGTGAGCGACGGATTGGTATTGTAGGCCCTCGGGCAGCATGGTCCGCTCGTGGCCTGCCCAGTTCACGCCTACGAGGGCGACTGTTGCGTTGCGGGCATCGACGATGTCGCGGTCGCGGACAGAGAGCGGGAGAGGTTGGAGATCGCGGCGGATGAGCTCGGCGGAGGTGGAGAAGGGGGTTGCTAGGGCTGCTAGCAGCGCCGATAGACTCGAGAGTCGGCGCATTGTGTGTGATTTTGGGGTGTTGTTAAACGTCAGTAATGTTCATGAAGTCTCTGAAGCTGTCTTGATTTAAGTGTTGAAATTGTGTGTTCTAGTGAGCCGCTTTTGGTATAGGGATCCTTGAGAGTGACAAAGGAACTTCTGAGACAAGAATGAAGTAATCCGGGGTACGAGCACAACGGCGGAAAGGACATGACGGCACAAAGAGAAAATAAGGTAGGCAGATCCTTGGCTCGGGCCCTCTTCTCCCCTCTATCCAGGAACGCCCAGGAACCCACACGACGTCGGCGGAGAGCTTGTGTTTGGCTACCTTTACTTGCACATGCAGCCGAGAAGTCGTCTGAAGTTTGATGGTTCAATGGCACTGAGGACGTATCATCGTGCCGACGGGCCGTGCTCGGACAGATGCCTCAATGTTTAATAGGCTTTGGCCTGCAGGAAACGAAACACATGATGGGCTTGCGAGGGAGCACCCGGGCCCACGCTTGCAATGAGAGGTTGGTTGTTCACTGTTTATTTGTTCATGTTCTGAAGGAATACTTACAGAATGGGATGGTTAAACTAAATACATGAAAGGGGGGTACCGCCAGACTCATTTTCTTAGAAGGAAAATCGTCCGAAAGCCATCACCGTCCGAAGACCATTTACTTCATGTTCTGGAGCAGGTAGCGGACACCAGCGTAGGTCTCCTCGCTGGTTGGCACGATCTGAGCAGCGGGCAAGACGAAGCCGTAGTTACCCGTGTCACGAAGCTCCTGAGTGAAGGTGTAATCGGCCTTGACAACATCATTGACGTAGTCGACACTGCTTCCGGTTGCCTTGTAAATGGTGGTGCAGATGGGACCGTACTGGTACGAGGTACCGTGAACAGCCTTGATGGCGGCGACGGCGCCCTTGGCAAGGGACTGAAGCTCCGTGTTCTTGGCGGAGACAGCGGTGCAAGAGTAGCCGTAGGGGGTCATGAAGAGCTGGGAGTAGGCGTGGAAGTCGATGAAGAGCTTGAGGCCCTGCGCGGACTTGATCTTTGCGAGCCAGGCGGAGAGAGCGGCGGTCTCGGGGGCGTCTCCCTGGGAGAGACCCTTGAAGTCCTCGGCGCAGGGGTCGGTGGAGGCACCACCGGTGACGGACCATTGGAAGGGCCAGTTGCGGTTGATGTCGTGGCCGATGCAGGTGCTGCCAGAGGTGCTCTGACGGTTCTTGCGCCAGAGGCGGTTGGTGGTTTGGGTGTAGATGAAGCCTTGAAGAGAAGTCAGAAAGAAGGCTCACCGCCAGGAGAGCAGGGGAGGGGCAGAAGAAAACTTACCGTCGGGGTTGACGACGGGGAAGATGTAAAAGTCGTACTTGTCGACGAAGCTCTTGATCTCCGTGTCGGAGGAGTACTTGCTCAGGAGGTTCCAGGCAATGTACTCGTTGGACATGGTGCTGATCCACTCTCTGGCATGGACGGTGCTGTGGAAGACAACCGCGGGCTTGGTGCCCTTTGAGGTGCCGTAGATGTGGATGCCCGTGATGGCGTTGCCCTGGAGGGACGAGCCCGAGGTGACGATCTCGGCATTGCTGGGGTACGAGGCGACCATGTCCTTGAGGAACTGGAGGTGGTCGGCGTACGCGTGGTACGAGTTGAACCAGGTCGCGTTGGCGGAGCCGACTGAGAAAAGTTAGTTGGCATATTGGGAAATAACATCCGCGTGGGATAGTTTTGCAAAGGTGGAGAGATATCAAACAGTGCATAGGTGTTGGGACTTACCAGCGTAGACAGAGAACCCAGACTCGTCCGCAATCGAGGCGCCGAGGTCCTCGTGCATGGTGGTGAGGTTCATGCCAGCAACCTCGGCCTTGAAAGAGTCGACCTCGGCGGCGGGGACGACAATGTCGGCAAAGGCACCAGCTCTCGGGGCACCTTTCCAGGTCGTCAACTGGAGCTTGTCGACGACGCCATTGACTCTGTCGACCTCGTCACCGACGGAGAGGCGGAAGACCTTTGTGCCGTCGTAGCTCACGCGCTTGGAGCTCGCGCCCGCGACCGAGGCGGCGGAGGCAGCGGCGACGAGGGTGGAGAGGGCGGCGAGGGACTTCATCGTTGCGGTGGTCTGTTGCTTTTGACGATGAAGAAGAGATCTCTTGAGGGTGAGAGGAGGTTGGTCGGAAGTGAGTGTATGGCGACCGCGCGTGATAGTTCAGCGAGGGTGCACGAAGGAAGGCATCATCAAGGTTGAGGGCCGCACGGGTGTGCTCTCCTTTATGTACGATTTACGAGTGCGAAGAGATTTCAGAGTCGTATTTAGTTATTACCAAGGGTTGAGGATAAGAGGGGAAAGCAGAAAAACATAGTTTCCTTGCCTAGAGATGGACACTTTTCGCTGAGCAGGGCCAACGGGAAACAGGAACAGGATGAATGACGAGGATCGGACCGTCGGGGATCGCCTGGGCAGCTCTTACAACCTTCCCGTTTTGGTCATTGCGGCCCGCCTTGAGAAGGGAAAGTATCTTGGTATGATGTATCCCAGTCCAAGTTTGCCCTGTCTGTGCCCATTTTTCGCTGTTTTTTTACTTTTTCAACATTGACAATCTGACTATCTTGGACCGTGGACCTGCCTGATCAACACAAGAAAGACATGCGGGAAAACGTGCTGCAGACAAAAGTCCCCGCCTCTACTGTGTAAGAAGGGATGGGACATGCAGCTGTGGTGGTATCTTCAAAGTTGAGGTGGTGCTACTGTGCTACCCCAAGCTCGCTTCTCCGCGCTGGGTTTGCTTAGGGGGGAAGGTAAAACGGGACTGAAGATCCACGGCTACCGACACGACTGGCTGGTGATTCTGCGTTTAATAGCGCACAGATCCTAGGCTTGGGGGAGGGTGGAGGGGAGCCGAGGGGAATGCGAGGGGAATGCGAGGGGAACTTGGGACCTGGGACCTGGAGAAGGAAGGTTGGAAGCTCGGAGAGAAGCATTGGATTGCGGCTGGGAATGTCTATCTCAATCAGAGGGGGGTTTTGGCATCATCAGACGAGCACGCAACCCTTCGAACGGTCGGTCTGGTAGGCGGCAGCTTACACGACAGATTCTACGGATACACGCTTTGCAGGGTCACAGGCTGACGGGACGAGCGGCATGGCGAATCCGAATGACAGACCACGAAGAAGGGCGCTTGACGGACCTTTTGCATCGTCTGGTCGGCCTTGAAGACTTGATTAAGCAAGTCGAAGAAAAGTCTAGATAGATTGGGCTGGTAGGACTGGTGGTAGAGCCTGATGCGACCCAAGGCTCAAGCAAACAACACCGCATTGCCAGACTGCCAGTGGCACCCCCGCGAGCTTTCTTGGAGTCTTGGACAGATCCAGGAGGTCAAGTGCCGGATTGCGGGCAACCGACCTGCCGGAACCGGGGTAGCGCGGCGGTAAGGATTCAAGGGGACTTTGGCGATCGCGCGGGTTGGGGGTTGGGCAAAGCACGCAAACTGGCAAAGCTGGACTTTGAGGCCTGCTTGGTTGCAAGAGCTTGATTGAGATAGGCTACGGGCCAGTCGCGTCGTGTGTCTTGGAGGAAGAATCGTCCGTGTTCTAAACCGGAATGAGAGGTATGTATGAATATCTTGAATCCTTATCAGCACATCATTCAGGAGTGCCGATTTAAGTTTAAAACGCTTATTTGGTGGATGGGGCACTAATACGATCCCCCGCCTGCTTATCCCAGCGTCAATACGAGTTCTGCTGGAGCACTCCAGCAGCATTGCCATCGGCAGCGGAGGTGTCCGCATAGTTCACAGAGTAAACTGCCTAATAACAGTAAAGTTGACAAGAGATGGCGTACTTACTTACTTACATCTTGAGTATATCTTCACGAGCTTGGAAATTGCCTAGGGAAACAAATCATGGCCGCGTTTAGTATACTTTGCCATTCATAAGTTTTGTCGAAGGCTGCCCTGAAAAGAACTTTTGACCGATACTGCTAACCGTTTATAAACCACCTTACTCTGCTCATCAATTGCCTTTGATGGCTATCGCGAAGGCTAGAACTCCCAATTCCGTCAGACAGGCAAAGTGACTTCAGCAATTGCTTCTTCGCGCATGAGAGGAAGCCATACTACTACGTCAAAGAGTGCCTTTTTCTAAGCTACTATTTCATCCAATGTCGCATCTTCAACTTCAACCCCATTTGACATGCATGTCCATCTACAGTGGGAGAAATATGTCCCGCCAATCCGACTCGTTATCGGTTGAGGATTGAAGCAGGATGATTTGGGAAACAAATAAAAGAAGAAAGGCCCCACAGAAGAGCCAAAAGCAAAAGAACTGGACGATCTGGGAATCGAACCCAGGACCTACCGCATGCTAAGCGGTCATTATACCACTAAACCAATCGCCCGGTTTTTGAAGATGTGGAAAGCTAACAGCATGAATGAAGGAAGTCGCGCGGGCAACCCTCTCCCGGAGAATTCAGCGCCGTTTGTCTGTTCCTCTCTTCCATCACAAAATTCAAGGCTTTCCCGCTCTCTGTCCCCCATACTGTCAAAAGACGACCCAAATTGCAGTTGAGCCGGCCAATGCTCCACACCAAAATGTTCGTCCAAAGATTTGAGCGGGAGCCCCTCGAACCCATGGCCTCAATAAATCTCAGAGTCGACGTCACGGAGTTACCCGCTAATGGCTGTCGCCCATGAAGCTCACCAAGCGGTCCGCATGCGCGCTCCCGCCCACATCGTTGAACCTACGCCACCAAACCAGATCCTCCCTGCCCTCAAGCTTGCTTCAACTTTTGTATCGTGACATCAAACTCCTCCGGATCCCGCCCAATGATCTCCCTCAACGTCTCCGACACAACAGCAGTCTCCCCCGCTCGGATCGCCTCCCACGCAGTCGCCCACGTCCTCGCCTTCTCCGCCGACCCGAACCTCGCCAAAACCTGCGGCAGCTTCACGTACTCATCCACGCCCACCTCGCGGATCCTCAACTCCCTCCCAGCAACCCGCCCAAGAACCCTGACCATCTCCTCAAGAGGCCAGACCCGTGCGCCCGTCAGCAGCACCTTCTTATTCACGTGGGCGAATTGATCCGGGTCCCAGGAATATTGCGCGATAAGTTTCGCCGTCGCCTCCCCCAGCTCGCTGCGCTTCACCCACGCCACGCCCGGGCCGGAGCCGTCGTGGGGGACGAAGATCTCGTTTGACGAGGAAGGAGAGTTGACGTCGAAGAAGGAGGTGTAGATTGGGTACGATTCTGAGTAGAGGCCCTCGCGGATCGAGGTGTATGTGAAGCTCGGGTCGGAGGCCGCGGCGGAGGCGAGGTGGCGCTCCGTGGAGAGGTGGGCTTGCATTACCTCCGCTACCGACTCGTCTTGTAGGTCGCCGCCGAAGGCTAGGGAGCTGTAAAAGAGGTGTCTTACGCCTGCGCGGCGGGCTGCGTCGACGACGGGTAGTTGGACCTGTGAAATTTGTCAGGCCAGACGTCTTGGGATAAACAAGTCTGGTGATATGGACGAGCATGGCTTCAGCTTCCATCTCTCACGTACCTTTTTGCGGTAGTCGTGTACATGACTTGGGTAGGAGATGAGGAACAGCACCTCGATGCCCGCAAACACGGCCTCGAGATCGGAGGGGCTCGACTCGTATGATGCCTTGCGCGCCCGGACGCCATTCTTGATGTGTTCTTGGGGTACGCGATCCGGGTGACGGTTGATGAGGATGATGTGATCGCTGGGGAGAAGCTTCAAGAGGTAATCGTAGGTGCTGCCGCCTAGGCCTCCTGAAGCGGGGAAGATGCCGATTGACTTCATAATGTGAGGTTTCCTCGACGATAAGAGAGATGCTTGGATCAGATGAATGGAAGGTTTGGTGATGCAGTTGCAATAGGCTGTTGATCTTGTCAACCCAATCTGTCGGTAATCTGCTTCAAATGGATCAAGAGTGCGTTAGTAGGGTAGAGAGTTTGAGGTGCAGGTAAGCTAAGGTGAGATCGTGACATGACGCGCATGATCACATCACCTCACACATCACACATCACGACGGCCGGAGACTTTGCTTGGCAGGGGAGTGCCCAGCTTGACATGCTTATTACGTCACGCCCACCCCTATTTTCAAAGTCGTATCAAGCATCTTCCCTTCCCTTGTATTTCTGTGGCACCTGGTTGAGATCCCACGTTCAAGAATCAAGCTCGCATCCCACTTTGTTTCATCATGACCCTGTTTTTCTTTTTTTAGTTCCGATTCCGGAGCGGAGAGCAACGATTTTTCATTTGTTGCCCGTTGTCCGCCCCGTGGTCCCGGCCCCGCTGCACGGCCGACGTGTCGGCTCAACAACGCTTGCTGTGGAGTTAGTGGCGGAGATGTGTACCACACTTGGCGGATGGTCTGAAGTCTGGCGCAAGATGAAGCCAAGTTGTGAGGCTTTCTAGCCTGGCACTTGGCCACTAGTAAGAAATCGAACATCTATCAAGAGGTCTTGATCACACTGACACATTCTGGGGCTGACTGGCATGTTTACATTCTAGTATGCATGAAAGTTTCCTATCCCATCGACTACTGAATGACCTCAGTACATTGTGGCACTGCGCTGTGCATCGTCACTTCCAGTACTAACGAATCTCGTATGCATCATGATTGACCGCAATGATCCCGTCCTATTTTCTCCCGGTGCACGTATTCGAAAGAGAAGAAAATCAAACAGGATCAGCCTCGAAGAAATCAGAGAGGTATCTGCTGACGCTATTCCGCGACTGATGGGAAAATAGTGGACTAGCGACTGAGGGTGGTGGGATCAATGCTTAAAACGCACCGAAAGATTACCGCCCAAAGCCAAGCCGACCTGTACGTGTTTTTTCACTATACAGCTATGGGCGGGTATGGCTCTTACAGTTTGAGATCGCATCGTCCGGCCACATGGCTTTACAGTTGAGACAGGTCACGAAAGGGGGATGGGAGTTCCTGGACCCGCTTGGTCTATGAAATGACATGGACCAACAGTGATCACGAGAACGCCCACCATTTCGTCAAGGTTGCAAAAAGTAAAACGGCTTGATATCTGGGTTCCTAAGAACTACGAAAGCCCGCAACTGTCAGACGAACTTCATCCCCCCAGAGAGAAAAGCCCATCGGAACAAGCTCTGCTTATTTCCAGTTGGTGGTAGCACCCATCTTAGCACCATTAACAAGTACCAAGAAGTCGCTCGGCACAATCTTTCCATTCTTGCCACGCGCACCAGAAACAAGACCGATATCAACGCTCTTGAAGCGCGCGTTCGTCAGCGCGGCGCCAGCGACATCCCACGAGTTGCCAATAGACGTCTGGCGCTCGCGCATCGTCGCCTGGCCAAAGTAGGTGGCGTTGACGCTGCGGAAGCCGGACTTGCCGTTCATCCACGAGGTGTTGTCCTCGATGGCGAAGGCGCCCGTCTGGGAGTTGTCGGTGAAGCCGTTGGCCTTGTTGCCGAAGGCGATGCAGTTGATGACGTCGTGGGCGGCGGGGAGGATGTCGCCTGCGCTGCCGCCGCCTAGCTTGAAGCCGTTGCCGTTGCCTGTGAAGTCGGGGATGTTCTGCCTGGGTTGTTAGAAGGTTGCAGGGAGAATAGGATGTGAGATTGATGTTGACTTACCCAGCGGTTGAAGCCGTTGCCCCACGCGATGCTGTCCTTGATGGTCAACTTGGAGTGGAACTCCCTGAGATACTGTCAGCTTGTACACCACGGCAACATAAACGATCATGAAACGACTCACCAGAAGTCGACACCATCGTCAGAGTTATCCCAGAATCTGCTGCCAACAACAATGTTGCCTTCACCCTTGCCCTCCTTGATAGCCAGACCATCGGCGTTCTCGCCATTGTTTCTCGGGTCGCGGTTACCATACGAGTCAAGGTAGGAGATAACGTTATTAGACAGGGCACCCTGCATGTGGAAACCGCTCTCGTAGTTTTCACGAGTGAAGATCTGGTTGAAGCGCAAGTTGCTCGAATCCTTCACATACACACCATACACTCCGTGGGCGAAGGTAAGACGAGATAAGTTCCAGTACTGCACGCGCTCGACGTGGAGCACGCCGCGGTTCCGGCCGGGTACGGAGGCGCCGACGGCCGCGGGCGTATCCGGCAGACCCTCGCCGTCGATAATGACCTCCTCATCCTTGGCAGCGTGCAGTGTGATGGGGGCGGCGGCGGTGCCGTTGACGGTGATGTTGATGTTCTTGAGGAGGTCGTAGGTGCCGCCGCGGAGGATGATGACGTCGGCTTGGATGTCGGAGAAGGGCTTGGCTTGGCTGCCGTCCGGGGTCGCGACGCCCTTGGGGGAAACGAAGATGTTGGCCGCCTGGGTCAGGGAGAGGCAGGAGAGTATTGTTGGGATGAGCAACATTGTGAAAAAGGAATGTGTATTGTATGTACTTTGAAAACGAGTGTAAAAGTTGGGTTTGCGAATCACACAAAAGAATGTGGGTGAGAGAGAATGATATAGTCAACTACTTCTATCATATTGCAGGCAGCGAGAGAGCATGGCGCTGGTGATGATTTATAGAACTTTGTGTGGGCATGGCTTCATTGTCGCAACCGGCTCTGGTGAAGGCAGACAATGATACCACGGAGATGGATCCATCTTGGCACTTTGGGTCAGCAGGAACAACACATTAAGAAAGTCTTGGTACTCTCTAAGAACCTTTTTTCCAACTTCGCTCAGTCTGCTCATACAGCGTGGGTTCAGGAGTCGTTGACTCGCAAAATAGTGATGGCACTAGAAATTTCCTGCCCACGAAGAGGCCTAGCTTGTTTTGGTGGTGCTGGAGCACAATTAACGATAATGTCGGGTCACCCCTACTCAAGGTACAAAATCGGTGCGAGATGGCGCTATTACGCCAAGATGGGCCACGCACCAGCAGAACATTTGCATTCTTTTGGTGTGGTCCAGTAAGTTAGGTAGTGGTCCCGGACTCCCGGTGGGAGTTCGTCAGCCCCAATGGACTCCGCCTCCGCTGTCGTGAAATTATTTTGAGTTCATGATGGAGTCAAAGGCTGATTCAAAAGTCTAGATCTGAGCCCAAATGATTTGGCTGGGAAAGCGAGTGCATCCAGCAGTGAGATGACCTACCTTATCTTCGAAATATATTTGTTGGATTCACAGGTGGAAAAGGAAAATACTCGAGTATCGTGGGTAGCAACGATCACCAACTGTAGTGGTGATATTGCTTGTTCTTGTTGTTGTTGAGTGGAAGTCTAACCAGGTGCCAGCGGCGGCAGGAAGTCTGGGGTATACCACCCTCGTGTGGCTGAGCCACACGGACCACCGTGGCTGGAACGGACCGCGGCAGCAACCTCCTGCTGCCTAATGTAGGCCTATTCCAACAATATTGTTCAAGCTTCCTGGCGCTCTGTCACTCCTTTACCAATGAGCTTACGAATACTCAATACACAGCTTCCTGGACCCTCAGCCATGACACTCAAGGCACATTGCGGCATGAGGCTCAGCCAACGCATTTATCGGATTGCGGAGGATGTTTCTAGAATAGTGATCTTGCCGACTCCAAAAGCGATGAAAACGACGGACAGCTGCTGCAATATATTCTAAACAGCCCTAAGTTTAAGCTTTCTGTCGCTGGGTAAGGCCCATTGGCATGCATGCTTGGCTCATGACTCGGATGAACCTCGTCCACCCACAGACCCGGGGAATTGGACGCTTGGAGGCTTGGTACGGAGTAGTCAGCGGCATTGTCGGTGGTTCTTGCAGTTGACGAGTTACCATGGCTTCGGGTCCGACTCTCCCGCCTTGGTTCAGCTTCGGTCCGAGCCTCATTAGTCCCTTGCAACTCGCATCTCTCGTATACTCAAATCTCAGTCGTAGTGTTAGCTTTTGAGAGCTTGCGACAATAACACATCAAGACAACATAATTTTAGAACCGGGATAATCAAGTGTTGTTTTGGGTGTACTATTACCCTGAATTTGGGTAGTCTCGGAAACTTTCCTACTTCACAATTAAGGTACTTTAGTTCCCGTGTTCCTATCACATATGCATCACGGACTGTAAGCCGACCTTTTCCCCCTAGTTATAGAATGACTCTCGGTGTTGTAAGTTTATACAATGCGAAGCTCGGACTCGGCACAGCAGCCATTTCTCGGTACTCATAAGTCCCGAGCAGAGCCAACAATTATCTACAAACTCATCCTCATTGTGAGAGGAAAGCATTTGAATATTACTCTAGCCGCCAACCTTAGGCAAACAACTTGTGACTACTCCAGCTGCACATGAAGTGAAATAGTCATTACTATTAGCGGTACTATCTTCGTGCTTGGGTAAAAACACATGTAGAAGGGGCCAGGGTTCTTGTGTAGATTATGAACTATATAGATAGGCCATTGCAAACACAGCTGCATCCAAGAAGCCGCCTCGATCAACCCATCTTATGCCAGCATTGTTCATGATTATAGTCAATAAGACATGTGGAAGAGCTCATACGTATTCGCGATATCATTTAGGTAAGCCATTGCAAAAGCAGTTGCATCCCCGGAGCTCTTGAGGAAGACGATAGATCAGCATTCCCGCTACACACGGAGGAACGCAGCCCACAACGTTGCCCGCACTCTCTTCGACTGCTACCGATACAGATGAAAGAACTTATTGATACTGTACAGTTCATTTATTTTGGCCTTTGCAAACACATATGGATCTAGAGACCACACAGGGATGTGGTGAATGTGGTGGCCTCCGTGGTAGTGCCATTACCATCACCAGCCACAAAATTCGACGAGGACCTCGCCGAGAGAGCATTCTTCAGAGACCATCAAAGCTCAGCAAATTATCTTCCAAAGCGATTGTTTACAAAATTAGACCCACCCGCTTCTGTCAGGCTGTATAGCCCCGGATATGTGTATTCAGCCCGGCATATACGTGGGGTGCACAGTAGTGATTTGCGGCAGATACTAGTTGGGAGATGAGACTACCTATGACTGTGAACACTAATTCATGGCAGATGGATGTCACATCTGCAGTGTTCTGGAAGCATGCACAGTCAAAACAAAATCCGCTCTCAGTGTTTGATTTTGCCCTTGCAAAGGCTGCACTGTCTGGTCTTTGACTCTTTGTTCAAGGTTGTAGCCAGGCACAACCATCAAGATGATTTTATATCCTGCATAATCCCAATGTCATCTAGGAGAAGAAATATGTCAACAAGTTCCCATTGTTGGTGTTTTCCACAGACAGACCTTCCGCCTGCTGCCTGACATGTCTCAATGTACATGTACCCATGCATCTACGTACACCAACCCTGGGATTCCCAGACTGCATGAGGCAAGAGCCTGGGCCATTGCACCCAGAACCTTCCGTAGCTACAGCTTCTTCAAAAATAAAGGAACAAAGATCTTGTTCCTGAAAAAAGAATGATCCAGCTGGTCCTCCACAGCCCCAACTAAACTCCTCCATCATCTTCAAGTTCTCTATCATCATCGAGCTACTATCTACCACAATCATCGCTAAACCTGCCGGCCTCTAAATCGAAACCTCGCCTGGAGTCCATAATTTAGCACTACGGGCAGAAACCAAATTGTAGCCAACATGAGTCACGATGCTACAGACCAAGAGATCGTAGAGATTTAGGATTTCCTGATGGGCCTCAGCGGAGCGATTCTCGTCATCGTCCTCATCCGAGAGATCTCCAAGTGGTGCAGAGGTTTTCTCCTCGAGCGCCGCATCCGTACGTATTCGTTGCATCATATTGATTGCTGACTTCGTCATGAAAGACGTCGCTGACCACCTAGGACAACAGAGAGATCCCTTGAGAAAGCCCTCTTCGCCTATCAAGCCCTTGAAGAAACGCAACAAAGCCTCCGCGAAGACGTTCTATGCGTCCGTGCTGAGTTCGAAAAGTCTAACAAGAACGTCTCGAATCTCCTTGGATGCGGGAGTGCATCGGTCGAATAAGAGACAAAGACGATTGAGAAGGATAGAAAGGAGGTGGAGAAGATGAAGGCCGACGTTTACAAGGGTCTGGGTGAGATCCAGAAGCTACGTGCTAAGATCATCGAGAAGACAGATGGAGATGCCGACTCTGGCGACAAGGTTGGAGACACGGATAGCAAAGTCACTGAACTGGAGCACTAGATGATGCTTGATAGGAAATCTTGATGGGTTTTCCGTCGTCAGGGGCGGGGTTATGAGGTTAGGAAAGGAAGGCGTCGAGAAACTAGCGAACATATTTTCAGAAAGCATAGAAGCAATACCATGATATACACATGCCTCATTGATATTTTCAAAGCTAGACGAACTTGATGCTAGGGTTACGGGGCCTTCGAGTATCCATATTATCTTTTCTCGATACCTACACAGAACTAAGGCCCGTCTATTGTTTACTAACAAATAGTGGGAAGTGAGACGAGACTTCACCAAACCCTTTCTAGCTGATGGAGACCTTCTAAGGTAGTCAAACCTCCCATATAGCAGCTCTCAAGGTGGGAATTGGTCTGTCTTCACTGCCTTTCTGCGACACTTCTTGGTTCTTTCCTGCAGTTTCTACGGGATCGGCACATCCATAAGATGCCACTCCATCAGAATGATGCTCCTAGAGCCATTTACTTTATCACAGGCACACATACATGTATCCTCCATCGTCGTCTCGAAGCTTCTGGCCGAATGTCGTCAATGCCAATTGTTGCCCGTCTGCCCGTTGTTCCACATCACCAAACCCTGAAAGAGCTCTACTCTTCCCACTTGAAAACCACAACAGAGAACAGCGTGAGGCCTCGTGCTGTCTTCCGGATGCTTCCACAGCCAAAAGAGGCCCATCAGTCAGTAGCACCCGCCTTTGGAAAACATGAAATCACATGCTGCCCCTGGAATCTAGCCCTACCTCTCCCACGATCTTTTAGGAAGGGGCAAAAAAAAGAAGGGCTTCTTGAGGAGCCAACACCACTTTCCTGCTGAATTTATTTTCTTCCAAACATACACCACCGTCTTGCTCAGACAGCCCATCATCACCTCAAGCGCTACGGAAGCCCAAGCACAAATACACCTTCAACTCGACAAGGAGACCAAGCAATCGAGATGGACTATCGTAATTTCATCCAGGTTCTTCAAATGGTCATGGCGATGGTTCTGGTCCTGATAGGCACCCTGGTCGTCGTGGAAAAGCTTCCCCTCGTCCTCGGTAATAAAGCCGCGCGTCAAGCTGGTCAGTTGATATCTCTTCTGAATTCTCTCAATGTTCAGCCTCAAAATTGTCCCTAACCCGATTGAAATTCAGCCAAGGAACTCCAGGAACTCCAGGGCCGCAAGCAGAAACTCGCCGATCTCATGGACGACGTCGCGGCCGCTCACAACTTCGCTATCAACTTGACGGGCACAATCCTCGACCATAACCAAGAGGCCCGTGATATGACTGTGGACCTGGCGAACATCTTGACCAAGAGAATTGTCCTTCTCCAGAAAGTTGCAAACATCAGCAAGAGCACCATGAAGCAGCACCTCGATCATATCCGCAAATTCAACAGAGTCGACATCGGTACTTGGAACGATAGCACGAAGGTCATCCAGGAATGCATCAAGCTGAACTACGGAAAGATCAAGGCCATGGATGCGGCGATTGACGTGAAGGACATCATGGAGAGATCCCTGTACGCGATGAGCAAGGTCGCAAAGCAGAACCCCTCCCCTTTCGCTACCGCGTCTGCGGCCGCTGCTTAGCTTTCCAATGGCGCGTTGGCAGACAAATCATACGAGAGGTGAACTTCCTGGCTGCTGTTGCTTGGAGGACCGGTCGTATCATGAGCTATGCCGATGCGAAAGCTTGAGCTATAATAAGTCCTAGCACGGGCAGGGGAGGAGTTGACACCACGCCAGCATATGGGGGCATCTGCAGTCATCTTGCGTCCGCGGTTCTATTCTGGTTCTATCGAGACGAGACTTTGCTATGGGCTTTGGAATGGAAGGTTGAGAGGTTGTTTGGCAGGATCCCCGAAGTTAATCCTCCATGGATGTTGACTGCTGCTTGAGGCGTCAGATCAGGTACCTTAACTCTTCCAAGAACTGAAAATCGCATTCCAAACAATTGGGAATGCCGATACTTCAAATGCGTATGTGACTTTTCCCCATGAAATTGGCAGTTAAAACCACATACTGTCGGCGCCTGTGACAATTCGATTACCAACAACCTAGACTTCGTAATCTGGATTCGCACGTCTCTCCTCTGAATGAGATACACTTGACCCTTGAGACTTCATGTTGCCTTCAGTACCGCAAAATAGCTCGTGCGATCCAGAGCAGGGAAGTCTATTCAAGATTTTTGCTGCTCTCACCAACAATGGTTTCCTGGACCCAAAGAGTCGTCAACTTGAAAGGTGGTTGAGTGTCAAGATCACGTGTGTGGCTTGGCATTGAGGCGCAGAAATAAATGCGAAGTCACACCAGTTAGGTATTCCCAATGGTTTGTTGCAGCGGCTTTTTCGATTAAATTCCCGGTTGTCGTCCTTAAGTCAAACCCCCCACTTCCTGGCACCCCCCTGTTTCTGGCACCCACAAAAACGCGAAAATCCACCACAACCCAATGCCCACCCCCAACCTCCTTTCATCACAACATTTTCAATTCGCGTCCAAATAGGCTCATCTTTTGCACATACCTTCTTCTATATCTAATGCCTCAATATACCGAAGATCAGCTTCGTCAGGCTCTCGAGGACATCTCAAACGGCAAGAGTCAAAAGAGAGCCTCATTGGAGTATGGGATACCACGATCAACCCTCCAACTACGTCTCCAAGGTGGTCAGACTAGGAAAGTGGCTTTTGCTGACTGGCAGAGGCTGTCTCCTGACCAGGAGAGTAAGCTGGCACAATGGGTTCGCATTCAGGCTTCGCTGGGCCTCGCACCAACGCACCAACAGGTGAAGGAATTCGCAGAGCGAGTTCTGGCTGCTGCTGGGGATACCAAACCACTGGGAAAAGGCTGGATCTATGCCTTTGTGAGAAGGAACCCTATCATTAAGGTTCAGAGAAGTCGTTCTATCGATTCTAGACGCGTTAATGGGGCATCTACTGAGGTCATTAGGAACTGGTTTAAGTTCCTCGCTATCCCTGAGATCAAGGACATCAAACCAGCCAACAGATATAATATGGATGAGACTGGCATCCTCGAGGGTCAGGGAGCTAATGGGTTAGTGCTGGGTATGGCTGAGACGACGTCTGTTCGCAAGAAACAACCTGGGTCGAGGGCATGGGTCTCTATCATTGAGTGTATCTCAGCCTTGGGTAGGGCACTTCGTCCTCTTATCATTTTCAAGGGGAAGACAGCCCAACAGCAGTGGTTTCCATTACATCTCGTTCCATACGATGCGTGGGAGTTTACAGCAACAGATAATGGCTGGACTACAGACTTAACTGCCATTGAATGGTTAGAGAAGGTGTTCATCCCACAGACTATGCCTGAGGCTGAGGGGGAGGCTCGACTGCTGATTGTGGATGGGCATGGGAGTCATACGACGACAGACTTCATGTGGAATTGCTATATTAACAATATCCATTTACTGTTCTTACCACCACACTCCTCTCATGTCCTCCAGCCTCTTGACCAGTCTGTCTTCAGCCCTGTTAAGTCAGCCTATCGGAAGGAGCTCGGTTACTTGTCTCAATGGAACGACTCTACCATTATAGGTAAAAGGAACTTCCTGGACTGTTACCAGAAGGCTCGACTTGCTGGTCTATCAGTCTCGAACATCAGAAGTGGTTGGAAGTGGACTGGTCTACACCCTGTGGCGATGGTTAAGCCCCTGATGAACCCTATGGTACTACCTGAGCCTCCTGCTAAGCCCACCACACCCAAACCAACTAGTCAGGGCAGAAAGCGATGCCATAATGGTCAACAAAACTACCCCTGTTGAGCCATGGGATTCTGCCTCCTCTGCAGTGGTCTGGTCGACACCCAGGAAGCTGGCAGAGCTCAGCGGTCAACTGCACTTATACACCCAACTCGACAATGATACCAGCACTCAACGGCTGCTATTCAGGAAGGTGAAAAAAGGCTTCACAGAGCAGGCCTGGCAACTGGCAGCTGCCCAGCAGCAACTAGCTCACCTGAGGGCTCAAATTACCAACGCTGCAGTGAGGAAGAGGAAGACTGTTCAAATCGATCCCAACACGAAGTTCGCGAACATCAGGGATATCCATCGGGCTCAAATCGAAGCGGGTGAAAAGGAGGTTATCACGGCTGAATCCAGCGACTCTGAATGCCCTAGTGAGGCTGGCAGCTGTATTGTAGTGGGTGTGGTTGAGGATCAATAGTTAATAGTAATGAGGAGGTCGGGTTGTGATCCCATCGTTTTTGTGGTGCCAGAAACAGGGGGGTGCCAGGAAGTGGGGGGTTTGACTTACTTCGTTGCTTACCTGACATGCGTACTGGAGACTGGCATGCTTCAACTTTGTGTATCAGGTCTTGATCTCAAGAAGCATCTGGCGAGAGAATCAATGGCCGCGCCAGACAGCTTTCTTTTGCCATTCAGCCCAGAAAAGTACGAGTCAGTCATCCCGCAGGCGAGACCACCCATGGGTAAAAAGTAATTGAGGTAAGCAGCGATCGTTGGCGCTAATGTCCTTTTCTTGGCGCTAGCACCTTTTCGTGATCGAAGCCCAACAGCACCCCCCCCTGAAGTCTCGATTCAGAATTTCAGCTGACAAGCCACTTTGCCTGGAATAGCAGGTCGATCCAAAATGAAAGGCTCGTCGCTTCGAGTACGAGTTGATCAATGAGTTTCGAATCAAATGAGATGGGCAGAAGCGACCCCTCGATTAGCGTGAGGTACCCTGAGCTACGAATGAGCTCAACGCCTGGCTAAAGCCGTTGAAGCTGAACTCCAGCGCTGTCGCAGTGTCGATTCACGTGCGACAGCTATTATCAGCCATCAACCGTTGAGCCGTTCGAGGAGGTGTAGGGGAGATAACGATCAAGACGAGTGTGGAACTCAAAGACTCAGGACGCCGTCACGGATGTACGGCAGATAAATGTGAGGTTAGTGGCCGGCTGATATATCTGACATGCCATTCCATCATTGATCTGAGAAGAGACGAAAGAAAAAAGGGGTTCGAAGCCTCTCGGAATGCGGGGGGGGGTTGATTCGTGGCCTGGACCCTGTGGGCTTTGGACGTGGGCCCATGCTATATCCAAGACGCGTGTTCGTCCCGGTAGCTTGGGGTCCAGGGACGTCCCTGAACTTTCCCCCTCCAAGGCTCCAAGCCCTCCACGCTGGAAAGCCCAGCCCTAGAGGGATCCGCAATGAGACGACGAGTCGAGTTCCAATGGCTGAGACCTGCTGGCGTGGCCCTGCGTGTCCAGCCCACCAGTCGTTGGTCCTAACGACAATGGGGAATGGGCTATGCTCGTTGGTTTGGCTGCCGCTGGCATCATTTTGCCTGTGACTGGCGGACAGGCCGCAGACATCTCTGATCTCGGAACACGCGAGCCGGAGTCGAAGCTGCGCAAGTGTCACCAGTCAGATAGATTAAGCTGAGTCTGGGTTAACGCGGGAGTAAGGAATATCGGCATACTAAGCTTTGGACTAGCACCGGTCTCAACACCCGCAAAAATGGAAGCACAGCTTGAAGGTCTTGGCTCTTTAAAAGACTGCGGCCCCGGGCAGTCAAGTCGCGGGGGAGAATACTCAGCTTTCATTGCGAGCTTTCTTGCTGCAACAGAACTTCGACAATTCCTAATACGACATTGAAAGAGAAGAAGAAGGGAATGTGAAAGGAAGCCGAGGATGGTTCGTCTCCTAGTGTCGCCGCGATACGGCGGTCAATCGACGCCAATCATCGCCGGCGCGGCCTTCATCACCCTCTGCGTCGTCTACGTACTCCGATTCCACGGCACGAAAACACCCTTCACATCCGCCAACTTCAGCTTCCGCACCTCAAAGACGTCCGGCCTCAACCTCGACGCCATCAACGCGACGGCACAATATTTCGTCGACTATCCCCTCGGCCCGCCGTACAAGAAGGTCTTTGGAGAGCTTGGTGAGCGCACAAAGGTGCTGCGCTCGTGGATTAAGGCGCTCGAGGAGAAGGAGGGTGGCCGCAGCGATGGGATGCGGGTTATGGGGGCCGAGAGACAGTTTCTCGACGCCCAGGTCGAGCGAGTCGCCGCATCCCTGTTCCCTTATTTGCAATCTCCGCCGAGGGACATCCACAGCCTGTCGCCTCTGGCCGATCTCAGGCAAAGCTTTATGGGGGGCGCCGCTGATCGTGCGCCCCCGCGGCCCCCGGCACAGCAATTAGGTGTCGGCGGCACCGGCGCCGCCGGGGCTTCCGGCAAGGAAATGCCGGAGTACGTGCCGAGAAATGCCGGTATCGTCATTCCGACGGGACACGGCACGCTGCGGTTCGCGTGTCATTTGGTCGCGTCCCTGACGCGCGTTTTGAAGACTACGCTGCCCATTCAGATTGTTTACGCCGGCGAAGACGACTTATCCGAGGAGGACCGCGACACGCTCGTCCAAGCTGTTGAGGGCGATAGTGGACGCATTGAGTTTATGGACATTTTGACCGTCTTCAACGACACGACGTTGAAGTTAGCCGAGGGCGGATGGGCGATTAAGCCGTTTGCCGCGCTCGGCAGCCGATTCGAAGAGGTCATTCTCCTAGATGCAGACGTCGTCTTCCTCCAGAAGCCCGAACAGCTTTTCCAACAGCGAAATTACCAAGAAAAGGGCGCGCTTCTCTTCCACGACCGATTGCTCTGGAAAGACCAGTTCCTCGAGAGACACGAATGGTTCCACGAGATGATCAAGCACCCGAGTGAGGAACTCCAAAAGTCGCTCGTCTGGACGGAAAAGTACGCAGAGGAAGGCGACTCGGGCATCGTCGTGCTCAACAAGGGCCGGCTCAGCGTGCTCATGGGCCTACTGCACACGGCGTGGCAAAACACGCACGCCGTGCGCAACTCGTGGACATACAGGATCACTTACGGTGACAAGGAGACGTACTGGATCGGCCTCGAGGCCACGGGCTCGACATACAGCTTCTCGCGGCACTACGGCGGCATGGTTGGCTGGTGGAAGCCATTTAGCGGGGTACAGACCGAGATGACGCAGGTTTGCAGCTTCGTGATTGCGCACGTGGACGAGGTGGATAACTTACTGTGGTATAACGGCGGGCTGTTGAAGAATAAGATGGACGACCCGACTGAGTTCGCGGTGCCGACGCACTGGATGATTGACCAGCAATGGGTCAAGGGGGCGAGGAAGAAGGATATGAGCTGCATGGTTGGCATGAACGCGAGGGAGCTCAGCGGACCAGAGACCAGTGTTTTGAAGAGGAGCATTGAGGCTGCGAGGGATGTTGATGATAGACTTGAGTTGGTATAGAAAAATCAAAGATTCCCCTTTTTTAATTATTCAACAGCATAACTACCATTACTCTTAATGCGTGAACGCTATCATTCTGACACGATTACATAGAAGTCCCGTCTCGTCAATCGTTAAAAGTCATGAGCGCTGCTCCTCTCGTAGTCCTGATTCCCAAAACCAACCAGCCCTACTGCTTGTCTAACAATAGACATCAAGACTCGAGCCACATATTACTCCATGTCGCCATCAAAGCGAACATTTTTCGGTGTAGCGTAACCCATGTCCGAACCTAAAAACAGGATCCGCCGTATCATACGGCACATCCTCCATCGCATCCTCCACAGCCTGCTGTGACCGCGGGAGATCGAAAGGCAATTTGCCCTCGGGGTTGCTTACCCCAAAGATCACGTCCAAGAAAGCTTCGCTGCCACTACCGTAGCTGCCCAACACCGCAGAAGCGGCGTCAAAAACCTAGGGTATCGCAGCAGGACGATCCAGGATCACGTCGACGATGGTGGGCACGGCCGCATAGATCGAGGCCTGGCGCGCCTTCTCCTCATCCGAGTACTCAAGCGAGCCGGCGTGGTAGGCTGCTTTGAAGCCACCTGGACGAGGCTCGTAGGGCGCATTGATACGGAGTAAGGCATAGTCTGCCTCATCTAGTGTCTCGACGACCGTGAGGTTGCGTGCCTCGAGGAACGTGGCGTTGAAACCCTCGATGTAGAACTTAGTTCCTGTGCCAACGTGCTTCAGGGGAAGTAGTTCATCCTTGTTTGTGAGAAGAGTGTAAGCTCTGCGCTGGGCATCATTGCCAAGCCGCAGGAAATAGTCGTTTCCAACAACTCTCGTCGCGGCCTCGGGGTCGACGAAGGGATTGTCAAAAAGCCCGAGGAGGAACTTTTCGCGAAGGAGACGTCTGACGGAGATGTCGAGGCGGTCTTCGGACACAATGCCTTCCTCTACCAGCTGGACAATGAGCTCGGTACGCTGCTCACCACCTAATTGGTCACACCCGGCATCGAGGATGCGGGCTGCGCGTTGAAGCTCAGTGGTGTTCTCTAGACCCCACGCGCGTGCTGGCATGTCTTGACCTCGGATCACTGTATCAGTGATGAAACCCCAGTCGGTGACGACGATACCTTCGAACCCAAGTTGGTTTCTGAGTAGGTCTGTGACGATTTGCCTGTTGAAGGAGAAGCCGACTGGCTCGTAGTCGGTGGAGTTGTCAGATAGGCCGATGGGACGGGAGTAGTAGGGCATCATCTGCCTTGCGCCGGCGGCGATCGCCGCTCTGAAGGGGGTGAGGTGGTACTCGAAGTTGTTTCCGGGGTACGTCGGGTTCTTGCCGTATGTGAAGTGAGAGTCTTCACCGTTCTCCATCGGGCCGCCTCCAGGGAAGTGCTTCGTCACGGTGGTTACGCTGTGCGGACCAATCTCCCTTCCTTGGAAGCCTTTGATGTATTCGACAATAAGCTCGCTGGTCAAGGTTGCGTTCTCGCTCCAAGTGTTTCCCAGGCGTGCCCATCGTGGCTCGGTGGCGAGGTCGACCTGCGGATGTAGGGCAGCGCGAATGCCGACGGCGATGTACTCCTCGCGAGCCACCTCCGCGAACTTTCTGACGAGCTCGGGGTCCCTCAGGGCAGCAAGGCCGAGAGTCTCGGGCCATTGTGAGAAGACACCGGCTTGGAAACCCGTACCAATGTTCTCGGTGAAGTGGTTTCGGGGATCAGTGGAGAGAGTCACTGGGATGCCTAATCGCGTATCGAGGGCGCGCTGCTGGACTAGGTTGACAAACTCCGCGACTTGCTTCGCGTCCGTGATATCGCCGACGAGGTTGAAGCGTGTCATGTGCTTCTCGCCAATTATGTTCTCAGTGCTGTTGCGGCGGGCCGTGACGTTGCCCGTGTCGAGGGTGCCATTGGGACCCTGTTGGAGTTGGGTTTGGAAGAGCTGGCCGGCTTTCTCTTCGATTGACATTCGTTGGATCAAGTCTTGAACGCGCGCGTCGACGCAGTGGATGAGTTCTTGTAGACTGGAAGAGACTCTGGGTCATCTTGCCGGGCTACCCATTGGTGTACAAGGGTACTGGAGGGGGTTGTTGAGCAGTTTGCTTCAAGGAGGAGGCTGGCGAAGGCCAGTGTTGTCATTTTGAGCTTCATGATGGCTCTGGACTAGAAGAGAAAGCTGCGATGCATGCAATTGGTACCGAGACTAATGATTCTAAAGCGTCCGTAATCAGTAGTTGGAAAGAGCCCGAGGGGTATTTATCACGCCACATGGCTGGACTGTAACGGCAGACGGACATCGTCGTGATGGGATCGACTTGGCAATGGATGTTACCTCGGACAACGAACCGTGAAGATGACGGGGAATAATGCGATGTTTGTTCTTGGCAGGCTATTACACGGCCTTGTATCGGTCAATAAAACTGGTCTGGGTCTTCATGGTGTGGCGGATGAGGGGTTCCAGCTGCGTGATGTGACGATGTCATAGGTACTCGACTGGCGGGAGTGAATTCCGCAGCTTGGTATCCATCCGGGGCACTAGAGTGAGATGAGCCAATGACACAATCTAGTGTAAGATACCCAATCGTCAAGTAGAAGCCGGCGCGCTGGAGTTAGCAATTGTTGCAAGTTGACGATGACAATCCCCAAGGTCATTGTAGTATGATCTATCGAACCTATATGTACCCTGCCTACTTCAGTACCTTTAATCAACTACGGTGATGACACAGTATTCTAATTGACAGTTTGTACTTTTCAGATAGTCAGCTATTCACACACACATTGGATAAGGCAGTTAAGCTTATCGAGACAGACTCAAGCTAGAACACCCAGAAGTTCGTCCCATCGCGCGGCAAGGTGGCAACGTCTAATCCGACCAGGGTCGTCTCGAGATTAGATTCCGGGTTATGTTCGGGTTCCCGATCCAATGGAACAAACGCGGAGACCCCGGGCATCCCGCAGCATCCACATCGACACATTGCAAAGGTGAAAATTGGGAATAGTGGTATGGGTCGGCGTTGATGAATTCCAAGTCCAAGGACTAAGGCCTGGGGTCTGTGTCGGCCCTACCTCTGTCCTGGCGGGGTCAAACAGATCCTCAAAGCTCCAATAGCTGTATTCTGAACCATCAATGAACCTCCAGCCATGGCGCTGGATCCGCAAAGTTGTATGTGAATCGTTGCTTAGTCCCGATGGTGGTGCCGTGACCGAGTTGGATGATGCAGGGATTGCGGGGAGCAGTCGAATTTTTGCTGAACCGGGTCAGTGGTCACCTGTCAATCCTACCTTAACGGATCCACGCTCGCACATGTTTTAGTATTGGCAACATTTACCGTGGATTCACCGCTTGTGGGCGTGCTTATTGCTTCCTGTTCAAGGCTGGTTGTCTTTGATGTCCACATTATTGTGCTTCCGGTGGGGGATCAGGCCCACACGCCGGGCTCGGATGCGCTTCATGCCAAGCGGCCGAGTTGTAGTCATATGTGATGTGGACTGCTTGGTGCTGCTGCATCTAGCAACCAAGGTACTCATGAGAGTCAAGAGCATGCTGGCTACGGGAAAATATTATCCTGTTTTCCGAGCAAAACGCTATGAGTGAATCATACGATGGCCTTACTTTTCTTAAGGATGATGGCGAGCAATTATTCCAGGAAAATAGGGTGTCGATTGAGCAAACCCCCCCAACTGTATGACGGGGAGCCATTTAACATTTAATACCCGAGCTCTTGAAAACAGGGAAATGGAAGCTATGCTGGATAGGGGCAACTCAATTCACATCAATGTGGTTCATGTTGGCTCAGGAAACAAGAGGTACTCTATGATTGTCCCTAGCTATCTTCAATGTTCCGCCGGTGCAGTCTTTGCCGCATCTTCCTTGGCAACAGTGTCCTGATAGGTGTCATACTTGTACTTGAACCCCGGGTGATCAGACCTCAACCCCTTTTGTCCAAGGCCGTAGATCTGCTCTCTGAAAGTGGGGGCAGGCTCGTTCTCCGGAATCGCTTCAGGCAACAGCCCTCTGCTTCGAAGTTCTGGAACGAGGTACTCGACAGCATCTTCAAAGCTTCCCGGAGTAACCACATATCCGATGTTGAAGCCATCAATGTCGGCAATATCCACCCACTCCTGGAAGACATCCGCAACCTGCGCGGCGGTGCCCACCGGCATGGCCCCGTTCCCACCGATTGCAGTGACAGTACCCAGATTTCGGGGCGTCAGCTTTGGCACGTCATCACCTCGGTAGCGCAGATTGTACAGAGATGAATGGATGCGCTGAAGGTGGCTTGCTACATCCTCCTCGGTGAGCTCGTGGTCCAAGTCGAACTGGGAGACATCGATGCCCGTTGTGGCAGAGAACTGGGCAAGACCGCCTTCGATGAGGACGTATTTGAGAGCCTCTTCGTACTTTCTCTTGGCGTCCTCTTCATCTTTGCCGATGATGGGAGTGATCATGGCGAAGACTTTGACGGAGTACGGGTCTCGGCCTGCGGCGATCGCGCCCTCCCGGATAGCCTTGACTCTAGTTGCTACCACATGTGGGGAGAGACCGGCTACGAAAATGCCTTCAGCGTGGGTTGAGCCAAATTTTATGCCCGCGCTTTCGAAGGATGGTCAGCCCCCAAAGTTCTATCATCTTAAAGTTACACGTAGACGAAACTTACGGAGATGTGCCGGCCTGGAACAGCACGGGAGTACGTTGGAGAGAAGGGTCCGTCAGGAAGGGTGCATCGACGTGAAACTTGCCATGGTGATGAATGGCGCGAATCTGAGAGTAGTCGGAATAGATGCCCTTTTCTGCGTCTTCCACCAATGCGGTGTCTGACCAAGAACCCTCCCACAATCTATATAAATGTCGTTATTACATTTAAGTCAAAGAGTCTAGCGGGCTCAAGCCTTACTTGTAAAGAACCCGTAAATACTCGTCGGCATTCGAATAACGGGTGTCGTGTTCGATTAACGGGAGACCAACCTAAAGTTTAGTGTTAGATAGTACAGAACACTAGAGCATCCAGCGAGAAGCTTACGGCCTTGGAAGCTGATTCTTTCCAGCTCGTGACGATATTCCATCCGAATCGTCCCTTCGTCAGGTGGTCGAAGGTGCTGAAACGTTTCGCAACCACGTATGCCTGCTCGTACGAAGTTGATGTCGTTATGGCAAACCCAAGATTCTTGGTGACGGCAGCCATTGCGGAAACGGGCTAAGATGATGTTAGTCATGTGCGGTACATGTTGCATGATGCACGATGATGTTATCGCGACCAGGTCGTACGTACGATGACTGGGTCGGCCATGGGCCACTGAGCGCCGGTCCGAACAGATGGCTCTGCGCTGCCCTTGTATCTAGAAGTAGGTACAATTAGCAATGATTAAGCTGGCCGAAGTTGAGATAATTCTTACGTGTCGTACGGTCCGAAAGTATCGGCCAAAAACAAGCCAACGAACCCTCCTTTGTCGAGGAGCTTTGCCAGGTCTGTCCAATAAGTGAGATCACGGCGTTTGTCTTTGGCTCTGTCCTTCGGGTTGCGCCATTGACCAAAGGACAAATGTCCTACAGTGAACATATCGAAGGCATTAAGCAGAATCTGCTTTTGCGGCTTGACACTTGTGCCGCCGTTTGGGTCGCTTGAAGAAGCCATGGTATTAATCGCTCGCCAAGTGAGGTGACGTTTAGTGATACCACACAACGAATTGCGAGAGCCGGAAGAAGGTCGCTGTTCCTCTTTTTGATTTCCGCCTAGTTTATGTAAGTCAAAACTCACGTACTTGAACCTGGCGGTTTCAGTTGAGTAAATACCTGCTAAGTAGTTTATAACATCCATAAAACCTTTGGCGTCATAATATCTGCATGTTGCGTGCGGAAATCCTACGGATATTTTCCGAGGGATGCAACCTTGATACGCTGATATTAAGGCTTCAGACTCCTTTATCGGACTTGGTAAACATCTCTTCGCCAGTGTAGGTCTTTCCCCGACCAACAAATACTACTGAAGATGTTAGAGAAGAGTTCGGATATTAGCCGGATTGAACTTGGGAATGCAACACCGTGAGCTGGCATAGGATAGTCCGAGAGTCGAACAAATGATGGAAGGGTGGGCCATGGTTTCGCCATCATTTCTCGGCGCGCTTCAGCGAATGACAGGCAGATGCAAAAGCAATTCAACATCACTCCGCATAGGCCCATCACCCTCCAAGCCTTATATCGCCATCCCAATTTGAAGCACATCATAGACATGCCCCTGGATCCCCGTCGATGAGGAAATCCGCATGGTGCTGCACATGGCGAACTTTGCCGGCATCGGGTAATACTCGAGGTTGTTGCCAATCGACTTGGTTCACTTAAAGATGACCCCCTTTCAAAGTTGAAATTCAACTCAAGAAATGCGTCGATTAGAGGTTGAAATATATGATGATGAGTGCGCCAATCCAGCCCGACGAAGTCCAGATCGACCACGATGCAACGGCCGCCAGCCGGAAGCAGCAGGCGAATGCGGCTGTGGCTCGTGCCAATGTCGACAACCTGCGAGATGACCCAGAAGCGCGAGCTGCGTTTCTTTCGACTTTCTCTGCGGAAGAGGAAAGATCCGTCATCAACAAAGTTGACAAGGCCTTTCTGGTTCTTATCGGCGTCATGTTCATGATCAAGCAGGTAAAGCGATGCTAGCTGGAAATTTGACCGATGCCGTGTGGCATACCTTAGCATGCTAACGAGCTTCCAGATCGACCAAACCAATGCTGCAAATGTTCGAGTGTTGCAAGCAGGAGAGTCTCGAAACATCATGAAAGAGCTCGACATGACGTCTGATCAGTACAACTGGGTTGGATCCATCTACGGCGTGAGCGATTGCCTCGCTTGAGAAGCGTCTAAGTCATTATCACAAAAGACTGACAAGCGGTATTAGATCGCCTACATCATCTTTGAGGCGCCCAGTAATCTGCTTTTGAAGCGTATGAGCCCGTATCTCTGGCAGTCTCGTATCTTCCTCACCTGGGGAATCATCACGGCCTGCCAAGCTGCAGCTCAGAATCGGCATCAACTTTATGCCATGCGGTTTCTGCTTGGGTAAGTTCCGGAGTCTCGGCATGCGACTTAGTCTGGAAACATACTGAACTTTTCCTCAGAATGTTCGAAGCTGGTATGTTTCCGGGTATCATGGCTCAATTGTCGAGTTGGTACCGTACGGACGAAATTGGCAAGCCGGTGAGTTGGTTCTTCGCAATGTCCAATCTGGCCGGTATCATTGGATCTCTGCTTTGTTACGGCATCAGCTATATGAATGGGATTAGTGGTATTAGTGCTTGGAGATGGGTATATCTTCTCGAAGGACTGGCAACCATCCTCTTCTCTGGCATCGTATTTTGGCTGCTGCCAGACTATCCAAAGTCACCACGCAGCAGTCGATTCCTGACAGAAAGGGAACAAGAGTTTGTGGAGGCTAGGTTGCCAGAGAATGCGCCGCTAACAAACGACCCTGATTTTGCCGGCAAAGAGATTTGGGCAGTGTTGCAGACACCACTGATTTGGTCATTCATGTTATCGCAAACGCTCATCAATATTGGAGGGTATGCGCTAACCTGGTATTTGCCCACGATTATTACCAATCTTGGATTTGTGGGATTGCCGAGGAATCAACTGTTGAATATGCCTCCTGCGTTTGCAGCCATCGTAGGCCCGATATTTTCGGCTTGGTTCATGTCGAGAGCGCATATCGTCCGACCAGCCTACATCATGTGAGTTTTGCTGGGAAGTTAAGGTATGGGTTGTTGGTCACTAACGAAAAGTTCAGGATCCTCATATCTGGCATGGTTGTGTGCTTCGTGCTCTTCTTCACGATCACCAACCGGTATGGCATTTACATCGCCTGCATATTAGGAACCTTGTTCTATCAATCATACTTCATTCCATTCTGGGCCTGGAGATCAGCGACTCTCTCTGGGTCAACAGGCACAGCATTCACGCTGGGTCTCCAATCAGGCATTGCTCAGCTAGGCGGCGTCATCGGGCCGCAGCTGTTCCAGTCCAAGTTCGCATACAACGGCTACAAGACTAGTTTCGCGATAACAGCGGCGACTACCATTGCCTCCTTTGTTGCTAACCTCTGGACGTGGTGGTTGACCAGGAACACGGAATACGATGTGATGAGGGTGAGGAGGAAGATTTTGAAGGCGCGAAACCTTGGCAAGGTGAATTTCGATGATGATATTCGAGTGTTTGAGGAGAGACGGTTTTATGACGGATTCAAGCGCCAAGGGGGTGAGTCTGGCGAGGAAAGCTCACAAGCTTGAAGATTTGGCTTGTCTGAAGGGGACTGCTAGCGAATCAAAGATGGGGAGTGACAAAGAGCGCGATAAGAGCTCAGCTTCATTGCTGACTACATCGATCATCTCGAAACATTCAAGAGCAAGACTATCTCAAGATCTCTGGAAGTCTGACAAAGATGTAATTATCGCGATTGGAATATGAAGTTTTCTCAAGATGATATGCACGAACTTTTCAGGACTGAGTTGTAGTTGTATAGAAATGAGATTGAGTTTGACACAATGACCATGACGGCATCCTCACAGGTGGATCAAGGGAGAACCCGTCGAGAATGTGTGGGGGCCACGCCGTAGCGTAAATTCTCTCAACTTCACTGATCCTAAAATAGCTCACTTGTTCTGACTCAACACTTTCTGGACACCCTCACTCACCAGATTCCATCAATAGTCATGTCAGCATCACCAGCTCTCGCACAGCTCTTGGAGAAGGTTATCCCTCAAGGGAAACGCTCCTCTTTGCGAAGCGATGTAATCCCAGCAATCCTCGACGCCATTTCCGGTATCGCCAAGACGTTGCATGCATCCCAGCACGTTTCGCTCGCCGGGACAGCAAATGCCTTTGGCGACGATCAGCTTAACGTCGACGTTCTGTCCGAGAATGTGATGCGCGAAGCTATTGCCAAGTGCCCGTCGATCCAGACCGCAAGCAGCGAGGAGGACCCCATCGAGAAGCCGGCGAGGCCGCAAGGGAGCGACGCAAACGCGACCCCTGCAACCTCTGAGGAATACACCGTCGCCTTTGACCCCCTCGACGGCAGCTCCATCATCGCGCCGAACTGGACGGTCGGAACGATTGTCGGCATCTGGGATGGGCGGACCGCAGTGGGCCACTCACCGATTGAGAAGCAGATTGCGGCCATCATCGGTGTCATCGGACCCCGGGCCACCGCAATCGTGGCGGTGCGGATCCCCGGCGCCGACTCCGCTTGCTTTGAGATTGGGTACGGCCCGAACGGTGTCACGGACTGCGAGATCATCCGGCCAGTCGTCAAGTTGGCCGACGGACCCTTCAAGACGCGGTACTTTGCGCCCGCGAACCTACGGCACGCGGCGGATGATGAGAGGTACAGCGCTCTCATCACGCGCTTTATCAAGGAGAAGTACACGCTGCGGTACTGCGGCGGGCTTGTTCCTGACATCGTGCATGCTCTTGTCAAGGGTCATGGCGTCTATGTTATGCCTGTTACGCCGGGTGTGCTTCCAAAGCTCAGGTTTCTTTACGAGCTGTACCCAATTGCTCTGATTCTGGAGTGTGCTGGTGGTCAAGCCATTGACCCCACGGACGGCAAGCCGCTTCTTGAAAAGATTCAACAGGATTGTGATGGTAGAGCAGGTCTCATCTGTGGCACGACGGAGGAGGTCAAGATTGTAAAGCAGATTCTTCTCGGATGAGACGTAATCGCAATCGTCTTTTAGACCCTGCGGGATGAAAGACCAACTTCACATGCAATTGCTCCTAAGAGGTATTGTTGTATGTGTTCAACCTATTAGGCAGTTTCGAATTGGATGGACTACCTAAATACGAGTTCCGTCAGGCTTGTAAAATACACGGTTATCGCTCTTCTTACCCTACGAAGACCGTCTACCATGCCAGACCTTCGGGCATAGCTTTGTCGTTGACACTCGACTTCGAACATACGCCCCGGCAGAACGCCTCATCCTCTTCAGCGGAGGACCTCGTTGCCTGCACAGGACTCCTCCGAGCTGGCCACCATTCTGAACCACGCTTCCTCTCCTCGGCCACATGATCATGCAGAAGCCCCTTGACCTTTCCAATAACGTAAACAACCGCTTCCTCTACGTCAGGGTGAAATGGTCCAGTCGTGTATGTATCGCTATTGAGATTGGACTGCGAGCCGTTGGCCAGCCACTTGTCTTCAGACTCAACTTGACTGAAGAAGTCCAACTTTTCTTTCAACTCCTCGGGCGTTGCTGTCTTTGACCTGTAGACTTCGTACCGCATCAAGCTTGTGGTGGCAGATGTTGGTACGATTGACATCATGTAGAAAAATACAGGCCTATAGAAAGGCATTAGCTTAGTCTATTGAAGTGATGATCGCGACTCATGTGAGGGTGACCGATGCGTTGGGAAACATGTATGTAGGACTGACAGAGCTGGCATGCTGTTATCCTTTTGCACCGAGATGTTCAACCCAGTACTTATTGAGACCATAGTTCATCTGCTTGTTGCCCTTGAAGAACGGTGCGAGGCCAGGGTGCGCTGTTGGGCAATGGTAACACTGCAACAGGCCCAGAAAGTCAGTGGGCCGAGGCCGATCAAGTCTACAATTCCAAGTCGTGCGCACGAACCTCATTGTAATTCTCAATCAGTGTTTTCCAGTTGAACTTCCCTTCCATAGACCAGGTGTGGTCGTACTCGTAGTTGCTCATGTCAAAGTTCTGTAACCGGGGCTGCTTATCGACCCCGCCGAACTGTTCTTCCCAGCTCAGCGTCGGCTTTTCAGCTGCATCCAAATTGACCCAGAAGAGTCCTAGGCTATCGATATGGCTATGAACTTTGTAGAGCTCATACTCGCTCTTGTCAAAGTCTTCCACCTGGTCGAATCGAGGTGCCTTGGCCAAGTTGCCGTTCATGCTGTAAGACCAACCTGCCATAGTGTGAGTATAGGAACTTTGAGTGAGAGACCGTGTTTGAGCTTATACCATGGTACTTGCAAGACAGTACGAATGCCTTTCCCTCATTCTCGTGAACAATCGGAAATGCTCTGTGGCGGCAGACGTTGAGGGATGCATTGATGTTCCCGGCACGGTCTTTGATAATGAAAAAGGGATAGCCGGCCATCTTATAACGAGCATATTTGCCTGGCTCGCTGAATTGGTGGACAATTTTTTTTGTTGTTGTATTTTACGCCGTGGCGGCAAGGGCGCTGCCGCCCTTGCGGCCGACCTCCCGAGGGGTATATGGCGTGGAGGGCCGTAGGCTCGAGCTATATACTCTATAGTACACGCCTCTTCCTAACGTCCTCTAAATCTTGCCCGTGGGCTACTGTCTGTTCTATCCATCCCTAGTTCCCGCTGGTTCCCTAGCTCCGTTATTACCGTCTATCCCTCTAGGAGGAGAAATTCGTTAGTCGGGCCTAGGTCAAGACCTAGTCCTTAGTACCGCGGGTAGATCTTCTAAAAGAAGTCTATTATGCGGAGAAAGGCCTGGAAGCCAATAGGATTAATAATTAACCCCTTATAGTACTACTTAAGAGATCCTATAGGTCCTATAGGATCGAGTAGGTTAGAAGGGTAGAGGGTAGGCTACTAATACCTCCTCACTAGGGTCTTTTAATAATAAACTAGATAGTCTACCGCCTTTACCTCCCCGCAGGAGCAGGTAAGTAGTACTTCTATATAGTTGTTACGAGCAGGACAAGACAACCAACTGTGGCACAAAGCAAAAGCTTCGATAATGATGACTCCGCATCATTTTCCCTTGTTCTGCATTATATAGCTACGCGCCCACAGTGACAAGTTGCGGCGGGCGTAACACTAGGTATATATTAATCTATATCTTATCGGTGTAGCCTATCCAAGGTTCCCAGACTAGCACTACGTTGCCGGGATTTACTTCCCCACGTTGCACTACATTCCCCGTAGCATCTGTAGGGTAGCCGGTCTAAGCCTACTACTCTAAGTCGAGGTCGAGGTAGGTATAGGCATTAATAACATTATAATCAGGCTTCTGAGCCACCCGCTGGACCCTGCTGCCTGAGCTAGCCGGGTTAGGCTGGGTGGGTAGGGGGGGTAAGGCAGGGTCGTCGTTAGAGACTTCTGCTTCAGCCTCATTCTCGTCCTCGTCCATACTGCTACAGCTAGTAGCATTACTAGCGTCCGCTATAATAATCGAGTCCTGGGTGAGAGTAGGGGCGCGTAGGCGCTTTGAGCCGGGCTGATAGCGTATTAGGCTGCCGTTAGGTTGCTGGGTGCTATTGGCTTGGGTGCCAGCCTAGCTGTTCTAATAGAGGGCCTCGTAGGCCTTCAGTCCAGCCTTACGGAGCTGGGAGAGTTCCTTCCAGCCTGGGAGGGTAGGGGAGCCATTAACCACTAGGGGCCTTGCTTGACAGTCCTTGTGGTTAGCTTCGAAGGGGCCGGAGTAGTTGGCGCACTTCGGTCTAGCTGTGCAGGGCCCAGTCTCGTGGGATCCCGAGGGCCTGCTACAGTTGCTACAGAGTGGCTGTCGGTTATAGTATCGGTTCGAATGATATCCCTGGCATCCAGGGTCACATCTGATTAGGGTCTTTTTCTTTTAGATAAGCTAAGACCTGCTGCTTTAGTCAAATAATCTGAAGGGTGGTATTTCCATAGAGAAGGAGATGACCCAGGAGACTTTATTTATAATAAGGTTTATACCTAGCCGGGACTACTAGGCCCGGGTAGGCTTACGTCCTGTTTAGGTAAGGACCTTATCTTCTACTAGAATAGCTAGGTCAAGGGCGTCGCTATTAAGAGTCACATCTTAACAAGGCAACGTAGGACGACGTAAGTAAACTACTTAATAAGGGTCTTAACTTTATAAGCTCCAAGATACTCTACTAGTTTCTATTTATTTACAAAGAGGGCTTACTAGACCTGCTTATTTAGGGGTCTTAATAAATAGCTAGTTATAACATAGTAGATATATAGGATATCTATTAGCTGGAGCCTAAGGGCCTAGTAGACTATCTGGCGTAGGGTAAAGGGGGTATGCTTCTTAGTAGCCGCTATACCCTCTCCTAGGATACGGGTAAAGACCCGTAGGTCCTCCTTTGTTTAGGATAGAGCCTAGGCCCGGGTCTCCGTTAGACTTTATATCTGGACTTTGGGCCGGGATAGGATTCGGGTACGGGTCGGGGCTACGGCCACGGCTACGGCTATAGTTAAAGCTAAGGCTGCTACGTTAGTCTATTTCCGGCTTAGAATCGGAGCCGTAATCTCGTTACTTATAATCCTCTTCAAGGCTTAGATTATATAGGTTATAGCTTTTTTTACGATCTACTTCCTAGGCCCCTCAAAGCAAGAGATTACGTTATCTATAGACTAAATAATAGCTATAAAGACGTCCTTTCGGGCTTCATAGTACTTAGCCTCTTTATTAAGAGCTATAAGGACAGCTCCAGTAGCTGTCCCAGTCATAATCGAGGGCCCCTTAGCCGTTAAGAGGGTTATCGTAAGGGCGTCAGGCTGGCTTCCCACGAGGCTAGGCCAGGGTGGCTAGGCCTCGGTACCGCGGCGGCGTTTAGCCCTTGAGGTTGGAGACGACTTCGGAGGGGGTCCAGAGCCTCGGTCAGGACCGGCCGAGGAGGCTGGCAACAGTCCAGAGCCCGCCGGAGGCTATAAGGCCATCGCGGGAGGGCGCCGGAGGAGAGAGGTGAAGGGTTTTCAGCTATTAAGGATATTAGTGGTGGCCCACCTATTGCACTAACAGTAGATGCCAAGAAAAATTAGGCGAGGGGGAAGTTGGAATTGGTGGACATGAGAGACTAAGATCCATGATTTACTAAAGATAGCGCGTCTCTCCAGTTGATAGAAACCCGGCTCACGATACCACGATGCTGGAAGAGTGCTCTGCATGTTGAACTTCTTTGTTGATATTGTCAATGGCTTCAATTCGATTTGCCAATAAATGCTTGATGTGAGGCAGAATTTTGGCTGTGATTAAACTCAACCTTGTCAGACAAGGCACTTCCATGAACAGTATCTCGGGGGCCGAGAGGTCCATTGCAACTCCATAAGTCACAAGTCCAGAGTTCTAGACTTCTGATTTCAGCTGTGTTCGGCCGATGCCCCGCTAATACTCATTGAAAATAGTAAGCAAGACGTAAGCAAGATGTGATTGGTGTTCATCGAGTATGGGATGTTTTAGACAGACTAGTAGTGAGATGCCATCCTCCGCTCGGACTGACGGCCGAAGCAGCCGGGACCACAAGCAAGCAGACATGCGGGGTCGGCACGAGGTTGTCCGCGGACACCGTACGTCATTTAGAGCCTCGGCTCGATAACGGAAGTTCGCAATGATTGACCCCGCCTTTGAGATGCCTTGGCTGTTATGTTTAGTCTCGGGAGCATTGTGGTCCATATCGAACTCGTTATCTCTCATGAGTAGCTGTGATAGCCGATAGAATATCTCATCACACACATTTTGAAGCATCCACCAATTGGCCTGCACCAACTAGTATCATTCGACATAATGCAGGCATACGTGCTTCTGGTGATACTCGCACTCCTTGTAGGAGCCCAGCTCCTGGCCAAGATCTATCGCGGCTTCGCGGGCCCACTCGCATCCGTCCCTGGCCCTTTCCTTGCGCGATTCACAGACCTATGGTATGCATGGAGGATTCACCAGGGCCGCTTTGAGGTTGATAACATTGAGCTTCATCAGAAATATGGCAAGTAATCTCCTGGAGATGTTGTGTTGGAGAGAAGTGCAGTCTTGGGCCGAAAATTCCGTCATTTTCAACAGGTCCCGGTTAGATTATGTTACCTACCTAGACGTAGCTAACTCATCAAAGGCCCCATCGTTCGATATGGTCCGAATAGATTCAGTATCAATGATCCACATGCAGCGAAGGTGATCTATGGTCACGGCCACGCATTTGCAAAGTCCACGTGGTATGACGCGTGGGGTGATCCGAACCCTCACCAATGGTCTTTGTTCTCGGATCGAGATGAGAAGCGCCATAGTGAGAACCGCCGTCTCTATCAGAGCATGTACAGCATGTCATCCTTGGTGAACTACGAAAGCTACGTCGACGAGTGCGCGGATCTATTTTCCAGGAGGCTCTCGGAGATGAGTGGTAGAGGAAAGGCGGCGCAGCCCGTTGACATGGGACACTGGTTCCAGTGTTACGCATTTGATGTAGTGGGTATGATCACATACTCGAAAAGACTTGGTTTCTTAGACCAAGGACTCGATGTCGGAGCGGTGATCAAAAATCTTGAGAATCATCTTTACTATGCAACAATGGTTGGAGTATACTCATACCTTCACTCATACTTAGCCCTTATCAGGGGTCGGCTAGGTAAACGGGGCACAGGCAGGCAGTTCATCGTTGAGTTCACCAGGGGCTGCTTGGCAGACCACCAGACAAAACCCAAAGCAGTTGACGCTGAGGATACTTCACACCTCTCGGAACAGTCTGGGACAATGGATTTCCTCTCTAAGTTCCTCGGAAAGCACTCTGAGGATTCATCAACATTCTCTCAGTATCATGTTCTGGCAGGCTGTGTGTCAAACATGGTTGCAGGCTCGGACACCACTGCCATCAGTCTCAGCGCCATCTTGTATCAGCTTCTCCGGAATCCCAAAGAGATGAGCAAATTGCAAAAAGAGATTGATGAGTTTTATTCCCGGAGAACTGGCGATCCTCGGCGGCTCAACTTCCAGGAGAGTCGCAAGCTACCATACCTTCAGGCAGTCATCAAAGAAGCATTGAGATTGCACCCTGCGACTGGTCTTCCTCTTGAGAGAGTTGTTCCTGAGGGAGGGGCAACTATTACCGGGAGATTCTTTCCGGCAGGGGTACGTTGAGGCTCCTCTGACATTGAATCATCGTGGGCTTTTGTTGACCATTGTCAGACCATCCTGGGGATCAACACCTGGGTCGAGCACCACCACACAACCATCTTTGGTGAAGATGCAGCCGCTTTCAAACCAGATCGCTGGCTAACTACGGACACCGATCGTTTGTCGGCCATGAATAGACATTGGATGCCGGTAAGCCCCGTGCAAAAAAAGACGTAGAAATGACGTGTTCTGGTGTCGTTACTGACGAGCTAATAGTTCGGCCTGGGATCACGAACTTGCATCGGAAGACACATATCAATCCTGGAAATATCAAAACTGATGCCTAGATTACTGCACGAGTTCAATTTTGAACTTTGTAGGGACGCTCCCTGGGTGACAAGGAACTGCTGGTTCGTCAAGCCAGTGGGCTTCCAGGTTCGAGTCAATGCACGGCGATCGCAGGGTGTTGTAGTTGGGGCTTTCTAGGCTTCTCGCGGATTGGATGCCCGCTTTAGAGCGCCTGCTGCTCGATGTTCTTGACATAGGTAATTACGCCCCAAATCGGAGTGAACGAGTGTGTTCTTGTCTAGTAAACCAAAGTACAAGAATCGAAGTCCCAAAATCTCAAACCCTCGTGGATATCTTCAAAGCATTGATGTGCCAAACGAATGCAACCCTTTCGAACCCCGAGGCTATGCTGTGATTTTCAACGCCGTCGTGCTTCACCCAAGAAAAAGAAAAAAAGAAAAAAAAGAAAAAAGAATTAAATTAAATTTTTGAGTAGCAAATGCTACATGTTCATTTTCGCTCTGTCGCTGGTTCTCTCCATCCTACATGCGACTTGTACGGAGTCTTTGGATCTCATCCTTCTTCTTATCAGCGCTTGTCTCTTATTCTTGTGTGTAAGGTGCACGTACTGGTGAGAGGTCACGCGGAGCACGGATTACATAGGAGTTTTTTCTTGACTCGAACTCGAATTGTTGGTGATTGAATTCTTCTTTTAGATACCGGGAAAGCCTGTCCGGTGCGATGGAAGAACCGGATATCCTCTGGCATCCTTGCTGCTTATTCCGACGTACATTGAAGCTGCTATCCATTTTGTGATGGTGTTTCCCTTTTATTTTTTCAAAAAAACGCAGCCAGCTGAGTGTGAGAGAGAAAGTGATGGGGGACGAGGACGATTGCCCGGGAAGTGCCTACACTCAAGAGCCGAAGAGAAGCCTGCAACATCTGCAGCATGCAAGCTTGGACAGGGCGTGATTGGTTCATCCAAAGGAAGATCAGTCGCCAGCGTGCCGCAAAGATGCATCACATCTGCATCTTGCCCAATCGAAGGCGTTCGTTGCTCGGAGTGCAGGTTTAAGCTGCATTCTTGAGCCCTTCTATCGAATGAATAGAGACCAAAAGACACACCACATTTGCCCTCACACCACCAAAGCGGAAATACCGCACCCATGGCAAGGCAGACTGTCACGGTTTAGGGCTTCCCTTGAAGTTTGCACCGATTACCGACTAATAGAAGACACTGTCATCCTCGGTTCCCTTCTCCACCCTTTCGTGAACTATCAATCGCTCAATCATGCCCCTAGCAGACCGACACCACATCATGCAGTATGCAGTAAGCGGTAGAAATCGATGGCATGCCAATAATCAAGACCTATTGCAGATGACAAGGGTTCCATTGCCCTTTCGATCATGTCCTTAGCCCCCTCTGTTACAGACTTTCCCGTTCATTTGCTGGAACGGAATCTCAGCTGCAGGTAAGCGCGGTCAGTCCACGTCAGTCCACAGCCTGCCGCTGCCCCGGTCAAGTCCCGTCCATTCTCCGTCGCAATCGCCGCTTACACCACTGGAAGGCCACAGATCCTATGGTCGACCATTCCCCTCAGAGGCAACAGATCGTGAGGCTGCGCGGCGTGGGTAGTAAATCCTGTCGTTAAATCTCCCCTTCCCTCCAGTAAAATGAGGCATTGTTTCCTCCCTTGCTTTGATCCCGCGACTCTGCTTCTGCAGGCTGTCTGATGATACAAATCGTGCACATTTGATCTCTCAGTGAGCAACGCCATTGAAGCTCACTAACGCACAATGGCGCCAGAGCTACCTAGCCCCAACCGTCGCCACCTTCGTAATACGTTGAGCGAAGATCTGGCCAATCTGCATCTCGGTAATATTCCAAAAGTCGTTGTTGTTGGTGCACATCTTGAACCTGACTTGACAATACGAGCTAGCCTGACATGAATTCCAGGGCGACGAATCCAATCCTGCACTCGACGCTATTCATGGTAATCGGGGGCTCGATAGCGTTCCCAAAGAACGTCCAACTGCACCGAGCGAACAAACGAGTGTAGGAAACGGGAACCCACCAATCGGCTCGACAGACCAAGCCCAGATTATCAGCAGCCCATACACTGGGGTACCCCTGGATGAGCTTCTCCGAAGTCATTTTCAGCCACATCCTCACCCTGAAGTGACAGAAGGTTATCTCCCGGCTGGATACTTGAACGAATTGGTCCGTTTCGATGTCGTAAAGCAAGAACTTGAAGAAGCTTTCGGCGACGACAGTGATATAGACTGGATCGCACACAAGGTATGCGACAGCTCCTCACAGAGCAGGTCCTATGGACAGGTGTTTGCGATCCTTTGTCTGATCGAGAGAGTAAGCTCTGTCGAGAAGTTTTTAGACCCTACCACGGGAGTCTGTGATTCAGACTTGCCTCTTCAAAAAGCCGAGTTGGGACAAAAAGCAAGGTTGACCTACGGAAACGGGCAGATCTAGACAAGCCCATGGGGTGTTTCCGAGGGTGGAAGCATAACTCACTGAAGTCGTTCGATGACTTGCAATGGACACTAAGGGTTCCCTTTCTCAAAGGCATTCGCGGTAGCGAGGCTCAGTATCGCAAGTTCGATGATCGAGTCATCCTTCCTCTGACGTACGAATCCGACCCCAATGGGGATGGAGCAAGTGGAGGGTTCAGTGAAGTCTTCAAGGTTATGTTACATCTCCGACATCACAACTTTAGTCCAAACGGCGCAGACGTAAGTATACGAGCTGATTTCAACGCGTGGCGCTGTTTTTAGACTAGGCAACAGTTGCTAACGCGAGACTGAAAGTGCTACTTTGCTCTCAAGAGGCTGCGATCAACGGATACAATTGCCTTCCAGCGAGAACTCCAGATGTTGCGGAAGTTTGAGAGCGAAAATGCGCACGAGCATCTGATTTCGCTGCTCACAACCTGGGGCCAGAAAGGATTCTTTTACTTCCTCTTTCTGTGGGCTGAGTGCGATTGAGTCAGGTACTGGAAGATCCACAAGAAGCCAGAAATGAACATAGATCTCGTGCGGTGGGTTGCAAGGCAGACAGCAGGCATGGCCGCCGGTCTTGCAAGAATCCACGAGTACCCAGGAAAGGTCGATGGCAACATGGAAAACGCTGTAAAGTACGGACGCCATGGAGATATCAAGCCGGAGAATATTCTGTGGTTTCGAAGCTCAGAAGAGGATCTAGGAAGGCTCGTGATATCGGACTTCGGACTTGGCGTTTTCAACAGCAAGAGAAGCCGGTCTAACATTCCCAACGACTCTGGCATAGGTCGAACACCTACGTACCGCCCACCAGAGTGCGATATCGAGGGTGCTATGATCTCCCGATCATGGGACATATGGACTCTTGGATGTGTTTACGTCGAGTTTGTTACATGGCTGCTGGGAGGGTGGGAACTTTCCGAACATTTTGCTGAATGGCGAATGACGACATCTTCGATCTGCGGCCAGGACTTCAAGTCCGATATCTACTTTGACATTGTAGAAGTTCGTGTCCCAAAAGACGATGACACCTCATCAAGGAGTATGGGTGCTATGGTGAAACCAGCGGTGACTCGGGTGAGTACATGTATCGTCTGGCATATTCAAAGGAGAAGTTGACTAACAACGGCAGTGGTTTGACGGGCTTCACAATGATCGAGGCTGTTCTCAGTATACCCATGATATTTTGAGATTGGTTCAAGACAAGATGTTGATTGTCGAATCCGCAGTGAGGAAAAGAGCGACATGCAAGGAAGTATATGAGGAATTGCGACGCATTCAGAGACGATGTGTGGAGAGCAAAGGCTATTGCGTAAAGCCCGTTCCGTTCCCTCTACCAGCGGCTAGTGGAGAGACTCCTGCCGTCAAGATTAGACTCAACGACAATGCGCTGGATACGATCAAGAGAAATCATCCAAGGTTGCGCACTCATCAGGGCCGCACAGAGGAACCGCCAAAAGCTAGAGGTGGATATGGTGATAAACTTCTAGCTCCCACAAAAGTAGCATTGTATTGAGAGACTACTGGTACTTTGGACCTAGAAATACCTGTCATAATCTGCGACGCAAATATCACACGATTAAGATTATCTCTCATAATTATCTACTCATCACCGACCTCAATATTTGATCCCACGGGTATGCTAGGTGCGCGTCTCGTGAAAGTCTCCCTGGTCCCTCACCCCTTCATTGTCTGACGTGACACCTGCCTATTGTTGGTATAGTTGTAAGGAGCTGGCCCCTAGGCTTGTTCAACGTAGAGGTGCCGTCGATTGACTATTCTAAGCTGAAGAGGAAAAAAGGAGGAATTACAAGGATACGCGTATAGCTATATATAACGTACCCGGACTAGGCGGTGTAATGCGGCAGAATTGTGGCTCCGGTAAAGCCGGACATCTCGACCAGCTCCGGTCTATAGCATAACCGAATATAATAATCTAATATAATAATAAATAAGTGTTACGGCCAGCTAGTCGTAGTGAGGTATGTTTGCAGAAGTTGAGGCTGCGGAACTGGTAACAGTATTCGTAGTCGGGGATAGCTTCAGGGAAGCTATGTCTGTAAGTCGTAAGGTAAGGGAAGGCTTCGATGATCAATCGTAGTCTTATCAAAGAGGTTCTCAAGAAAGATAGCTGAAAGCGATTATAAGATCTGATACGAAGTTAATTGCTGAAGAGCTATGGAAAGTCTGTCCTAGAGTCCAGCTCAAGTCCATCCTTATATATAAGTCCCGTATACCATTGAACAGTTCCTTTGTGGTTGGGACCGATATCGTGCTGTCGGTCCTACAGGGGTGGACCGCCTTTATCCTGTCGGTCCATATCATGGACCGCTTATCGCTTGTCGGTCCTTTCTTATCATTACGTGACTTGCCTATAGTTCTTCCGTTCCGTTGGGGTGACTCCTGTGTCTGCATATATGGCGTGTCGTAGCCGCCGTAAGCCTGCGGGGCAGGCCCTGGTCTTGGTCATGCATGTTGGGTCGTAACAGCCGGTAGACGCCGCCCCGGACGGATATGCTCGATCTTTACCTCTGTTAGCCTCCGGAGGCTACGCTCGACCCCGTATAATGGTAGATGGACTATACGGAGATCTACCCGGCGCTCTCTCGGCTTACTATCGACGTCTTTGCCGTACCGGCGATAATAGCGGACTATAAGAGAGCGTTCAGCACTACTAAATTAACCTTTATATTATAAAGGCTCTCGATAATACCATCTATTATAAAGATCCTCTAACTAATAAAAAACTAGCTAAAGAGGGGGGTAGTAATACTTTAAAATAACTTCGGGCTATTAAGATCATCGTGAGCCTTATATATGATATAGTCTTAGTTATATGGTAATTGAATTATTATACTTGCAAGTAAGCCAATTAATCAAACTCCCGTGAAAAAAAGTCATCAACAGCAAGTTTGGGGGTTAAATTTGCTTTGATTGCACTTGCGGTAGCGCTGCTGAGTCATGTCAGCAAGTTGACTCTATCATTCTATAATAGAAGAGACTCGACATGGAAGTAGACCCACTGACCTGAGGGAATGTAATCAAAGACTGATTGGTCTGCATGACAGCCTTTGAGTTGGGTCTGCCAGAGGTGATGATGAGTGTCAATAAAGCCTGGGCTGATGATATTGCCGCTGCAGTCAACGAGCTCAGCTCCTGCTGGGGGTGCAATTCCTTTCCCAATCTTGGCGATTCGATTGCCTTGCACAAGGACATCGGTGTCCTTGAGAGGCGTCACATCATCTCGCTCGTTGTGAAACAATAGGGTGCCGCCTTTCCATTCCCTGGCTGGAGCATTAAGAAACCTTATCTGTTTCTCTGATCTGGTATAATGTATCTGTGTCAACTCCTATCTCGTATCCAAATTACTGCGTTATCTCTCTCCTGAGCCTGGCAGCTACCCCACGCACCATCATTATCTCCGATATCTAATTACGTACTTCACTTGCAATGCCATCAGACGAACAGCTCAGTCTGGCCATCGTAGGCGGCGGTATCGGTGGTCTCTGCCTGGCTCTATACATCACAACTCATACAGAGATCCCAGTCACTGTGTATGAGAACGCTCCGAAGTTCGGTGAGATAGGAGCCGATGTCGCCTTTGGACCAAATGCAGTTCGAGCAATTGCAAAGATATCGGAGCCACTGGCGGCTGCAGTCGAAGCTCGGGCCAACAGAAACATGTTTGCAGAAAAGAAAGACGTCTGGTTCGATTTCAGAGTCGGGATGGACGGCGCCCACGAAACCGCTAGAGTCCGTGGTGTGGTTGCCGGGACGTATCTATGCTCTGTGGAACATCCGCAACCAGGAAGTTGGATGGTGAATCGCTCACATCTCGTTGACGAGATAGTCAAGCTCCTTCCTGATGGAATAGCACGATTCAGCAAGACTTCCCACGACATAGACGACCTTGATGACGATGGTGATTCCGGCAACTAAAGAACAGATGTTGCAGAGCTTCAGCATGTGGGGTCCGGATGTACTCAACATTGTTCGACTAATGGGTCAGTCAGATATCTGGGCGCTCTTCGATCTGTCGCCCATGGACAACTACAACAAAGGCAGAATCTGTCTACTCAGAGATGCTGCACACGCCTCGACTCCCTTTCAAGGTGCCGGTGCTGGTATGGCAGTTGAGGATGCATATGTGCTCGGAAGACTCCTCCATCACGTCGAACGAGCACAAGATTTCCCTGCCGTTTTCAAAGCTTTTAGTAAAGCTCGAGCTGAGCGCACGCAAAAGCTTGTCGCCACGAGTCGGGAAGCTGGTCATTTATGGCACTTCGAAGCTGAAGGAGACGATTTAACAAAGATCAAGGAGATCATGCAAAATAGAATGAGTTGGGTTTGGGACAAAGATCTTGATGAAGACATTGCGCAAGTTGCTAAAGATCTTCAGAGGGCAGTTAGCTAGCTTATTTACGACAGTAATATGTCATATTCTCTATTTCAGATCAGGATGTGAATCTTATGGAAATTTTGCTCGTTCAGTAACAGTCACCACCACTACATGCAGTTGCGACAAGTATGCCATCTTGCAGATTTCAAAGCAATGCCGATAGTTGTAGGTTCTCAAGCACATTTTCACACTTGGCGTCCAAATAATTTCTATTCAAGTTGGACTTCCCTCTGTGAGCGATTCCTGCCATTATCGCTGTGCTTGGGGGTCGTCGTACCATGTCTTTCACTAACATGATGTTTTACAAGTTTTTCACGTGTGATAACCGACATCATGTCAATGTGCAAACATCATGATAGATATCCCTTCAGGGATTACTTCAGGGGCTACAGGTCTTGTCTCAGGGGAGCCATACATTCCAAGGCTTCGTTCCAGCGCCTGCTCCAGGCGCTCCTACAACGGATCCCTTTTTCTAGGCTACCTTGCAGCACAAGATCAGTGCAGACTGTCTCCAAACCAAATCACCAAACCCATCGCATGTAAGTCGCAGCGCATCAGTTGTCCAATTCCCGCGCTTGGCACAGCAGGACTAATGCTCATACTCTCTTCAATGTCGTGTATGATATCGTCAATGTGCTCGATGCCAACTGACACCCTGACCATTTCCGGCGCAACACCAAGATCGATCTTCTCCTGTGGTAGCATTGGCCTGTGTGTTGTCGACCAGGGATGCATAGCAGTCGTTTTGGCGTCGCCATATCTAAAAGAAATTAGCAACTAACACACGGGTATCTGGCAGTTGTATGGCGTGACACTCTCACCCTGGGTTGTTCGAGATCATTTTGAAGTTGTCAACCAGCTGCTCGCCAGCATCCGCTCCGCCTTTGATACCAAACATGAGCACTGCGCCAGCCCCACGGGGTAGGTGCTTCTGCGCAAGCTTGTAGTGAGGGTGACTGGGAAGACCGGGATATGATACCCATACCACATTCTCGTTTTTCTCAAGCCAGTTTGCCAGAGCAATGGTGTTTTGGGCGTGCCGCTCGCAGCGCAAGCTCAGAGTCTCAATACCGAGTACAAACTGCTGACTGTTGAAAGGAGAAAGACAGTCTCTTCCACCACACGGCACGTTACGCCGAACTCCGGTAGGAGGAAAGAGAACTGATTGTAGGCGCCGTGGTAGTAATGCTTCGTTGCGACGATGTTCTCGCCATGCCCAGCCAAAGCAACCATAGTCATGAAGACAGCTGCTTGGCCTGACGATACAGCAACGGCCGCAACGCCGCCCTCCAGTGCTGCGACACGACGTTCCACCACGGCTGTAGTTGGGTTACCCGTGCGAGTCGCAATCTCACCCTCCTCCTCGAGATTGAAGAGTCGCGCAGCATGGGCTGAGCTATGGAAGTTGAAGACGTAGGTTGAGTAAATCGGTACTCCACGTGCCAGCGTTGCAGAGTCCGGAGTTTGCCCTGCGTGGACTTGCAGAGTCTCAAATTTTGGGATGTGTTTCGAACGCTTCTGAACGGTATGATTCACTAGGACATCTCTTCCTCGATTTTGGGTGTTGGGCTCCATTTTCAAACCAGGTGGAAGTTATTTCTCGATTTGAGATTGAATGGAGTGAACACGAACGGGGAGGTGATGCGAATGAGTATGCGACAGACTGCTTCGCCAAAAGTTGCTTTCAGAATATTGACTCGAGCTCAAGAACAATCTTTCATAGGTCCTAGTCTGAATTGTTTTCACTTGAGTTGGTTAGTCGTGATGGTAAACTAGATCCGGTCTAATGGAGAAGGTTGGTGGTAGGCGATATCTCGGGCATTTCGGGCCTTCGGCTAGCGACTCCGAGTTAGACGGATGGTTCGCTGATATTCGGGTGCCGCGGCATTTCATCTTTTCCACCATTCATGATGCATCGAATAATTATCTTCAATGTCAAGACATAAAAGGCCTCCGGTCCAATGTACAAATGTCTTATCCCATCAACTGCGGCATGACGTCGGTACATACCTACGTACTCTGTATGAGGGGTAGTAGCAAATCACGTATTAATCCAAGATATTCCGGATCATTACCGTATTATGTCCCAAGCCTGCACCCAATCAAAAGATTACAAAAGTGATCAGAGTTGGAGAAGACCGGAGACGTTTGTACCGACGTCATGCCGTAGTTGATGGGATAATCGCGGCTGAAGCGGCAGCCACTGGGAGGCTTGTCTACAACGAGGGCATCATCAGTCTCGCAATCTTTCCGTTACTCACACTCCAATCACACTAGGTGCAAGATGACTGCCGGCAAGAAACTGAAAGTTGTTGTCGTTGGCGCCGGCTTCGGCGGACTTGGAGCCGCAATCGAATGTGCAGACCGTGGCATGGATGTCACCGTATTGGAGAAGTATCCCGACTCCAATAGCCAGGGTGGTAAGCATCACAAAATCACCCCTTTCTTGTGTTCCGATTTCAGAGTTCCGTCCTACGATGCTGATTATACCTCTCATTCGCAGATATTCTTGACTTCTTCCCCAATGCTGGCCGAATTATCAATCGATGGGATGGGGCAAGGTTGGCCAGCAAATTCACGATACCGGTTGCAGCCAAGTTCGCACCATGGAGCTATACAAGTACGATATCAAATTCATTGTCGATGTTCCATGAGCAAGAGACGGAAAGGAACACAACATCACTTATGCAGGTCACCGTGGCAAGATCCACTCGATCTTCCTTGCCTACGCAAAGACTCGTGTCCAGGACATCAGGATTGGCGTCGCAGTCACGGAGTATCTTGAAGAAGAAGGCCGAGCAGGTGTGAAGCTGAGCACTGGCGAGACTATCTGGGCCGACTGTGTTATTGCCGCAGACGGCCCACGGTCCATCGCTCGGGCGCAGGTTTTGCATCTCGACGACAAGAAAATCGACGAGACCACGAGCGGCTGGTCTGTATTCGGAAGCTTTTTTAAGACAGACGAAACTATGAGAAATCACCCTGGTATCAAGGAACTCTTCCATGAGGATAGAGACACTGTACGATTTTGGATGTATGACAATTTGAGCCTGATGGCATTTGTCTGGAACCAGGGTCAAGACATTGCTTGGGTTCTTGTTCATCCGGTAAGTGCTTTGCTGTCTACTAATGATTAGGCTGTTGAATCACTGACATATCTTGATAGGATGACAAAGAATCATCCGAATCTTGGTCCAACATCGCCGAAAGAGAGCATGTGGCCAAGTGGATGAGCTTCTTCCCCGGAAAAGACGCACAGGCACTGCTCGAAGTTACGCCTTCGAACAAGACCATCGATTTCAAGCTAGTCTATCGACCGAATAGACACCTGGGTCAGCAAGGGCGGTCGCACGATCCTAATCGGAGATGCTGCTCATGCCAACCTGCCTACTGCCGGACAAGGCGCTTCTCAAGCACTCGAAGATGCTGTGACAGTTGCTGAGTGCTTGCAGTCGTCCAACGGAGACGTCAAGCTAGCACTTGAAGCTGCACAGCGGATTCGTTACCATCGGTCAAATGCAGTGCACAAGAGTGGTCAGCAGAACAGAGACGCGTTCTACAAGATTCCGTGGGATGACATCGAGGCGGCCCCGGAAGAGTGGGCTAAGAAGCGATTCCCCAAGCTGAAGCCAAGCTGAAGCCCTGGGACCCCTTGGAGTTTACCAAAGAGCAGTTTCCCAAAGTCGCTAAGGACATCAAGAGCGGTGTCACGGGACATCTGAATGATGTAGCTGTGCCTCCGCCGCCTGGTGGGTACTGGTAACTGAATTTACTGGGAGTCGCCGGCTTCGGAATGCCTTCTGTTGTTATGTAACCAACTTATTAGAGTAAATAGTACTGGCATGCGTACTAGATCCATGATTTTAGAGAGACTGAATTATCGAACTCAAGGTTATAGCTTTGCAATGAGTGGTTGCATTAGAAAGTCCAATTAATCGACTCGTCGTGCTCCGAACGAATGATCAAGATTACTTGCGGAGAGACTTTCTAAATCTCACAGGCCAACCAAAGAGATTGGTTAATGCTGCATATATGCGAACGACTGTGGCAAGTGCGTAGACTACGAAACCATCAGCGTATGAAAATTACCCCTTGCTCAGGTCTTGGCTTCTTAGCCTGCCATGAGTTTTCAGAGACTCTCAGGATGTCATTTTGCTTGTAATACCCGGATTTCGGAATGTTGTGGTTATTTGCAGTGTGATAGCAGCAGGGGTTCCCTCCAAATCGCATCTGCCGAAACTTCAGCGCCCAGCTGAACTGGAGATGGGTGCTCGGCGGAGGTTCCGTCTCTACCATGCCACGTACCATGCGAGTCAGAACTCTCAGACAGATTCCTGGCTATATCGGTAAACACAGTCATACTCGGGCTCTGTAACCCCAATGCCGACCATAGCACTGCGACTTTGTAGCGTAGTCGTCAAGTCGGAGACGGAAACCTAATGCCAGCCGCACTTGTGTACGGGATTTCGCAACGTGCACAGTCCAAAATTAAGGGTCCTTGAGAATTCCATTACGCGATCATAGAGGGAAGAAGGGGGGAACTATAATGTTAGCCTGAGGCATTCGGCCGAAACTAGCGCCTAAAGCTCGGCACTCTCGGGAAATACACCGCTCAGCTATGAGGTTACCTCACAACTCAGCACGCACACAGCCAGACAGAGAGCGCTATCTCTGGTTCTACGGCGTTTGGACCAGATGCACCCCTATCACCGGACACTCGAGGGTTCGTTGATCTAACCCGGAATGTCTTATCTATCGCTTCATGGTGTGTAGCAAGAGAGTGCGTGGTATCTCAAACGCGTATCTCGAAAAAGGAGAAAAATGCGCAGGTGGCCGGCTCAACGCTCAGGTCAACATGAAGAAGAAATTTTTGAGTTGTCTGCGAATGAGTTGACAACTGCTAGATTTACTTTGGATTCTCCAAATCATCACAAGCACCACTTGAGTATACCAGACTGCCAGTCCACGGAGACTGTTAAACCTCAAACTCAGATCCCAACTGTAGCACCCACGAAAAATACACCTCCGCATCCTAAACCCTCGACCAACATGGCTTTGTTCACCCCCGGGCCTATCGTCTCCCACGTTCTCATGGTTCTCGTGGCCATGTTGAATATTTGTATTCTATCTTACGATGTGGAATGATCAACAACTTGAACTCGGCTAAGCCATACCAAGATTGTGTGATAGCCTCCCTGGCTCGGTGGTCATGGCTAACAATTTGTCATAGACTTCAAGTTAAACAGCGATATGATCGGACTCAATGTTGCTATCATCAGCGCCGGTTCGATTTTCGGCGCTCCGATAGTGGGTCCCATGGTTGATCGTTGGGGACGGAAGATCGGCCTTGCCGTTGGCTCCATCTGCATCATTCTCGGAGTTGTACTTCAAGCTTCAGCCTCGGGAGGTAAGAGTTCCTACAGAAACTCCTTTCAGATACAACTGCTCACCAGCAATGCAGTTCCACAGCTCATCGTCGGCCGCTTTATCATCGGTTTTGCCTCCCTCGTTAATGGTTCGATCGCCCCCATGTGGGTAATGGAGGTGGCGGCGCCGAAGTATAGCTCAATTCTATCGAGCACTGTCTTGACATCCGTACCATTCACTTCGTTCTTAGTCAGCTGCATCGTCCTCGGCATCTACGACAAGCAGTCCAACTGGGCATGGAGAGGGCTTATGCTTGTGAGTCCCTAGCCCCAGATAATCTCGAGTTTCCGTCTAATGTCTCAACCAGGGAGAAGCAGTACCTTCTATTATCCCATCGAGTGCTGCAAGGCGACAGTACATTGAGATGCGGGGGAGCAGCCAATCGGGCCACTTCGGGCCCCTTTTTCCAACCAACCAACGTAATTGATAATAGATACTTCCAATTACTAGAGATTCTGCGTATGAAATCGGTACCAGCAATCTTCTGAGTTACAGAGAGCTACATCGCACTCGAGGCAGCCCATCCTCGTGTACTTCCGCCGCTGCGGCACCTCGAAGGGCACGAACTGCCCAGGGATACCGGGCTCAACCTCCGGAGGCTCGCGGGGCCGAACAGTGGCATTATCACATTGCTCCGGCGTACAGTCGGCAGTGCAGGCGGCGGCGAGGTCCTCGGGCAGCAGGGCAAAGATACACGACTTCGCCGAGCCCGTGGAACGGCCAGATCCGTCAGAATCGTCAGAATCCATTAATTGAGTATTGGTAATGATGGATTTGGTAGATGTACCGGAGTGGAAATCATAGGGGCAACTCAAGCAGTGGATGTACCAGATGCGGTGCGGGGTAAAAGGGGGCCCGTTATGTGGAGCCAATGTACTGTCGCCTTGCAGCACTCGATGGGATATCTCTGTGTCTCTTGCCATTTGTCGACGAAAGCCCACGCTGGCTGTTTTCCAAGGGCCGCCATGACGAGTTAAGGTTGACTCAGATACTCCTAGATTAAGATCGTTCGACTGACATTCTGCAAGGCGATAGAGGTCCTCGCTCGATTGCATGCAAACGGAGATCGTGACGATGCTACAGTACTTCAAGAAACACGAGAGATTGTCGCGGCCCTAAACCACGAGAAGGAGAGCGATGGAGGATGGAAGGATTTGATCGCACCATGTGAGCGAGCTTCAGCCAACATGGCAAGTGGACAGCTAACTTATGGAAACTCCAACCAGCGCCGAACTTGAAGCGTTTTACGATTACCGTTCTGACGAATATCTTCTATCGAACTTTGGGCGGGAACATGATCTTGTACGTTTGGAAGAACACAGGCATACATTCAGAGTTCTATGGCACTAACGAAAAGCTTCCAGATACTTCTCATCCTTCCTCATTGGAAAACTAGTTGTTTCCGAGAGGAAGTCCGTAATCCAGATCAACATCGGTTTACTACTGTGGAAGGCCTTTTGCAGCGTGGGCGGTGTCCTCCTTATTGACAAGATAGGAGCTCGCAAGCCATTGAGTAGGTGCTTTTTGATATGAGTTCCCCGTTCCATTGAGCTGACCTCTATGTCTTTCTACCTAGTTACCGGGACCTTCGCCACAGTTGTTCTGTTCGGCATTCTGGCTGGCCTGTCTTACCTAACCGAGATTCATCCCGAGACTAACGCATACGCCATCGGCGCGAATGTCGTTGTTGCCCTGTTCTTACTTGCAGTCGCTGCAAGCTGGTATGTGAAGAGAACCCAACTCCATCGTAGTTGTGCTAACGTTATCGCAGGAGCATCTTGGCCTACACGTACCCTCCCGAAGTGCTAGGATACTCTCAACGCGCCGAAGGCGTCGTGGTTGCGCAAGCAATCGGGTACGCGTTCAGCTTTCTCAACCTTTACACCACTCCGCTAGCCATCGATAGAATCTCCTGGGGATACTATGTGTTGGATCTCTGAGCAGTCGGCAGAAAAGATGGATCTGGAAGGCGGTATGGGCACTTACAAACGGCCCTTTCACTTACATACCACTTCTGGGAGATCGTGGGCTCTGCCCACAATCTCCTCCTTCCACCTCCAGACGCAGCAATAATAGACCATTATTGACACTTCGTTCCAACCGTACGGTTGCCCTGCTGACGTGTATACCAACACTACGCAATCAATGGTGGCTGGAACCTTGGAATATTGTTCGTTGTTACATGGTTGTTCGTCGAAACCCAAGGCAGGACCTTGGAGGAGATGGATGAGATCTTCGATGGAGTCGTCTACTCGAACAACGTCATCATCGATGGCCAGAACTCCAAGAGTGATTTGGGAAAGGACGTCGGTGATAGTAGCAGCGTGGCTAAGAGGAAGCTTATCAAGGTCAGCACCCGTGAATAGGGCAGATGACTCCCTTGATTGAAAGGACTCGGATGCGATCATTTAGCAGGCATTGACATGGGCTATTGGACATCTCTGTATGGTTTAATCGCAATATCACCAGCGTGACGACTTTGGATGAGTTCTCGTCAATTTGTTTTTTACTGTGCGTTGCTGGACAACGCATCAGTCACGAACCTCGACTTCATGACAACCAACCATGACGCCACCACCGTTTTGTAGGATTCGGACCAACTAGCGTAGCTGGGGCTGAGAGAGCACCGGGAGAGACAAATCATTTCATGGAGTGGAAGCCGGGAAATCTAGCGCTGACGATGAACAACATTTGAGTCCATCTGTGCCGCGGTGCCGCGCTCAGGCACGGAGCTGAAATCTCGCGGCCGGCGCCAAAACGCGCCACTTTGGGAAGCTATTGAGTGCCACAACGGCGATCGAAAGGGAGAAGAGGAACTCAAGCACTGCAGTGGTGATTCAACGGCGAAACTCTATTCCCCCTTTCACGAACTTGCGAAAAGATGAAGCGCCGATCCATCGCTAGCCGCCCACGACCGCGCTAGAACATCACAATTCAAAGCACGCGAGCTTGGGGTCAAAGGCGCTCCACGTTGAAAGCTTCTTTGAAGTGGAAGGAAACTAAACTTCATCGAGCCATGACGGTTGCTGCGTCCAAGCTATGGTCCGGGACCACAACATAGTTAGCCTTTCAACCTAGCCAGCTGGAGGTATATGAAGACCTCACTCTCTGTTCTTGGCAAGGAGTTCTTGCTCAACTGCGCATTGCCGCGTGCTTCAACATCTTCAAGCCTCTCGTCCAAATTCTCGCCTCGTGCAATATCAATTGTCGCTCGTTACAGTTCTCACTCGCAATACAGCCGCCATCATGAAGATTGCTACCGTCACTGGCGCCCTCGCCTTCACCCTCTCCGTCGTCGCCGCACCCGGCGCCACCACATCCACCAGCAAACGTGGCAGCAAGGCCAGCTGCCCTGTCAACTCCGCCCAGCCCGATGGCAGCCTTGGCAAATCCTACGTTTCGACCAGCCTTCTAGTCCCCATCTCCAAGAACCTGCCCAACTATGCCTTCCCGGCGACGCAATGGGCGCAGGTCACGCCCAAGGACATCTGCACTGTCTTCAACCTCGATCTGCCGGTGGCCCAGACTCAGGGCAAGGTGTGCAACCTCGTCTTTGATTTCCCTTCCTGGGATCAGGCGCCTGGGAAGTTCGTTTTCCTTGGCCAAGGTACCTTCAAGTTCACCGGGTATGCCATTGGTGTCGGAGCCGTCGCTGGGCAGACCACGTATAACAAGCAGCCCGCCCCTGGCCCTAGCCCGCCTAATCCTCCGCCGACGATGACTCCGGGTCATAGCTATGTGAGTATTGAACGCCAATGGAATGAGATGTAGACCATCGTGGTTCAGATGACTGATGGTGGTGCCTGCAGATTGTCAACAGCGCCCCGTGCAGCATTCCGGCTGAGGTACCGGGAAGTGTGACTGTATCAGGAAGTCTTTGCTCGCCGGACACCACCTTCATGTTCCAGCAGAGCAAGGATGGGTGCCCCGTGGGCTTCTTCGTCGTCTTGACAGATGCGTGAGGGGAATCGTAGCTGCTGATTAATTCACCCTCCCAAACTGTGTGAGGATGAATACCAAAGACTAAAGATGGGCTTGCGAACTCTCAAGGGGGTAGAAAAGATATGAGAATAGCCGCGATGGGGTGTAGGTCATTCAAGTCACGACATCGGCCGATTCGCAGTTATCGCATGACTTCCCAGGAACCACAGGCCTGTCCGATCATGTGTTTGAAATTTGTCGTCGTTAGCGCGGTTGTCTATTGAAATTATTATGGCGCTCAGTATCTCACTGAATGTTTCGTTTAACCTTTTCCCGTGACCGCAGTCTTACCACTCTTTTGGGATATATGCCGGAGTATTGTCCTCATCCTCAGGGGTCTTCAACCCCAGTCCCTCCAACACTCGATTTTGCATCGGCAGCAATACCAAGACAGCTCTGTTGAACCTCCACCCAATAACAGGAACCATCGCACCAATCATAGCATCCAAGATGAAGTGGTTCGCCGTTGCGACGATCGTGAAGAGCATAGCCATCGGCCACAGGGGCGCGATGAGACGAAGCGGACGGTGGGGCGAGAATCGGCAGATGCTCCAAGCGAGGAAGAGAGCGGTACCACAGTGAAGACTCGGCATCGCGGCGATGGTGAGCTGAAACTTGTTGTGTGTCCAGGCGTTGCCTCCCCCCTTTGCTCCGTGGAGCACATCCTCAAATCCGTACTCGGCCGGAAGCATGCGCGGCGGCATGCAGCGGTAGGTTGTCACGATAACAAAGGCGATTGCGTTGTCCATAGCGATAGTTCGTCGGATTCTCTGGAAAGTGCTCGGTGGAAGGAAGGTGTAGCAGTAGATGATGAAGATGATGCCCAGGCTGATGTGGAAGTAGTAGATCTTGGCCAGGTAGGACATCAACCATGGCATGTTGTTGAGGACATATTTCTGTACCCCAAGCTCGATGTCAATGCCGAAAAAGTGCTCGAACTTCAAGATAGAAATCGCATGATCGCGGCCTCTTGCGAAGACAGCTTCGTTACCGGCTATCATGCGTGCCGAGAAGGCACGGAGCAGTTGGTATATCCTGTGAGAGAAACAAGTAAATCAGAAATCAGCCCTAGTTCTAAAAAGGTAACATGAAGAACTGGTGTAGCACAAGATCATCTCATACCAGTATGTCGCATTCCAATACCAAATTTCAGCAAGAAACGGAAAGGTATTGTAAAATCGAACGAGAAGTTTACTGTTGATGCGGGACACCTCGCCCGACTCCGCGCGCATCCCCGGCTTAAGGAGCGGAGAGGTGGGGCGGGAGGAGGAATTCTCCGACCCACGCTCACACGAGTCTACATCATCGTCGCGATCCAGTCGGCGGCGGTTGATGAGAGTGCCTACGGTGAAGGCAAAGACGATGACTAGAAGAAGAAAAAGTATTAGATGAGGCTTGGATTCGTAGAGGTAAAGAGACAGGGTTTAAGCATAGAGGGGAGTCTGAGTTAGGGGAGCGGGATGGACTTACAAGCTGGTTCGACTACATTCCTCAAAGCGCCAAGTGACGAAGCCATGATAGGCTAAACAAAGGAATTGAAATCTTGTTGGGTATCGAGAGTAAGTGAAAGATGCAGTTGGACAAGGCTGTCCTGACGAGAAAGCAGAATGAATGAACAGCTTTCGTCTCCCCGAACCAGAGAAGAAAGGAGTGAGTGACGAGAAGATATTACAATAAAAATGCCAAATCCATCAGAAACCCTTTCACATGGGGAAATAGGAGAGAGGGATGACTAGGCTAATAAATATTCTAGGCACAATGCCCCAGAGCCCGCTTCACCGGGACAAACCCACAACGGGCGGAAGGTGTACCAAGTCCAACCGCAGCATTTCGTGGCCAAGCATTGTTGTCAGATCGGCGCCCCAGGCATTAGGAATTCCGCCCAGCCTTGAAAGTTGAGCAGGAGTAGGACCACACGTGTGGGTGTAACCGCACGGAGCCGTCTGATAGGAGAGTTGGGGGTGTCGAACGTTGAAGGAGGGAGGGCTGAGCGGGACTGGAGACACGACGACCTGACGTCCCACACCCCATCCCACATGTCCACCATCCATCCATGATCCATTACGGTATCACCCCAACCAAGCACAAGGCAAAAGAATGGTTCGGCGGAAGAAGGAGGGCACGCCGGCAACGTACAGCAGAACGTAAGCAAAAAAGCCCAGTTTTCATTAGAGCCTCCTTGCTCGCAGTCGCCCGGTCTCCACGCTGCATCACTGTAATCCAACCATGAACTGACGGTGGGTAGAACGTCGAAAAAGGGATGTGGGAGTTCCTTTTCTGGTGGATTATCCAATCATTTCGAGTCGGACTCTACCCACTCGCTGCTCATAAGGAAACTGAGAGTCGTGGATGACGGGGTTCACTTCCCGTGGTTTTTCTCAGCAGCCGGAACAACCGGAATCAGCGTCAGGGGGCAGAACTCGGGCGCCAAGTCGTCTCCGAGAAAAAGTCTTGCCATCAAATTTAGAGTATGGAAATCAACAGAGCGTCCTTCTCCATTAAAATGCGGATGCTTTGCGCGGGATTGTGGACCCGGTCGTTTGGGCAAGTGTTCGAAGCTGCGCGGGACCGGATTGTAGGAGAACCTTGGAACTGTCATGATCGAGACACAAACTCAATCGATCTTTGGTAAATCTTACCGCGGTCGAGTCATGCCTTGAATACTTGATTTAAAGATCTTCCAAGAATAGGAGGTTCGCACGGAAGCATGCAGCTTGTCGCATGTTTTGATGTTCCCAGTGTCCACATCAACATCAGCGCGAAGACGTGTCCGAGCGTTCGAGAAGAACCAGAAAAGGAGAAAAACTTCCGCTCCCACTAACTCCCCGCTACCAACACTCAAAAGAAGCAGGCTTTGCCATCATGATCTAGCTTTCGTCTCGAGCTGCCATGCCCGTCAAAACTCCCTTCTGACACAGATAGCTTACGACTGTGCCAGGGTCAATAGACGAGCAAGGCTCGCTGGTAATAAGCTGCAGGATCGGCAGCTAAGATCAGAAGCTTGATACGCAGCCACCCTTGGCGCTAGCTGGCACGGCACACCACGTTCGAGCATCTGACAGGACCAGTGCCGGGACGGTTGTCGTACCGTGATGGTGAAGGTGCTGCTGATGTGAGAAACACCATGCCTGGCATGCCTGGGCATTTGGAATCATCATCTGCACGTCAACTGCTGTTTTGGGATTCGCATCGAGGTTGAGGGCTGAAGGCTCAAGGCTGAAGGTGTGAGGACGGTGACGGCAGTCCTAGTAACAAGTCCCAGTAGGTCGGAGGCGGACTGCACAGACATGGCTAGACCGGTGCCCGAACAAGAACGAGAGCATCGGACATCGGACTGTTTAGTGTTTTGCGGGAAGATTCAACCCTCCATTGGGCCGTTGGAGGCCGTTGGAAATTTGGAACCAAAACATCGGCGTACGGAGTTCAAAGTCCCCGGCTTCGGCCGAGGTTCGTTGCCAGGAATGCGGTAGCTGTGGAGGAACCCGCGGCGGACTTCGTAGACCTTTAAAGCGATCACCACAACCTTCTGATAAAACTCTTGGCAATGGTCAGTGTCCACTTAGATTAAAGCATACCGTACTAAGCGGCCGCTGATTAGAAAATTGCGGTCAAGTTCAACGCTAACGGTGATGGCCCCCGCGACTTTATGCCGCCGAGGGTGCCAAGTTTTGATTATTATACCACCATAGAGCCGGATACGCCGGATCATTGTAGTAGCCGACTATTGAAATGATATTCAGAGCTCATCGGCGCTCTCCTCAATTTCCTGGCAATCGAATCCTTCATCGCCTTCGACATTTTTGCAGATCCATTCATCCAAGACAGTATCTTGTCCGACGGGCTTTACGGAAAAGTTCTCTACCGTCAGGTTGTTGCACCCGCCCGCAGCCGCGCTGCACCGGAAGAAGCCCGAACTAGGCACGTCGTCCATCATGGTGCCGCTAAAGTTCTTCCAGACGACGTCGGAGATCTTGAACGTCGACGTATCGCACGACTCGCCCGCGTGTCCGGAGAAGGACTCACATTGAGTGATGAAAAGTGGCTCTCCGCGGGTGCCGTCGAGATTAATGTCTTCTAGCACGATGTTACGCGCGTATCCCGTACCGCCCCCGCCGCCATTGGGCGGATACCCAATCTGGATGCCGGTCCACGTCTTGAAGTAGCAGCCCCGCAGGGTGTCGTGTAAAGTCACGTTCCGCGCCAAGAAGTTCTCGATATACTCGTATTGCCCGATGAACTGGCCGATGGATCCCATGGCTATGCCAGTGCTGCCGAAGAACTCGCTGTCATAAATGTAGATATTGCTGGAGTTGGCCTTGAGAGCGATTGCGTCGTCGCCGTTGACAACTACCCACCGGCGGAAGGTAATGTTGTCCGAGTACATGGTGTCAGCGCCGTCCGTGTTGAGAGAGTTGTTCTCCGAAGACGACGTGCTATTCACGTAGATGTCCTCAAAGACGAGATCTTTGGAGTACATAATGTTCATCGTCCACATCTGGCTCTGCACGAACCGAAGGCCTTTGACAGTCGAATTCGAGAAGTCTCGGAAGTTGATGTTCATCGGTCGATGAGGCATGTTGGATCCACCTGCGTTGAGATCATACCAGACCTGGCCGTTGCCGTCGAGCGTGCCGACTCCATGACCCTCCCAAACAACGCCATCACCTCCAAAGTGCCAGACGGTGCTCTGATTCTGGAAGTCCACAGGCATCGACACCGAAAGCCAATACGTCGTATCATTGCTCCAGAGAAGTCTTCCACGCTGGTCGATAACAACATCGTCTAGGCTGGTGGTGACCATGGGCGACTTGATGTTGTACACTGGTCCATCAAGCACAATGATGCTCTTGGTGCGGCACTTGTCGTTGAGCGCGCTTAGCAGTGCCGGCGCGTCATCCCCGCCGTTAGCGTCCGGCTCAAGGATGCAGAGGTTCCGGCCTTCCTTCTCCGCCCTCTCGGCCCATTCGCTAGCAGTTGGAATACCCGGGTCGGATTCTGCGAGAAGGGTGGCCGCCGAGAACCGAGTGGTCTCGAGCCCGAGGACTAGCCTTGCGGCTAACGATGCGAAGACTGCCAAGCCACGCATGATGGATGTGTGCTAGGGCCTCGAACCCAATCAAGAGATGGATGGAAGGATTACGAGCTTCGGTACACGCGAACAGACGCTTCTCGAAGTATAACAAGGGCGTTTTGCGAACAAGAGAGGACAAGACAAAGCAAATAGATCTGTGGCGTCTATCAAAGCACTAGACAGAAATGGTGTATGAGCTCCAGAGGTTACAGGTATCTCTCAAATATGAAGTCGAACCCATCGACGTGTGGTATTTCTGTGAAACCCAACATTGCATCAGATGATGGAGCTCAGGGGGTCGCAACCACTGTCAACGAATGACATGCGCCAAGTACAGCGGGGTAATGCCCCGGATCGTCCCCCGTAGCGTCCATTCCCCGCAGCAATTACGTCTTCTGCCCGCATGACGCCCTGGTAATCCGACCCCAACGTCCGGCATTTCAAGGCTTGTACTTGCTGATGTCTTTTACTTTGGATGTGGGAATCTTTATCCATGGGGTCCATCATGAAAAGGACAAAATAATGGCGGTCAGGTATGCACAGAAGGACCTGTCTGATGGTAACCTGCGGGTTGGTCTGATGATGAATGCAAGTCATCACGAGTTCTGGTCAGTTGTGTGAACGTTACATGCATCTATCTTGATCTTTCAATAGCTATCCAACATAATGAACGTCATTCTTCGACTAAACAGTCGACATGCTTCACTTACACCATTGCCGTCGTTCTGGCCTGGTCACGGTCGGCCAGTGGATACCTGGCCCGTCCAGCCCGGCCCGATGACCCACTGGGAGCCGGAGCGGATTACACAGCTAGCTTACGTGTAGAGATCAGCGGCCGGAGGCACAATCAAATAGCCAAGAACAAAGCACCGTTAGCTTCCAATCTTCTGTTGAAACCAGGATCGGATAGTTCTCGGGTCGTGGAATTGATTCAGGCCTTTCCAGTTTTTCAGACGACAAATCATGACTGCAAACAAGTCGATTCCAATGTAAGTTGCTCTAAGTGTCATCCAGGGGCATTTAAAAGAAAACTAATCGCCTTCATGGTATCAAAGAATATGTCCCCTTTGGCGGCGAAAATGATGTCCTGAATGCTATGTACTATATCTACTACAAGAAGTCATTCAGTTCCTGGGCTCCGATGCTCCTTTTCTACTACTAGCATATCCCAGTTGCAGCGCAATGTTCTAGCCCTGCGTAACGTGTGGCTGATCCCATTTCAGTTGACTCATACTTGTGCGAGGCAGGCTGAAGCTGCGAGGCGCTTTCAGTCGTGGGAGATTGAAGTTTCGCCTTGGAGATAACTCTGCGTTTTGCCTCGCTTCTTGGAGGCCGGACTCGAGGTCTGAGTATCGAACTTTCTCATCTCCGACAGATGAGTTGTCATCTCCCATGTGGGACAGTGTCTCTGTTGACATATTCGGCCGAGAGAAACGGTTGAAGGCGATAAAGGTCTCCTTGTCGCCCTCGACCGCGTTCGATGGAGGAGGGACGCGAACAGACCGGCGTCGGATTGCCACAGCATCTTCCTGAACCGGCTGGACACCCATGTATCCGTAGATGACATTGAGGATAGGTATAGATACTCCGTGGACTATGATGGAGAAGAGTGCAAGCTAATACACAACGGGACCAATAGCCCGGAGCATATCAACTACCTCGCTGTCGCCCTCGGCCTCGGCAAGCTTAAGGAAGAGATGACGCGCATGCTCGACATAAAAGGCAGCACCAACGCCAATAAGGCCAAAGTAACCCATGAGCAAGGCTTCTTTCCAGTCCTTGATGGTATTGGGCATGAGCTTGTATGTGAGGAACACGGCAGGAATGCGGCGGAATACGAGGACAAGTGCGCCGAGAGCAAAGAGCCGACCAAGGCTAATGCCGGTGATATCGGAGCTGAAGTCGCTCCACGGGCGGGATGATAGTTCCGAGATAAATAAAACCCCCAAAGTTGAGAAGAACGTCGATGCTGGCGTTGACTTCGTCGTGTCGCTTCTGTGCCTCTGCAAGGTACTCGCCGTCCCAGTTGAGTGCACTACCGGCAACGAAGCAAGATAGTAGATCGTGGGTTCCGATGGCTCCTGAGGTGCCCATCATGAAAAGCTATAGGGTGTCAGTTAATCTTCTCCCCGTCCTGTGTCGATGACTTACACCAATTGCCGTTGGCAAGAGCACGTAGCTTTCGGAGTCGATCCACTTCCTGGGCCTTTGTTAGAAACTGTCGGAACTACTTCGTGCTCAGGGACCGATCAACGTACTTTCTCACAGAATATCTCAGAGCAAGCCTGATCAGTGTTCCCACAATGACCCCGTAGGCTATACTCATGAGGACGAAGTAAAGCCAGGTCTCCAACAACCAGTTCAGCAAAGCGACACCAACACCTCCACCTTGACGTGCAACGTCACCGGCTCTAGGAAGAAGTGCACGACCGACCGCGTGCAATGTTGCATCATCTGCGTGCACCTCAGATCTCTCCGCGTGCCGTATGAGATATGTCGTCAGCATCAATATCGGGAACCCGAAGCCGTCGTGTGCGCCACTTTCGGAAGAGATGATTTCCCGCAAGGAGCGCCGGACGAACTTGTCGGCAAATGGTCCCTTGGCAACCGCTTGTGACAGAACTGGATCTGTTGGAATATTGACGGCAGAAAGGTGGTCTGGGCCGTGCAAACGGCCCTTCCACCTACTTACACCCAACGGAGGAATCGTGGGCTACGCCCACCAACTTCCTCCTTACGTATACATACGCAGTTCAATACCAATATTATTGAGCTTCGTACGGCCCCCCCCAGGCCCCTGCTGACGTGTATACCAACAGGGTCCGTTGAGGTAACGCAAGCAGCAATCACACCAGCACCCAGGAACGTCAACTTAGGAATAGTTGCAATGATACAGGCTGTCGTAGCCAACCACATCAAGGTCATGATGGGCAGCATGAGTATGGCCATTTCTTTGCACTTGTTCTTTTGGTACTTTGCTGGCAACTGGTAGCCGGCCATGACCAGTTGGATACCAATCATCACTCTCGTAAGCCCCTGAAGTAGAACATAAGCCACTCATCAGTACACGAAAGCATAATGTCGCGTTTCTCCTGACAACATCGCACTTAAGCCGTATCATTGGCACTTACAAGAGTGATGTCTTGGGTCTGTCCCTCAACAGCTGACCCCCATCTCTCGCTGTCGATGAACCTAGCAGCTATAGGACCAAGGCATATGCCTAACACGACGGCCGGTACTAATTCGAAGCTAACTGTCAGTGGACATTGTACAAGAGATTGCTCTGAGTATCAATCTGCATGTCTACTAGAACACTGCCGTGGAGAATGTCCGAGAATAAGCTTACAGGCCTCGCCCAGGTACCACACATTCTTTATCTTGACGGAGATGATACCAAATAGAATGATGATCGCGCCTGCAGATGGAACCACCACCAGTTAGTCATAGCTAAGCGATAGAAAGTATGGAACACTCACCAAAGACAGCGAGAACTACATTCAATTCGCTAGGATCAAGGGTAGGCATCTTGGCTGTCCGCTTGTGGCTTCGCTCTCGATATGCAAGTGTCTTTGTGTGATGTGCCCAGGAGGTGTGTTGTGCGTTTGCCGAGAAAGGCTGCCTTGGCCAGCAAGGACTTGAGGAGGGGGATGATTTTTTTAGCTAATGCTCATACGATTTCTACATGAAGTTGTTTGGAAAGAAGAAAAGAAAGGAGATGCCAACGAGGCCTCGAGGAACAGAGGAAGAAATACAAAAGGATTGTCTAATGAAGTGAAGGAAATCCCGCAGGAAGATGAAGTCAGAGAGCAGAAACCTGAAATGATGGTGGACAACAACACTTGCTCGACTCCTTGTGGTATGACGGTCACCCGGTAGCTCAGCGCTGCTGATGAAGAATGGTCTGGTGAGCGGCGGGAGGGCAGCTGATCCTTCTGCAGCGCCGAGAGTCCGGATATTTGATAGTGGTATGTCAACCAGGGGCATACTTGACTGCGGACCAAAAAGGAGCGACTTGGCTGCAGATCTTGGGCGGCCGAATTCTTTTGGGAATGGATTCTGATCACAAACGCTTCTGATTCAGAGCCAAGTACGCCCTGTAGATCGCGGTAGGGGTTATGGCGGCTCCTAATATTAGAGCATACAGAATACCCAAGGTGAAGACGGAGAGTACTTTGTGCTTGGGTCGTGGCTTCCTGGACGGCTAAAGATGGGGTCACAAGGAACGCGCAATGGGCCAAGCGCAGCTGAATCTCGTAAATAAAAGATTTCAACTGCGGATCGGTGTTTCTGCAGGGGAGAGTTGTATTTCTAGGGTTCCTGTCATTATAAACTTGGCCCGAGATGTCTCAAATCTAGTAGTCTTGTCGTGGAGGCACGTTGATCTGCCAGTGTGAGTGAGTATGGAACGACCATCCGTGTTGTAACATCCACGCGTTCTTCCTACCAGGTTAGGTGCTGAGAAATTTGGAATCTAGCTGGCCAGCGGGAAACAAATGCTGGCTTCTGACTGTGAGGGACACTCTTGCCAACCAAGATAATCCGGAGCATCGTCTCACACAGCCTCAGAAGCGTCGTTGAGAACTTGAGACAGCAGTCATCTACCAAAGTGGATAGCTTGCCTAGACGTGAAGCATTCTGCTCTAGCGCTACATGAACTTTCTAGGGTTCTTACTTCCGTACATGAAAGCAGACAATCCATTGTTTGAGAGGCACTCATAGACCTTTGACAGTACCGAGACGCGATTGTCTGTTCACCTCTTCAAATGGAAATAAGACACGATGATTGAGTCCGTTGGTCAAATTCAAGAAAGTTTCTTTGAGGAAGCTGAGGGTGTGAACTTGTCTTTGATACACAGCTTTCGGCCACAGAGGTCGACCAATAGAACGACCAGAGAAAATTGCATAAAAGTGGCACGCCGCACCCGGAGAGAGGTCGTAAACGCAACGGGGAGAGCTGATTGAACGTGAGGTCAGGCGACAGACAAAACTCGCCCAAGAGAAAAGAGTGGATTGCCTAGAGTGACGAGGTAGGACATAAGTCTTAGTGTCTTAACCAAGTGACTAGGCATCCAGGGTCGACAGCAGGTAAAAGGACCATCATTGGACGAAGAAGTCATAAATAAGGTTGGTTGTTCCGCCGTCAATGCTCAGCGGAGGAGTCCGAATTTCACGGCGGTGTCAGCGCGGCCTCGGCGCCAAGTGGAGGAAGCAAGTGTTGTTGACATTCTCCGCTGGGTGGAGACTAAAGGGGGCGCCGCAACTGGCAAGGCGATGAAGCTCGGGGCACGACTTCCGGTGTGACGACCACCGCTGGGTCGGCCAAGTCAATACTGTCTGGCTCAGACATTGTGATAGGGTCCCTGTGTTCTTGTGTTTTCTTGGGAGACCTTGGCTGACGAGGATTGTTGGGTGACGTTGGGACCACCCGTCGCTGGGCGCTTCTTGGTGAGGCTCGGCGCTTCGCGCTTGGCGGCTCGTGGTCAGATTGTTCTTGCGTTCTGACTTCTCGCTTCTTCCATCTCGTTACCATATGGCCTGGTGATGGATTTAAGTCTCCAAACATGTCAAGTCGCCCTCGAAGGAATCAAGGATTCGGTCCGCGGGTAAAGGTCTTCTCCGTGCTCGACCGTCTCATTTGCGACGTCTCCAATCCCTGCCGGCAAGATCCCGGTGCGGGTTGCCGCGTGAGCCGTTGCTGGCCATCCAGACTTCGAAGCTGGAGAAACTTGAGATTGGTGCTTGTGCTGCAAAAAGCACGCGCAGCCCCAAACTAAGAGCATAACGGTTAAAAACTCTTAGAGTCCTTCAAAAGACATTCTCTCTAGGCAATCTCAAAAGATGCTGAGTTAATGCTGGTTGTGCGCCTCTACCTTACCTGAACATCTTCATAAATCAAAAGGTACGCATCAAGACTTGGAAGAGTTTATCAAGCACTTGGACTAATAAGCGATCTTTCCTTGTGCATTTGCGATGAAGTTGTGTTATTAATTTGATGAGTAAGGTGAGTTCCCAAGTCTCCAGTACCATGTCAAGACTCAGGCCTTGCAGTCATTGCAGTTGGCTCGCGTTCAGTCATATCTCCAATCCTCATCTTTCTTGCTTTGGTCCATCACACCATAGTTGATATCTATGCAACATCTCAATTACGTTGCTGAGCAAGTGTATCCAGGCCAGGTTGTGGTGCATGCGGCACTGGCACTGGTAGCGAAGAAGACAGCGGCGACGGCCGCGGTGAAGCCTGTAATCTGCATTGTGGGTTGGGATCCTGGCTGCTACCTCGTCAGCGAAAAGCCGGTCGACAAGACACAGTAAATAACTCCATGTTACTAACACAAAGATTGATGGTTTTCAAAGAAATTGATATGGATTCGGATGGATTCGGCTCGGTGAGAATGATGGTAGTTCCAAAGGCTTCAATGGCTGAGTTAACGTTATGACGCATGCCTTTATAGCTGGACCAACTTGAGCAGGCAGGATAAATACGATAAATTTGTAACATTTCTAATCTATCTCAAATTAAAGCAAGTCCACCTTTTGATTGATTGAGTCAGTGTTTAGGTGCAACTCTTACTTTAGAGTTATCCCACCGGCGTCAGAAGGCGGGTATCCTCACTGTAGCCGGAAGGACCTCATTCCTCCTGTTATTGCATGACTGCAGCACCCTGACCAAATCCCATGTCCATCTTGGGATTCATCTGAGTATTATGAAGTGGTCAGTGAATGTATTGCTAATTTAACTGTTAAAGTAGCATTAGATGGTTACGTTCAGGTCAGAGATTTGGAGGCAATTCGATGGCGTACTTGGGGACGTGTGCCTATAGGCGTTGGATTTTCTGCTCAATAGGAAACAAGGTTAAAGCTAAGGTTATTTGAAGAGCTGTACAGTAATACTTTAGACTCATAGGCTAAAAGAAGTCAAAACGGATCAAGAGCTCCTTAGTTGAAGTTAGAATATTCAAAGCACGGTGCACGCCAGGTTGGAGTGGAGGGATATCCGGAGTGCTTCGGCACATCACCAAGTTGAGAGGCTGAACTTTTCCGAGTAGCGCGTAAAATCTCAAAAATTGCTCTACAATCCAACTAACCTTCCTTTAGGTTATCCTCGAGACACTGAGGAGTCTGTTCTAAAGACAAGTTAATGCAGGTCGCTAAGCACTGTTGACCATCTCAGCTAATTTGACGGTCCATAACTTATTCTGGCCCAGCACCACTAGAACATCCCCGGCGAGCTCAAACTGTACAATTGCCGTATTCACAGGATCTCTCGTGAAATACTGTCCATTGAAGACGCCAACGACCTTTCCTTGGGAACTTCGAACCATGACGCCTTCGCCCTCACCCGTCCAAACCCGGCCTTGGTCGTCGATACGGATCCCATCCGGAGCTTGCATTCTAGAGGCCCCAAAGATTCGCTTGTTGACAGGCCACATGTCATCGTTCAGCTCGTAGCTGTAGATCGCGGGTACTCCGACCTGAGCTGGTAGCCCCCAAATTCTACTTCGCTCCTCGCCGCCAAAGTCGGTGACCCAAAGAGTCTTTTGGTCCCTCGATGGTCGTACACCGTTTGCAACGGGAAACTCGGTTCTGCTGATGGCCGATAACAAGATATGATTTTGAGGATCCCAGCGCCACAGACCCTGAGGCAGGCGATCGGTCGTGGTTGAACCCTCTGCGAAAGGCAGAACAGTGATAAACATGTAGGAGTTGTTTGTACCCGGCTGCGTGACCCAAGCCACATCGTCGATGCTGTCAAACCTGAGACTGAAGTACGAGTTGAGCACAGTCTCGACGTGGCCTGTCTCAGGTTCGACAGATACGACACCGCCAAGCCAATCTCGAGTATCGTCCCGCAGATAAGTGAAGTACATGAGACCTCGGTGATAGAATCTCCGTTGGGATTTTCCAATGGCTTCGAAGAAGTCAGGTTCCTGATGGTTTTGGTGTTTAGGTCCAGAATCTCCACGTGGGTCGGCCCATCATTGATCCAAGTCGTATACCAGACTTCGTTGCGGTCGCTGATCCATACTCCAGCTTCTCCTGCAAAGTTGCTGGGACGCTCCTCGACCTATTCGATGACTGGATTCTGTCCGAGGAGTGCCAGGAACTCGTCGTCATATGAGATGAAAGGCGCATTGGTTGCAGATTGAAGGAGCTCGTTGGTCGACGCATTTGAAGTGTTGGTGCCGTTGACAAAGCTGTGGAACAGGTTGCCGTGGAACGGGGGAGGAAGTAGATATGTCAACTCATATGGAATGGAAACAATACTATTATTCTGCGCAAGGCATGTCTTTATGAAGACGGAGAAGAGACTGGCATAGCTTGAATACCGTGGCATCATGTTTTACGTCTCGCCTTGGTATGACAGACTTTGTTCGTGTGAAAGAGCTGATGATTGTGGAAGAAAGAGACAAGGAGTAACGAAAGTAACCAGGGACCAGCCTACTCTAAATAGTAGCATCATCTCTACGATGTCATCGAGTCCATTTTATCTCTGATACCATGTTACTGTGAAGCAGTTGGTAATTGGTATCGCGGTACTGCTACTCCAGATTCAATTTCTCTCTCATCGGGCCTTGGCTCGGCCAGAAACCTGATCGTACGTGACGTTTAAAGAACAGTTCCCATGAGAGCGATCAAGTTTGCTTGCCTATTAAGGCAATCGTTACGGTGAACGAGGTTTAAATAAGGTAAGGTACTCTGACGTAGTACAGACGCGGGAGATAGTGGTCAATGCATTGCCTAACGCCGACATCACCATTCTACTCCAGGATTCTGATCGGATGAACATCGTAATTGTCTTCGCCTTGCTCCACTGAATGTTTCCATGGTCAATTCAACGGTGTCTAGTCTTTTTCGGCGATAACCCGGACCGCGGCCGAAAGAGCTCCGCTGGAACCTCCGTGCTCTCGGGGACGCCGTCGTGGCTACCGGCAATGACTCGAGCTGTCAAGGGGGCTTCCAAGGCATTTGATGCGGAGCCTTCCTCGCTGGAAATAACTCTTGATAATTCCGCGTATAGCTGCTAGTGTAGTGTATTTCGACGCCCGCTTGAAGACGTAGCAGCAAATTACAATTGTGAAAAGGCGTGGAGGGCACAGGGCGACTTCAATAATGACCAATCAATTGCTCACGCCTCTGTTCTTCTTGTTGACCAGGGACTTGAGCTACACGGAGAACGTCCGAAATAATTGGAGATTACTGCTTGGTTATTCCTTTCTGTAGCTTTTCCAATCAAAGACGCGTGATAAGTCAGATGTGTTGTCTGAAAATTGGCACATTTTGCGTTGCCTCTCTTACGGTGACGAGGGTATGTGTAGAACCAACGTTAGAGAGACTTCCTCTCCAATTGGATTTTATTAGTACTCCACAGAGCTCACATTTAGGATGGAACTCAGTGAGTAAACGATTCGAGACTCTTTGGGGCAGTTAAATGTCGACAGTGTCCTGACGTACGGCATTCCTCTTGTTCAAGGGTTGAGCCAAAAGACTATACCAGCAATGGCGAACTCCATGATCAAAAGCACTTGCTTCAGTCTTTAGGTGCCTTACTCAAGGAATATAGGTCACGAATTGCAACCGTAAGACCTTGGGTCAAAAGGTGTTTTTGGCGATCATCAAGAGTCTTGTTCTAAATTGAAGAAAGTTCTCCCATAACGTCTCCGACGCTGTAGCTTTAAGATCATGCACATTTTGACGAGTTGAAACTCATTATGTACGACATACAACTCCTCGAAGTCGCTCCACCAACGAGCAAATATGGTGATCACGACTGAGAACTAAATCGCTCCTCTACTAAGCTTGTGGTCTTTCGTTGGATCCATCTGCAACTCATCTCTCAATCAGAAGTTCAGAGTATCCACAGCTCAATAGGTAAGGTAGTTAGTTCAACATAGAATATCAAACACTCTGCTCGTGAGCGTACGTGAGAGAAAGGGAGAAAGAAAGTGCTGCTCAGACGCTGTAGAGCCTGATGATTGTGTCAAAAGCTTATACATGGTACCTAGACAAGCTCGAATAAGGATAGTATTGACCACAGAGGTTGTTCCACAACTTTGCGACCCAAAGGTCTTGAGGAACCCCCAGAATTCCGCTAGTCCGCGGACTGCATCTCTGCTCTACACCACCAACTAAGACGCGTTTGCCACCGAGTTGTCATGGACACTTGCAGGCCGATGTCGCCACAACGCCTCCAAAAGGCAATTCTCCATGGACGAGCACGATGGATAATGCCGTGCAACACCACCGTATGACATGCTTCAAGCGTCCGTGGCATCCTACCATGCGCACCCACCGTGGCACCACTGACGCGACGCGGGCGTCAAGTCCATGTAACCACAGCGGAAAGAGGCAAAGCAACCTCAACCTCATGAGCCGTCCCGTGCCGTGCCGCCGGGCTGATTGATCCGTTTGAGGCTTCCCATTGAACGTCGCCATCTGGTTCCCGCCACCTCTGCCGTGTGTATCTGCAGGTTCCGACGGATTCGGCTGGAGATGCATGTCCGTGCCTGCCCGCCAATCAGCGTCATCACAACTCGGTGATATGATGCTTGGCGAAATAGAGAGCTGTCGCGTCCAAAGCCGACATGGATATGTTCTCTCGACTCTCCGAATTCGCTCAAGAGCAGCAATCTTGTCAAGCTCTCCAGGTTTTACCGATTCTACCCGGGATTGTCATGTCGCAGGCAAATGTATCGATACCAACTCATAGTTGTGACCAGATGACCATGTGATCTTCAACTCCGCTGTCTGCGCGCGCCCCATCCCAGCCTTATCGGCACTTCACTCGCACTTCACTCGCATCGCACCGGGGTCTTTTGCTGCCCCGTCTGCCCAGCGGGCCGACCATCTCCGAGCATATTCCTTGTCGTGGGCCTTTACGCGGGGTGGATCGCTGGAGATTTAACAACTCACCGAGAACCCCACGCCGAAGCGGAAGGTTCCCCGGAGAGAGTTGGAGCTAAATCATTGAGATTTCTTGCTCTGACTTGCGAATCTTGTCTTTTTGTGTTCGTTATACGGGTTCGCCCGCTGCTGTTGTTTCGAATGTTTTTTTGTGATTTTCTCGTCCAGGTCAACGCGCTTGTGGCTAAATCGTAGGTTTTCTTCTCGGGGAATCGATTCGTTAAGACTCGGTGAACGTTCGCGGCTCACTTTGAGTTATTCGGGAGGATCCTGGGGGCGATTGTCGTTGCTCCAGCTGTTCGAGCCGTTCGAGAGATGTGGTTGAGGTTGCTCGAGGGCGTCGGCGTCTGGGTGGATCACGTAGTCAGCTCATCATCATCGAAAATTTGACAGCTTGTAGATAGGCTTTCAGCAAACAAAGAAACGCTTACCTCCCTGACAACCTGACTGTAGCGTAAAGAGTTCATCAGGTTGACCTTGTTTTGCTTTCTAGATGAGGAAGAGAAAGAGGGCAAGTGATGGTCTTAGCCGTCAGGGCTGGAGAAACCTCACAACTGAGCCATCAAGGTTCGCTTTCATGACCGCCGCCATCTCGGCAGATCTTGGTATCGCTGATTATCAAGCTTTCAAGCCCAGGTATCTGGTAGGAATATCAGTCGCTTTAAGGCGCGTTATCAGACTATAGATAGAACCTTAGTATCCTGCTTCTTTCATATTCACAATCATCTATGGACCTGGACCACGAAAGTTGTACCGCAAAGCCTACTGCCAATCCGACGCGGTGCGTGGGATCTACATGCATGAACTTTCTCTTTTAGGTAATGTGCGAAGCGTTGTTTCACTGCGATTTTAACCCCTCCGGAGGGGCGTAACGTTAAGGACCAAAACCCATGGAGACATCAGCTATTTGACTTTGACGAGAAGGAACAGAGCAATATCGCAAAAATCAACCAGCTCACCAAATCAACAATTCTGCAGACCTTACCGTCAAGCCGCCTCGTCATTTCGACACCAACCCAGATAAACCCCGAAAACCCCGTTGCCAGCAGATCATGGCACCTAACTAAGGTAACAAAAGTCGCGGCGCGCCGGCCCCCAGATAGCCCGCCAACAAATCGCCGCCTGATCGCCGCCAAACCATACTAAGCCAAGTTCGCAGAGCTCACGGGTGTGTCCAACCTCCCATCCCCATCCCCAATCACAAGCTGTGAATTCTGCACCCGTTTCTGCCGCATGGCTTCGTATCTTATCCTTCCTACCTTATCCTTCCTATCGCAACCACATCTTCCCATGTGCCAAGCCACATTCCTCCAACGCATCAATCACTCGAAATCAGTCAGCTGACGGTTCGAAGGTAGGCAGGTCCGTGTGTGCATGTACACACCAGCAAACCAACGCCTCGCACCCCGCACCTCTTCGTCGCGAACTTGCGAACCAACTTGCCAACCCTACCACACCCGTTCAGCACATGCCCCCATGAACCCAGATCCCGACGCCGAGTGGGGGGCAACCAGAGGTGCCAGCGAAGTGGAGGGGAAGGAGGACCTTACAGGAGCTCGTGGAGGGACATTCTCCAGCTCTCCCGAGCTTGCTGTCATCCCGAACATCTCCCCATCTCCATTGGAGTCCTTTGGAAAATCTAACCTTTCCCCTCACAGACTTTGAAGTATTGGAGAGACCCAAGGGTCTCCGCAAATAGCGTCAAACAGCTCAAGCATGCATGTCCCGCTTCAGGTAGGCATTCGGCGGGCCGCCTGCAACCTCCAGGCTCCCAAGTCAAGGACCCCACCCCAACAATGAGATGCCATTTAATCACTCAAAGAATACAAAGCCCATTCAAAATTCACATAATCACAACAATAGGCCGCATGATTCGATAGCCAGCAGGGGGTGATCAATATTTTTCCCGGGAATCAAAACACTCGTAGTTCGTATTGCCATCTCAAAACAAAACTATCATACCACGAGACGAGGGAGAGAAAATGAAAGAAGAAATTCTCCATCTCGAGCTCCCAGCCCCAAAAACCAATAGACAGACAAGTGATCTTCCGCTCATGGCCGTTCTCCACAGGCTAGAGGATCCCCCGTTTCGGCAGTCGTTGTTGGCAAACAGAACTGGTTCCAGCAGTCAAAGATCCACCCCAGGTCAACATCTTACAACCCTTCCACGCGATACGAGAAACATGTTGTCGAATGGAGGGCACACAGCTCGAGTTGGCTATTGGCTATTGGCGAGCGAGCCGCTTCCGGGCTGTAAAACTTGATAGAAGCAGAAAATCCATGCTGAATTTAGTGCTGTGAAGATTAAAGGTCAGCGCCTGAGTATCTTGAGATTTGTTGTCGGAAAGATGTGGCTTACGGAGCAAGAGCCGCAAGAGCAGGCAGTGCAGGAGCCAGCGCAGCTGGAGCCGCAGGAGGAGCAGGAGCTGTTTACATTAGGTTAGCTTCAACGTCGTAGATATCAAGGCATAGCTCATCCGGTGGGATAGATCGAAACTCAAAGAGAATTCGAATCATCCGGAGAGACTCGTGTGTAGTGGTATATTTCCAGTGTGTAGAAGACGGAGCACGTGGCTGTCACTCACCAGGGGGCCATTTTGATAGTTTGGTGGTTGAAGCGAAAAGGCTTGAGTGTTTGTTTGTTTGTTGAAGTCTGGAGTCTGAAGCTGATGAGTCGGATGAAGAAAGAACCTCACTTCGACCAGAGCTGGTCTGGGTTTATATAGCCATTTCGAAGGCTTGTCCCCCACGTATCAGTCAGCCAGACATCAGGCGGCTATCTGACGAGGAAGCGCGATTTCATTCGCGATTACGTGGAAGGCACGGGAGTCCTCGGAGAAGGGCCATGTCTATCCCTGGATGATCGAATAAGTACTCCGTAGTGTAAACCGCGAATACCGCGCGAGCTTTGTTGGCGGCAGAGAGCTGGCATGGCGGTTATGTGATACCGCATCAGGCTGGTACTCCCATGGTTTGATCCATAATAGCTTCCTGCGGCCTAGAGGAGGTGGACTGGCACCGTTGAGGAGCGGGGTCTGGCACCGAATCTACGGGTGCAGAGCTCTGCAAGCTTTGAGACCTGTGGTCAGCTGGTAACACGGAGCAGGGTGCCACGTTCGGGCTGGGGAGGGGGGGGGGGGGTCCACCCGACGACGGGGAGCCGGGCTCTTGTGATTGGATCAAGTGTGGCAGACTGGACATCCACGCACGAGGGTTCGATATGGCGAACAGGGCGGCAGAATGGAGCGTGCATGGCTGCCGTGGTCGTGTGAATATGATGTTGTAGGCGGGCTTGGAGGGATCGTCAATGGTGAGTGGATGAAAAGTGCCCGATGAGGGTAGCCCCGCCCATCTTCGGTCAAACGTTTGGGCTAGGAACAGCGTGGGAGGGTGGGCAGAGCCGGTCTGGATTGTGGATTATCGGATGGGTGAAGAAAGGCTGCTTTTGGAGCGAAGAGCAATGGGAGTGGACGCCTTTGGGGCACGGCACCAGACTGAGGAAAGCCGACGGCGGCATTGCTCGTCGTTGTTGGGTGCGTATTGGTGTGAATCCGTCTGTGTATGCATGACAATGTATGTAGGACGACAGAGAAGGAAATCTGCTTGTGATGCGCTTGGCGGCGGCACCCGCGCGAAACAGAGTTTGTACCATCCCGCACCAAAGGCTTCAGGTGATGCGACGCAGCCATCCCGTTTTGGCCAGAGTTGGGACTAGCTGTCTGCCCAAGTGGGATCCGTCTGCTTACTAGGCAGTCTCGACTGAAAGAAGGAAAATAACAGACAGTAAAAGACAAGAATATGGACAGACGACAGACTTGTCCTATGCCAGATGACCTCGCCATCCATCGTCATGGTAGAGTGAAAAGCCTCAGTAAAGCGAGGTCAAGGAAGACAACTCAGAGATGAAGTCTCACCAGTGACACTATAGGCTCTTGCCTAAACTTCAGCTCTACCTCGGCTCCGCCGTCTGGACTCTGGACGAGCTTCAAAAGAACCTTGCCAGGGGAAGACAATCCCAGTAAAATCCCTATCGGACGTTCCGTAAAATAATACCTCTTAGCTAAAAGGCGTGGGTTGTCCAATCATCGAGATTGGCCGGCGGCGACGCTGAGCAACTCGTGATGGAGCAGGTTACCCAATCGGCCAATTACTCCGGGCTCGAGGTGAAGGGAGTCTGGAGACCGGTGAGAGGGGTGATGAAGCGAGACATGCGATAGAAATGAACAAGGAGAAAGAGAGAAAAGGAGAGGCTGTGGCTTCTTACCGTGGGGGTTTCGCTGAGGAGTATTGCCCTGCCTGAGGGCGAGCCGGGACCCGAGAGGTAATCATCAGATGGCAGGAGAGACGAGAAGCAGAGTCTGACTGATCGATACAGTGTGCAGGTTTTCTTTGTCTTCCCGTTCTCCCCGGTCTCCTCAACTCGGGTTATCGTCGCATACCTTGGTCGATTTGCTTCGGCCCTCAAAGCGGCCAACTTGACGGTGTTGCGGGCATTCGAATGAAGAGATGACAGAAAAGGAGCTCGAAAGAGGAAGATAGGATGAGCGGCTCCTTTTATGCCTTCAACCATCTCTCTACCTCAGGGGCCTCAGAATGGCGGTGGAAGGGAGAGACGGCATTCCCCTGGTGGGAATGATAGTGCGAACTGGCTGGGGAAAATTGGCTCATCAAACCACCCGGTCCCTCAGCATCCGTTGCGAGTCGTCGATATGCTGAGTCCTGCCGCCTGACCTGTCCGTAGTCCGTGGATGCGCTGGCTATCTCGCTCATTCCAAGCAACATCGCGGGTGATGGTTGGCGGGATGGCGATGGCGGAGACTGATTTTGTGTGAGACGCTGGGCCATCAAGGTTGGCCATCCGGGTCCCTGAGACACTCCCAAAATGGCCTTATCAATGCAGACCATCAAGGTTCTCAACACCGAGTTGCACTCAACAGCATCTCTGCATTTGATACGGAGTAGAATGATTCGACCAAACAACGATGTATCGAATGAGAGTCCCTTGAAGCTGGCAGTCTGTGTCGAAGGTCGAATATCTGTCTCTGTAGCAAGCTTGGGTTGTGACTGTGTCGATATGACCAAGCCACATTTACGCTGGTTGTGTTGCTTTTTGCCTTTTGCACTCCAACCTTTCTCGAGAAACCCGATTACCCGATACATGAAATTCAATCCGACTTGAATGGCTATTTGCTGACAACAACTTGAAACTATAACTGTGAAAAAGCAGTAGTTATCGATTCTCGGATGAAGAAGCCGATGTTCTGATGGGTCGAAGCGGCCAGGTTTGCTGTTCATTTGGGCCAGAACCAACGCTAGTTGTCAACTTGGGCAACCTTTGCAAAATCGAGCGAGGATCGAGTATGATCAAACGAAAGACTGTCTTCAAGTCCATATTTTCAGACAGAGAAGTTGATACCGACACTGTGGTAAATAAGGCGTAATTGCTGGCCGGCAATTACGGATTCGTTTTTGTACGACAGACACCATTGGTCCGATAATATGGCATCGCATAGGGCAACTCTCCACGTTTGTTCCGCTGGTGGCGTAGACTTGTGTCTCTAAAGCTTAAGTGGACGTCGTCAATCAAAGTTCGTGTAAAGATGACTTACTTTCTCATAAGGGTGTTGTCGATATGGCTTTGAGCTCCTGATCGTTGTCAAGCATGGACCAATGCCCGGGCAAGGCCAAAGGCAAAGCAATGAATTCTTGCTAGGCTGAGGACGACCGATCACCGAACAGAGTGCCTGTCAAGCTCGAATTTGCTCTTCCGACGACAGAACTCGACCGCAGGTCTTTCGCTATACCAAGCGATCGATCAAAATCCGAGCCTCGTCAATGACCTGTCGTTGCGCAGTTCTTCGGCCATCGCGCCAAGGTCCCCATAATTGCGCCATCTGGGGCAAGCGCCTCTCCGAGATCGTGACCCTTAGATCCGATCCGACCCTGGTCCTACGAGCGACCCCTCCTTCCCATCAAGAAGCGCGGTGAGCTCCGCTCCCGCCGGCTCGAACCTGTGAGCGGGCCGTCCCGCTGACCTTCTATCTCTCCTTTGCAGAGATTCGGCCATGAATGAGGGCTGCTGTCTCGGCGAATCGCGTGTCGGTGGCTCGACACCCGCCTTGTATGGTCCTGGTTTGATGGGGTGTGGCTGAAGGCGTCCGTGGGACCTTGACAATCCGTCTGGTTTCTGGAGCCGGTAAAAGGACCTGTCCAAGATCAACATGAGGTCTAGTCTTGGAGATTCCTATTCCGATGCGGCGACGCGCCCCGGCAGTTGACGACCCGGTGTTGAGAATAGCGAATTGTTTGAGTCAGACCGAGTCTGATGGAAGCTGCACGGGCGACAGCGGGCAAGGAATACGTAGGGGAAAACACGGCATGCCCGACGATGACGATACGCGTAGGCATCGATTTCTACAGCAACCAGTTAGCTCCAACGTACACTGAGTGTACATAAACAGCATACTTCACTTACTTACCTTGCGCTCCAGAATCCTGCCTATCCTCTCGTCAACCCACGCATCGCCTCGGTGGCTCGTCGAAATTACAAGACACCCGTATTCGGGGCTGTACAACGATCGCAGCCTGGAATAGAGTCCATCGATACGAAGGCGACTCAGTCATTAAACTTGCTCTAATGGATGCGAAATGACAGTAGAAAGCTAGGGGAAAGGAAGTCAGACTTAAAGAGAGACGCGCTGTCGATTTAAGCATTCTGAGAACATCAATGCCTCCAATTGCCCTGGTCCTCCTTCGAAAGGAAGAAGAAAAGTCTTAATGCAGCCCCTACGGATGTGACCTGCCACGCTGGGAAAGTAGTACTCGCAAAGTACCTTACCTTACCTGGGTAGGGCAGGCACTTTCGCTGCATCACTCCTGCCTCTGCAGCGATGGACCTTCCTATCGTGAGTATGGCCGCATCCGTCAGGTACCCAAGGTAAGGTACCTACATCGAAGCAGGAAATAACTAAGCAGCAGCCGCCAGACTGTGCTGTGCTTGGTCACAAGGCGCCTTACTTCCTCCTAACAGGAGATCCTGGGTCACCTTTGATTCAAAAAGGCGATGATGGCAGTTGGAAAACGGCGAAGACATATATTCAGGGAACCAAACTTCCTACAACCGTGGAGGACCTGCTCAGGCCTGCGAGAAGCATAAGCGATTAGCTTTGTCTACTGGGCCATGGACGATGATACACTAGAACGACAACGAGAACAGTGTATTGGCCCCATGGCAATATTGTGAAAAGGGTCCCAGCTATTGCCGATTGCCTCGGATGTCTAAGTTGTGTCGTGGTGAGTCGTTGCATGCATAGCCTCCTATGGTACAGATGTTGGCAACACACCGTCACAGCTTTCACGAGTCGGAAAAGTAAAACATTGGGTGAAGAGTTGAAATTTAAATTGAATTGCAAATCTCATTCATTGTTGGTGCAATGAGGAACTATGGTCCCAGTTGCCAATGAACTCCGAGCCTATGTATGTATGATGCCGCATAATGAGATACGATTCGTAGCTAATCCACCCCGGAAACAAATCACAAACAAAACCCTACTTTGACAGACACAACCTGGATATCCACGACGTTCGTATCATGATTTGCGCTAGTGTCCTCGGCCACTTGACCAAGATATGCCATCCCTGTAACCCTTACGCCAGAAAATCCACAATTGACCGTTCATAGTACCACCTTCTAGGTCTACCTCGTAGCGCTGGGGCTTCGTTCAAGTCTAACCTCACTCCCGGGAGGAGTGCGGCTTGGAGTACGGGGCTCCTATGCCCCGCCAGCTCGGGCCGCGAGAGGCTGCTTGTTTCGTCTTCCCAGCAGTGTGGCACCGTCAAGGCTAAGCTCAAAGGCGCCCTTCTGCCTGTTGCGGTCTCTAACCTGTTGGCGAGCTGCAGCTGTGACGGTTGCCGAATGTTGTCCGTAGCCTTTCTCATTCGCCGCAGGTGCTTGCCGCTCACGCTCGCGTCCGCGATGTTCTTGCTGATCTTTGATCTGGGCATTGCGCATGCTTTGCTCGAGTGCTTGTGTGGCCTGCGATGGCTTGTGGACATATTCAGCCTCCTTGTTCTCGGCCATTTCCGCATCTTCGTCCTCTGATTCCTCATTAAGGTTGTTGAGGAAGCGTGCGGGAACACCACCCTTGGTACCAATTTGCTTGCGGCGCTTGGCCTCTTCCTCTTGCCTGTGAACGGCGTATCCGACATCGAACACCTCACGCAGGTTGACTGCGCCGGGGGAACGGAAGTCGTAGCGACGGTCACCATCGTTGATTCTATTGGCATCGAATGCACGAAGCATGTCGGGTTGCGTCTTCTTCTCTTCACGAAGCGTTGGGCCAGAGCCCTTGATCCAGGGGTGGGCGAGGAATTCGGTGATGGTGTATCTCTTCTCGGGGTCCACGGTGAGGAGGTGAGAGATAAGGTCTTGGGCGGACTTCGAGATATCATCCCACCAGGGAGACAAGAAAGTGTACTGACCCTTGGCGACCTTCTCCGTCAAGACCTCGATGCTCTCGTCGTAGAAAGGAGGGAAACCACAAAGTAGCGTGTAGAGGACGCAACCCAATGCCCACATGTCGACTGACTTCGAATAGCGCTCATCCTTGACAATTTCGGGGGCTGTGTAGCCGACAGTACCGCAAGGCGTCATGGTTTGGTTATCCCACACAATCTTGGACAGACCAAAATCGGCAATTTTGATCTGGCCGATACCACCCGCGCCGACTCCGGGAATGAAATCGCCCTCATCTACCTTGTCTTCATCGCCAGGCTGCTTAGGCTTGGGGTTCTTGGAAGGAATGACGGGAATTGGGCTGAAAAGAATGTTTTCCGGCTTGATATCACTGGAACATGATACGTTAGCAAACCATACGAACGGATGACGTCACATGCAGAAGCAGAATTGACGCTCCAAACGTCCACAGCTTCGATCTCACAGGTGGGGGTCGGTGAGAACAGACTGTGTTTTACTTACCGATGAACAACACCTCTCTCCTCGTGCAAGTACTCCAAGGCCTGCGCGACCTGCACGATGACATGCCTCGAGAGCTCCTCGCTGAAGTACGTGAGGCGAACAATCTGGTGGAAAAGCTCGCCACCGGGCGCCAATTCCAAAATGATGTAGTAATACTGCCGGGATTCGGAAAAGTCGACAAGCTTGATAATATTCGGGTGGTCAAGCTGGCGCATAATCTGAACCTCTTTCAAGATGTTTGCTCTCTACGTTGGGGTCAGCAACGATGCCCATTAAGTAAATGGAGAGCCATCCTCGAAATAACAATGACTGTAGAGCAACATGAAAGTGTCGAAAAGTGAGGATGACCCGAAGAGTAGGCAAATGAAATATAGAAAGTTTTCGCACCTCTGCAGCCTTAGGGACCTTCTTGAAGTCCGGGTGTAAATGCTTATTTCCCTAATCACGACCCTCGGTTGGTATGGGAATGCTCGAAAAGGCTCAAATCAAAGACAACAACGCAGCGAAGAAGAAAAAGCGAGAAAATCATGGTCGCGGTCGTAACCACCCCAGCGTAAACTCACCTGCATGCTGTTCATTTCATACTTGCGGACGACCTTGATGGCACACTCGCCGGGGTGCTCGCCAGAAGTATCGCGAGCGCGGTAGACGTTACTGAAAGCACCATCCCCCATCTTCTCGACCAGTTCCCATCTCTCCAGGCCGGGGTATCTCGGGAATTTGCTCTTGCTCTCGTTCTCTTCAGCTACAAGCTTGGCCAGGTGTGTGTTGTCGATGTTCTTGCCTGCCTTGGACGTCTTGTACTGATTCGGCTCGGCAGCGTGGGCGGCAGCGTGGTTTGCCTGAGCGGCGCGGTTCTGACCATCGCCAGCTACTGAGTACGCCTCGGGAGTAGCTTGAGCAGGTGGTGCAGCGGCAAACGCAGGCTCTGATACGCCTAGGTGCGCCTTAGGCGGCGGGGACTGCTTGGCTGCCGGCTCATCGTTGTTCGCTCGCGCTTGCTTTCCTATTCGTAAACAGCGTCAGCATTTTGCTTTTCACCTAACAGGCCACGAAGTCGTCACGAAGGATCGGGGTACGATACGGGGAAATGAGACGAGGAAACGACACGGAAGCGGGATGGTGCGAAAAAGCCCTGTCCGTGGGCGAGGCAGGGGAAAAGAGGGGATATCGTACCGTGTCGGATGAAGTTCTTAAGTTGCTGTATCGTCGACATGGTGTTGAATTGGGCCGCTACGAAGGGCGACGAAGTGTGAGGTTATTCGCAAAGTTAGGTTTACGCAGCGCACGTCGCAGTAGTCGGCGGCTGAATCGATCAATCTGCCCCGTTGTTGAGGGTGACGCTCGATGTTTGAGTGTGATTGGTAATGCGGAGTCGGCGAAGCACGAGTCGTGGGAATATGCTCGGTGGGCGATGTGGTACCTTGAACGCTGGGCAAAGTCGTAATGTTGTGTTGTATCACGAAGATAGAGAATTGAGGAAATGTCGAGGTCGACAGAAGCGGATGCAAGGTTGTTTCTTTGTGAATGGGGGAGGGGGAATCAGCGGCTGAAGGGGAGAAATTGTTGCGAGGAAGAGGAATTTGTGGACTGCGGCGAGCAGTGGTGATGTTGGCGGAGGGGCAACGTGGACTCGGATGACGGAAGTTGGAGGAACAGGCAGCTGGAGATCGGGCGGGAAGACGGGCAGCAGCAGCAGCACGTTTGTCTTGGTTAGAGGAGGCCGGGGGACCAAGCGAAAGGGAAGGAAAAAAGGGCAGACGGCGCTAGGAACAGCACCAATGCAAGGTAGGAAGAGGGAAATGGGTATGGATTTGGAGCCGGGGAGGGGTGTTGGTTGGGTTCAGGTTGACAGGGCCAGGCGAAGAAGAATGGTAGACGATGACGGCGTGTTCTGCCCGTAGTCGCTGTGCTGTGTGTACGAGCAGGGCAAGCAGAGGTACTCTGTTGCTCGTACCGTGCGACAACTTGGGAGAAAGTCGAAGACCTTGGAATTCCGGGGGGCGAGTAGACTGCCCGAGGTGAAGAGGGGGGAGTGTGCGTTGCTTCGTCCTGGTCCTCGGAAGTGGCACGCAGAGACGGGCTGGCTACCGTACTGGACTGGACTGGCCCGATTGACTGGATTTGAGCGATGATGATGACAGAGGTGGTGGACAAGCGTCAGATGAGGTAGCTCTTCGCCCAGTGAGGTGTGTGAGAGGCCGAGAGGGAGGGCGTGTGAAAGGTCGCAGATTGGACAGTGTGCAAGAGACAGGCTGCGGTCGGGGCTGTAGATGCGCAAGGTGATGATGATGTAAAAGGTTGATGGGCCTTATTTTTTATTTTGGAGCCTTCGGTGAACCAGCCAGGAGTGAATCAGTCAGTGTATTGGAGCGACGGGAGGTGCAGCACGAAGAGGCAGCGAGATCACGGTGAAAGGTCGCGAGAGAGGAGAGGAAGACAGAGAGGAAAGGACGAGAGGTGGAAGAGTAACCTGAGAGGATGCAATTGCATGGTGATTGTACCGCAAAAAGCAAGCGACGGGAGCATCAGTCATCCACGGCACTCGTGGAGGGGCTTTTTTTGGGGGGGGCTTCCCCCTCATCATATGTCTCCCAGTTGTCTTCTTTTGGCTGCAGTCACTTGATGGGCTGGACGATGATGATTGGAGGCATAGAACACACAAATGGAAGCACGTGGGAGATAAATGGTTGGGAAAGGGCTGTGAGAGCAAGGCAAGGCAAGAACAAGTCTATTACCTCTTTCCCAATTCCTCTTTTCCCAACCCTCGAGATTGTCTTGTGTGGTGTTTCGCTCGTCAAAAAAAGCAGCAGGAGCCAAAGTGGGGTATTCTGCTCAGTACCTAACCAGGTCGGCCAGTGTGATCGATAGGTACTTACCTTAGAGGTACCTGATAGGTGTACTTTGAGGTAATCGTGCATTGCCTGGGGAAGGTGCCTCAATGTGTCCTGGACTCCTTCCATACAGCAAAGCATCTTCTGCGGTGGAAGGAACTACTTTGGCCTCCCTCCCTTTCCGGCCAGCATCATCAAAGGCACTTTCCTCAACTCGCTGTAGCCTGTCCGTACCTGCCGGCGTCGACTTCAAAGATGTACACAGGTACCTTGGCATTTCTAACTATTCCAGAGATGTTCCATCTTCCAGGTTCCTTGCTTCCCAAGGTATCTTCCTTATCTAAACTTCTCAACTCAATTCTCATGATGTTTGCAGTCAACCCAATCGAGTCGTTTCAAAACGTCCCTCTCTTCACAGGTTGGCCATCCCAACCCCGGACCCATTCGGCATACCTACACCAGATCCAAGATTGGGCCTCGGAGGACAGGGGAACGGCTAGCGCCAAGCAAGGGACACCAAGAAGCCTCTCGTCGATTATCCGCGGGATTCACCAAACGCAGGACGCTACAGTCTGTTAGGTGCGAACCATGTTCTCAACAACAGCGAGGTCCAGGTTCGGGTTGAGGTTCCAGCAAGTGATGGCACAGCACTGAAGACGAGAATCGGCACACAGTCACACGCGCACACACAGTTCGACGAATCTGCTCCGACTGTGTCTCGACCATGAACGACGCTACGTCGGCGCCAAGGAACCAGAGTTCAGGGGAGCTGGACACGCTAGAGTCGGCCACTTGCGTTGTAAAGTTGGGATGATGCATGACATGGCACTGTGTATTTTCTGACAGAATTGACAGTCCCCCCAGACACACGACAATAGCGGCAACAGGGCAGAACGACAGCCAGCAGCGCCCACGAGCCGGAGCAGCTACGAGACGGGTATCATCATTCGGAACTCTTACAGTTATGACATCCATCTACAAACATTCGACAGCTCACTGCTCACTCCTCACTCCCCCCATCTCCATCTTGGTCAATCATACACCATGGGCCCCCGCCGAACCAGGACTGGGGTCAGACGAGGGCGCGAGTCCAAGATGCAAAACTCGCATTTTCCCGTCTGCCCTCCCGCCGCCATGTTTCCCCAATTCCATGATTTGGGCACCCGGTTGCAGCCAGACACCCACGACAAGCCAGACTTTACAGACCCAGACGCACAAGAACCAGGTGCCAGGACCCCAGGAGCAGGGCCCGGCTGGCGTGCCCAACCTTGAACCCATGGCTGTGATCCGACTCATCCCATGGTGCCCATCCAGGATCGGAGCCTGTTCCACTCGTTTGGATGGCGTGGGGCCCCCGTTATGACGTCTGCCTCATCGTCATATCCGCTTCTGGCAGGGATGACATCTTTGGCACCAGACACCCTGATGCATCATTGGGGGGTAAATATGGGTTCGGCTATGCTGCCTGAGGCCATCGGCCAGATTGAGGCATGGCCAGTCAGGGCCCATGATTCAATCCTCTCCGGGGCATTCCCTCCAGCATTCAATACGGAGTACTCGCTCAGTCTGCATCTCACCTGCAACACCAAATGCTCACTACCAGATTATCGTCAACAAAAATGTCCTGTACAGGTTACAGGGGTTGGCCACTGCTTTTCTCGCTTTTTCTCTTCCCCCATAATGTAGCCAAATTTGCCGATACACCGCCGGCCTGTCTCAGACTCTCAGTGTCTTCTCCTCGGAAGCTAAGTTCGATTCTTGTCTCCGCCTCGCGTCTTCCCGCATCACTGGGCCACTGGCGCATCGCACCGCTTGCATTGCCAGTTCTGTTTGCCGGTAGAACCAATCATATATCGCGCTCGATCCACACACCGAGTCACCCCGCGACTAACCATATGCCTCCCGAGATGATGATGGGCGACGATGCGCAAGCCACACACGCCACCGTCATTTCACTGACGACGCTTTTCCTGACGCAGTCATGCAGTCACGCAGTGTGTTTCTGCTACCATCTCGGTAGGTACGGCAGTCCATCACATACCTACTGACATGCGGGCAACCGGCTAGTTAGATATCATACACCAGCCGGCTTCCCGCCCGTCATCCACGCGACGCGGGAGTCTCAGTCTCGACCTCGGTGTGTGCCGCCCCATGTTGACGAGACTAATCAAGATATCTACCTGCCCCATGTACTCCGTACAGGGAGTGATCTCACAACGTAGCTCGCCGTCTATGTATCAGGATGACCTCCATGCTCCCCGGAGTTCAGACTGCGGCTCAAATTGCTCACCTCAGGGCATGGCATTCATTGGTCGGCCACCTGCAAGGCGAATGCGTGGATCGCATCATCAAACCCATCTTTCAGCCCCTGGTGACTGGACAGTCCTTTTCGGCCGCCTTGCAGATATGCTAAACTCACTAATACCTACGAAACTCGGCGCTCTAGCCAAAGGCATCCCCATCGCGCTTGTAGCCTCGCAAACCCGCAAACGGCGAGAACAAAATGGCCTGAAGCCAGAGCGCCGAATGGACTGGTCCAGACCACTTCTCTGCACGAGCCATCTTCTGTCGTCATTCACATGGTATGGTACCTACCTAACCTCTCCACGTTTGGCGCGGCTGTGGCCGAATTAGATTCCTTAAACCCTTTCTGCAGCACCAGCCACATCTCATCATATCCCGGTCGAACTGCTGCGGTGCTCCAGCCACATTTCACATCGCAGGAGCATTGGTCAGTCTACACTGCGTCACATCTCACAACGCGCAAGCCAGCATCAAGCTTAGTGGCCAGCAGGTAGGGACTCGTTAACAAGAATTCTAGGCGAGTCTTCGTCATCGGACTTGTAGCTTCTTTGGTGTGGAAATTCGATCTTAGCCGCCCTGGCTAGTTGACACGTGGAAGAGTGGACTTTTCTTTTCATGGAACAGCAAAGTGTGTCAATCTTGAAGTCCAGAGGGGATCCCATTACAAACCCGACGGCGAGCACTCAAGGCTCAAGCCATGATGAAGAATGACAACGCGCCTGTTTTTCAGCTCGCTTAATGCGATTCTCAAAGTCAAAGTCAGACAACCCCAATCGGCTACATGGCTCTACCTGCTCCTTGAACCGCCGCCGGTGGGCATAGGTAGGTACTACATTCACGATCATCAGAGAGAGATACGGCTCACTATCGCGGCACCCTCAACGCCGTCCCGAGATGATCACCATGACGGATGGACAGGCCTCCCCACCTTGGCGCAGCGGCAGCATACCTAGGTACTCGTCGCTAAATCTGCAGGTTGGACGTTGCAAACGCGCGTTGAAAGTGCAAAGAGACAATCCAGCTGCTCTCACTCCAAAGTGATGCGAAACACCCCTTTGACGTCATGCCTTTTGCCCCCACGCCCATGGCAGAACAGCGACAGCAGGACGACTGCACAACGCTGAAATCGGGCACGTGGCACGTCACATCATCACTCGGTCTCCATTGGCCACTGGCGTCTCGAACTAAACGGCCTTGAATCATCTCCCAAGTCAACCGTTTAGATGGCAACACGACCATAGGTAGCGCGGACGTTTAATCACAACGCTGACGAGCCACTCGGGCGCTTCCCTCCTTGAGCCGCGGCAACGTATATCCTGACGTCGCGAGACCATTTCTTGGGGCAGTGCCTCCGAGCCCATTTACGGCGTGTTGCAGATTTTCTCAGCCATAGGACCGTTTGGCCTGGCACCTTTTGGGACAATACTGCAGACATGTATGTTTCCACAAATTCCGAGGCCGCAATGTCCACTATGAAGTCATTATGGTCAGGGCGGCCTAGGCCATCTTGTTTCTCACCCCGGATAATGCACCTCGCTAGGATCTTTGGATCAGCATTGGGGTTTCCTAACCAACCGGCTCATGGCGCGGGCCTAGACGAGTCATGAAGCATCAAGAGGCTGGCTCGACATCTACATCAAAGTTGATCAAGTTTCATCTGCTGCTTCAAGGCCTTGAAGAATTCCAGATTGGCTTATGGGGTAATAAATTCTGGGCGCCATGTCCCTTCACTATTCCGATGCTACAATTTAGTCGTAAACACCCACCCGTTGGGCTCCAACTTACACGGTAAAGCTCCCCAGTTTAGGCTCCGGTGGTTGGGCTGAAAATTGCGGACTACCATTTAAACAGGACTTCAATCGTCATATCAAGGCACGGTTTCCAGGCCCCTTTTGCAATTGTAAGGACTACAAGCTGGAGGTTGTTCGTCAAAGACGAGTAACTACCCGGTGCCGCTGGCTGACTACCTAGTCAGCAGTCATATTGTCAGGGGCGTACAGCTTGCTTGCCTGCCTATCCCATATCGCCATGGTGCCTTGCGAGCAGGTAGTTAACCCCGTTACATCCAGGTATCGCGCCCCTGAGGTAGAAGGCTGAAGGATGGCTTGAGTCGCGGATCACCGGGAACATTCGACAGGAAGGTGTCGGCGTTGTACCTTCGGACACGCCAAATGTGCATCGTAAACATCAGGGCTCAATACAGAGTTCAACTCTGGTGTCCGGGCATTAATATCAGTAATGTTGAGCATTCTATAGCCCTTTCTTGTCATTCTGAATGGTGCCAGCTTATCACTGAGTTTGATCGCAAGATAAGAGAGGGAGCTCAATGATGGAATGGTGAAGTCACAAAGGGGTTTCCCATCATGCTGTGCCGCCGACGTGCAAGCTCGGCCTAAAGCCGGTCGACGCAGGTACATCTAGAGGTGATTGTTAACATGGTACCATGGAAGGAAGGTTGAGTAAGTAGAGAATCTCAGGCCGTAGGCGAGCCGGATGGGGGCCACGAGTGACGAGTCACTGATGTGTGGTTCCTCAACGTCTCTCTAAACCTGATCAACATCACGTTGACCAGCGCGGACTTCGGGTACCGCGTGATGTCCATCTTTCCCCCCCTTTCGCCGCGAATAAAGTACAAACGCTCTGGAAAAAGAGAAAAGATCTGCTTTGGCGGAGAGAAGGGTTTGGATCGACTGCGTGAATCGCTGTTTTGGGGGACTGGAGGTTGGGGGGCGGGGACTGGGGCGGGTTTTTGATGTTTGCCAGGCAGTGCCAGGCACGCCAGGACGGTATTGGGGGTTGTTTAACTGGTGACTTTGGGTGAGAGACTTGGTCTGTCTTTGGAGAGTTTAATCGGTGCATTTATTTATTGGCCGCTGTGGTTGACTGGTATCTGATGTTTTTTGCTTGCATATATCTTACGAGTGGAAGGCAGACGTTGAAGGGACAGCTCTATTGTGCTTCTCCTTACAGCATTGAGCGTAATTCAGTTTCCTCAGTTTAATCGCGTCCTTTTACTCAGGTATTGTAGAGTTTATTTGAAAAGTTTCCAGTCCGGCTATTATAGGATTCCACCTTAACTATTCAGATTCATACGTGGTGAGGCTGTATTTGAGTTCGAAAGATCATTCAGGAGTACCTTGATGGCAAGCATAATTACAAACATGGGACGCATCTACAAGTCTGAAAGTTTTCGACTTATAGCTTAGTTGTATAGAGGCAAAGCTACTAAGTATGCAAGAAGCTCGTAAGCTGCTACGAGTACTAGGTGATATCAAGAAGGCATGGAGAATAAGATATTGTGGGGAGTGGATGCCAGTGCCCGGCGTGTTGAAGCCTGGAGTATGAACAGTCCTTGGAAGCTGTAGGACTACTAAACACTTTTGCCAGGGGCTCCAGGAAAACTCTTTGAGAGACCATTGGAAGACTGAGATCACATCCAGAACCCGACTGCGGTTGATAATCCTGAACCTTGGAGGGCATCGGAACTGAGGAATCATTCAAGGAAGTCGATGTTAGGGTTCAATTGCCAAAGCTATGGTTCCTAAATAAAGACTTGCACGTTGGATCGGATCCTGCTGTGCTCTCAGTGCTAGTTGACGAGTTGTTGAGGCGGAGGTAAAGCTCAAGGTTTGCAAGAACGAGTGAAACTGCACTGTCTATTAAGGATTGCGGGTAGGAAGCACGTCAATTACAATTATTACCGGCAAGGCTATCAAGTTATGAACATATCTTGGAGACATGAATGATCCAAGCCTGCGGAACATCACCCTATTAAGACGAGCCGACTGCTAGACCCGATGGACATTGCCTACCTTACTTGCACTTCAAGAAGAGTATGATTGATGAAATGCGCTATGGATGTAGCGAACTGAATTTCTTTGACTAGTGATCAACTCAAGGTCAAGTCATACATGAATCATTGAACAATTGGCCCCGTTGTTTCTATATTTCCACATCAAAGTCCACTCTGTTTGCTCACTCACACAGCCCAGCAGGGAAGTTCTTTATATCTCATTTGCCGTCAGAATTCCTGGTGGTCGACAGAACAGTGCTGATGAATGTCACATCAGTCCATATCACTCGAGCAGCTACTCTGAGAGATTTATCAAAGCTGCCTCCTCGAAGGAGTCGAAGGAAGCTGTTGGCATAATTAGCATGGTAGACAATATCGAATGTACTACTGCGGACTGAGTGGCTGCGATTAGGGTGGCATCAGATTCCCGCCTCACCTCCAACTCCAATCCCGAACATCTCCAGCTTTGCCAAGACTCCCATCCGCGGCGGCGGCGGCGGGTGGTGACTCCAAGTCGGTCTCATCATGCCTTCTTCGTCGTGGGCTTAGGCCGTCACCATCACTGCCAGTGGCCCTCAATGATATTGATAACCGCGAAGCGATCGTGACACTGCTGACCACCAGGCTACCTATTGCAAACATGACTATACAAGAGATTGCAAGTCCTTCTTCCACGACAACATGTTATGCTTGAGCTACGAGTTACCCGGCGGCAGTCAAATTGAGCAGGGCAGAAACTCCAGGCCGGCATGACCGAACACGTCCCAAATGTGCTCTCAACAATGAGCTGCTAGTGCGGCCGCATCGCTCACCGCCCCACGCTTCAACACGTCAAGAACTCGGGGCAGGTGAACTGCACGCAGGCCTGCCCTGGTATCTCAAAATGCCCGATGGGTTTATCCCGTGCCGACGAGTGGATCTCATTCCGGGGCTCCACATGCTGACCAGACCTAAAGGGCGTTGACAACTGGAGTGTGGTCACAGCTGAAGCGTGACCCGACATCAGGACGGGGACCGGGACCTGACTCCACAGATAAGATATCCAGGAAAAACTTAGCGCCGCTATTTCCCCCCCCGCCAAACAGCGCTGCCCATCCCACCTCCATTGACTCACACAGAATTAATTGGCCCATGCCGTCACTCACCTTTTACTTTTTTTTCTTCTCAGAAGTACCAACAACAATCTTTCCAGCTTCTCATCCGGTCAATTGCTTCGACGCAAACTTGCTCTGTTCCACGAAACCTCAATTGATTCCCCCCAAATCCCCACAACATCATTGATAAAATGGCCGGCGAGAAGGGAAAGGTCTGCTTGGCGTGAGTGTTCTGCCCCTCCTTTTTCCAATTTCGAGGCCCGCGCCTGGCCCTGCGAAAGTCGGTCCCAAAGTTTTGTGGAGCGAAGTTCTGCCGGACAAAGTTTTTGTTATCACGTGCCTCATTGAGCCACGATGATCTTCAGCCACATCATGGCTGGAACGTCATTACTTCTCATATCAGAGATACGACGGCATGAGCAAGAGAAGATTATTGATTATGATGCTAATCGATGCTCAACAGCTACTCAGGTGGTCTTGATACCAGCACTATTCTGGCCTGGCTCTTGGAGCAGGGGTAAGTCACTCACCAAGATGGACTTTTGGCCATTCGAAGCTAACTTAGTATTCAGATACTCCGTTGTGTACGTGATTCTCGGCCCTCTGTCATGGAAGGCGTCAATAAAGGGTTGCCAGTCTAATTTGAAAACAGCTGCTACCTTGCCAATGTTGGACAGGAAGAGGGTGAGAAGTCATGTGCTCTATGTTTTGAGACCAAAGCTGACTGAAGTTAGACTGGGCCGCTGTTGAGCAGAAGGGTTCGTTGCGAAGCTCCGCTCCCGTTAATACCTTCTGGGAATGGAATAATTTGGTTCAGTGAGCTAATGTTGTCAACTCAATAGCTCTCCAGATTGGTGCCGAGAAGGTATGTGAACACCATCTTCACAAAACGCCGCAAAACTCCTGAAGACCGCCGCTAACAAAATATCCTAGATGATCATTGATGACCTCAAGCGCGAGTTCGTCGAGGAGTGAGTTGCCATGGAGTTCATGTAAATGATACGCCGCTAACAACATTTCAGGCTCTGCTGGAAGGCTGTTCAGTGCGTAAGTAAACTCTGATATACAGCTTCACCTGTGCCAATCGGCTCACGATCACCTGCCCGATATAGAACGCCATCTACGAGGACCAGTACCTTCTGGGTAAGCTCATTCGGCTATCGAAAACAGTCATGTGCTAATTATCTCCGCAGGTACCAGTCTGGCCCGCCCCATCATTGCCCGGGGTCAGATGAAGGCTGCCGCCGCCACTGGGTGAGCTTAAATGGACATTCGTTTTGGGAAGATTGAACTGATATGGCGTCACAAGCTGCCAATTCGTTTCTCACGGCTGCGTAAGTGAAAACAATCTAACTCATTTTTACTGTTGACTAACTCTGCTCCCAGACCGGCAAGGGGTAAGTGATCAGAAGCTTTCAGGAGGAAGTATCTCGTGAGGCAGGCTGCTGACATTGCTGAACAGCAACGACCAAGTTCGTTTCGGTAAGACTGCTGTCTGGTTCATCGATGGTTGTTTCCTCAAGACTAACGAGTTGACAGAGCTTGCTTTCTACACAATCAACCCCGAGATCAAGGTCATTGCCCCGTGGCGTGGTACGTGAACTCCGAGCATTGTCTAGTGACCTTCCCTGACTAACGAACTTATCTAGACCCCACCTTCTTCAACCGCTTCCAGGTAAGCTTTTGGTGCCGAGATGGAGCGCGCATAGTGTCGCAAGTGTCGCCGCTGACGCCTTCACATTACAGGGACGCAACGACCTCCTTGACTACGCGGCTGAGAAGCGTTAGTTATTTTTGCTCCTGTTCTGTTGTTGATCGTTTGCTAAAATTGTCCAGGTATCCCCGTCACCAGCACCAAGGCCAAGCCTTACTCTATGGTAAGAACAGTCCCCTTTTCACCAACTCCCAGATGCGACTCATGGGCATTTTCTGACTTTATCTAGGATGACAACTTTGGTATTTCACCTCACTTTGGAAACATAGTACCCCTGCTGACGTGATAAGCCCACTGCTCGTACGAGGCTGGCATGCTCGAGGACCCCGATGTCACCCCTCCCGAAGACATGTGGACCAAGACGGTCTCTCCCCTCAAGGCCCCCGATGCCCCCCTCGACATCACCATCTACTTTAACAAGGGTATTCCCTCCAAGGTCGTCACTCCTCAGCAGACTGCCACCGACCCCGTCGAGCTTTTCGGCCTGCTCAACGCCATTGGCAAGGAGCACGCCGTCGGTCGCGTTGTGAGTTTCCTAAACCCCTCGAACTATAGCATGTTGCAAGTAGCCTTTATGTACTAACATTGGACGTAGGATATCGTCGAGAACCGGTAGAGACACCCACCTCCTTTTTGACGATACTAGGAACTGACTTGGACATCAGCATGATCGGCCTGAAGAGCCGTGGTTGCTACGACTCCCCGGCCATGACAATCCTTCGATTGGCCCACATCTCGCTTGAGGGCTTGGTCATGGATGGCCGCGTCCGCGCTTTGAGGGATCTCCTTTCTAAGCAAGTAAGTGCCAAACTCGCTTCCCAAGGGTCTAATCTTCTCGCAATTTATTGCCAATTGCCAATGCCTCTGCCGGCGCTTGACTAACAATCGAATAGTGGTCCGAGCTGCTCTACAACGGCTCCTACTTCAGCCCCGAGCGCGAGTTCTTGCAGCGTAAGTCCCATTTCCTCCACGGTTGAGGAAAACCAAAAACTAACCCTGTCGACAGCGTCCCTGGACCACTCCCAGCAGCGTGTACGAACAAGTAAATCCCTGTTGTGGTTGGTTAGTGGTGGCTGACAATGGTCGTTCTAGGTCAACGGCGAGGTCCGCCTCCGCCTGTACAAGGGCAACGCTTACTGCCTTGGTCGCAAGTCCGACGAGAAGCTCTACTCCGAGGAGGATGCTTCCATGGACTCTCTCACCACCTTCGACCCCTCTGAGACCGTAAGATCACCCCTAGAATCGACCGACGAAACTTGCAAATTGACGAGATGTGACAGACTGGCTTCATCACCATCAACGCCATTCGCCTCAAGAAGGTACGTGTCCAATCAAATGCATGGTCCTTTCGAATTCGCTAGCTAACGTTTCTATAGTTCGGTCTCCAGAAGGCCGAGGCTGGTCTCGAGTTCTAAAGGGATGACGTTTGGATTCGAAAAGGGCTCTCCGGTCGTTCTTCTGCCTGATGAGATTGGTCGTTGTAGACCCGGAAAGCCGATCGTAGCAATACAAGGATTCTCTTTCTGATCAATCATGACTCACATTGCCACGACGCCGTGATGTTTCATTCACCATACACAATCTTCCAAGCACAACCTTGTCGAAGAGCGAGGCTCGCGTTCACGAGCGTCCAAACGATAAGAAGATGGGCGCTCGTGTTAGAAGAAGCAAGGGTATCGGACTGCTATGGCGGCCATGTGAGAGCGCTTTACAGGCTGGCCATCTCAGTATCGAGGGAAATTAAGAAATGCAGGGTCATCCGCTTGGAGATTGGACATTGAATAGACAGTCGCAATGGTATCTTCAGATTCTATAGGAATACCATAAACCGAGTGAGCTACTAATCAAGTTAAGTAGTTCAAAGTTGCCGAAGCGTAGCCGAACCCGCTCATCTAAACCTCTATTGCCTACGAGCCTTATCGACGAAACTCTACTTCTTGTTTCCAACGTCTAAAAGGACAGACAGTCAGCACTTCTCTTCACATCATCAAACACGCTTTGATCGGTGTTCAAACTTACTGAACTGGAAATGAATAATGTCGCCATCTTGAACAACCTTTGAGGGGAAAACAAAAATCGTCAGCATGTGCCAGTTTCTTGGGGGAGTAAACCGGAAGAGCACTCACATAAGATTTTCCTTCCTGGCGGTACTTGCCGGCAGCCTTGATGGGGCCCATGGACTTGCCGCCCTCGCAGAGATCGTGGAAGTCTTGGTAGGCGACGACTTCGGCCTTGATGAAGCCCCTCTCAAAGTCGCTGTGGATGGCGCCGGCGGCTTGCGGTGCGAGGCAGTTTCTCGGGATCGTCCAGCATCTGATTTCCTTCTCACCAGCTATACACAAGGTCAGGACATCAGGAACCTTGAGTCGGTAAAGGGGCCCGTCCAGAGGCAGAAAAGTGGAAACATACCAGTAAAGTAGTACTGCAATCCAAGCTTCGTGAACCCCTCCGTCACAATCTTATCCAGCTTCGACTTGACCTTGCTCTCCTTGAGGAACTCGTCCCGCGCAGCCGGGTCGTCCTTCAAGCTGTGCAGCTTCTCCTCGAACTCGACGGAGAAGGGGATAATGTCCCGCGGGACACCGCCGTGCTCGGTGACCCACTTGGCGATGGAAGGCAGGTACTTGCTCTTTTGGCGGAGGTAGTCCTTCATCGTCAGGTTGACGAGGTAGATGGCGGGCTTGGTGGTGATGAGAGACATCTTTTCGTTGATGAGGGCGATCTCAGCGGGCGTCCAGCTTCCGTCGCGGACTGGGGTGTTCTTTTCCAGCATCTTTTTTTCGATTGTGTAAGCTGTATGACACATTTGAGGCTAGAAAGCGTTGGACTTACTGCTTGGATCTTTGTTGTTGTCTCTGTGAAGAGAGGCAGCATCTTGTACTTGCCTCCTGCCTTCTTGACGATCAACTCCTCGGCAACGATGGTCTTGGCCAGAATGTCTTGAACAGGGGTGTTAGCTGGGGCTTAGCGAATAAGATTTCAGAAGGACAACACATACCAAGATCCTTCTTGCAAAGCTCGCTTTGGATGGTTTCTAGAGGATGGCTCAGTCAGTTTCCTCGACTTGTGAGACGGGGCAGAGTTGCCTGGACCTACCCAAGTCCCGGACGGGATCAACCGAGTCATCGACGTGCAAGACTTCATCGTTGTCGAATGCTCTATTACACAGTCCAGGTCAGTCAAAAGCTCATCAATAGCTTACGCAGCACTCCAACCACGGAGGAAGTACACAGTACCTGACAATATGGAACATGCCATCAACAGCCTGGATATGAGACAAGAAAGCATTTCCAAGTCCCGCTCCCGTCGAAGCACCCTTGATCAACCCAGCAATGTCGGTGACCTGCAAGTACGCCGGGTACATGGAAGGCGGCTTCCACAGATCACACAAGAAGTCCTACACACAGTCACACCCAAGTTTCAGCCACATGATCTATTGAGGTAGATGGCCCTTTTTCCGTAGGCATTTTCTCGACACTTACATATCGAGCGTCGGGAACAGCACATCTCGCCTCGTTGGGCTCAATCGTACAAAACGGATAATTCTCCGCCGCGGCGCTCTGTTCGGTCAAGAGGTTGAAGAGACTCGACTTGCCCACGTTGGGCAGGCCGACGCACCCCATCTTGAGGTTCTTGCTGACCCTGCCAAACGCCACGACATTGTCCTTGACAACTTCAATCTTTTTCGGAGGCATGGCGACGGTCTGATTAGACTTGCTTGTTTGGTCTATACAACAAACGGAATTTTTCTACCAAGAAGCTTTGCCTTTTTGAAGGTTGAAAGAAGACAGATTCTGCTGGCAAACTTTTTTGAAAATGGCCTGATTATTCACTCTCAGGCCCACTTAAGAACAAGGGTTAAGGAAGATGCAGTTTTAGGGGTCCTTTTCTGGAAGGGCTCGTGCGGAACCGGCGTCTGGGGAAAATGACCAAAATAACCGCCCCACGCGCTGCTCTAAGCCCTTCAAAGCTGACAATGAATCTGTGTAATGGCTTCTCCTCCTAAACGTCAGGGTATTAAAGGCAACGTATACTGACGGGAAACATGAGCATAGACCTTCTGTTAAAATATATCAACGCTGAGATTCGACTCAGTCAAGCAACCTTGTCTAATGCGTTGATATGGGTGTTGTTCTCCTCCTGTATTCGGAGGTAAACGTGGTATGGCAAATCCTAAGCACTCCAAGGATAGGACACACATCTCGATGGACAAATGAGAGAAAGTATGTTCAGCACAGGATCGTTGTCCTAATGATACTAGAGCTTTTGGTTGAATCGTACGACTGAAGGGAAAGTACATTCTGTCAAGTTCATGTGGAAATTTCCATCTCGGTTCGCTATCCATCCAACCGCATCTCCCATGACGCCGCCCATTCCACCCTGAAAATCATTACATTCCCACTTAAAGCTGCGCTCGCAATTCCTAATGCCAGTCCGCTATTCCGTATCATAATCCTGTATTCCACTCAGTTCTGTTCTCCTGATGCAAGGAAATCACATCTCCTTCAAGAAATCATCAAACTCGGTCTTGGTTTTCATGTGTTGTGGGAGCAACATCTCCTCAAGTGCAGAGGCGATGTTATGGAGAGCATCGAGTTGCTCTTGCTCGACCAACATGTAGATGTAATGGTCCTTGATCATTTCCTCGGTCCAACGCTGATGACTACTGGGGTCGGATACGAGGTTGCAGATTTGCTTCAGTCGCGCTGCGTAGTCCCGGAGCATCGCAGGATCCAAATTACTGAACTCGGCATGGGACAGCAACCCAATATGAGCTCTACCAGAGTCACTCTCGAGCCATTCCGAGCCGTTGTTGGTCAGGGCGAGGGACGCGGCGTTGACAGTAGACCTCAGACACTGAACAACAGCTACGGCAGTCTCCGAGGCAGTTTGGGGAAGAAAGTGGTGGCTGATTGCGAGGACATGGATCGTATTCTGGACTTGATCCTTGAGTGTGTATAGAGCGTCTCGAACTTGTGATAGACGATCCGTGGGCCGTGTCGGAATTCGGCCTGAACGTCCAGGACTGGTGGCAGAGTCTTTTGCGATTTCGACCGGAAACTGCATGTCCTGTGTCCGGAAGCTGTTGAAGTCGCTTGATAACAGTCAGTGATTGGAAGGACTTTGCAATGGGAGACGACGACTTACGCTTGAATGATGGGCAGAAACTCCTGCATCTGCCTGTCCTGCTTGTCCAGTGCAGCAGCATATTTATTCAAGCTCGCACGGATCCTTGCAGCTTCCACCGCCGGATGCTGCGGCCAGGCTCTGGCCTTTCTCCGAAGCCTTGCAAGTACAGTACGCAGGGAATCCATCCACAGCGTGACACTAGGATCGAGCGGTATGTCCCTTTCATCGTTCGAATCCCAATAAGCTGCGTAATCGGCGAGGATAGGACGAAGCTCATTGATGTTCGCCATGAGGGCCTGGCAACTGTTGGCGATATTCGGCGCCTTGTCAAAGCCAGTAAGCTCCTTGCTGGTCCGGTTGAATGTGTCGAGGAGGTATTCTCCAAGAGACTCCAGCTTCTGGCTGATGATGGTAGGATTCATCGAGGAATCGTCCATATCCAGAGTGTCGCCCAAGGTGCCTTCCGGTTTACTCGATGACTCAGCTTCGTCGGCGTCCTCGGTGCCCATTGTTAGGCGGCCGATATCTCGATTCAACTCCTCAATTTCCTTTCCGTTGCTCGGTTTCGGTGGCGGCGTCGGAGTTTGCTGCTTGTTCTGGTATGAATTCCATATCGGCGAAAGGGCTTCGTTGGGGAGCAGGGAAGTTCCCAGCAAATCTAGGAGTTCTCGCCTCGGAGGCTGATCGTTGCTCGTTGCTGTTGTACTGGAGGCTTGCTTGGCGGAAGTCGGACGAGAGGAAGTCGCGTCTTCAGTTGTCGAAGGACCGGCAGCGGCACTCGAAGACCCCTTGGCCGCACCAGCAGTCAAAGGTGACTTGCGGGCTGTTGTCGCCGTTGTGAGGGAAGCATTACCGTCCTCATCATCGGATGAGAGTGATACGACAGAGTAGTTGTCGGCGATCTCTTCCCACTCTTCCAAACCCTGCTTGGCTGGGCTCTGGGCTCCGGCCATCGTGTGCTCGTATCGGAATCGGTCGACGTTGATAGCGAATGTAGCAAGTGATGGAAATTCGGCTAGCAGATGTACTATGTTAAGGATATTAGCAAGTAGTGGACACGGCAGCGTGATGCGACATGGAGGGAATCAGTACTTTAACTACCCAATACCCGATACCCGATAACAAGAGTATTTAGACGGTGCGCATGCATCCAAGCTATGTCTAGAGAAGCGAAGTAGACGGAAGCAGGATATTGTTACTAATGCCGACACGCCGATGGAAGACGTGGAGGTGACGCGGATGGGGCTGCCGGAACGAGCCTCGAGGAGGTGCAGCCTGATGCTGGCGGCTTACGAAAGACAGGGCAGATAAGGCAATCACCGGGCCTCAGGTTGATTGTTGTCGCACTAGGTAAGGTAGGTAAGTAGGTATTGATGTTGTAAGGTGACAGTCGCCCTCAACAGTTTCGGCCAGGGGGTGAATGAGGTGGGAGAGGAACGACGACCTTGGGTGACTCGTCAGGAGCGGTTAAGTGCCAGGCGGCAGCTGCAACTCGAGGCCCGCTGAAGCTCCAACGTATCAGCAAGCTTATGCGGGGTTGATGCCGACGATCATGCCTGCTTTCGGCTCCGGGCGTCCTTCCTGCAGATCGCCTGCCCCGCCGCGGAGGTCCCTGACCTCGTGCTTTTGCCTTGCGTATCTTATCTTATCAGTTCGAGTCCCCGATAACGATAAGACATCACAGGCCCCTGCACTCGACTTCTTCGTTGCGTCAAGTCATCACAGTTGCTCGCCCTGGAACATCATTTTTGTTAGACTTGACTTTATGGCGCTGTGAGTTCCTAAGTCTACAAATAAAACGTCCAGCCCATGGATGAGTCACGATCTCCGTCTAGAATCGACCTCATTACACTCTATGGCTGTTGCCGTCCCACTGCATTTTCGATCGCGTCTGCCGTTGCGAGAGTCCCATCGGCCTACTCCGAACGACCTCTATTCCCAACGAAAGAAATGCTTCAAATAACAGGCATGACCCCAGCCACCCCAATCGTGTACTGACTGTTACTACCCAAGTAGTTATCTCGAAAGGCATCCTCAAACCTAGCGCCTTTCCCCGTGCCTGCCTAACACCCTGTCCCAAGTCCTGGGTACTTCTTCTCGAATCTCGATCGATCATCTAAGCACTCATGCTGCTACTCTCGTTCTGGACCTTGCCAAACTTCCTCTTCATCATGACGAGCTCGAGTCCGTTCTTGATGGGCGGCTCGCCGCGGAGGAGGAGACCGATCTCGCTCGGGTGGAACCAGTTCATCCACACCATGACGAGGAACATGAGTGTTGCGTCGAAGACGTAGACGTACGCCTCGTTGGTCATCAGGTGGCCCTTGTTGCCCTCCAGGTACTCAATGACACGGAAGATGCTGCGCACCCAGATCAGTACGCTGGTGACGTAGAGCGTCAAGAGGTAGTAGCGCCAGCGGATCTCGGGCTGGTGGGACTTTGCGGTCGGAACGAGCACCATTCTGCGATGGAAGAGGGCGGCCACGATGATGAAGAAGCCAAAGACGGCAAGTTGAATGAAGAGGCCGACGATAATAACCTTCTCGCCAAGATCCATCATGCTTGCCCCGGACGCCATCATACCACCACCTGCACCATACGTGTCAGTGAATGTCTATCACAGGCTTTCTAATGAGATACATACCACTGGACTGCATTAGAAGCGACAGTACGTCTCCAGAAACAAATATCTTTGTCAAGAAGCGCCGCTTGATCAAGGCATGGCTCTCGCCGTCGGTCAACATGATGATGCGGCCCAAGATCATGTAGATGGAAGCTGCCATGAGGGCCGGCGCGATGAGGAGGAGAACATTCTGGATGATATAAGGGCCGAGAGTCCAGCATCCGGGCTCTTGTGTCGTGTTTTGCGCTCTCGCAGCGTATCCAATCACTTCGCCTGTGTAGAGAACGGTGTAAGCTTAGGATCAGGCCGTCGCGAGGGGGAGAACATGATGTCCTGTTCGAAGCACTTACACAGTCCACCGATGACAAAAGCGGTCATGTACCATGTCTTGGTCCTGACGAGTTGAAAGATATGAAGGCCGGTGGTGAGGACGTAAACGACGCAGAAGAAGACAGCCGCTGCCGTTGAGGGCTCGAATCGGTAGAACGACCACTCGGCGTTGACGTAGTCGGCGGTACAGCCTCGTGCCATATTTGCGATCTAGGAACTTCAACTGAGGCAGGGGAGGTTCTCGGTTGTCGAAAGTGGATCGATGGAAGCACGGCAGCTGTATCAGGAGAAAGAATGTCGGGAAAGTTCTATATGGAAATCAAAGAAAGGAGCGTTGCTGGGATCCTAAATGATAAATGCAGACTCTTCCGCTTGCTGAGTGTCTTTCTAGAGATGGGATGATGATGATGGGAAATACTTCAAGTCAGCGAAACAGGTTATGCTTATGTGCTTTTCACTTTACGACGATAACGGCCCACGTTGCGTGGTTCATCCAATAGACAAATCGGTTTAATCGTAATTATCGTATTCCACCCCCTAGACTCAGCCACGCAAAAACAACAGTATTGCTCACAAACGGCAACTAAGAAAGATCCTTGGCGAGCCGTTCGCCAATCTTAGGGTCTACCAGCCAGTAATAGTTCTGGTTTCTGCCTGGGATGCGAGTATCACTGCGCCCCCCTCGTCGTCCCGAGTTTTCGTCTCTACTCGGTAAGGTAGTGTCAGTCAATCTGCTGTAAGGAATTCTGGAGGAAATTGGGGGTATGGGCTTGACCCAGCCGTACATAGCCGTATTAAATACGGAACCAATCGCGGCTCTCCAAGTACGACTTGGCGTCCCTACCGGGCGCAAGGGCTGACGAAAAAGACCGGGATCCGGACCGTTTTGGGCACCCGGGAACGGTGGGCCGCGCATGGCAAGCGCTGGGAGCCCCACTTATTAAGGAGCGGGGGCTCCGCAATTGCGAGTATTCGCATTGCTCGCTTCGTATTCCCGCATCTCGCTCGCAACCACTGACATTGACTCTGACTGACACTGACCCTGTGTCCACAGTTTTCCATCGACGTTCTTTTATTCTTATTCCATGTGGGCGAACCCGCGTGTTCGTACTTCCTCCTGCTCCTCCTTCTGCACGCTTGACTTGACGGTGGTGCTGTTTGCGCTCTCCTCAACGGTTCCAGTTTGAAGAAACCTCTCTGCCGCCACGTTCTAGATCCGCTTGCATCCTCGTACACCATCACCGCGATCTGTTGTTACCTTACACGCGGATATTTTCTTGCATCAACGGAAGATCTGAGACGGAACGGCACCCCTCTCCCGTTGTCTAATTTTCCTGTCCAATGGCAACCCGTCGTTCCCATACCAAGTCCCGCACTGGCTGTAGGCACTGTAAGCGGAGGAAGGTCAAGGTAAGTGACACGCCGACAGCCCTCCCTCCCCCCTCCACCTCGCTTGGCTGCCGCGTACCGAACACGCGGTAAGGTGTTTGGACCCAATAAATCTAGCTGGCAATCAGATAACAATCTTCTTTCATCTGTGGCTCGTTGACTGACAACTTGACCTTCTCAAGTGCGACGAAGCATACCCATCCTGCTTCAACTGCTCAAGACACGGCATCCCATGCAGTCTCTCAACATCGCATACCTCACCAGCAAACATCACACCCCAAAGATCAACAACAACACCATCCGTCAACGGCCTCAGCCCAGAAGCACCATTCAACTTCCTAGACGCCGCCCTCGACCATGACAGACTCCAGTCTCCTGCACCGTCCATCGGTCACTGGGGCCACGGCCTGGAGCTAATGCACCATTACACACTCGTCACCGCAAACACCCTCTCCATCCGCCCGGATATGCAGCACGTCTGGCGCGTCACCATGCCCGAGATCGGCTACGAATGTCCCTTCGTCATGCATGGCGTTCTCACACTCGCGGCTCTGCACAAGGCGTACTTGATACCTTCATCACGAGACAAGTACCTCGAGCTTGCGACATCCCATCAGACTGCGGGCATCAACGGCTTCAGGACGCAGCTCCATACCGTTGACGATACCAATTGGAAGCCGTTCTTCTGCTTCGCGTCGCTAGTCGTCTTCTATGTTGCTTTGTTGCCCGTGCGAATGGAGCAGGACCTTGACTCCGAGCCTGATATCATGGGTGTCTTTATCTTTGTACGCGGCATTCGTACGATTCTAGAACCGTATCAGACAAAGATTGTGAGGACAGAGTTTGCGCCTTTGGCAACAGGCATATGGACAGTTGACCCGAGTGACCCTGCATATAAGTGCGTACCTAGACAATCTGGAGTCTGAAGGCAATCTAGGCATTCCCGTCCTCAATGCTGACAGACGAAGCAGGCACCCGCCACTTCACAACTCCCCACTCCCGCCCGACGTTTTCGAAGCAATCCAAGGCCTCTCAGACTTTTACACAGAAAACCTCCACGACAGCGCGCGCGAAGAGTACGTGACAGCCGTAAGGGAGCTCGAAAAATCAGTCTACCTCATGGCGCACGCCGGCGTCAACCTCGAAGTCGGCATGATTCTCTTCTGGCCGTACGTCATCTCGGAGAATATCATGGCCGATATACACGCCCTGAACCCGTATAGCCTGGTCCTGCTGGCGTACTTTTCCGTGTTTTTGTGTGTGCTGGAGCCGACGTTTTGGTTCCTCCGGGGGTGGTCTAAGAGGTTGTTTGCCATGGTTGAAGCGCAGTTGGCGGGGCATCCTGTGTTGCTTGAGGCTGTGAAGTGGCCTCGGAAGCAGGTGTATGAGTTCTACGCGCATATTTGACTGAGTATTTGGCTGGCTGGAGACACAACGATTCAATAGAAATTGAAGCCCCCAAAAACCTCGATGATAATTGAATAGCTTCGGATGTCTCGATACGATTGACTATGACCAGAGTTGGTTGTTTGGTCTCCTGCGCAGCGATGGTACAAAATAGTCTAGTTCTACAACCTAGCTTCGAGCCGTCCTCTTTTATTTGGTGCGCTGTGACAGGTAGAAGTTTGCCTAAGTGATCTGATCCGATGACTTCGTGGTGAATCTCCCCTAATTTCATGCGTCTCACCACGTCCTTGATTGCGCTAATGTTCCCATGATCAAATATGGAGTGAGAGCAATCAACAAATCAAGCTATAGGCAGCTAAAAGGTTTATAACTAGCTTATCACCAAGCGAGGTAATAAGTAGAAGACATGCATAGTAAAAAGTGGCCTATTTCCTCTAAGGTAGGTAAGAGGGCCGGGTCTATGCCGTACGAGACGGGCAACCGGCTCGTGGTAAGCGGTATCGTACGGCAATATTGGGCAGCGCCATCAATGTGTCACAAGTTATGGCACGCAGCAATGGGCATATGAAGTGTGGTAAAAGTGGCTTGTATTGACCCAAATGATGATGATGATGATGATGTATTTAACGTCTGGTAACAAAAGGACGTGCCGGGCGCTATGCCGATATGGTCTATACTAATCTAAACTATGTTACAGGCTACCGTCTTCACCTAACGTTCCTGTTTAATGACTCGGGCAAATTTCTTTTCCGAAATTGGTCTCCTCTATCCATTTGTATAGAAGAGAGGCTCCCTTAGCAGAGCCTAACAAGAAATCAATGCTTACTTTGGCTATACGTTGGCGGAGGTAGCGCGGTGTAGCCTTGCGTCCACGCTTGCAGAAGTAGAAATGGACTGGTGTCTTGGGTTTCCCATAGCTGCAGTTGAGCAACGCATCTTGATGAGCGAATCTCTCGTGGTATGCTACAAAGTCTCCATGATGGGATCTTGCTGCGTATACCCCATCGAGTGCTGCAAGGCGACAGTACATTGGCTCCACATAACGGGCCCCCTTTTACCCCGCACCGCATCTGGTACATCCACTGCTTGAGTTGCCCCTATGATTTCCACTCCGGTACATCTACCAAATCCATCATTACCAATACTCAATTAATGGATTCTGACGATTCTGACGGATCTGGCCGTTCCACGGGCTCGGCGAAGTCGTGTATCTTTGCCCTGCTGCCCGAGGACCTCGCCGCCGCCTGCACTGCCGACTGTACGCCGGAGCAATGTGATAATGCCACTGTTCGGCCCCGCGAGCCTCCGGAGGTTGAGCCCGGTATCCCTGGGCAGTTCGTGCCCTTCGAGGTGCCGCAGCGGCGGAAGTACACGAGGATGGGCTGCCTCGAGTGCGATGTAGCTCTCTGTAACTCAGAAGATTGCTGGTACCGATTTCATACGCAGAATCTCTAGTAATTGGAAGTATCTATTATCAATTACGTTGGTTGGTTGGAAAAAGGGGCCCGAAGTGGCCCGATTGGCTGCTCCCCCGCATCTCAATGTACTGTCGCCTTGCAGCACTCGATGGGATAGCCTTCCTAGTAAGTGCCGAGGGAGGCGGAGTTCGGGCGGCTTGGGATGAAGAATTATCTCGAGGTCGGCATATTGCCGAGGGCATTGGGACAGCCATTTTCTGGCAAAGGCTTGGAAGGCAGCTGCTTTAGCTTGCCTTTCTAGGTGCGCTAATGAGGGCTGTGGTTGTGATTTTGGGATTAGTTTGCAGGCTTTCTTGGCTAGAGCATCCGCTTCTTCATTTCCTGGTACTCCCGTGTGCCCAGGGCACCACCAAACATAAACCCTGCCGGGGGTTGTCCAGCTCTCTCTTTGTCTCCGAGTCCAGGAGGAAGAGAGCCTATTGAAGGCCCAGAATCTAGCCTGGCTGGTTCCTGTGCTCTGGGAGTATAGTCTAGGTATTGTGTCACGTAACAGGGATAGTAACCGCATCTCACGAAGCGCCCGTCACGTGCTGTATCACGTGTATATCACATACATCCTGTATATAGACCTTTCTCTTTTGTCTATTTCCACTTTGATAGGTTAAGCCACTTTACCACACTCCGTATGCCCATTGCTGTGTGCCATAACTCGTGACATATTGACCCAAATAGAATCGAGCAAGGAAAGGTGCTATCCCATCGAGTGCTGACTGACGCCATTTTTGCCAAGCCCCAAAAACCCCACTATTTACACTTTATTACCCCGCATTTAAAGGGGTACATTGACGATACAACATTTACCACTATGCTCTTTTACCTGTTATCAATACTATTACTAGCATTTCAATTGATGCAGCAATGTCTTCTAGTGATTCTGATACCTCTATTGCTTCCAATACCTCTATTGCTTCTAAAACTTCTGTTACTTCTGTACTCAGCACTATAGTAGTTGAGGTCTACCCAGAAGACCTAGCTGCTGCTTGTAATACAGCTTGTAAGCCAGACGGCTGTGACGAAGCCACAGTCCGGCCCTGTGAACCTCCGACTACCGAGCATGGCACTCCGGGCTCCTTCCGGCCCTTTGAAGTACCAGCCCGGGCCCAAGAGGTCCGGGGGCTGCCGGCAAGTGTTTGGCCCAGACATCCGCAAGGACCTTCCAGTCCCTAGGGCAATCGATGAATACAACCACAAGATGAATGGGGTTGATGTGAGTGACCAGATGAGGTCTTATTATCAATACGGTCACCCTATTCGGCGAGGGGGCTGGCAGTCCCTAGCCTGGAATTTCCTGCTGGAAGTAGTAGTTGTGAATAGCTTCTTATTACAGCTCTGGGGTAGCCCTAGGTGGCAGAAGGTGGAATCCAACTATCAATGGCGGCAGTTACTAGCAGCCCAGCTTATTCAACGGTTTGGACCATTAGCAGGCGGGCGTAGACTATCACGACCTAGACGTACAGACAAGAGGAATACCTCTATTCCATGGGAACAGCATACAAAAGGGTCACGGAAGGTTAATTCGCCTTGCTCTTATTGTAGTAATCTGAGGGCAATAAGAAACCGCCAGACTCTAGGCGAGATATCTGGGAATACCCTCACGCGGCGTAAATATACGAGGAAGGGCTGCTTAGACTGTAACGTACCTTTATGTACCCAGGGGAATTGTTAGTACCTCTGGCATACGCAGAATATGTAGGCAATAGAGGTACTGTAACCCTATTGGTTAACTCTATAGATTTCCAACCCCTAATTGGCTCTACCCCGCCCTTGGCAAAAATGGCGTCAGTCAGCACTCGATGGGATAGCACTTGGAGAAAGCACTGGTGATTGCGTAGCTTAATAAACTAGTATCGCGGTAACGCTGGGGAGACTGTAAGGATAGGGTAACGCATTTCTTAAGTGTACGAACGTCAGGGGAGAAATGAAGAGGCTAATGAATTACGTTCCCAAAAGGTGAAGGACTCGCTGCTTTCCGGAGGCGACTATATGTGCCGCGGTGGAAGACGAGGATGGCTCACGGGATGCTCTGATTGGAATCTTGTATCGGTGAAGCTGTTTAAGACTAAAGAAGAGCTTGCAATTAGGGGCGCCAGCTCGGCTCTACCTTTCAAGTAGGGTCTCGCAGAAAGTTTTCTTCCTCCGGATATTTCGATCAATGGAGTGTGTGCTTTCCCCCCTTTTTCTATTTCTTTTTTTCAGACCAACAGATTTAATTACGATATTCAGGTAAGTGGGAACATGAACTGTGAGATACTTGGGCAATCCGCTTGTCTATCGAAATGCATTGTGTTGAAGAAGGCGAGTAGAATGTAGTGCTGTGCGCAAGAAAGAGTCCTTCATTGATGTAAGACGAAGTTACGAACTATTCTTCGCAACGCTGATCGATAAGATCAAGAACAATACTGCAGGATGGGGACCCATTGTAAGAAGGGATGCAGTTGTAATTGACCTCATCTAAGCCCGATACATCATCCGCATGTGGTTTTGGAAGCGACTTACCTGGCAGTAATTGGAGAGGCTGGTGGTTTTACCTTGGGTGGCCCAAGATGGCACGCTTGGGCTATGCGTAGAATGAAGCTCGAGTTCGGATTTTATTCGTGCGTTGCATAAAGTACTAGAACATAACTGAGGTCTAGGCCACGGCTTCGGACGCAGCTGGCCAACCACGGGGTCCCAAATCTGCATGACGCTGCAGACATCGGCCGAGAAATGGTTCGCACAGCCCGTGCCCCGTCTACACTACTCGGGATGCTGTTCGGATCTTTGAAAAGACTAACAAAGTCTGGAGTCTGGGATGAGGCACTGGTCCCCTAAAGCGTCAGTGCACATGACTGGGGAGCAGGGTTCTGGAACTCCCAGATCAAGCTGTCCGCAGGTCGTTGTAGGTATTATGCTTGCAAATCATACCGAAGCTTGCCCAGACGTTGTACTAAGCATTGTGTTGCCTGACGTCCTGGCTGCAATGGTCAGATTACAACTATGAATGTCAGCTTAGATACCTTCATATGATGAGTATGGCGGACTTCAGGCCTTCTCACATCGCTTAGTTCCTCACATGAAAATCAGTGGTTGACACCACAGGGCTGGTCTGAAGGGCAGACTAGGAAGGATAGGCTTTGGACGAAGGCTTTTGACATAATCGCCAACTGACCTTTATTGATTGATTGACACCAACACTACACGGAGCCGTTAAATCTTGATTCGTAAGCCTCAAGGCTTGCGATGGACCCGGTGGGCTGGTCAGCTGCGGCTGAGTCTTGTTGCTTCCGTGCAGGTATTTGTTGCACGTGGATTCTTCAACTGGCATATACGACGGTCGGACATTGTCTTTGCAGTCCACTCTGAACAGAATAGACAGAGTGTGAGAGGCCCTTGGAACCAATGGCACTGGGTGCGCTGTGTTTCCGTGTTTCATGATCTTGTCCTTCCCCCCTTTGTGCTTCTTTGTCGATGTTCATGCGGCTCTCTTTACCTTCAGACTACTTTCTTGTTGCAAATACTGTCTCTCCTATTGGTTCGAGGGCAACTTTGGCGTCAATGTGTGGCGCGCTAACGATCTTAGCTCCGCCGGACCTGCTCAACCGTCTCCGAGAATACAATGTCCGTTTCGCATCCCGTTGGACGCTAGACACCTCGGATTCCGTAAGCTTTCCAGGTTGTCGGCAACACCCTGTCTACAACGCTTTGTAGTAATACGATGAAGCCTAGCTAATAGGCATGTGTTGGAACAGCAAAGGCTGATAAGGAGTAATAGGCAGGTACCATGGGCTGGCTGGCACCTGCCCTGGGCGAAGTGGGACAACTGGCTTAGTCATCACGGCCGGATAAAGGTGGGGCAACCACACAGGCCGTCACTACCTACTTCGACCGACTCCTGCCTACAATGTAAGATAGAACAACAACAAGAAGAACAAGCAATAGGATCACCAACAGACGAGTGATAATTGCTACCACTATTTGTCGTATACGACCCCGTGAACCAACAGCATGTCAGCGGTGATGACAGTCTAAGTGCCTTCGGCTTGCCCATGGGGTAACCATACCACCGGCGCCGACATGATGGCTTGACATTGCCACCGGACTTTTTGAAGCGTCTAGATCGAGTTGGAACTCCATGTGAGAAGGCGAGCACGTCTGAACAGAGACAGGATTTCAGGTTGCTTTTGATATCTATAAAGGCGGTGCATTCATATCGAGAATCCTTACTTCTTGGCATCTTCTCTTAGACACCTTCCACAGCAACCACCGCCAAGACACTGCACGTCTTCCTTCCCGTCGGCCGCACCTTTACCCCATCCTCTTTCAAAATGCACGCTTTAAGCCTCCTTCTCGCTGGCCTCTTGGTATTCACCAACGCCGCAGTACTTCCCCACGCTGAAGATGCCTCCTCTGCTGCCGTTGTCGCCAAGGATCTTGACGCTCGCGGTGGAGCCAAGTGCCCGGCGGTCTGGAAGCAAGTCAACACTGAGCTCAACTCGCTCTTCATGAATGGCCCTCAGTGTAACGATCTCGCGCGCGCATCCATCCGCGCCATCTTCCACGACTGCGGATCCTGGGACACCTCCCAAGGACTCAACGGCGGCTGCGACGGCTCGTTGATTGTCGGCGTTAACCCCGATGTCGAACTCAACAGGAACGAGAACAGGGGGCTGCAGAAGGTTGCTGGTGTTCTCCAGAACCTTGCTACCAAGTACAACACTACCGTTGCGGACATGATTGTCTTTGCTGGGAGTAAGTCTCACAATGAGAAACCACGTGGGTATGTTTGTTGCTGACTGCTCACCTCTCAGACGCTGCAATCTTCCTCTGCCCTGGTGGACCCAAGGTCAAGACCTTCATCGGCCGTGCGGACAGCATCACTTCCGCCAAGGATGGTGGCTTGCCTGACGTTTTTGCCTCCGCCGATGTCCTCGTGACACTTTTCCAGAAAAAAGGTCTTGACGCCGAAGCTCTTGCCGCGCTCCTGGGGGCTCACAGCACCTCAACGCAGAACTTTGTCGATACGACCAAGGCCAACGCATCCCAGGACTCAACGTAAGTTATCTACCCATTCCATGAAATCAAACGACATATTGGCCTTGCTAACTTTGCATAATCAGGCCTGGTAAGTGGGACGTTAGCTACTACAAGGAGACATACGACTTTGCGACGAAGGGCACCGCTGCACCGGGCGTTTTCGTGTTCCCCTCGGACTCCAAGATCTCCACATCTACCTCTGGAGACATTGGGAAGAAGTTCCAGGGCTTCATCGGACAGCAGAATAAGTGGAGCAGTAGCTTCACCAACGCGTGAGTCACTCCATGATGAGATAACTGAACACTTAAACATACTTACTTACTAACGCAAAATAGCATGGAAAAAATGGCACTGTTTGGAAACGACAAGAATAACCTCGCCGATTGCACTGACAGCATCACCAGGCTCTGAGTTATTACAAAAGTGGTGGTTCTGCGTTGATCGCATGTGCTGGGTGTGGACCGTCTCGTGACGATTTGATGTTTATAACCTATTTCTTCGGGGACTGTACGTTAGCTGCCGGTGTGATCGCTCTCCCCATTTCACGAGGTTCATGACGTGATAAACTTTAATGATTAATGTTACTTTTATTAAAATTTTGTCGCAAAAACGACGCCGTTAATTACGGGCAGCAATTAACGCCATATATACCCTACGACAAATTTGGATTCGGATTACGTATGAATTCAAACTTCCTTGAGTGATTTCTCAATTGGCCACTGGTCTTGAAAAGAACAGAGGTTGTAGTGATTGAAGTGAACTATCCAGCGTCATCGTGAAGCTTGAGGTACAATCTTCCAGGGAAAGGACGCTATTATTCTTTGGCAGAAACCTCTCTACATGAGATGAATTAATATTGATGTGATACATTAAACATGTACTGAGGTAATTGAATCAATAATGTTTTGCAAGCCTCTTCATAAGTATGACTTAGCATAATTTAACTTCATTGTGTCTTGATATAAAAATGAAGTTGTCGTAGGGTATATGGCGTTAATTGCTGCCCGTAATAAACGGCGTCGTTTTTGCGACAGATGTATTTAAATTCTCGGAAGCTTGCCAAAATACCCAAAATTACGTTCGGATGATCCTAATGTTTAATGGGGTTGATGAGTTGAGACTGCCCTCAAGACAACACCTTTCTCATTTCCTCGTGAAACAGATATGTCGCATGTACGTACTATTATTGGACCTCGGCCTCAAGCACCGCAACCAGCAAGTGACTTTTGCCCTTCGTCCGTGAACATCATTTTGCCATTGAAATATCCAACAAACCAACCCCCCAGATACCGCCAGTGCCACCACCAGAAATGGTCCCGGGCACCGAACCATCCGAAAACGAGATCCAAGTTATAGCATAGGCTGTTGCACGCCCCCAAAACCAAGACGCTCAGAATGGCAACGAAGTGGACTGCTCGCATACCGTAGATACGATCGACTATGAAGGCGTTGATGAGGCCTCCCATAGCGCCTCCCATTCCCAGAGGGCAGAAGACGATGGTCCACAAGAACTTGGAGAACATTTCGCGCCATCCTGAGAATGCAATTATACTGACGATGAGCATTGCGACTTCGAAGATAAGGGAGTTGAGCCAGAAAAGGAGGAACGGCCGGAGGTAGACAGCACGTCTCTTTGAGGCTGAGGATTTGTCCTCATCAGCGGCTATTATTACTTGATAGACTGGTTGAGACATTGTTGGCAAGTCGTTTTTGATAACTTCTCCGAGTTTACTCGCTGAAATGTTTGGAGTCTTGGAGATGTTTAGAAAAGTTGGGGGCTACAGGGGCTAGGGCGTAGTAGACCTTCAAGATATGAACATGTAAATACACAAGGGCATTTTCAGGTATTATTTCAACCAGTTGGGATTTTTAAAGGATAACAAATCCATCCTTTTCTCACGTGCCATGTATGCAGTAGCGGCATCATGACTTTGAGTGAAGTGCTAGCCGAAACGGATTACTTAAACATGACCATTGGCTTCCTCGGCCGTTTTCTCACTCATGACCACACCAAATCCATTCCTGTTTGCCAGCATACCCCGCGGTGCTGTGCTTTGGCTGATACATCAGACGGCTAGGGTTCTATTGGTCGTACCTCACTGCTAGCCCCTCCAACGTTTGCCAGTAAACTCACACATCCCTCGGATGTAATGTACAAGATTACTATTCCATGATTGTGACTGAGTAGTTGTATTATGGTTGAAAGTTGCTGACTTTGGCTCAAGTTGAGACTTTTGACGATGTAAGGTAATTCTTTCCCAAATATCATGTGCCATGAATCACGCAGGGGTGGCTTGGAATTATCACCGTCGCATGCGTGTAAGTCCTGGTATGGTGCACGTGTCTGGGGGCTTCTAATTTCCAAAAGACGGCCGGACTGGACGCAAAGTCTCCAGGTCGCTACTTAGGCCGAGATATGAAGTGAGCAGGTTCATTGTGGAAATTACGAGTCTTGTTGAAACGCCTTCAAGGATACGGGTACTCGCAGTGAATGATGAATTTGATTCCGAGGTCTAACTGGAAGGAAAAGCCGGGTTACTACTTTCGATAAGGTTCAATATTTTTACGGGTCAACTGGGCCATTTGAAGGAAGACACATTCAGAGTGCTGCATCACTACGTGTGTCTGACTATTACTTTCAACTTTGCATATGGTATGACAATATCGTCCTGCATCTGCTGCCAGACCTCACCTACTGTTGAGCCTCATTAAGGTACTGTCAATATTCTGCTCAGAGCAAATGAGGTGACCCAGTTGGGATCAGACCTTCTGACTTCGAGCACAAACCTGCTCTAAGGTGAGTGCAGATGACTTGTATCGTTCCAAAGACAAAAGAGCGTTCTAATGGAACGTGCGTGGTTGTTGAGAACACCTGTGACCTGGAAGCTGCTATCAAATAAACGCACATTCAAAAAGACCAGACGTAATGGTCTGGGAAAACATTGCAGCAGCCTCTATCTCTAATGATCCATGGCAGCACGTCTGAGTTGTGCTGTATACTGAGACCTGCATGATGTTTGAGGTAGTGGCAAGCTGGTTTAATCAAAGGGAATAAGGAACAATTAGGATCATGTGGCACTCAGAATGATATATGGCTTCTACTTTGTGGAAGTCCGTTTTTCCTTCTGAGACTACATGTCCAGAGGATGTTTTGCCATGGTCTACGATGGGCTCGAGCGCATAGCTTAGGCTGTTGGGACCAGGCACATCTGCCGAGCGAGCTGCTTGTCTGAGTCAAGCTGACAGAATCCAGAAGGAATTATCCGTGAGTTTGGTTTCACGAGGCTGAATTGGCTTCTTCAGACGGTCAACACACTACCAGCCCTCAACTTTAGTCCGTGCCAAAAGCTTCTCAAGCCTCCAGCTTTTCAACTCCATATGCACGTTGCAAAAGCGGGTGGTTAGCCACAGTGGGAAACACCGAAACCAACCTCAGCCGCAAGGCAACGCCATGATACTATTCTTCGCAACCGACCTCTCATATGCTGCCCCTACGGCCTCTTACTTGGAAACAATAAGGGGGTTATGTTGCGGGAGGGGCTAAAGTTCTGTGCACAATTGCACTAATCGAGTCACGAGCAGAGCAACGAAGATGTGCACAGCTCTTCCGCAATGAAATTTCCAGAAGAGGCCGAATTTCGAATGGAAACTACCGCGACGCGCTTACTCTGGGTGTGTTTGAGGTTGTTTGCCATGATTGCAACCAGGACAACCATAACAGTCTGAGCGAGCCCCGAGGCAAGGCCTAGAACAACGTGAAGTCAAGGACTCTGATCAGTGTCATGCTGATTAGGGTAAGTCCATCAGGTCTTTGCGCGAGCTGGAAGCCTGTCTGAATCAGCCAGTGTAATCCTTCTGAGCCGTTCGGCGAGACAGCTGCCAAGGCGCACGCGGCCAGTCTCGACGCCTGTGTTCGCCTGCGAGCAACTCGACGTGGAAGCCTGCGCGGAAGAGTTTATTACTACTAGACATGCATGTAGACTAGTGCTTAGAAAGATACATCCCCTCCAATTTCTCGAAAAATGACTCGGTTGGGGGCGCACAGGATGTGGCGCGTTCCTGATTAATCCCCTCAAGTTCGCGCTATGTCCGCATAAAAAGAAACGGCTTGATCTAGCGTGCGTGGTGGCGCCCTCACCACCCGCTGCTGCTCATTTGCCGCGCACCAAAAGACGATCGTGGTCAGATCCTATGCTTGTCCGAGAACAAGGCTAGAGGAAGGGAAAGGAAGGCAATCGGAAAAAATAGCAATGGCGCCGGCGTTGTTTGAAAAGTCTTAGCCGCCATCGCCATTATCCCATACACATGAGATTGTATCTCGCGCCTAAGATTATCTGGGGTAACTCAGGGGGTTGAGAAGAAAGTCAGAGCGATCTACAACTCTGAGATGGCCAAGATGGCATGGATATATAAACACTGCACATGGACTGTCGATCTCCCATCTCTAGATCATCAGCCAACAGCATCAAAACAGCCACCCGCCTTCAAAAGCCAGCTTTCTCCGTCCTCTCCAACATCACTCGCTACCAGTCACTCATTGAATCCTCTTTCCCAACAACTACCATCAAAATGAAGTTCACCACTCCTATCGTCTTCCTCGCCGCTGGCGTCCTTGCGACACCTACTCCTGAGCTCTGCGAGCGTGAGCTCAGCCAGGTCAACACCATCATGACCACCGTCCTGAACGGCATCCAGAGCCTCGATGGCTCCATCTGCGCCTACGCTGGCGGTGACGGCAAGGATCTTGAGGATGCACCTACCACCATGCTCACCACCATCCGCACCGCCACCTACAACGCGGTTGCCATGTTGCCTCTGACCATGGACGAGGCCATTGCCTTCCAGCCCCTCTCCGATCAGCTCAACGCCGCCGGCGACAAGCTCCTCATTGACCTCAGCGAGAAGGTTCCTTCGTTCGCTCAGGCCGGTATCTGCGACAGCACTCTCTCCTGGGTTGCTCAGATTGGTAAGTCAACTCTATGGCACATATTGTTCAGGATCACGACGCTAACGATTTCCAGGCGGAAACGTCCACACTCTGATGACCTCCATCTCCACCAAGTTCCCTGCCGGCGGCAAGGGCGGCGATGAGATTACTCACTTCGACGGTATTTTCCAGGAGATGCAGGACAAGCTCAGCACTTGCGCTACTGGCGGCAAGGGCTCCTCCTCCGGCGCCGGCAATGACAACAAGGGTGTCGGATCCGCTACCAAGGCCGTCCCCGCTGCTACTGCCACCGCCTCCGTTACTGCTCACACCAACGGCACCCGCGGTGCTTCTCCTACCGCCACCACCGTCGTCACTGCCGGCGCTGCTCTGATGACCTTCTCCGGTGCCGGCTTGGCTGCCGCCATCTTCGCTCTTGTCCTGTAAATCTGCCTCGTGCAGTCTTGATGGAACCACAAAAATAGCCGCTAGGGGGCCGCTGGGGGTGGAACTCTGCACATATGTGACCGAATTTCTTGTTTATACGGGGCTGTCCATACACGCGCGCACCTCGATGAAGTCATGATTTATTTTAACAGGAGGGGCTTGTTCTTGCAAATAATGTGTAGTCAGTCACATAGATACCAACAAGAATTTTCAAACGACTTAATCCACAAGGACTCTTCTCTCGTGCAGAATTAATCGGGATGATTCGTTGCAAGGGGTTTGACTGTATGAGCACTGTGTCTTGCCCAGGCACGCCAGGCAAACTGGTCCGAGAGCGACGACGCTTATTCCCCGCCTGTTCCCGCCCCAGCGACTTCCAGCGACTTTCTGTTGAAGTAAAATTGTTCACTGCCGTATCATCCCGTCGCTCATGATAGCAAGATGACCGCACGGCTCTGGGCAAGACCTCTGAGGGAGCCCAGTATTATCTTCCGTCAGTATTGCCCTCGTGTTGATCATGGCGTCGAATCAAAATTACATTGCCATGAACTCAGGTTAAGTTAATATGTATATTTTTTCATAAGATCGATCGAGATTTCGCATAATGGTAGTTCACAGGACCTGACTACATATGTCAATGTTCCTTGCTAAGAAGACGCATTACTCTGCGGCGTTACTGGCGCATGTCCAAGGTTTCGCAGAAGATCCACCATTCGCGATGGACTCAATAGAGACCCACAATCCAAGTACACAAAGCAGAATTCCTACCAGCAAAAGCAGCGAGGATCCCGCGAACCGACACTTCTGCTGCCAGCTTGAGAACCAGTGGCCTTTGTGCATCCAAAGCCAGAAAATGCCTGGAAGTCCGAACGAAAACCAACTGGCAAACGCAGCAGAGACGAGTCCCAGCAGGTTGTTGAAGACGGGGATGGATTCGGAAATCACCATGCCAATTCCCCAGATACCCAAAGTAATGAGAAGCCAAGAAATAGTCGATACTCTTGTCCTTCTCACAACATGCTTGGTATTACCAAAGATACGTGTGAAAACGTACTGAGATGCGACGTGGGCGTAAATAACGGCGGCAATGGCAATGGTGGGAATTGCGACACCCCAAATTGCTTTCCTAATAGTTGCACTACCAGCCGCAGACAAAGCTGGCGAAGGCACATCGGGGCCTACGTAAACGTAGATGATGACGGCAGCAATGATGTAGAGAGTTGTATCCGTGATCTGAAGGAAAGCAAGTGCTTTTGGCCAGTCGTCGGGGTTCTTGAATTCGGCGATGACACTGAAGAAGATCGAGTGGCTTGCTGGAAGGAAATTGTGTAAGTCGAAGGCAGTTTGCAGTTTGGTGAAGACAGGAATTACTTACAGAAAGCGCCTGCAATGTTGGTGACAGCCAGAAAAGCGGGAGAAAAGCCGAGAGACTTGAAGACGTCAATTGAGCCGCTTCCAATTGGCTTCTCGATGGCAACGTCAATAACAGTGATCAGAACAGCAATTACGATGGACACGCATGCTTGGGAAAGTCAGCAATCATCGAGATGAAACAAGAATCATCTGGTGACTTACAAGTTGCTGACATCCAGCTCGTCCACTTCAAGGTCCTAGGGACGTTGAAGACCCAGAAAACCAACATTCCAACAGCAGCCCAGACAACGGTACATGTTGTGCTGTTCGTGAGGGTGTTCATGCAAATCGTCCACAGTAGAATATGACCTCCCATGAGGAAAACTTGCAGAATAGTCTGGGCCCATCCAAAGACCTCTCGGAAGATGCCACCCATACCAATGGGCCTACCAACCAGCTCGACCGCATCGCCGAAGTGCTGGACGAAGGGGTACTGTTTTCGGAAGTCGGCTAGTAGAAGCCCAGAGTAGGTCGCCAGAGCGCTGATGACGCAGATAAGAATGACTCCGGGGACTAGCCCGACGGTCGCAAGGACTGATGGGAGCGATAGGATTCCGAGTGATACCGTCTCTGCCACGAGAACGATGCCTCCTTGCCTGTACCAGAGTCAGAAAATCCTCGGATAACTCGTGCGGTGGAAGCTCACAGCCAGTGTAATGTCTTGAAGTTGATCAATTCTCCCTCTTCCTTCTCGATGATGCCGCCTGAGTCGTTGGAAAACGCGGGTGGCGCAATAGGATCTTGTTCATGACCTTTTGATCCCACGGGGTGGTTTGGCAAATCCTGACGCTCGGGGTCGGCAGGCGCCCTCATCGCTTCGGCCTCATTCCCCATGATTTCCGTATTGCGCAATCCGGGGTAAGATTCGGTTGGTAGGATCTGAGTGGTGGGCAGGCCTGGATTCGATCGAGATTTCCTCACAATTCGGCTTGCTGAACCGCGGAGAAGGTGGAACCCGTCAGGCTCGGTGGAGCGTTCGAATAAAAGCAGTCGAAATCAACAGGCCAACATGAACACGCAGCTCGGATCGGTGGAGAAATGACTTGTTCCTGCAGCGGTTAACTTTGAGGGGCCCCGGATTCTGTGTTGTTCGGGAACGGTTCTCGTCGGCATATGTTTGAGGAAGGATGTTTTGAAGAAGACGACATTTCCGTTCCTCTCACATTCGGCAACCTTGAACTGACTCACGCGGCCTCATTCCGCGCCACCTGACCCTACCAAGGTGTGAACGACATTCGGCTCAAGAATTTCTGACACGATTGAAAAGAAAAGGCATTACTGGATCTGGAACCTCCGCCTTGGGAATGGGACGGCGGGCGAAAATTCAGCAGTTCTTGTTACGTCTTTCAATCCACTTTTAGCCCGCACGGGAACGCCAAGATCCGCCTTGTTCTCGCCAGCGGCCTGTTCAGCGGTACGACTTTGGCTGGAGTCACGTCACAATCAACTATCAGTACGATAGTTGAATTTTGTGACTCCTGCTTGATTTTAATTGTGATATGGCGTGTTGCATCTGCTGACGGGGTTCGGAAGGCCAGACATTTCATGCGTTCTTGGAGTTGGAGCTGGTCAAAGAGGTTAGCTTGACAGGTCGGGAAGAAGTCCTTAAATTCCTTTCATAACTACCTCAATGTATGCCATAGGTTTTATTCATGATTAGTATGTGCAACAGGTCACAAGGCTCACCAAAAGGGCGGCATCATTTTTGGCGCAGACTTTTCTTCTCGTGCGTGTGTTATTAGTCACCCAGCTTAAATGATCTCATAGCGGCGGGTGATCTGCCTAAGACTGCGGGCTGGCCGCAAAACTTAAGCCAAGCAACATTGTGGGGAAGACAGGGACTTGACCACGATGTCCCCCACAGTTAAACCCAGGGTCCAATGTGCTTGTAACTCAGCTATCAAAGATGATGAAATGCTCAAAGCCGAAAATGCTTGTCTGCCGGGAGGATTTAATGAAGAGCGGCACCGTTTGCTTTCGATTATCTCATAAATCTTCTTTACGAATGTTTTTACTTTATGCAAGAAATTCTGATTACTAAGATATGAAAGGACTGCCCATGTGACAATGTGTTTGCATGACTACGGGACGTCGGGGGAGAGAAAAGCGTCTAGAGAAGAGACCTCTTCCATGCAGCTTCTAGTCTGGGAATTGCGCATCGCATTCCCGACATAATGAATCAAAAAAAATTGACATTATATGCGAGTCGTGAAATGACTGAAGATACCTCAAGTTGAGCGGTGGCTTCATTATTGATGACGGATACTCAAAGGTTTCAGCTAATGATAGTTACTCAATGGTAATACGTAGCGAGTGAACAAGAAGCAGTATGTCTCTTCATCTTTGACCCAAAAATCCCAAATTGAGAGTCACAAAAACAGTGGTTTGCTCAAAGCATATGTTTCTCATGTCAAACCACAGGCAGCTTCCCCTGTGTCTCCTCTGTCACTGGAACCGACTTGGTTGCTCAAACAGCGCATGTGCCTGTCTCGCAAAGGCAAGGTTTACCAGCTGCAGCGCAATTCGAGCCGTACGACCATCTATGCCAAGCAGCGCAATGCATCTTGAAGGTTGCCGATGTTAGCAGAGGCTTCCAACTGAATCCTCCACAATGCTTTTTCTTCGCTTCAAAACGTACCATGTGTCCACCATTAAACTCGCATTTGATCTGGCCGACAATATCGCAATGTGCGCCTGGCGGCACACCGCATTCACGCTTCAACAGAGCCGTGGAAAGAGCCTGTCCTGCGAAGGAGAAGAATGCAAAGGTAGTGAACTTCATCCTGAGGGCGAGGGTTTTGCCTAAGACTGGGTAGTTATTCAATGAGGATTCAGAAGGGCTTTAGCACAGTGTAGTTAGGTTTGATTAGGGAAGAGAATATATGAATTCCTGAGAAGGGACTTCGGTTTATATACTATTTCCTGGCCCCCATTTTCGTGTTAGCATGGCGTCCTAAGCCGCATTCTACATCTATGTCCCAGTCGTCACCACGAACGAGACTGGACAGATCATTGAAATCGTAGCAGCACTAGATGTTGTCCAACAACTAACCGTACATCGAAATTCCTGCGTTGAGATGTTGTAAGACTTTGTTTAGGACCGTAAGCAGCGTCAGATACCTGACATTACCGCTTTAGTCTTGATGACGGAGCATGTGCATTCAAAAGGCTGGCCGTCAGCATCGTGAGACATCAGAGGTAACAATTGATGAGTTACGAGTCCCACTTAGAAAGCTTGTGCATCCCAGCTCAGATTGTTAGCACTGAGACATAAAACATCAGTATCTGTGAAGTAGTGGTGTCGACACAGGGTGGAAGCTCTCAGAGGCCAACTGCAGTTAGTGGTAAAATGATGAATTACTGAGATCTACTCCTCTCTCGACATGTACTCCCTGCGCTGTATACATGTATATATCTGAGCTGCTCCTTTGTTGCTTGGAACCCTTAATACCTCTAACTAACTCCTATCCGGGAGGGCTCTGACAGTGTCATCTGGTAGCATAGATTGTGAAGTATCGAGTGTGCCACAGGTAGCAGTTGCAGTAGGACGTGCTATTATGGGTACTAGGTCTGGCAAAGTACGTGTCGACAGTAGGTAGTAAGAGGAGGCGACTTCAATGTCATACGCTCAATTGATATACAGGTATCATCGCGGGCAAGTAGAGCCAGTCCTTGAGGTGCCTCAAAGAGCATGCGTGGGTGTTTGTACCTAGTCTAAGACTCGAAGCTCATCTGTGTCACAGTTCAGCTGATTGAATCAGTAGATCAAGCATCCTGTAGCTGTATCGTTTCCCTCCTGGAGCATCGCTCAACCTAAAAAAGTGATACCCATGGGTGGAAAGGTAAATTTGATGATCATGAGCCCCGAACAACATCTTAGTTCATCGTCCCTACCATGAATACACGTATACCTAGGCTACGAATCATTATTCAAATTCTTCGCCTAAATTACCATTCTTGGATTTTGATCAGATTTTGAAAGGTTCACAGGCTCGATGATTTGGAGGCTTTGGGTGATAAGTGCTTATGGTAGTCAGCTTTGGATTTGACCAATTATCTAACTATCGCAACGGCTCAAATCATGCGACAACTGTCAATCTACATTCAACTTGCCAATTTCCAATCTGCAGTATATACGCGGGAAACTTCGAACAGGTAAACATCTAGAGTACCCCGGAGCATAGATCACTCAAGGTAATGAGATCAGTTGTCTTTCAAAGTGCAACGCTTCCTGCGTCGGCCTCCAGCCATCTTTTGGTGCCCAAATGAGAGATAAACTCGCCTCCTCTGCCATTCTCAAGGCTGGAGTTGTAGATGACTTTGAGAACATCATTGACAGATTCCTCCGGAGTGGCAAAAGATACACCAGGCGCATAGGCGTTGAAAATGGCGCCGGTCTTCAGGAAGTACTCCTGATGTTCCTCACTCACTAAAGACAATTCCTGTTAGTTTTGGTACAGAGAGGAATTTGAACCTTCGCAGGTCAGAAGAACTTACACTTCTGATTGTGTCCAGTGTCCACAATTCCTGGGCAGACGCTCATGAAAAGGACCCCGTCTTGGGCATATTGTGCGTGGAATTTGCTCACGGCCATGTTCACGCCTGTCTTACTGATGGAGTATGGGGCGCTGACTTCGAGGCGGTACTGGTTGACCATCTCATGATCGGCCATTCCCGAGCTGATGGCAATGACTTTCTTGACATCTCCCTTAAGGATCAAAGGCAAGAAGAGGCTAAAGAGGTGAACGTTTCCAACGACATTGATCTTGAAACTCTTCAACAGGTCTTCTTCAAGCTCCTCCGGGTTTTCGGCTCTGATTGAAATCACAGGTCAGTTCATAAAGTACCACCAGACATCATTTTCTATGCTTTTCCGGAAGACCTACTGCTTTCCGATTGGGAGCCAGGTTGAAACAGGCGAGACATATGCTGCGTTAGCAATGACGTAGTCGAGTTTGCCTCCAGTTATCTTGGAAACTTCTGGGACAGATTTCTATGGAAGTTACGTTAGATTACGCATACAGTCAACGAGTATATGCCGCCGTTTGCTCATCAGAGTTGACATACCTTGATGCTGTCATGGTTGGCCAGCTCAAATTCCACAATGTGAATGTTGGGGCGATTTCCAAGCTCATCGGCGATTTTCTTCTCAACAGCAGCCTTGTCACGAACGCTGCCAATCACGGTATTATTCGCGTCTTCGGACAATTTCTTGAGGAACCCCCACTAATGATTTGGTCAGGTTCGCCTCTTCAAGGATTGAGTCAAGAGAAACTCAAACGTCGACTTACTCCAATACCGCGATTGACTCCTGTGACGAGATAGGAAAGCATTTTCGGCAGTGTATTGCAAGGTGTTAAGGTGATGAAAAGTGTCCTCTTGCTGACTGTTCAAGTTGATTGTCGAAGTTGATAGCGTAGTTGATGAGCACAAATGTTGAGACGAACAGTGGCATTACGGCACTTTATATATATACGTATCCTCTTCAATCTCGTACGTTCGCTCTACCTTCCCGTTGTTTCCGTGCCCCTCCCGAGTTCAAGCATGCACTGAGTGATGTGATTGGGCCTTGCCCCAAACAGGTGCAACTTCCAACGAGATTATGCAGGTTGGAAGGACGCTTTCCACACGATCCCGGCCGCAATCAAAGCGATTCTCCAATCCAGCGCCACATCATTGGGAGGCGCCGACCCTTGTGGAAGCGAACGTTGCCACAGTTATTGCACGTCTCGTGAGAAGACGTAGGCAACCGCCCGAAACGCGGAGAGAATTCGTGTGATCATCATTACATTCGACACTGCATGAGTAAGCAATCGCATACAATTACGCTAAGATCACTATTACCACCAGCTCATCTCGCAAAAAGATGCCCATGTTTTTCGGTGCTTATGTTCCACATCCAACTCTGATTGGTCCGTATTTCGAGACGCTAGGTTGAGCATCCTTCGCAAAAAGTTGCCCAGTGAAATCGCAATCTGGAAGTTTCCTAGCGTCTGTCCTGGGGAATCGCACTAAGATGGCGTGCATCTTTGACCCCTGAGCAGCGCCGTCTCACCCGCTTAGAAATCAAAGCGGATAGTGGTCAGCTTATACCTCTTGAATGATTTATCTAAAGTCCAGTCAGCAAGCAACTTTTTGCGAATGCTTTTGTGATTGAGTTCCAATGACTGATTCCACGATTACCTCACCTCGTCAATGATACAGCAAACATGACGAAATCAATGAATGCAGCTGGACCCGCAACATCATCGAAGAAGCGTTGCGGAACGTGCATAGGTACGCTAGGCCTCACAGATCCTAACCGCCGAAAAGGACCTTCTGGACACATTTCCTTGCAACCTCCGCTTAGGTTATGGAGAGTGCTGATTACCTAGAATTGACAACTGACGGATTTGGCAGATCGCAAAGTCAGCTGTGACCGCCGGTTCCCACGGTGTACAAGCTGCATCAAATCCAACCGCAAATGTCAGGGCTACGGCCTTCGATTGTCCTGGCCAAGGGCTAGTGATGCCAAGAGGTCACTAATCAGCCGAGCTGCGACGTCTCATGGAGCCAATAATACTCCAAGTAGATTCCATATGATCAACGCGTCCTCATGGGACATCGAGGTACACAACTTCCTCGTTGCTAGGCGGATGATACGTCCCGTTATGATGTATCCACTGCTGTGGTCATCGTCCGGGTCAAATGCCACCGATCAAAGCCTCTTCCGTTTCTGTAAGCACAAAAACTCAGACCTCCATTTGAGAATGGCATGTCTGACGATGGCACTCCTCTTTGTCAGTTCGGGAGACTCTAAAACCGAATCTTTCAAGTTTTAGCAGTCAACCACTGGGAGAAGCGTTGCTTCGGATCGCACTATCGGAGGTTTCCTATGCTGGAAAAGCCTTACAGCATGCGCTTCTTGCCTTTTCAGCACAGTACCGGTACGGGCCGGCATTTCGTGCCGAGGAGCTGAAAATCTCGGCTATACATGCCTTGACCTTGTCAGCTGCTGAAGGAATGTCCGCTCACAAGGCTGTTCAGCATGTAGCAGCCGGAATGGTTCTTTGCATGTTTGAGGTATGTTGCTCTTCTATCGTACCATGCATGGACTTTGTACAAATTCTGCAAAGATCACTGGCCCGTGAGTTTTTGGATCATTCTTATCATTCTGGTAGACCCAAAAAAGCTCGCACTCAACAAACCATTGGCTATGTTATCTAAGTTCTTCGAGAACACTCATTGAGAGCGTCTCGGTCGAGAAATTCTGGAGGGTCTCAGACGCCCCTATGCTGCTGGAGTGGGTATCATATCATGAGATATTGGCTCGATTCAGTCTTCGTCATTGGAGAAAACCCGAAGCTGAATTACCGAGCCAGGTAATCTGCGACACAAGGCCGTTTACTTCGCCAGAGACGAGGAAGAAGGCCCGCGTCGAGCTGTCAATGATTATGGGCCAAGCCTCATTGGAAAGCAAGCGATTCTTTGAACCCTTGGGTCTTCTCTCTGAGGTAGTTGCGGAAATTCTGCCTCCCGACAATCTCGAAACCCACAAAGAGGAATATCGAAACAAGATCAAAACACTCCGGGCAGAAATTGAAAGCCTGCGGACTTCGGCATCATGCAGCCTGGCAGATCTCAAAGCGCAGAAAATCGCTGCGAAATCCGAAGTTTATCGACTCTCAACGCTGGTGTACCTAAGTCGCACTACCGACCAAGGCGAGCAAGAGGATTCGGGCATAGCTATGTTGGTTGAACGGGGATTGGAACTCCTCCCTGTGATGGGTACTTGTGAGAGGCCGTTGCCGCTTCTCATCTTCGGATGTGAAGCTTGTACCGACGAGGAAAGACATCGCATCCTAGATCTGGTTTCCAATGCGGAAAAAACTCTTCCTGATCGCGAGCTTCACTCTGTGAAGAAGTTGCTCCATGCACTATGGACACAAGATGATCTTCATACTGACAGTATTCTCAAGCCGACTTACATAGAGAAACTATCGACTGTTTTCAGTGCCAGCGAATTGCTTCCTCATTTCGCTTAGCTAGGCGCTAGTTGTGCTAGCAGCGTTCGGAAACCCGGTATCAGAAGAACAGCAGGGACAATCTCTCAATTCTCAAGTGTCAAAGGCCAGTAATTCAGCATGTGAACCTCATCTTTGGCACAACGGGCTAGAGGACGTTGTATCACGCTCCTTCAGCTCACACTGTCGGACTGGTCATAGGCAAGGTATGCTTTCGCCTGCAGACTGAACCGTTACCGGGACTGTTCTGTGCTCCCCCGTGAGAGAGCGCTGCGCTGGACTGACACCTAGAAGCTGAATACATACATCCGACACTCCCGTGCCATAGAGAAAGTCTACAGACAGAGCATTCCACATTCTCTAGACTGCAATATTCTGCCCAACCATCAAATCACGACCAATGGAGACGTTTACTCGAAAACTTTGCCAAGCTGACAAGAAACCCTCTCCGCAATCTCACAAAACCTTCAAGCAGCCCATGCAACAATATTTCTGGAAGAGTCGGCTTCTAGACGAACCCTAGACCCCGTCCTTCATCAACCGGACCAATCCAGCCGAAGAAGTGGGCCCGGGTGGAGCGCGGAGATCTCCCGGCATCTGTCTAGGTTCGGACCAAGCTACGGCAGCCAGCTCGAACCAGTCATATCTCGCCGAGCCAAGGTGTCAAACCTCCGAGTTTCCCCCCAACTAGGCGATGCTACATTCCTTAGTCTCCGAAAGTCGATGACGTTCCCTGTGCGAAGAGTCCACGAAACCGCAACTGCCATGCCGCACGCTGACAGTTTGGGACCCGTGACGTAAGGTTGATAGTTTCGTTCCGGATGAAGCAAGGATTGAGAAAACCATAAGAAGTCGGCCAAATATCGCATCGCACGACAAACGAGCAGGTAATAAAGCTCAAATTAGCGGATATAGCGGTACACTTCAACATGGCGAAACCAGTTCTCGTAGTCATCGGCACTGGCTGGGGAGGTTTCACCCTCACACAAAAAGTCGACCTCGCCAAATACGATGTCAAGGTCATCTCTCCGATTCGAACAATCCAATACACCCCATTGCTAGCCAGCGCAGCATGCGGACTATTCAATTTCCGTCTTGCGGAAGAGCCCGTCAGACGGAAGCACAGGACAGAGATGGACTACTACAAGGCCATTGCGGAAGACATCGACTTTGAAAAGCAAATTGTGCGATGCAAGACCGATGCGCCCACCGCAGGCGAGGACCCAACTACCTTTGAAGTCAAATACGACAAAATTTGCATAGCCCCAGGTTGCGATACTCAGGACTTCGGCACGCCAGGTGCGAAAGAGCATGCCCTTTTTTTGAAGACGACGAATGATGCCCGCTTGATTCAGCAACGCATTCTCCAAATGCTCGATAAAGCGTCTCTCCCGACGACAAGCGAGCAGGATCAACATGATTATCTCAACATTCGAATCGTCGGTGGCGGCGCCATCGGCATTGAGGCAGCCGCGGAGCTGTGGGATCTTTGGTTCGAAGACATGCGTTTTCTGTTTCCCCACCTGGATGGCAAGGTGAACATTACCATTCACGATGTCGCGCCCAAGATTCTATCCACATTTGACGCAAACTTAAGCGAGTATGCCACGAGCTCGTTACAAGGGAAGCACGTCAAGATCAAAACAGGGTCACACATCCAGAGTGTGGAGGCCGATGCGATCTTCACGAAAGAGGATGGTCGATTACCGTACGGATTGCTTATCTGGGCTACGGGAAACATGGCAAGCTCTTTGGTTGAGAAGTTACCCGTCAAAAAGCCAGAGAGCGGTCTGCCTCGCATCCTGACAGACAAGTACCTTCGCGTCTTGCATCCAGATGGAAGCCCCATGAGCAATGTTTACGCGCTCGGCGACGCTGCCGATATCGAGGGTGAATCGTTGCCCACTCTGGCTGAAGTAGCTCTGCAGAAAGGCGAATACCTTACGAGCACTTTGAACTCGAACGTCGACCCCATGCCTTTCAACTACAAGCAGAGAGCACTCTTAGCCTACCTGGGCCGCCACGATGGTATAATTGGTGGTAAGCAGGAGTGGACTGGAATGAGCGCGTGGTTGGCTTGGCGTTCTGGAAGTCTAGGCTGGACGAGGAGCTGGAGGAGGAAGATCATGATTTCAATAAGCTGGGTGTTTATCTGGCTGGCGGGCAGAGATATTGCGAGACCATAGGTCAATTTGGGGGAAAATTGCCCAAAGGTGTGCAAGTGGACCTGCAATGATTCAAAATGACACAGATACCAAAGTTGCCTGGGTAAAATTTGTCTACATTTGCGATTTTGGTTTATGGCGCCGACGTTATGGAGATGTATTGTATGATTATTCTATCAAAGTCTAATGAAGTCATGTCCATCGGCCTTTTCCATCATGTCATCGAGATTGAATCCAGACCGTGGCCAAAGCCGAAGAGATTGAAGAGGCAATAAAGGTCGATATCCGTCCGTTCAGTGAGCGTATTTCTACTGCCCATTAGCTTTTCCACTTGATCACGAAAAGGGAAGCGGCTACTCACAACCCCACTTGACGCAGCAGTAGTCAGTGCCACCGGTGTGCTGAGAGCAAGTGTATCCGGCAAGACATCCCTGGAAGGCGCAGGTGAACTTGGAGCTGTAGCAAGCACCGATGTCGAGGACCTCAGCACGGGGCTCCACCATCTCCGTAGGCGCGGCGATAGCGGTGGCAGACAAAAGCCCGAGGGCAAGAACAAAGACTTGAGAAGGCTGGAAGAGCATGGTGGCAGTAGTGTTGAATGAGTGACTTGAAGTGAGATTTTTGTTGTATGAGAGGATTATGATGCTGTGATTCGAGCTCAATAGCAGCAGCATCTGTCTCTATTTAATCTTCGACAACAGCCCTGCTGTTGATATTTGCAACGTTTGGCAATCCATCGGGTTTGCCGAACAGCACTCATTTCGCATTCGCTCCATCAGCCTCCATAACCAGAAGCCGGGCTCACCTTCACGAATGAGTCCGCCAATATAGTTCAACAGTCTTTCTTTCGACATTGACTCGTGTTATTCGAAACTTTAGCTCCCTCTTACCAGGGCCGTCGACTTTGCCCTTGCAACGCATCAGATCATCAGGACCACGAAGGAGAATGCAACTGTCGGAACGGCAAGGCTGATAAGGAGCAATGGGCAGGTATCGTGGGCTGGCTGGCGCCTGCCCTGGGCGAAGTGGGACAACCGGCTTAGTCAACACGGCCGGCTAAGGTGGGGCAACCACCCAGGCCGTCACCACCTACTTCGACCGACCCCTGCCCACAATGTAAATAGAAAGAACAAGAACAACAACAGCAATTATCACGGACATCGACGTGATTGTTGCCGAAGATACACCCTCATGAGGAAATGTATCACGCCTGTGATACCAACAGCAACAAATGTGACACTACTGATGAGCCACTTCTGTCGGCTAATGTTCTCGTGAATAATACCATGCAGACACAACCTTCCGATTTTATGGTAAGAAAAAGAAAGACAGATTTGTCTGCTTTGCCTATGCACTTGGTTTACCTACTTCCGAGCGTATGGTCATCTGAAAGAATCTCCAGCTAGATCGTGGGCCTACAAGCCGGAGTTGTCAAACGGAATCGGGTTTCCTATTTGGGGTTCAGTCCGGCGTCAACGGGACTGAGTCCCCCGGACCCGATATGCCTATTGAATCATCCCAGGGAAAATAATATAAATATAATCTGATCGGCAGAGATCCTTTGCAAAGTGGATTTGAAAACACATTCGAGTCATTCGCCCAATGTATTCGGGACAGGGAGCCAAAGCGGGAAAATTTCTCTTGCGACATCCATTTTCTTGTTACGCGTATTTCAACCGGAGCCAGTCGACTGCTCAAAGCTTCGCTCCCAGGTTTGGGCATTAAACAAGTGAGATTATTACCGAGCAGATTCGGCCACCTAAGCCTTTCCGGAATCATGGCATTCGTTAGGTGGTTTTCTGTACGTATAGGTACTTTTACTAGGAGCAACATTCTTATCAGAACAACGGAGAAAACCGACACAAAGTAATAGTACGAGGCGATTAGTTCCAGACGGATTGAACATGGCTATTCTCCTCATTTGAACGATAACAGCAACTTGGAAATTTTCTCGTGCATCCCTGACAGAACCACTTCTTGGCGTAAAAGTGGTAAATTTAAGAAAGTTTTGTTCGAGGGTCATCCTAACTGAAGCTGACGACGGATGACAAGAAGCGGAGTTTAGACGGCGGGGGAGATTAGAGCGGAGAACAACGTACGACTAATACTCTATATGAATTAGCTGTGTTGTACTTAGGTCGATAAACTGATAGATAAAGTAGGCCTTATCTGGTAAAAAGTTGTTCGCGACGAGCCAAGGTAAATAGTCAATGGCTATCGCTGACTGATTTTCCGTCGAAGTTTTCCGCCTCCAAACGGGATTTTACGGATATGCTCCTAAGATCCTAGAGCAGTGTCAGACAACTTATTTTGGGTATGCTGTCTCATTGCACATGAATCGAAGCGGCTCCATTCATCGCGGACTTTCCGACTTGCACTGCACAACAACAATGAGGAGGACCAGAAATCTCAACAACAAGAGAAATGGAAGATAAATCTCCTTCAGAGCTTGTTTCTTCGATCGAGAACAAAGTGAATTATTTGTCGGAGAGGCGTCTCCTCGAGTGTGAAGTGCAGTGGGCATAGCAAATTGTTACTTCAGGCAAATCGACCTAATCCACACTAGACCCTGGAGACTGATGATTTGCCGGGTTACTCCGTACATGTAGTCCCGCAGTACCGGCCACCGGGGTACCCCGAGTCCTCGGACCTGGGGAGACGATCTTCATTTCCCCGCGAGAACCCTTACCCAGCGCCCTCTCCGGATGATATTAAAATCGTCGGGTTGTATATCCACCACCTTGCCTAGCTATCCGTGCATGCAACAGTACGACGTAAGGTATCCGTACTCCGTAAACACATCAGTAAAAGAGATGGTAGCCGCCAAGACTCAGAATACGAAATTGGCGTGCAGGGAGAAATGCCGGTCAAGGATTGCGATTCTCGGGGCTGTGGCGGGCGGGTCAAATGCCGTTGATATTAATACCCCATTGAGTAAGGATCCCGCCTGACAAGAGGGGTGAATCTAGACGACAAAGCTTGTCACTTCGATCATCCTGGCAGTACCTCAATTGAAGTACATTCAACCTCAGACCATACTTCATTCAAAGTAACATGATGTCACGTTATCAACCGGGCAAGTTTGTTTTCAGATGCATCCTCTTTATTGTCCTATCAACTATATATGCCCAAAATGACACCTGCAAATCTCAAAAAATGGGAGAGTCAAGTTCCAAACCCAAGGCAGCGAAAGCGAAGTCTTATAAACATCTCATTCTATCGTAAGAAATAGCGCCCCCCGCTCATCTCTGATGAGGGAATCCCAACTCCTCCATATACAAAGTGAGTGAGCAGCGGGCGCTCTTGGCCGGCGAACAGGGCGGAACGTCTTCTCGCCTTCCACGGCCGGCTTTCGGTCGCTTGACGAATTGCCGGTTTGATGAAACCGCTTACGCGCCGTTGCCGTTGTAGGCAACCAGGTTGGGGCTGCTGTTGAGGGTACCGGTGATCTTGCCGGAGGTACCGAGGGCCTTGATGCGGGCAACGATGGAGGCGGGGGTGCTCAGGGACTCGACGGACTGGAGGTAGTTGACGAGGCCGGCGACGTGGGGGGAGGCCATGGAGGTACCGGAGATGGTGTTGGTGGCGGTGGTAGAGGTGTACCAGGTGGACAGGATGGAGCTGCCGGGGGCGAAAATGTCGAGCGAGGTGCCGTAGTTGGAGTACGAGGCGATGGCCCAGGTGCTGGTGATGGCACCGACAGTGATGGCGTTGGCGGCGTTGGCGGGGGAGACGTTGGCGGCGTTCTGGGCCTCGTTACCGGCGGCGACGACGGTGGTGACACCGTAGTTGTAGGCGGCGTTGATAGCAGTGGTCCAGGCGGTGGAAGAAGGGCCGCCGAGGGACATGTTGATGACAGACTTGCCGGCGCGGCCCTTGGTGGTGATGTCGTTGACGGCCCAGTTGTATCCGTCGAGAATGACGGAGGTGGAGGCGGAGTTGCCGACGAAGACCTTGACGGAGATCAGGGAGGTGAGCTTAGCGACACCGTAGGTGGTAGAGCCGATGGTACCGGCAACGTGGGTGCCGTGGCCGAGGGTGTCAGAGTGGGCACCACCGGCGGCGTTGTAGCCGAGCGAGGCGCGGCCGCCAAAGTTGGTGTGGGCGGTGTTGATGCCCGAGTCGACGACGTAGGCGAAGGTGCCAGTGCCGCCGGCGCTATCGTAGATGTACGAGGTAGAGCCGGAGGTCTTATGGGAAATGGTTCCGAGACCCCAGGGAGCACCGGTCTGGGTGACAAGGGCGCTCAGGGTGTAGATCTCGTCACGCTCAACGGCAGCAACCTATTTGCGGCGTTAGATTTGGTTCTTAATACGGGTGGGAGGATTGAAACTTACCTCAGGGCTGGCCTTGATAGCCTCAATGGTGGCATCGTCGAACTTGCCAGAGTAACCCTGGAAAGTGTTGAAGGAGAAGGTGCGCTCGGCGCCAGTGAACTGACGCTTGTCGAGGCTGCGGGAGTAAACATCATTGACCCAGCTCAAGTGAGAGGTGAGGCCCTGGGAGCCAACGGAGCTCTTGAGGGTGATGATGTAGCTGTTCTCAGCCCGGGTTTGAACCATGGTCTCAGCAGCTCTCTCCTTGAGAGTGGGTGCAGCGAAGCCGCAGGTAGCAGCTGCGAGCAGCGCGAGGTGCTTGAAACCGACCATTGTGACTGTCGATAGACCGAGATGCAGGAGTTGGAGTTGGGATTGTAGGAGAGGATGAGGAGTGAAGAGTGAAAAAGGACCGAGTATCGTGGGTCATTGAAAGACGTTATATAACTTTCCTCCTCGTCATTGAAATCGAGTGAGGCTCGATGTTCGTCTGTTGCATATCATGTAAGTGGCTGGGTCATCCAGGCCCTCGATGGTGCACTACTGCTTGCAGACAGAGTTCTGGGGAGCCCTTCGAGAAGCAGTACGTACATGATTCGGACCCTTGCTAAGAAAACAGCCACCGCCGCAGGGTCCAAGTCGGGATGAACCTGTCAAACTTGGATATCTCGCCAAAAGTTGCACTGGTGGTTGCACCGTAAGTGAACCCAAGTCGATAAGACGATGCGGTCCGCGGAAAGGGGAAGGAGAGGACGAATGGCGCCATGTGGCGACATAAACCAACCATCTCAGAAGCTTGTGCGACAAAATCAAAAATGGGAAGTTGATTGACAACGATATTGGTGATGCAGCAAGCTGGGTGAGCGAGGAGACATGCTAGGCCGGCTTGGCAATGCAACGAAGCTATCAGATGGTCGCAAGTGACTTTGGCCACTGGGCGGTAGACAACTTTTGCAGGCATCTCAAGCCCTCTGTCGTCACCCGGTCAGATACAACCAGTCAGCTTCGAATGATACCAGGACTTACAAGACAAGAAGCAAACATTCTGGGGATCGATACCGCACGGTGGAGATGCGCGTCCCGCGGGCACGGGAGAGAGGCGGACAGAGCCACAGAGCCTCGATAACAAACAGCTGTTGTGGGTGCCGTTGTTAAACGGACATGCAGCGGTGACAATACCGGCATTTGCACGGTCCATTGGTGTGGTCTTCCAATACCCATCCTTTCGAGCGATACAAGGCGAGAGTTGTCCGAGCCGAAAGCCACCAATAGGATTGAGTTGTGAAACACTAATAGCCATTAGCAATTTACCTCGACGTCCAGTCCTGAGTCCAGTACGGTCCTCGGAACGGCAGTGCCAAGGCTTTTTTATGCATAAATTCAGGATGCGGTGGATTCCCGAGTTCTTGCGCCCGACCCCTGCCCGGCGACCGAGAAACGACGTGTCTTTTGTCCTGGTGCTAGACAAAAGGTCTATGGACCCGAAGTAATGGCAGCTGATGCGTATGAGGTCGCTTTGCAGGTTGTAAGTATCGGTGTCGGTGATGTTGACGGCCTCAACACCCACTGAAACCCCAAAGTCGCAGCCTATTAGATCTTGATTCACCCTGGTTGTTCTGCCTCTTTCCCATGCCTAAACAGGGCTTGAGGCTTGAGCTTCAACTGGACGCATCGGGGGTCCGGGGTGGCAGACGGTATCGCAGGCCATTGCGAAGCTCTGGTTCGGAGGAGGGTTGATCCTCGTGCGTCAAGGCGATGTTACCCCAGCTGAGATATCTCGCCTTCCTAATTTGGCAGTCGGCCGTGGAGCGTGACAGTCGGCGATCGGGGTGGGATGTCAAGTTCTGGGGGAATTGGGGGCTGCCAAATGTACCCCAGGAGAGAATGATGAGGGCGAGGTAGTAAATTGCGAAATAGTCGTGATGTTTACTGCAGATGAGGGAATTTGATGCAATTCCATTCCTAACTCCAGAGCGGCGTGGTCATTGTACGAGTGAGAATGGTGAATCGCATGCGGCGGCCCCGGGTAGAATTGTCGGTGCCAGGCTCAAGACATCAGGTGCGGCCCGCGGCCGGGTTTTGGTAGCCTGTGGAACAATGAAAAAGAGGCGGAATCCAAGAAGACGTCTGTTCCTACACCTATTCCCCTCAAGAGCCCAGCCAATTGACACAAGTGAGCAATGTATGCGTCGTTGTCTATTGCATGGATATGGAACCATCAGCTGTGCCCTATCCTGATTGCGGTGAGTTGACTTGCACGCATATTCCTGTTTACTGCATGCAAATGCAAGCAAAGCAAGGGAGCCTAGGCAGGAAGACGTTGTTGTCAAGGATAAGAGCTCCTGTGGAGACTCTGGAGAGGAGGGGGAAGACAACGCGCAACAGAAGATCCCTGGAGCAGTTCATCGGAGCCCCTCACTCGAGGGCCAGAGCTCTCAAGCTGGGATGAGCACGTAACGGAAGGCGACGATTTTCTCACGCAAGATTCCTCGAGAGCTCAATCCTCTCTGGGTCCTTTGGGACGTCGAGATAAGCCAGATGGTCTGCAACACATCTCGGCAGCTGCTGGCCTGTGCTCGGCGTCCCAAAGGTCCTTGCCAGGGATCTTGGAGCTTCACGCAAATATCAGCGCATATCAGCGCGTCCGCGTTCAGGTGAGCGAGTGTAGTGTTCGCTGCGGGTATTCCGGGCTTCTGAATGGGTTGTGCTGGCAGGAGACCCCTGGTTCCTGACCAAGATCCCTGAAAGGACGAACACATGTACGCCGTCAGCAGCCACCCGCATCTTTGTTTGTCAAAGTTGAGTAGAGCTCAGAATAGGGTTGGCCGAGACATATGTGAGTCCAAGCCTTCGCGAGTCGTGGAACCCCCCATCCTTGGTAGCGGGAAACGCCACATGATTCTGTGGCTCGGCGAGATATCTCAAACATTGAAAACTTGCTCTTGGAATTGAAAAGATGTATCCATAGATCGACGATATTATGAAATGGAAAAAAGAGATGAATCCCCGGGCGGCAAGAGATAAGATACCTGGGTACTTAGAAGCTGCCAAGTGAAAGGTAATAGCCCCGTCAATCACATGCTGCGAAATACGTACTCTTGAGGTACCCGCTTTCCCAGGCGGGCCTCTCCGAAATTACCGCCGGCAAGTGGGGGCTTGAGCCGTGGCAGGTGCAGAAAATGGTCCGAGCGTCACAGCGCGGCACCGATAACGTGATAAAGGTAATGGGTCTTTCTGCTTTAGCGATGCTGACATGATCCATCCTCCAAGGCCCCTGCCCTCTCGGAGCGGAGATGGTGGGATGGCAACTCCCCGAATGTCACTGGCCTCTCTTTCCCATCAGCCAGAAATTTTGCACAATTCAGGAAACAAGAAGCGGGGAGAAAAGGCCTCGAGAGTCGAAAAGTCCAGCCCCATGATCTCCGTTCATGATTCAAGCTTAACTTCTACAGCTCTACCGTCACAGCTGTGCCCAGTGCCCAAGTTGGTTGTTTGCCGTTCGATGCTACGGAATCAACAGCCGCGGAAACCTTCTTGACCCCGGAATTCAGCAACAACCACACTGTTCTAACGTCCTTCCAGACTCGTCCTGTCCTGCAGGCCAGCCAAGACAGGATCAAAGGCAATGGCACGAACCAGGAGACATTTAGGCGTTACATCGACCGAAGGGATTCGTGTACTGCTAATAGGTCTCAAGCCTCGTCATTTCCACCATCCCTGTCATCCCCGAGGCTCGCCGCAGAAGAGCAGCAGTATCCTGGGTTCGTCGGCGCCGCTGCCGAGATCTTGTCTGATGTGGGGTGATGGACCAAACAACATTCCCTGTGGTGCTAGTTGACGAGCATCTACATCGTCTCTCGTCACAGGCAGAAATAGATGGACTTCAAGATTTCTACAGTCATTAACAACCTACTCAGACGCAGCCACAATCTGCGCAGCACCGACCCTTGTCTGCAGTCATTCGATAGCTCGAGAGCTTCAACAGCACCCTTGCCCAGAATAGTCATGTCGCACAACACATTGTGAGTGTGCTCGCCGTTGGGCCATGCGTTAGTTTACCGCCCAACCTCCGCCACCAGAATTCCCACGATGGCTTCGCTTGCTGAAAGAGGGAGGTGACCATCAAGGTGCGGCTCTGAACCGGACCAACTTGGAAGGTTCAAAGCTAGTGGTCTTCTGGAAGGCGGTTGAGGCATCTCTTTCGAACTGCAGTCACGTTTTCCTGCAAATGAATGGTGGCATTCTCTGCAGAACCTGTTCTAGCCTCCCCGCTCCTTCTGACCTGCCACACTCGACAACCCCAGCCAGGAACCACCGGCATTCCAAGAACCTACAAATGCTTGGCTCCCATCTTTGCCAGGATTCTTCAGCACTACCGCTTTGCTACTGCAAGATCACTTTTGCCAAGACAAACAGCTGACGGCATGGTCTCTTCACCTTCCTTTAATGACGATCACTTGGAAACGCCGCCATGAACCGCGAGTAGCCTTGGAACCTTCAGGTCACGGATCACATCACATACCATCGGACTCTGTCGAATCCAGGACGTCCTACCTCAATACAATGACAGTCACGACATAGTCACACAATTCCATGCCCCGGTGGCATCAAACCCGATGGCCTGAGACCTCGGAGATATGAACGAATACGACATGCTTCAGATGCCGCCAAGACCTGGCCTTACCCGTATTGTCCAGAGACTTCCAAAGTCGCGATCTCCGACTTGAGAAACAATGCAACATTGACGATCCGGAGTTCGATCCGGCCGAGCTCGCCGTTACACCCAGTAGAGACCCCTATGCCGCAGTTCCAGCCCCAGCGTGTCACGCCGCAGGGTAGCTACGCCGACGGCGTTCCGCCCAGCTGAAGCCTCGCCACCTAGTCTATAAGGTGAGCCGTCGACGCGCCACTGGCACTCAAATTTCTCGGCGTGCAGCCGACGTGTGATGGCTGACAACCGCCTTCCTAAACCTCACCCTCTCACGCAGGAAAATGGCCCAAAAGAACCGCTCGCCATCTCCGAAAGTAATGGCGAGACGCTAGTAGACTTGTCTTGGACATTCAGCTCGCCGTACCTGCCTTTTCTAGCAACATTGAAAGTAAGTTTCGACAGCCTCAACATCGCAGCTGTGAAGTTTCACTCCCTCAACCCCCCTCCATTTCATCAGACAGCTCAGGTTCCTCCTGCCGTTGGTCTCGTCATCTTCGCCGCTGCCCACGGCCCGGCTCATATTCCTCGTCGACATCGTCTTCTTCCAGTCCCTCTCCGCGACAATCGCGACAAAACCCTTCAACTGGAAGAACGCCATCGATCCACTGGTGAACCCAGGTGTTTCGAGGACATGGCCTTGCTCCATCCCTGACACGTTGGCACTGCTCGTCTCGAAAGCATACACCCAAGTGCATGCACTCGGCCTCGCCAGTGAAGTAGTATTTGCGGCACATTGTTCAGGCTGCACAAGTATGAACTTCTGTGTCCCCTCTCTTATCTGACGTCGATGGAATTGTCGTTTGTGTCGTTCGTGCTGAGAAGTTTTCGACTCAGTTCTTTTGACTCAGCGTTTATCCTTGCGATCTCGCATGCAGTTTTAAAGAGTCAATATTGATGTGTCGAGACAACGATACAAAAAGGACGGGTACTTATAGATCCTTTGTTCTAGATTAGGAGTGGCTAGGACCAGGCTTGCTTCAGTGAATGTGTTGAAGTAAGCACCGCATACAATCATAGGTTGAACAGCACCGACCCATCGCCATTCACTCAAAGTTTGAGCTACGCTATGTGAATCAATCAAATTGGCTACTAATTTGATCATTGGTGCTTATAATATTAGTCACTGAATACTAGAGTCTTCCTGACATGAATCACCAGAACGAAGCCGACCTCCAGAAATATTCACAGTCGACATGCCAGTCTTACTCCCGACCACAGCTGTCGTTCTGTGTAAATTTTGTGTTCTTTATAGGAAAGATTCAGAATCGGTGTTGCGATAAAGTGATGCCATATCAGTAAACTTGCTCAAAGTCTTGTCTCGTTGTGGGATCGAAGCACCCCAATACAGCGATGCATCTCGTGCAACCGAATCAACCAAGTCCACAAGTCAAGCAAATGACTTTCAGAACATTGCCCTTGATCAACTCAACGTTGATATCTAGGCTAAGTTGGTAACTGGGATGGTTTGTTTTCGATTGTTGAGTAAATTATGCTAAACGGCTCCCTTTTCTTTTCTAAAACAACCGTGGGCATTTCAAGGGATATTTCGTGCATAGGACGTCTTGAGTTCATTCAATTGAACAAATAAATAACAATCAACTTAACCAATTCTCAAGAAATTGTCCTCAGTCAAGTTAACTTGAAGGTCAAAGTTGAGTTGATTGTGTTAAGTTTAGCGCTGTCTGGATCTGAGTGAATACCGATTTTCGTAAGCTCGGCTTTTTTGAATTGAAACCCAACCTCTATCTCACACATCGGCGCCATGTACGTACTATTGTCCAATTCCTTGTGAGCTGCAAACACCATGAAACAAGTCGGCCCGGTTTTCATGCTGATTGCATAGCCCGTAAATTCGTAGCACGTGCATTGATAGGACGTTTTCGGCTGCTCGGATAATTGACATCCCCGTCTAGACAAAGGACAGCCGTAAGTTTCCGACCGCGAAAAGTTACATGCGACTTGGCCTCTCCAAGTCCTCAACTCAATTTCGGCAACATGAGTGGTTCGAGCATCAACTATCCACCATCGAGTTCGCTCGACAATCTGCCTGCAGATATACTCCTGGGGATCATTTCTTTCCTCGAATCCTTGAGCGATCTGAATGCGCTCGTCAACGCGTCTCCGTCGCTGCGGAGATTCTTCGTAGCGGAACGACGGCGCGTCATCCGTCAGATTGTCCACCGCGATGCTGCTCCTGTGCTCAAAGATGCTGTGGCGCTTGCAGTCATCCCGAGAGTTGGCCAGTCTCGCGATTATCATACAATGGAGGTCGTGAGTGCGACCAAGGCGTATGCGAGCTTTCGAGAACACCTCGACGCAAATACAGCAGACATATCCGCCATATCAGCTGATCATTTGATATTGGCTACGCAATGCGACTTGGCGGCTCGGAACTTTGTCTCTCTGTACGCCACAGTCCAGCAACATCAACTGCGGACTGTGGATCCAGAGGCAGCCAAGCCACTCACAAAAGACGAGCAAGACCGTCTCGTGCTCGCTTGCTTGCGGTATCAATTGCTTACACAAGTTTGTCGCGACCGCGTGAGTGAGGAGACAACTATGGAAGTACGGACGATCTTGAACCATTGCTTCACACCTTTCCAGATAGAGCAAATTGCTGGGATTCACGACTTTGCAGGCAAATTACACCAGTTTGTCGTCACGCACGATGGCCCAACAGGGGTTGATACGCAGAACATGCATGCAATCTACGATATTACAGCATTCCGACAGATACTCAGACGTGCACTCGCTATGGATCAAGAAACCACCAAAGTCTTTGCCGCTGCATTGTCGTATCTGAAGTGCGTATCGGATCATCAAATTCTCAGAGGAGGTCACCAAGTACCCAGCAGCTACATCTTGGAGTACTTTCCAGTGGTGACCTCACAGCTAGATTTGACTCTCCACGCACTCTTGTCCCACGAGTACGAGATTAGACGTCTGCGAGATGTGATCTATGGCTATGAAAGAAGACTGCCGGCCATTACCACTGATGGCTCAGTGATAGATCCTTCATTTGCTTGGGTCGATGCAAACGATGGCTTAGATTGCCGTCGCTGGGGCTCAGAGTTGCTGCGAAATTCCCCAGATCATGTGGGCATAGACAGCATGCGATTGGACCGAGTGAAAGCCACCGTGGAAGCTTGGAGGCAGTTTGGCTTTTTGTATTGGGACCGAGACCGCGTTCAGATTTTGAAAAGGTCTTTCCTGCAGTATCGAACGGGGTGGCTTCGGAATGTGTGGGACCGAGCGGATGTCTTTTAGCATATTAGAACTTTTGACATGACACTATTGTCGAGCGAGGTAGATAATAGACTAGAGCAAAGACTTTTGTTTCCAGAGTGCCTCAGTAACACTAATAGATGACTTCACATTCTAACATGTACGAATATGTCATCAAGATAAACCTGCTCGAATTGGGCTTATCTAATAGTTGCGGTTCAAGTGCCCAGTCGGAAAATTATTGCTGGTTAGTATCTACAGGGGAGCACTGATGGCACTAGCTTGTGGTTGCCAATGGTTGCCAAGAACATACTGTATTGACGTTACCCCAGACTCTGCACCCAAGACTTCAATGCGACCATTTGTAAAGTGTCTGGGGTGTTGCGAACTTCCAGCCTCATAAGGCCATGGTATATGGTAGCTACTTAAAAACACGTTGGATATACCCAATTACTGCGTTGCCGGCGTGAGCAGGTCTGCAAAGAAGAGCACTGTACCCGCAATCTGCCCTCTTGGGAAAGCCAGGTCAAGTTTGGACAAACTCAAAGGAATTCCACTTCTCCTTCACCTCACCTCACGAAGTTCTGCCACTGCCAAGATATGTGCTCTCAACTTCTTTAACCTGATGCGTTCACACTTATGCAGCGAGTCTGGATACCGGCCCTCCCGATGTCCTCTTCTAAGTTCTGCCAGTTCCTAATGCTTGTCACCATCTTTATGGGGACTTGCCAGCTTTATAATATTTATCTCGTTGTCCAGTTGCTCTGCCAGCCCAATTCTTATCTTAAAAATGCACAACCATTTACGCGACGTCGCGTTGCCGTATAACTTAATCGCGTTGGTAACTCAATACAGCACTGCATTGTTCTTTCGAGCCGGAACAAGAGGAGCCGTCTTTTTCTCAACCAAATGTTCATGGCTCAAACTCAATGTCGTGCCCCGAGCTCGCCTTGTCTTTCTCTCCGCTGACAGGAGCAATAAAGTCGCCGAGTCGCCGAGTCGCCAGGTACAATCGGACTTAGCGCCGAATAATATTGACCGGGGCCCACACCGCGCGCCGCGCGGGCGGTGACATGAAGTTTAAGACAGCTAAGCCTTGTTCTCTGACAATAGAGCCAGCCTTCATTTGAGATGGATTGCACATACCACGTTTCACGGCTCGATTATAGAGTATTCCAATCCTGCTCCAGTCACCGCTCGAAGACACCAGTGCTCAAAATCCTCAGAGTCCCTGGGCTCCAAAATGAGCATGCCTTCTGCCGTCGAGTCAGTGACCCAATGAAGCAGGGCCGTCAGCCCGTTATCCTCAGGCGAGCCGGTCTCGTCAACATGAAGTGACCCCTGCTAGGAAAGGCTTTTGTATCCGCTGATCAAGTCAACAACGCAGTGGATCGGCGATGGGGGTGAACAACGTGGCGGATCGAGCCACGCGCGCCGCTTACAAAGTCCGAGATATCATGTCCACATAATAGCTTCAATCATTCAATTGATCAGCAACATGTCTTCCGCATCGATTGATGCGCGGTGAAAAGGCTAAAAAGACGTTTCAGTGACGATATAGCTGTTTTCTCAGCATTGAGGTCACCGACAGATTGAAGCTCATAATCACAATGTTGTATAATTAACTTTCTCACATCGTGACGAATGACTCGCTGGATGCACATGTTCAGTCCGCCTTACAGGGGTAAGGCTTCGAGACTCAGAGTTCAGTCAAGTCAAAAGCCAAATCCCCAAGCTAAGGTTCGCGGTGATGAGCCACAGGACAATAGCCCCCACAAGTGAGAATGAAGCTCATTTCCTACATGCGAGGAACTCGGGAACCGGCGAACAGTGAGAAATCTTAATTGATGAGACCATCTCCGGATTCGTACCATCTGGTTGGGACTCGGCATTTTCGGGTGTTATTCAAGAACAATTCAACCGTTCGTATTCTGTCTCAGCGCCATAGGTGGACTTGTATATAGGCCGTGAACGTCGCTTTCTTCCTCTCCATTCTGTCTTGCTCTCACCAACCCACTTTGTCACTCTTTCACAAGCCTGCATACCACTTTGACTGTCTAAGTCTGTCCACTCTTTCTAACACGAATAATCACCTATAATCTCTTACATAATCACCTCCAACCGTCAAAATGCAGTTCTCCATCTTCACAGTTATTGCCGCTGCTGCCAGCTTTGCTGCTGCCCTTCCCGTATGTCACTGACAGAACTGGCCTTAACTCTAGGAAATAGCTAACAGAAGCTTGTAGACGGCCACCTCCGCTGCCGCTGCTCCCTCCGCTACCTGCGGTAAGCTTGGCAACTTCCACAAGACCACCGTCAAGGCCGGCCAGACCTTGACCATCATCGCCAAGCGTTACAACTCCGGTATCTGCGACATCGCGTGGCAGAACAAGCTCGCCGACCCCAACGTCATCTACGCTGGCCAGGTCCTCCTCGTCCCCGTCGACGTCTGCGTGCCCGACAATACCTCCTGCATCAAGCCTGCCGGCACCGCTACCTGCGTCACCGGCGGCCCTGCCACCTACACCATCAAGTCCGGTGACACCTTCTTCGTTGTCGCCCAGAGGCTCGGCATCACCACCGACTCTCTGACCGGTGCCAATCCCGGTGTCGTGCCTGAGAGCCTCCAGGTCGGCCAGGTCATCAACGTTCCCGTTTGCTAAATTCTCCATGAGCTTTTGACAAGGAACTCACGAACGTCATGTTCCCCTAAGAAGTAGGCATTAGTGAGATTAGATAACATGAAAACAGACGAAGCGTTTCCTGGCACATTTCTCATCTTGCGTGACGTGATCAACATCATTGGTAACTCTTAAACAATCCTTTACAGCAATCATCGAGGCTCTACAGAAGTCTTCTCCTATCCTGGATAGCAAAAGACTAGACTCCCAATGTAGACGGGAACAAGCTATGATGTTCCTTTCATGATAATATATGCTTGTTGAATTCAAGGTGTCAATTATGCGACAAGAATTTCTCGTGTACATGACAAAGCTATTCAGGTCAATCCCGATTCGTGCTTTCTCTCTTATTCTCAAGCTCACGCTTCGTACAGCGGATCACCTGTGAAGATTCCTCCGTGGGCTCTATTCATATGATCATAGCAAGGCTTCGAATCACCGAAAGCCTCCAGACAAACCCAGCAGATATGTGCTTTGCAAGCTGTGCAGGTCATGTGATTGCAGCCGTACGACTTTTGAATCGAGGTGTTGCATCTAGGACAGTCTTTGATCCCCAGCTTCTTCTTGACTTTGTTGAAGTTCCTGTCAGCAGCCGCAGCTGCTCCTGAAGTGACGTATTTGTGCTCGGCGCAAGTCTTGCCATGGTGGTCGACATTGCATGATGCGCAAATAACTTTCGAGCATCCTCGGCAACTGAAGATCTTGGCCAACAATGTTGGTCTGTATATGGTTTGGCAATCTGGGGTTGGACACCATCGAAACTCAGCTGGATGCCTTTTGATGTGATTCGTTACCGCGGAAGCCAGAAGCTCTTCGAAGGTAATCGAGGGCAAGCAGTCTTGAAGTTCCTGCAGTGAGAATGAGGCATTGCAAACCCTCTCGTCAGCCAGACAGCGAATCCCCGATTCACCGCTGCTGACGGTCGATTTGCAGAAGTTCTCGAAACAGTCGCGGCAGTACACATGCCCACATTTGACTTTGAGTGGATTCTCGGCAGTTGTCCAACATACCGGGCAGCACTCCTCCGCTTCTGTTGAAATGTCATGTTCCTGAGGTAGTCGTCCTTTGGTCACGATATCTATCGCTGTGTCGAAAGAAGCCAGTGGTCCGATGATCTCCAACCTCTTGGGTGTCTCAAGGATGTTAAGGGATACGGCTTCTTGGCCCAGCACTTTGCAGATAGCTTTGAATCCCCCTCTGATGGCCCAGTGCAAACTCTCGGAGGTCAAAGGTATGTAGTGGACTGTGGAAGGATTGTCACTGAAAGACTGTAGCAATGCGTCGCAAGCTTTCTGCGAGGCTTCGAACGAGCCAAAAACATGGATCTCGGCTTTGGATGGGACGCATTGAAACGCCACCTTGTGTTGTTCCTCGATGGGTCGAAGCCGTCGGTTTGCCAGCGGTTTATTGTTGAAGGATGGACTCCAGAGGGGCTTCTTGCCGTCGGCGTCGTACACTAAGCTTCCTTCGAGGAGTTTGTCAGTGTGAGTCTCAGCTGTCGCGAGATCGTCTCTCCTTTCACTCTCGAGTCTCAATGTGACGTAGCCATTTGCCGATGGAAACCTTTTGAAGTTGACTCCTTTCTTGCGAAAACTCTGGGCAATTTTCTCTAAATCTACTAGAATCGCGCTGAAGATATGATTTGCGACCTTGTATGTCGCGGAATGAAGTCCAGTGATGCTGAGTTTGTCGGCCTTGTTGAATGGCAACGGCATAGATCTGAGCAACCCAACGGCAGTCAGAGCGTCAGCCTCATCTTGGAAACGAGCCATGGCCTTGACTCGTTTGCCATCTGGATCTGCATTCGCCGTGAGTCTCATCTCCAATGGCCCAATACCAACGAGCAAAGCTTCGACCATGTCAACCTCGCTCTTGGTGTTGTTCAGGTCCTGTAGCCCCTCAAGCTCCACACTTGTGGGCCGCTGCCTCTGAGGAATCATGTTCAGGATGTCGGTCTTCGTAGCTTGCGGTGGAATGTACAGCGTCAACTTCGGTGACGAACCGTTCGAATAACTCCCTCCCAGTGTGCACCCCCATCGATTCAGTAATGTGCTCGACCTCGGAGCGCAGGAAACTTTTGTTCCAAGGACAGTGTATGCACCAGTTCCGAAGTTGCTGCGGACTTCACTCTCCACAGAGTCGGAGCGAAAGGTCAGACACGCCAATTGCTTTGGTTTATGCCAGGAGCAAATGACTTTCTTGCGATTCACCCTGTGGGTGAATCCCTTGTTGGGATCGAGATTGAGGGGCTTCTGCACTTCGGCCTTCAACCCGGGAAATCCAGACACGTCTTCGATATCAGGTTTCTTCAACTTTTCGCAGAGGGACTGTGCAAAGTCGGGGTCTTCTACTCGGATGATGGCGCATATCAAGCCTCCTAAGCCCTGAGGTCTTATGCGAATGGCGGTACTTGAAACGTCGAACCCCAATCGACTCAGGAGTCGCGATACGGCTGCAACATCGCTTCGAGCGGGTAGGTCGAGGATGCTGGCCGTGGAAAAGTCGGAGAAGAGCGAAACCTTCTCGACGGATGCGCCTGAGCCAAAGTTTACCCAGGCACCTAAAAACTCTCGCATGCACTTCTCTTCAGGCTTGAGGGGCTAGGAATGGTTGGAATTAGTATTCTCAGATATTTGGTGGATCCAAGATAGCTCACATACCATAACCTCATTAGCGGTCAATCCCGGTTCTGTCACGATTTCGGTATGAGAAAAGGGGCAGTTGACCCCATTTCTACAATGTCCCTTTGCCAAGAAGACGCAGGCGATCTTGGAGCGGGAGTCATCCGCTGCTGGTCCAGTAGGCTCTAGGCCTTTCAACGCAGACTCGGGAGACGGCAGGAATTGAGAAATGTGAGGGAACACGCATTGATCGCCCCTGGAACAATGGCCTCTTGCAAAGAATTTGCAGATCGTTGGCGAAATGGCCGGATCATTCGTCTCAGATCCAGACCTTTCTCTGAGCCCTTCATGAACGAACGGGCAGTCGGATCCCGAGCGGCAATGTCCTCTGAGATAGAAATGGCATCTCGTGGCTGGTGATGGAGCCGCTTTTCGAGTTCTAATTTCCAATAAGCTGGCCATCGTACAGATCATTTACTTAATATCTTGATAACAGCTGTCAGAATGGGCTTTAAGGAGGTTGAATTGCGCGATGGTTTGCTGATGGAGCATGCTATTCCGAGCCACAAAAAAGCGATGAAGAGAGCGGAAATATTTCTGAGCGAGCAGTATGAGATACACGTATTTTAGTGAACAGCAGATTACTCCTCATCATTGCTTGATGAGGGGTAATCCCAAGTACAACCATTGAAAGAGCCAGGTGGAAATTTCAGCGCAGGCTTTATGCAGGGCAGAGGCAAATGCAGGAGGCCAACCAAGCCATTATAGTTCAGCAAATCATGTGTAAGTACCCCTTTCTACTTTGTGTTTGGGCACAATGGGGCATCTTCAAGAGATCTACTCATATCGGTCATTAGCTTTGCTGTTGACCATTAACTCGAAGGAATCAGAGCATTGCTGCGTTATGGCGAATAAAAAAAGCACTGTCAAGATCTTCCTTCACCCAGCCAGCTGATTTCTTCAAGTCACAGACTTTACAAGTAAACCTGGATAACGAACGTCAGCTACTTCAATTAATCTGCTCAAGAAATGCCGCCTCTGTTAAGTCATGGGCTAGAAATGCATGTTTATTCCCAAGATGATGATAAACACTCCGTCAAGACTTCGAAGCAGACTGAAGAAAATGTTCCACGACTAGCTCAATATTAACAGGCCCGTACCTTTCTTCCTCGATGTCAATATTCTTATGCTTCAAGACCTCTACAATTTCTGTTGTCGATATTCCGAAAGTATCGACAAACTTGTGAACCATTGTGATTCTAGTAGAGTACCAGTCCTTGTCAAACGGTCCAGCTAAGCGTACAGTGGCTTCATTGTGGTATTCGTGCTCAATCCAAGCAATGTATGTAGCCATAGAAGACCTAAGTTGGCTCTTCAGACTTGGCCTAGCCGTATCAACAATAATGGAGTGATAGAAGTAATCCCGTTTGTAATCCACTTGATGGCCTTGCTGCTCCATCTGAGATCAGCACTGCCGTAAGATGAAACTTTGGAAAAGGGTTCACAATACCTTGATTTGATCATTCACTTTCGCCCGTTTCTTGATCGATTCACTTTCTTCCTCCTCAACCAATTTCTCAAATCTCCTCTTCATCTGATAAAACCAGTCGTTGAGCAGCTGCTCATAATTCTTGGCATTTGATTCCTCCATCTCGATTTCCAGAATATCAAGAAACTCGGACTCTTCGTCCATTATAGCGTCGATGTCTTCATCTTGAAGGCGTACTGACCGGGACGAATCAGTAAAGCCGTAGAGGCCATCCGATGGATGCCGCTGAAGACACAGATGGGACATTCCAAGCTCCTCATGCTTCTCCCGTTGAAGGAAATAAAGCAGCAAATCTTTTCCTTCTTGCTCTCCTCTATATTCTGTCGTCAGACACAGAAGCTCAATTGCCCCAACCAAAGACTTGCCCCATCTACTCTGCCGCCAATAGGCGGAAGAATTAATCAAGTCAATAGCCGAGAGACGGCCACCAGATGAACAGGGGCATATGCAGCCATCTGTAGTGAAGACATCCGCGCCTCGGGCCAGCAGTATCCGCATAATCTCCATGGCAATCCAGAAACCGTGATCTAGATTATTTTGAACCTTACTAAGAGCGAAGTGTAGTGCTGTTCGGTGATACGAATCTTTGAGGTTGACGTCAGCTCCAACTTCGACAAGCTTTTTGACCAAGTCAGGTTCGCAGAATTTGGCGGCAACCATCAGAGGAGTTTGGCCATGGCTGTTCATGTGATTGAATAGTTCGAATCCATTTTCCAGCAAAACCCCGAAGTCTGTGATGCTGGTGTTGTAATGTAGCAGACAGTTGTCTTTAGTGCCAAAAGTTATATTATCGAAAGTGAAGTTGGCCGTACTACACTTCATCAAAAGCTGATGAAGAGAGATTTCGTGATCTTCATACCAGCTAGGGTATATGACATGATAAAGAATGACAGCGCTTTGGGCCCAAGTCTCCACAATCCCTTTTTCAGCGAGGTCTTCGGCGAGGTCTTCGAGTAGAAGAAGGAATTTGATAATAAACCTCCAGTGCCTACGGGCGGCGGCGTAGTATAGAAAATCGCGTCTATACATGGTGTCAACAGCGTTGATGCTGGCTCCGGCTTCTATAAGAAGGATGGCAGACTCGGCTTGATTTGCGGCGGCAGCGTACATTAGAGGTGTGATGCCGTGGATATCAGTGCTGTTCACGTTGTGTCCCGCCTCGATGAGTGCACCCATGCGTTGAGGATCAGCAACAGCCAGGTGAAGGGGTGTCTGCCCAAGGCTGTTCTTTTCATCTTTTCTAGATTTAGAGATCCACTTGACTACTACGTCAGTCGACTCAAGTAATATAGCTTCGTGGAGGGGTGTCAATCCAGCGAATCCTGCGTGTCACATGTCAGCGCCCCTCTGACATCATATTCATTGCCACTCCTCTTTGAATTCACAAGCAATTAAGGTAGATATTAAACTTACCTTGGTTTTGTTTGCACACAATTCCGAAGTATTCAATGAAAAAAGGGTCAGGGGTATGTTCTTCTGACATCCAGTTCGGTGATGACAGTTGTGGCCAGTCTTGAAAATCACCAACAACTTCGGATATGTCGTAACCCAGATGAAGAAGAGTTTCCAACAAGTCCAAGTGTGGGCCTTCGCCAATCCACTTTGCGCACTGCACAAGAAATCTGTAACGATGAATCAGTGATCACGGCCATTTCTCGTCCTCCCAATCCGCGAGTCTGACTTACGCTGCACTTTCAGTCCCTTTTGTCATCTCAAATTCTTGCATAAAGAGTCTTAGTAGTTTCCATTGGATCTGGTTCTTTCCCATCCTCCACGGGTACCTTAGAACTTCCTATCGCCGTCTATCAGGAGAAGGCCGCAACTTGAGTTCTGGCTTACTCACCTCGATGTAAGACTTCCCTCCTGGATTCACATGCCGCTTGAAACCGTATGGATCTGCTTCGTGGAGCTGCCTCAGGCTTCTGCTAGCCTCTTCAAAGCTAATCCTAGAAGTCTCGCACCTCCATATGATTTCGAAACCTGGCGATGTGTACGGCACAATTTGCTCCACTTCGAGACTCGGACGAAGGGAGAATTTGCCTGCGGCTGTGATGGCATAGACCTCAAGCTCCACTGCCCATCTTATACCAAGCTGCGAGAGAGCAAGCCTGACCGAAGCTCCGTATTTGGTCGCGGTGCATGCCTCCAGGTCGCAGCTTTGCTGGAAAGCCCCCCAAGGGGTATACTCTAGAGCCCAGAAGCGACTCTTTGTCCTGCTCGTGCGATGGCAAACACAAGAGCACGGTCTCGAAAGACAATTTCGCTTGGGTCTAGTCTTTAATTGCCTTCTTCTTGACACTGTACCAACTGAGGCGGTCAGAGATTGGGTTGAGTCTGAAGCAGCAGTCGAAACCAGCTCCGAGGCCGGCTCTCCAGGAGGGTCTGCTGTTGCTATCGAGGTGTGAAGCTGACTGACTAAGGTTAGTTCATTCAGCTGGTTCGAGTTCCTGGAAGTAGTGATTCTGGTGGTGACTCTATGTTAGCTATATGTAAGTGATCAGCGATTGAAGCGCATTCGAATCATCAGAACACGCACAGAATCAAGTTGATCTTTGCTCCCTGGATGCTTCGCTGCAGAGCCGTAACATTCTCCGTCCAGTCGCGAAAGGCGAGGAGCTTAAGCGCGCTGGCCTTCATAGCGCTTTTCGATGTTCGCGGTATTTTCGTGATCAGCGACTTCAGATCGCGGACAACTTGGTCACAGTCCGCTTGGCAGTGTTGAATGACAGAGTCATTGCGGCTCGAGGCATGCGCGATAACGTCCTGCATGACATGTGTCAAGAGATCCAGCTCGCGGATGAGAGTACTGATGTCGGTCGCAGCCTTGCCCGCACTGTCGCGGATAGCTCGCAGCTTGCTGACACCCTCACCGATCTGCACCGAGAGGGACACGAAACCTGCCACACCGGCAGCGATTCCGAAGAGTTCAGCCATGCTTTGAGACGACACGTCGATTGGAAAGAAGACAGACTTCCGAGGCCATGCCAGCGCGGGGAAGAACCTTGCTCTCGAAAGGTCGATAGCAAGTTTGGTGAGATTCGAAGACGAGGGGTAATGTCAGGCAAGATCAGAAATCAGGCTCTGCGGTAGTCTGCCTTGGGATTTGCCCTGTGTGCTGCGCCTTCAGGAGAACTGGGCGAGCTCTTCAAGCCAATCACATCGTCGCCATGCTTCTGAACCTCATACCAACGTCAAATAGCTAGGCGCCGACGAGCATTCGCGAATGATTGGCCAGAATTCGTAGAGGAAAACATCGAGAAGCCTAGCAAAAATTTTACATGGGGTTCGAATCGTCTCTAGCCGTCACTGCAGGGAACAGTCCTTGAGTTATCAGCATTGGAAGACAAAGCGTGTAGACAAGAGGAGCTCTCAGCTCTGGGGAAATGCACTTTGTCAAGAGATAAGGACGCCACGGATACCCCCCTTTTCCATACATCTTAGGTTTGAAATCTCCCAAACAGACCAAACACATTGGTTTGGCAATAGGGCCCGCCGAGAGAAGGAAGCCGATCAAGATTTGCGACATCGAGAAAGTCTTCCGAGGGCAGCTTCGGGTGGGCCGGTTGAAAAGGCCGCGTTTGTGGAGACAATATGGGGACATGCGGCCCCGCCCTTAATCTCAGCGGGATCGAAAACGGAAATCAAGCTTGTGATGCTGGGCTTCACGTTTCTGAAAGATCGAGAACAAGAGACAGTCTCAATATCTACGGAGTTTTGCAGCTCTTTAGGGATAAGATGTTCGCATACCTCCATGACTAACCGCTTCACAATGTCCGATCCGTCCATCTACCTCTTACTCGTCATCCTCCGTGGTCGCAGACCGAGCCTTTGGTCCCTTCCGCGGCCGAGTCTCATCACTTTGGCAGGTGGCTGGATCACGCCCACAGCCGGGCGGTCCCCGATTCGCACGATCTACAAGCTCTATACCCTCTTCGCGAGAAATGATTGCCGCTCGCGTCAGAAGTCGTGCGGGAGACGCAATAGCAACAGCAGGGGCCTGAAGAACTCACCATTAGCACAATTCGATTCGATTCTGGCAGTGAGTCACATATAATATTTAAACGAGGACTCATACCAGGGTTGCCAGGGCGAGGGCTGAATTCATGGAAAGGCCCAGTCCCAGTGCTCCAACGCTTCCCAGAGCGCTGATACTGGTAAGGACAAGAGCTTGAAGCTGCATCGTGTTTTCTTGGTGTTCGTGGACCGGAGCGGTTTATGAAATCAGATCTCAAATAAGGCAACAAAATTTTCGAGTGCTGGTGATGTCAATAACAATCTAGGCGTCGAGACAAGGGCGCGAGTCTTGAGGACTTATATAGACCACCCTCAAAACTCTAACTCAGTGATGCCGTCAAAACCTCACCATGTTGCTCAATAGCCTTACTTAGCTTACTCGCGATATCGCATCGGCCCAGATCGAGGAGTTCTACACAGAGAGCTTCGTTCGAGTGCAGGTTTGATCAAGCTTTCCTTCGGCGCTCCTTGATTCGCCAGTCCTTGCGGTGCAAGCCTTGGCCACGATGTTTTTGCTCGAGCACTTTCCCAACAGCGCCTTTAGAGCGTTCGAGGGAGGCTGAATCATAAAACAAACAGAGTCAGAGACGCTAACGCCCACCAGGATGAAACCAGACTACGGAAATATTCTAGTTTTGACTTGACTCAACATGTCGCCGTAACGATATCTCGGGTATTAGACTGTAGAGTCAGTAGAGAAACGCGTAAGAGCCGCTTGGCATCCAGGATGAGGCAACGATTGCTAATGTCAAGTTGGGGTGTTGACGCAGGGTGGAAGCTCTCAGAGGCCAACTGCAGTTAGGGGTAGAATGATGAATTACTGAAATCTGCTCCTCCCTCGACGTGTACTCCCTGCGCTGTATATATATCTGAGCTACTCCTTTGTTGCTTGGACTCCTTACTACCTCTGACTAGCCCCTATCCGGGAGGGCTCTGACAGCTACACGTAGTTTGAGCCTGCTCGAAACCTCAACATCGGCGTCGGCAACTTCACTCGGCCGTAAATAACTGCCGAAGCCGCAATAAGTGTCTCATCGTGCTCGATGATGATTCATTGAATGCTTGGGCAGCGCATTAGGAGACCTCTTCTTTGCAAGACCACCTGTCGTCTTTCCACAAAATAGTCTCCAGACTCTTAGATGACCAGGCAATACTTGCCACGGCCTGTCTTTCATCTAATTGCTCAATGTGAAGGACCGGCATACATTTATCCTCATTCACTTCATCCTGATCAGCGGGAAGCTCTCTATTCCGGAAGACAGCAACCTTCTCAGTTTTGCTGCTTTTGTCCATGGCCTGCCAACAAGACCCATTTCACCTCGAGATCTGAAAATTTCCTGATGCCCTGATACGATGAATGTTGCCATCTATGCATTCTCATCAGATCTGTACATCTAGAAAAAAAACTGACAAGTCCATACTACTGCTCAACGCGTCAAATCATTTAGAAAAGCGTCATCTACTTTGGAGCTCTCGCATAATTCGAAAGGCGACGGAAAGAAGTGGGATCGACGGTGTAAAACAAATATCTCTTCTATCCTTACTATCACCCCGCCGACTCAGGCTTTCGACTTTGTCCCGCTAACAAGAACAATAGACCTCTGTCGCAGCGCCACACATGGCGCTGCCGGTTACTGCCGTACGATACCGCTTTCCACAAGCCGATTACCCATCTTGTACGGTATATAGATATGACCCTCATACGGATCTTCCACTTAGAGGAATCAAGCCACTTTCTACTATCCCATCGAGTGCTGTTGGGCTACAGATACATTGCTCCACTCTTTTACCCACTCTTAACCCCTCACATCAGGAATACATGACAGTACGTCATTTACCCCTAGGAATCCCTGGCTTCCCTTCACCACCAAAATCGCCTATCTACACATGCCAATTCGTCACGATGGCCTCGAGCGACGATAGTGACTCTGAAGGGTCTGTACATTCCTGTATCAACGTTGCGATACTTCCTGAAGCCCTCTGTTTGCTTGTCTTGTAACAACAAACGAATAGCATTAGGCGAAGTCACACGGAACTTGCGAAGAGATAGGAGAAAGAAGACGAGGCCAGGATGCAAGCAGTGTGGGGTTGCGATTTGTAACTCTGATGATTGCTGGCACCTCTATCACGCTCAAAATATATAGGCAACCGAAGTACCTTTCAAATAGGGCCATTGATTGGTCGAGAAAACTCTTGGCTGCCCCTGAGTGGTCAGGATCCCTTCTGTGAATGTATCTGTAGCCCAACAGCACTCGATGGGATACATGTCTTCCACTTGATACCTCGCTTTGTGATAACCTCTCAATCTCAAATGGGCCTCCATACTTCTTCCCCAAATACTCAACAATAGCGGGCTTCAACTTGTGTCTCAATTTCTCTTTCTGCTCCGCGAACCAGTATCTCTCAACGGTTCCCGTAAGCAACGCTTCGAAAAGTGTACAGAACTGCTCAGGATCTCTGAAAGTTATGGGCTTGGGCATGGTCTCCGACTTGATTTCGATAAGCCCCGAAGCATTATACATGGCGGCCGCGAAGTAGGGATCATCCCATGCTCCAGGCGACCAGAGGCCGGTCAAATGGCACGACTTCTGTGGCCACGGAACCGGCTGTTGCCCGGGGATGCCCAAGTTTGCGACGGCGTCGCGTGTGTCATAGACCCAGCCTTCCGTTGCCCAGGTAGAGCTCGCGATGCGGCCGCCGGGTTTGAGGACGCGGTACAGTTCTACTCATGAGTCAGCAACAGACCAGCAAGCTGTGGTGATCTTTGATTTCCAAAGTTGGAGGCGGACATACCTGCTAGGTCTGCGTAGGGCTCAGCAACAACCATCAAGGCCATGCCAACTACAATGAAGTCAAAGCTGTCCAACTCGAATGGCAGGCTCTGCTGTAAATTAGCACGATATCGTCATGGCGTAGACCAACCAGAGTTCATGTCGAGCAGGATACTCATTTACTTGTGTAGGGAAGAAACCTACCGCAATATCCGCTTGGACTACGGTCGTATCCGTCCAGCCATCCTTCTCAACTCGGCTCCTAACATGCTCGATCTGACCACCACTGGAATCAGAACAAGTCAATTTTACAAACCCCTTCACTTCCTGGCCCGCCATCTTCAGCATCTCCTGGATACGGGCAGAAACCACGCCCGCACCGCAGCACACATCAAGGACCTCGATGGGCTTGTCGAGCGAAGCAATCTTGTTCTCTGTCAAACCGCAGTAGTCAGCAGCGGCTGTGTGATCGGAACGGTGATGTACTCGGTGTTGCGGTAAATGTTCCCGACTCTGGGGTTTCGCCAGAAGGAGGTGTGGTTGTCCCTGTCTCCGGCTGGGTCCAGGGCCGCGGGGTTGAGGAAGAGCTTGGACTGGCCGGGCGTCCCCTGACTTGAGTGAGTGTAGGATGCCATGACTACTTGACAAATTAGAGGTATTGGATTGCGATTGGGCTTGATTTTAGGATTTGGGTTCGTGTTCGTGTTCGTGTTTGTGTTCTAGTTGAGGATTGAGAAGCTGAGCACGACGTGCAGCAGGACGGCAGCTCATACATGTATGTTCGCTCTTCGTCTGTGCCCTCATGAATTAATGAGGCTTTCCATGGTCCCGAATGCGAAGTAGAAAGGCGATAACGCAGATGAGAGTAAGAAGAATTTGCATGTGCAATATAAACTCCAGAGGTTAAAAGGATAAGTATGCTACCACTTCACGAAACCAGATTCAAGATTGATAAAGGTGCGCGGAACTAAAGCCTCCTTCCAAAGGCAAATCAGTGTGTTTGGAGCTAAAGACCGATGGCCCGCCGACTCGCCAAATATTGTCTTTGGTTGGAGCCGGGGGAATACTAATCGGGCCTGGACTCCAATAATAGATGCAGTACCGCTTCGTGTGTGCAGATGATGGGATGAAGATGGACAGAGGTGATAACTTTGAGCTATGAGTACAAGCGCGTTTCCTGCGGACTGCTACCACTGTTTATGGACTTTGACAAAGCCTGTCGCTCCGAAGTAAATGCGCACCTGCACCTACAGATAGATACCTCTCGGCGATTTCCGTTGATTGCCGTCAAGCATATGCCAAGCCCTAGCTTCAATAAGCTATCGGACTGTGAGAAAGAAGAGCCGAGAGGGCAACCAGTTCATCGTGAGGGTAGGTTTGTTGGTCATGTGTGAGAGTTTAAGCTTAAGTGAGGTGGAGGAGTACCTCCGCAGTGCTCCGGTAGGTAAGAGGCCAGAACTTGTTGAGGAGTGGGGGATCGGGGGTGCTTGGGGGCGGTGGTCGGCACTTAGGTCCGTCCCGACGGCGCTTTTCGTAAGAGTCCGCCGATTATCAAGAACCCGCTCCGTGGCCGGTGGCGCTGTGTGGAGTCTGCCGGGCATCATTGCCGATGGCTTCTGGTGGATTTAAAGGAACCGCTCGCTTCCTCCAGCACAGACTTGATACGCGCCGTAGTCTTGGTTATAAAGAGGCGTCGAGCCAGTCAACTGTGGTTTCTCGGCATAACAGTTTGTCGTAGGGTATATATGGCGTTAATTGCTGCCCGTAATAAACGGCGTCGTTTTTGCGACACAGTTGGAATGTGATGGCATTTTTACATCAGACTCCCCTATGTTCATGGTTCACTTGCTATATTGACACGATTTAAGATGGGTGTATGCACTAATCGAGTAAATCAAATGTTTCTCTAGGGGAGAGCAACATGTTCTGTGATCATTCCGAGCTTTTAATAAGTAATCCTCCACTTTGCCGTTGCCTGGTTCCGAGATGCCAGCTCAAAGTATAATTACCAGCCACTCGGTGCCTCAACGGCAGAAACATCGGGTCTATCCGTGACCCAAGCTGCCCAGTCAGGAGAACAGCTTGACGAACGTAAATGTATTAAACCACCACCCGACGTTTTCGCACGGAAGCGTTCTCATGAAAAACAATCCAGTTACTCCTGGCGGTGCGAGATGATGAAACTGCAGTGAGAGAGTGTGTGCAATCACCTGAGGGACTCACTAGAGTTGGAGTAATATTGATTGATGAGTGAACGGCACAAAGTATCGACTATGAAGACAAATCATCCGTACCCAAGAATCAAGAAATACTCGGTATCGGATACGCACTCGCCTGTAGGATTGCGCGCAACTCAAAAGCGAAGCGCGCGCGCGCCTTGCACAAACAGGTGGCTGCGAATAGCCTCGCCAGGAACCCGAACTCCCACGACATCGTAAAGAACAGGCACATGATCACCTCCGTAATCCAACCCAAAAATAAAGCACAAGGGAAAAAGGAGACAAGGACTTCTTCCCTCTCTTGACGTCATATTCCCAAGGTAAGGCAAAAACAAAACGTGGCAAGGTAAAGTGAGGAAGGGTAAGGTGAGTTAGACACTAGTCGACGGGAGTAAGGTCACTCGACACCACCAAACCAAGGCAAAGGTACAAGCAAGCCACCTGACACTGTCAGACGGTTCGATTGCGCCCAAAACGTGAACTTACCGAGAAACCGAGACCGTCACGACACCGACATCACATTGTCGCGCAAGATGCGAAACGGATCTGATAAACGGGTGCGGAATCGACGTTTTCGATGCGTGCACGCGGTTGTTTTTCGTTGGGATTCTTACTTTCGTTGTCTTTCTTAAACACGCGTATCCCTGGAACATTAGTTATTTGAGGCCATGCGCCGGCTGGAGTCATATTTATCATGGAACAAACGTGTCTGCAGACCGATACATATAAACGGGAGGACAGAATGATCGCTTGTAACTGGGTACGCGCGCGCGTGTTCGCACAAGGGAAGAGGTAGCAGGTCAGGTAACTGAGAAAACGGATTAGAACTCATGATACAGTTGTATGTACACTTGATGGACATATATACAGTGCCCGCCGTCCCCGGCCGCCCTGCATGCTAGTCCAAGCCTCTTCTACGATCCCTTGCCGCCAACGCCCGCACGCGTGCGGCGTCGGGCTGCGGCTTCTGAATACGGCACGCTGATTCTTCGGGAGTCCTCCTACTGATACTACTATTGCTAATGCCCTTGGCGGGGCTGGCGTCACGCCGGCGGTGGAGATGGGGTATCTTTGGTGAGGACGCGCGGAAAGATTGGGGTATCGAACGGAAAGGAGATTTGCTGTCAAGGTAAGACGCCGCCGTTGTTGTTGTTGTTTTTGTTGTTTCTGGTTTAGGTGTTGGTGTTTCTGAAGACTCCATCAAGTCGTCATAGAGGTCGAAGGGAAGCTGGGTTGTCGAGAACTCTTCTTCGCAGTCGTCTTCCTCAATGGCGCTGTCGGTGTATTCACTAGGTTGCTCCTCCTCCACGGTAGATTCACGCGTCAAACGGTGCTCCTCTAAATCAGAGACCGACGTCGTCAGGGAACCAGGATCTTCAGACTGTGAGGTGTCTTCTTCCTCATCGTCTTCATCGTCAAGACAATGGAGCCGTCTCCCTTCAAGTCGGCCGGACTCGGATCCAGAGAATGATAGTGTTCGCGCGGGTGTGAGGTTGTGGAGGTGGTAGCTGTGGTCGTGGTCATGGTCGATCGGGGACGACGCAGAGGTGTCGGACTGCATTGTCATAGAGCGAGGGGAAGGAGGGAGGTCCGTGGTGATGGCGGAGGAAGAGATAGAAGTCGAAATGTGAAAGGGTTCATGCGTCATAATAGGCTTATCGTCATCATCATCATGAAAGAAACAGGGACCGTCGTCGAGACTGCTGAGATTGGTGCTCGCCGTGCGAGAACTGCATCGATCACTGAAGGAAGTGCCGGTGGAGGATGCATAGTAGCCTTGCGCGCATGAATAGTCGTCGGGGAGGTAGCTTGAGAAGAGTCGCACCAGGGAGTCGAGAGAGCGTGTTCGGAAGAGCTGCAGGGCGTACGACCACTGCGCCGTGCCGACGAGCTTGGGGTTCGCAATGATCTCGACAGCAGCGAGGTCAAGCGACGCGTTGAGTTCTTTCAAGCGCTGTTCCTTGCGGTCGGCCATGAGACGGTGGAACTCGTCGGCGGTGTCGGCGACGTGGGAGATCTCGCAGACATCATTGTGAAAGGCGTCGGGGTCCTGAATGCTAGAGGGAATGGTGTTGTATTGGTCTTGCAGTTTGGTGGAGAGATCGTCTCTCTTCATCCCAAACTTCCAGAAAGGCCAAGCACAACCCGGTTCGTCCATGTTAGGGCGAGACCGTACTGAAGAGGGTAGTCGACGACGAGGAGTAGTTGTCGAGTGGTAGTAGAAGGCGTCGGAGTGGAGAGAAGGTCGGTTTAGGTAGTTCGGAGGAACAGGGTGAAGGGCTGGTGAGGCCCGTGGCTTCGGTTTGCTCGATGGTAGAAACGGTGGGTTTTAAGTGACGACATGAAGAACATTTAGATGCAACTGCAGAGGGTATCCATTGTGAATATTCAGGTGTCCGTGAGGAGCAAGTTGTGAAGATTGGGGTTGTTGACGGGCTCGTTGTGATGAGGATGGATGGTTTCAGGGCGTGGAGACACCGAGGAGCGCGGGAATGAGTTGGTCGGGGGGGTGCCCGGACGCAATGTGCGTGAAGCCTGAGTCGGACGAACTTCATGCCGATTCAAAACATCGCCAAAAGTCACGTGCAGCCGGAGAGAATTGCAAAGATGACGGGAAAGTGGAAGGGACCCGGAGACGCTAGTGCTACGCTAGGCACATCTAGCGCCAACAGGAGGCCCTGCGGGTAACGCCATATCCCTGTTATGTTCGACGAAATCGGAATACGAAGGCAGGGCTGACCTGACATTCTAAGACTCCGCCACTCTAGCGAACCAATGGGAAAAGACTGAATGATGCAGGGTGGCATAGTGTTCTGAGTCCCGACCAATGACTGAGCTTACTAAGGCTGCAAGCGTCAGAGCGGATCCACTCACGCAAGCCACGAGACGACATTTTTAACTTGGTTGGCCCGGGCGCAGGCAGTGAACTGCAGCCAGGCTCTGCTCTCACTCACTCTTCCTCTCCGTCTGGCTCGGAGTGTGAGTGTCCAGTTGGTGTTGGGCTCTCACACTCTCTCAGGCTTTCACTCTCGGTGGCGACACAATTGAGAGCCTGCTTCCGCGCTGCAGCGCGATGAGGATGGGAAAAGGAAGAAGAGTTGCTTGGCCGGGGATGACGAGAGGCGGCGACAGAAATCCAACAGGATGGCTCAGTCATCAACACTCGCTTCCACAGCCAATCACCAAGTGACTCCTGGTTGTTGGCCGTTCTCACTCATTTCGACTCACCAAGATTCATCAAAATCCACTCATTTGTCAGAGTTATCGCCTTATCCCGATTTGCGATATCCGACACTCTCATGGCTAGTAGCCAGTCTTCACTCTTCAATCAGTCTGACACATCATTCTGAATCTCCCGACAAACTGTTTTCTCATAAGAAACCTCTTTCTTCCGCACCTGTCCCAGTCACGAACGGCCCGTTGTCGCTGTTTCTCCAGTTTCCATCTCATTCGCCTCGACGCGTGAATACGGAACGTCAAGTGACTTTGTCCCGTTGATTCTCATTGCGTCAGGTTGTGGTCAACTGTCAGAGGCCTGGCGGGCACTGCAAGACCTGCAGACTCCTCGTCTCACTCACAATCACACAATGATCCTCCCCGACGTGCGCCGTTCAGGCCGTTGAATGAGAGGTGCTGTTGTGGCTGGGTGAAGGTCAACGTTCTGGTTTGGCTTGATGAACGATTGAAGTGCTGAAGACTCTCACACGATGAAGGCAATGTCACTTCACATCCGCCCATGAAATACTTTTGCCCCTCAGTCGACCAGGGCTGACGCCGTGTCAGATCTCAAATGAGAACGATCTCCCCTATGGGCCTCCAGCGCCATGCTCGGTTAGAAGCCCTGCAGTCCGGGTAACCCATCATTTCAGTCGATTTTCCTCTTCCCCTCACCTCTTCTCCAAGACCAAAGCCAACCGGCCCCAGGCACCCGTCTCGTTCCACAGGGCTCGATGACTCTTTAAACCTAGGGATATGCGCGCGTTCCAAACTCATCTTCCATGCTCAGTGCGTATGTTTCGGCCCTCGTTGCGGCCACACTCAAAGATATCGCTGAGTGTGCTGACACTGAGCGAATCTCACTCGAACACTCAAGTTGCTGCTAGAGCAGCGTAATCTTACAATAGTATCTTTGCCCTGCTGGTCGGCCGATAAACTACTTGAGGCTGAGACTCCATCAGCAGGACCTCCCATAAGGTCCCAAGGTCCCTCCCCCCGTCAGTTCAAGTCAGCTCAACCCCGTTCACTCCCCGTTTCTCCCGTTCCCCGCCGTCGCCTGCTTTCCAGTTGACATTTGGCTCATCTGTCCATCTGTTCATCTGACGTCTAGTCCTGTCCGTCTGCCCTTCTCCAACACTCCAACAGAACAGCTTGTTGGCAGTGCTCAGGAGGCTCATTAATGCTGTGCTGTTCCTGCATCTGTACCCGGCAGAGATACTGTCTCTCTCTTCCTGTTCCTTTTCCCTTTTCCTCATTCATAAATCACGCCTCGGCCAACCTACAGACCGCTAGGCTCTGAGCCCTGCTCATCGCAAAAGATCTAATCACGCTCACCCTGCCGCGCGCCATCTCACTCTCACTCAACTCGCCTGTCTGCCTGGCCATACCAGGATAGACGACATCTTACCTCACACCAAACTTACGTGTCCAGGCCAACCCATCCCGGCCGGACTCACTCACCTTATTGCCACTGCGACAACGGCGACTCACCTCCTCACATACCACCCGCCATCCGGAGTGCCTGGCGTCGTCTCTGAGTCTATCTCCCCGTAAGGTATCCGTAACTGCCGGCCGTCGTCAATCGAACCGCGCATGGGCCACGGGAGGCTAGGCAACATCGTCATCCCTTCCCTCGCTTGATGGGAGACCGCCGGGTCCGCGGCTCCGAGGAGCCGTCGGAAGAAAAGACGGAACCATTCTCTCAATCTGAAATCGATGCCCGCATGAGAAACATCCGTGTAGAGGAACCCTTTGACCTCATCTCAGCCGACCCCGTACCGCTCGACAAGCTGCGTGTCGAGGAGCATCACCACAAGCAGGGCATCCGCATCCTCGTTCGACCCCTCACTCGGAGCCGTTCGGTGAGCCCAGGCAACTACAACTGCCAATGGCTTGCCCTCCGCGCAGAGGTTGCGTCTGAGCAGGAACCACAACATAAAGTCCTTGCCGTCTCCCAGACGTCCCGGGACATCAAGTTCTCTGTGCGCATCCCGCCGGAGCGGTTGGATGACAACACGCCCCGCCCGCCGTTGTGGTGCGAGCTCTACTATGATCCGACGAGCGATAACCAGATTCTGCTGAATAGATCCGAGGTACCAATCTCGTTAACGAGGATATCTGATGATCCCGGTTCTTGCGCCAGCTGGGGAGTCAATCCGGGAGCCCCCAAGGCGCTGTCACCAGGTACATGGAGGATAAACGTTCGCGATGTTGAAGTCCTTGACTTTAGGATCTTGGAGAAGCGACCCGCCTACTTCAGACATGCCGATTCGGACCTCAAAGACGAACTACCCTCAAGCTCAAATCCAGATGCCCTCAACGCCTCTGGCAAGCGGTCATTCACCGCCGACGATGGTGAGCCACGGTCCGAGAAAAAGGCGCGCACGACAGAGGAGGCCGGCATGGTGAAGAAGGAGAAGGAAGACGGTGTCATCATGTTCCTCAGGCCACAAGCACAACCACTCGTCTTCCCCCTACCGACAGAAGCCAAGGGCAGAGAGCTCGTAGCGACAAACGGCCACGCCCTGCTCGACATGCAAAAGGAGGAGACGGTAGTCATCCCCGGCGGCTGCGAGATCGACGAGTACACAGTCTCCAAGCGCGACCAAATCGCCTCCACTACCCTCTCCTCCGTCTTCACAGCCGAGCACTCCAACGTCCCAGACGGCATCGTCACCGTCAAAGTCCTAAAGACCCGCACGGCCAACGCAAACGCCAACAACGTGACCAAGCCTCAGGACAACAACGAGCGGAACGTGATCCGGCAGGCCGACATGTGGCTCCGCGAGTACCAGTCCCAAGACGACCTCAATCACGAGTCCATCGTCAAACTCTACGGCGGCGACGCCCGCTACCTCTCCCTGTATATGGAGCACGTCGACGCAAAGGACCTCAGCGCCAAGGGCGTCTGGCGCTCCCACGTAGACCACAGCTTCCTCGGCGACCGCGCCGACGCCTTCGCCATCGCGCGCGATATCAGCGGCGCCCTACACTACCTGCACAGCAAGAACCTCGTCCACAACGACATCAAGCCCGCCAACATCCTCTACTCGCCCTCCCGCGGCGCCGTGCTCTGCGACTTCGGCCTGTCGACGCACACCAGCGGACCCGTGACGACGGGCGGCACGCCGTACTACATCCCGCCCGAGTTCATCGGCAAGAAGCTCCGCGGCCCGCCGTCGGACGTCTGGGCGCTCGGGGTGACGATGCTCTACGTGCTGGGCAAGATCTCCTTCCCGGACGCCCGCTCGCGGAAGCAGCCCAAGCAGACTGCGCTGTACTGGATGATTGCCGACGTGAACCGGCCCGCGCCGAGCCCGCAGCAGAGGGCCCCCGGCCAGCCTTGTCCTGCTGTGGATCTCATGTACAGATGGCTGAGCGAGGTTGCGGTGGCGAGGGAGAAGCTGTACCCGCGCGACAAGCTCGAGCGGCTTGTTTCTGATATGTTGATACCTGCACCGACACAGCGGATCACAATGGCTCGCGTCGTGAGAGAGCTATATGTGATGGAGCAGCAAGCTCTTGCGAAGAGGTGATTGGTTCCGCTCAACACTTACTTTTCTTATGTTTTGGCATGGATTTAATCTGGATTATACGTTGTTGTTTTGGTCGAGATAGACGTCACTGCCCCGGCAGTACGCGCATGAAGTTGCATGATGTTTGCGAGAGATACCACTGATGTTGAGAAAGTAGCATGCATGGTTTTGAGTAAATGTTTTTTGTGGATTTGGGGATTCACACCGGCCTCGTTCAGTAACATTGACGCAGGTCAGGTCGCATTGCATTTGGTCACATTGGTTCGCATCTCATATACACACATCCATATACCTGAGCATAGCATTTTTTTTTTCAGGATTTTCCTATTCATTATCATGTCGGTTATCCAGAGGATGAACTGGTATCAAGCATCCATGTACATTAGAAGCACAAACGCATTTCTCATGCTGTTCCCCCTCCACCGTGATGTATGTCTAATGAAGACATTACCTTTACCTGCCCGTCTCGTCCTCCACGGCCAGTGCAAAGCTTTACAGGCTCATGCCGAAGACAAATGCCATGCTAAGTCCGACGACGGATGAGAGGGCGAGCATGTGAGCTCCGCTGCCCGCTGCGCCGCTGGAACCGCTGCCGGAGGTGGAGTTGCCGGTGCTGTTCCCGCTGGTGCCGTTGGTCCCGTTGGCGCTCTGCTCCTGGATGGTCTGAACCGTCACGCCCTCGGTCTTGCACTGATCCGAGGGAAGGGTGGTCGCATTCGAGGTGAAGCGGATATCGGCGCACTGCCCACCAGGTTAGCATCCCGCTATCTACTGAAGTAGGTACTTCACACAAGAAGATGGTAGAGTGGACATACGTTGTAAAGGCCAGACCCAGACTCGCCGACAGTCACGACCTGGATACTTCCCTTTTGACCGTCCTTTGCGGGCGTCGGCAGCGCAAGCTTCTCGACACAGAGAGTGCCTGAGCCGGTGGCGTTCCAGAACTCGGGGGTGAGGGTGATGTTGTGCGTTGTGACGTTGCCGCCGGACTCGATGCCGAGGTTGATGAAGACGTACGTCCAGTCATGGTGCAGGTCAAGCTCGATGGAGCCGCCGTCGAGAGGCCAGTCTGTCACGTTGCCTCTGCCGTAGGGGACGCCGGCACCTGGTGAGGAAGTCAGCTTATGTCACTTCGAGCCTTCGAGTGATGGACAGGATATGTTGGTGGGGGCGGGTAGGAAAGGGAAAGACGGCCATACATGGGTAGGTCCACTGTGAGTAGCCCGTCAGGTTTGTCCCGCTGAGGGTATCAGCGCGCCATGACGGGTAGGCGAGGCCAAAGTGAGCGGATGCAAAGTTGGCGGCACCGAGGGCGAGGAGGAGGGTCTTGAGGGCCATGATTGTAGGTGGTGTGAGATCGACAGAGCTCGTAACTTTGTACAGTGGGTCAGGTGAAGGGATCAACGACTGGGAGGTACTGCCAAGAAGATGAAGAGGAGGAGGGTTGGAGATATGAGTGAGAAACTTCTGCGAGGTAAGCACTTTTATAAACACATCAACCTCCGCGTGCAATACCTGCAGCATACCTTAAATGGGTAGCTTATCCTTTCCTTTGGGATGTCACGTAGCAGGGATCTTAGCTGTGAGCATCGTGGCAAGTAAACTAAGGTAGGCCAGTTCCAGCGCGAAGGAAACTCCCTCAGACGCCACAATGCGAACAAAAACGGCTTAGACTCGTGGTGAACTACGGCGATGCCCTGCGCTGCTGCCCTATGGGAATCAGCTGGCTGGCGGGTATACGGTAAAATCACAGTAGCATCCCGTTACATTGAGCAGTTCTCGTGGTGACAAGGAATAGGAAGCATAGAGAATTCGGAATGAGAGACCGAGGCGAGCAGTTCCGCAACGGGAAAGTAGACCAATGGAGGGCACCAATTGAGCAAGTTTATTTCCACTCAGGCAAGGTCCCTGGGCCTAGCGAGAATCTGGCTGGTCTTTGAGTGAGATCTCTAAGAAGCAAACGGCGGCCTGAATGTTTCCTTCGTGGAAACGGCCGTCTGGCTGACTTGAAGTTGGGCGGGAGGCTCAAGACGGGAATGGTCCACCTGTTTGGGCGGCGAATCAGAGTTGGTGGATGGCGGGGGCGGGGGAGTGGCGGGCGCTAGCGCGGATGCAAGTATCTTGCTCAAACTCACGCACTCTCCCCCGGTTATGGCTCCCGAATGGGCGTTCCTCAGTGCTGGGGAGACGGCACGCGCGGATTGGTGCAAGTACATGAAGAACGGAGGTTGTCGTGGCCGGTGGAATGAGCTGAACTGCTTGTTGTCGAGGCAATCTGTCAGTCGAGGCCAGTCTGTCAGCTGTTAGAGAGTCGACTTGTGGCTCAAGTTAGATGTCACGTGTGCATATGTTGCCAACAACTCTCGATTCCTTGGTCTTAAGACCTTGTGAAGATGTTGATGCTGCTGTCATATCATAGGAAAAAGCTGAAGGGCGCTAAAAGATCCTTAAGATGCACTTGGAAGATTGGTTAGGGCGATGCCGGATGTTGCAAGAAGCGGCTCAAACAGAAGTGAAGTTAAACCACGATAGAATTCGAAACGGCAACACCACACGCTTTCTTGTGGTGAGCGAGCGTATTACGACGTGAGAACGGGTTGTGAAAACAAGTCCATGGTATCCAGGAATTACCATGTCACCGAAGGCAAGTAAATCTCACGGACTTGACCATAAGACATTTCTCCAAGCTCGCCGACAGCCACACCCAGAGACACCGACTTAGCACTGTTTGAAGTCATCATATATCTACTAGAAGACGCATGTGAGATGATTGATAGTACCTAGAATACAAGACCTGCATTTTCCCTACAACTTGGGGAGCTGGTTAAGAGACCACAAACCAGTCTCATCCGTATACTGCTCTCCCCCAACGAACCCCCCAGAAACAGGTCCTCTCCCAGCCTGCCAGAACGGAATCGTGACAAAAATATCCTTACTCGTAATATTCGCCACAAACACCCCAGCATCTCCCAAATCCCACCGCACAATCATCCCAGCAGGCGCCGGCGTCCCAGGCACAAGCGGCCAAATCTGCCCCTCGCCCCATCCTAGCGTATTATTCGCGCGGTCGACGCATCTCGAAGCAATCACGTGCCCATCCTCGTAGGTGGCTAGGTACTCTGAGCTGATCTCGGTGCCATCTTGCGCGTGCGAGTGCCACCAGACAACGGCGTAGGGCCCAAGGCGCGCGTGGCCCCAGAAGGCGGCCGGGAAGCTTCCTGAAAGGGGCGGTCGACCCAGGTCTTGTCGTGGTAGCCGTAGCCAGAGAAGGACATGGTCGTGTCGTCGAGCTTGAGGTCGACTGCTGCTTCGGCGTCGGGGAGGGCGTTGGCCCAGGCTACGCCTTCGACGTTTTTCTCGTTTACGCCGGCCGCGTCGGTGCCGCAGGTGTAGTGGGGGGCGACGGTCTGCAACAATCAACTTGTCAGTCTGGAGCATTTACTCATACCGTAGAGATGGACTCACGTTGCCTCGCAAGATGAGACTTCCATAGATACCGGTCTCGGGCGAGTTGATGGTGACGTTGTACACCGGTCTCGGCTGCAACAAGCTCGAGCCCGACCAGCTGACCTCGCTGCCGCCGAAAAAGTCTACGCGCATGCTCTTGTCCGCCCTCTCAATGATGTTGGCCATTTCGAAGTTGACTCCGTAGCTGAAGGCCGTGCCATTGGCAAAGGATCAGAACAGGGATACGTGGTACTGCGTGGTGCCTACATCCGCGCCGTTGTCGGTCGGTCTCTGGACCTCAAAGTTGAAGACGACTGTCTCGTTGGTCGAAGGGTTCATCGCATCAAAGTACCAGCTGCGGGTACCTGTGTCAGTTCCATGAACGGCAGCAGGGGGGCAAGCTGCATGTAGGGTCTGATGACGTACGAGTCAAAGGTAGTTGCGTTCGGGCCAGGGTCGATCTTGAAGAAATCCGCTTCACCGAGGGCCTCCGTGGTGAACTGGACCTTGGTCGTGCCATTGTAGTAACCCTTGCCGAGTTGGATGACACGATCTCCGGTGTTCGTCTCGGCAGCGCAGCTGGATGCCGAGACGGCTGCTGCTGCGAGCAGACAAGCTTTTGTATGCTTCATGGCGGGGGTGTCGTTGACAGCGGAACGAGTCGAGATAGAAGCCCTTGAGACAAACAGGTGTTTCGTAGACCGAATTGGACGTTTCGAGGATCACTACATGTTAGCTTATATATAGTAGAGTAAATCCCCATCGACCAAAACTTTGCGAAGCTAAGAAAAAGAGAAACTCGATTCCAAGACCTCTCGCTACACCCCCACAGCCAACACTGCCGCATTTCCTCAATAGAGACTGGTCAAGGCTAACTAAGCTGACCAAGCTCCCCTGACGTCGCATCACGGATATAAGCCGAAGTCTCCGATTCAGGAGGCGCATCGAAAAACGCTCACAAATCCCTCGATTCCCACGGCTTCACGAAGTGTTATTGTCCGGATAGTATTGCAGCGTAGGTGGATTACGGCATCAGTGTCGGTCTCGGTTCTCCGCCAAATTAGAGTCGCGGCTCGGTATCGGTTTCGACGGTGGTGTTCGCTTGAGGGGTACTGCAGTTCCTCATTTCCCGCATGTCATGCTCTCGAAGGGAGCTCGAAGGACCCCGAGCATCGGGAGTTCCTGATTGCCGAATGGAACCTCATTACGTGAGAAGTCGGCGATTAGTCTGTCGGTCTCGGTTGTACCGCATGCTCCGGATCCGGGGCCAGAGTGGTTCTCCAAGGCTCCGGCTCCAGCTTCAGCCCGGGCACCGCTCCGGAATTTCTCCACCCCTCGACATGGACGTCATCATTGACTTTCCCTGGCCACAGCCGCCAAGATCGGTAAGGACGCAGTGCCTTGACGAAACAAAGTTTGGTCCGTCCCCGCTGCCGAGTTTATGTCGACTTCAGTCATGGAAACACCCCACCACACCCCCGTCTGTGCTCGCGAAGCTGGCGTTTTGCGCGCGCGAAGATGCGATCTTTCGAGCGCGCCGCGGCCATCATGGCGCGCGAAATCGCGTGGTATACCAGAAGCTGAGTAAGCTCAGCCAGCGTCGATGGTTTAGTGGTAAAATTCTCCGTTGCCATCCAGCAGCGTCGGGGAGCCGGGGGTTCGATTCCCCCTCGACGCAAGCTTTTGCACGGCAGCACGTATTCCTCCCCGTCCAGGTGGTAATTGCCCGCTGTAACTTTTGCTGCTAGCAGACTAGGTGATTGATATTAGTTGACCGTTGACGCACATCACCCAACTTGTTGTCTTCTTGATGCTCAATCGGCGCCTTCGAGTCTATTGCGAAGGCTATCCGCTCATAGAACTCAACAATGCCAGACTCAGTGACGCATCGGCCCGAATGAAGCTGATCTGATCATCTTGTTTCGCCGGAATTGGATGATTGGTTTCTTGGATAGGGCAGTCTTGGCGGTCAAGAGTAAGATCTGGGGAGACTTCGGAAACGTCTAAAGAAAGCACTGAAATACGGGCGAGCACAACATCGTATCAGATCGTTGCGCTGCGCCGCGGTGACACTCGTGAACGTGTACGAGCTATAATGTCGTCGGCGTGGATGAATGGCATCGTGAGATCAGACATTGCCTTGGGGATGTGACGATGCAAACGATGCGACCTTTGGTTCCAAAACCACGGCAGTCAAAGCGAAGATATCTTGACCGATTGACTCAACGTAAGGCGACCAATAATGGTTCATCAATTGAGACCAAATGAAGGGTCACCGAAGATGTTGCATCATGTGTGCCCAGATTTCAGTGTTGAGAAATGGGCAACGGCGCGATTGGCATGAAATGGACGGGGAAAGTTGCGGCGGCCTCAAGTCACTCGGTACCTTTTCTCGTGCCATGTGGGGCTACTCCCCAAGCGAGCGAGCCAATGGATCCACCATAAGAAATCCGCCCACCGTTCAGCCCCGTCCTGGCCGCATGGGTACATTGATGCTGACCATTACGATGCTGAACCAAAGTCCTTTTCATTTAGCAACACGATATGATGGTAAAGTATCTGGTATACTAGCTTGAGATAATATGTTAAGTAGTTTTGGGTTGCCACAAGTTTCAAGCAAAATTGCAGGCCATGTTTGAAGCATATCGCGTGGTGTTGAATGGTGCTGCAGTAACATTTAATGGGCGTTGCATGTCTCGCAAATTGACTATCCCTGCTTGCGATCAGCGCACGGGCCACTGAGGCCAAAATCGCTGCGCCTTGGGAAACCGGCACAGGCAACCACTCAGAAGAAGCGGGCCTGAGTCACTGAACAGTTCAAATCCCCAGGCATCCCTCGCGCATTTCGACTGCCAGACCTCTCTTTCTTCCTCACCCGCTCCGAATACCTTCAATCTCTACCTACCTCTTCTTACCTTACCCTTACCATATCATTGCTGATCGCATCTAACTCCTTGATCGATACAAGATTACAAGCTTCATTCACGCCAAGCCACGCCAAGAATCGAGAGATGACGCTCTAGTTGAATCAGCGATTCACCCCGCAGCCAATATGGCTTCCTACGCAGATCCACCGGTCCCGGACCGCTGGGACTCACACGACTTCGACGGCGATACTGATCGCTACCTATGCCTTTACGACGTGTCAGACGAATTTGACTTGGAAGCTTTGACGACTCCTGATCCTCGGGTCACGACCTCGGCCGATACGGGAGATGCCGTTGCTTTGGAGATGGGCAAACCTGACTTCACCCCAGTCGAATTCGAGAAGATGGATTCCCCTTTTGATGGAGGCAACTCCGACGATGGAGGATATCCACCACCACCACTGTTGACGTCAACAAGACGCCGACGCCCACATGAGCTGTCGTTACTTCGCAAGGTTAGTTAACGACTGAATACAAAAAGCACTTCTCTCTCAAGACGAGAAGCTAACACACAAACCTAGTCCCACCTTGCATCGATTTTTTTTGATGATTGCAATAGACGCAGAACTGCTTGTTGTTCCCTCAGTGTCTCGGAGGAATTGGCGAGAGCCCAGCTTTCGGGCCTTGCATTGATGGAGGATATTTGTCTTGTTGATTACCTTATCCCAGTCCCGGAGTCTCCAGACGATGCACTGATTGCACCCCTGGACACCCCGGAAACATGCCGACAGGTCTCCATTAGGAAGCCCGACGGCGTGATGCAGTCGTTGTTTGTTGCTGTCTAATATGGTGAAGATGGCGTTGGTTATTTGCACCGGTAAGCTCGCTGACGGCGCGTCCACGCTCTCTCTTGCGACTTGTCTCTAACGCTTACCCCTAGGTTGGCCAAGGACCTGAGTACGTCGTAAAACTTCTCGATCGGCCATCTGAACTTGATAGCGCCCGTCCACAAGAATTCACACAAACGCAACCATTCGTAAACCAACTAGCTCAGCAAATCGCCGAGTCAACCACCCTTTACCAAAACAACCCTTATTACCAGCAACCTACAACTCCTAACACGGCGTTTTACGACCTGTCTGCTGCAACGATCAACATTGGCAGACTTCCAAGCGAGAACACTACACACCACCCCGGGTTCCCCCCCTCAGTCGCAGTTATGGCGGTCACTACTACAGGCTGGCCCTACGGGGCCCAGCCGGTACGTGCTGCACCCGATGCAATGAACGACAACACGTATCAAAACTCGCCTTTCTCGGAGCTCTTTGAGACTCCGGACGAGGGCGACGATTGGGCAATGCTCATGCAGCAGGACATGCTCGCTACTGGCGACTACGACATGACCACCTTTGACCTTTCCACCACCATGGAAGCCACTTACCAAAACACCCACTCTCCCCAGGACATCTTCAACGACCCCACCGTCCAGTACGATGTCGCGCAGAGTCTAGGCCCCGACTTCTTCGACTTCAACGGCCCTCTGCCCGACCTCTCTACCTCAGGCTACCTTTCCGGTGACCAGATCTCCTCTTACATGGGCAGCACGAACACCTCCCCCTTCGAGCCTGTCCTCGACTTCTTCCCTGAAACCGACCCATACTCCATGTTCCCGGCAAGCACCGACGGCTCGCCCCTCGACACAACTACCTCCTCCCCCGGATCAGACAACGCAAGCGCTCCTTCCAGCTTCTCCCATCCTTACAGCTGCACTACCGATGGTTGCACAAAGACCTTCGCCAAGGAGGCCCAGCTGAAGCAGCACCAGCGTGTCCACCGCAAATCTCTCGTTTGCACCATCTGTCGCGCTGAGCGCCGTCACGAGCACAAGTTTGCTCAAGTGCGGGACCTCGAGCGGCACATGCAGGCGCGCCACAAGGACGTTGCGGAAAAGAACAACGTCCGCTCCGAGATCCGCCAGTGCCCGCACCAGGGGTGCGACCACGAGGGGAGGCGGGATAACGTGTCGAGGCACCATAAGAGTAAGCACGGTAAGGAACTCAAGTGGAAGAGAGGTGTTCCTCACGTGGTGGGTTGAGTTCTCTTCTCAACCGGGGTTGATGTTCTCATCCCCAAAAAATGCGACACGAGCGTTGTGAGTTCTTGGCGTTATCTATTCCCTTTTGCATTTTGTTTCCTATCTGTTCGGTTTGGGATCTCGGTAGTCTAGCATTGCATTTAGACAGAAATAAGTCCTTAAAACATAACTTGCTGGTGCCATCGCAAACGTGATGAAGAGGAGTGGATCCATGCGGAGAGAACTGCTCCCTTGGCAGTATCGCAGCTACGTGCACCGGCTGCTTAAAGACTGGGGCTGAACATGTCCGTACCAGTTATCCGAAATATCTCCACAAATCCCGACCGTCTCGACCGACTCCGGAGTTTTCGATGTCATTAGCAGTGCACAACAGAAGAGCCAATCTCACAGAACCGTTTGACTGGAAGACACTTACACGCGAAGAGCTTCCCCAATCACCAACGCTCGCTAAAGCGGAGGAGCATTCTGAGACGGGACAATGGGTAAGCCCGATTGGTCACAACTGTCGTGTCACCCCACTTGTATAGCTAAGACATATCTTCGGTAAGACCCCAATAAGAAATCATACCGGAAGATACAGAATGATCGCTGATTATGTGACTGATTTTTGACATAGGTCTTGGTCTGTTGTGCATTTGAAAATCTGAAGAATCCAATATCTATACTAGTAGGTAGGCAAGAGACCGCTGTTCTACAGTGAGTTTCTTCACCAAGAGAAATCGATGTTCTCTACTTCCGCCGCCTTTAAAACAGAGTCCAAAGTTGTCAACGGCTCAATCTCGAGAAAAACAGAGACGCTCTCCCCAGGAGGAGTTTCTGCAATGCATTCCCGGATAAATCGCGCAAGAATTCGCTTCAAAGACTCAAACCCTGCTTCTCTGCCATTATGGACCCTTTCCTGTACGGCAGTATTCCGGGCCTCCAATCGAAATAACAGGCATTTAAGCTCAGACCATTGGAACTGTGTTGGTAGTTTCGACAGCTCTTCTACGAGTTCGGCGAGCGTCTTACTCCGGAAGCTTCCTTCTGGCTCCCAAGTGCAACTTTGACGTGTTGGGTGACTAGTTACCACGCGATACACAAAGTCGACCTCTAATTGCCGCACTGGTGCATCCTTAGGTGGTTGATTGACAATTGTCGGCTGTTGAACGACGGCCTCTGCGCTCTTGACAATTTCTGGCAAAGCGGAGGGGTCGTCAATTTGCGGCGCAGCAGGGACTGTTGGGTGTGGTGCGAATGGTGTGTCAAGTGCCGCGTCAATTGGCTGCATCGGAGCTGAAGGTTCATTCGTGTGGCAGCTCTCCTCTGGCTGAGACTGATGCATCTCAGTTTCGGTTCTTAGTTGAATGACTGCTTTGTCGGCGTAAGCATTCGGGGAAATGTCTTCGTCCGTGACAGTCTCGACAGTGGCTTGAAGAGGATTGAGTCTCCCCTGAAGGCCCGGAGGCGAGACGTCATCAGCAACTGGCTGCGGTTCAGGAGCCACCGAGTCGTCATCGATCTCTGGGCTTGGGGCGCTGTTAAAGAATGCCAAGAGTTGCTCAGGTGTTGCGCTGTTCGCCGGTTGACGGATGATTCTTTTGCGGGGCGAGGTTCTGTGTGTTCTGAGATCGATTGGGGGTTTGTTGGCACGGGGTTTTTTTGTCGCCTTGATGTTTGTACCTGCAGATTTGGCCTTGTCAAGCCTCGGTCGCTTGGGTGGAGGACCCATGTCAGCGTAGGGTGCAAATTGACGATCGTCGTTTGGAGCGGCTGATGAAATGCTTTCCAAGGTGTGCTGGTTCTGCTAGGGTAATACGTGTTAGAGTAATTATTCGTTGCAAGTGAAACATGATGGGGAGCTGAGCTTGCTTACTGGGGTACATGTGTTCTGCACGTGTATTTCTGGACTTTCGGGGACGCGGTACGGATCGCTGCTGACCTCACGTTGATCCGGCCAGCTTTGTTGCGCCTCGCCCAAGTGAGGATCGATAACGCTTGGGTCGATGTGCTGGGGATGAATAGTAGACTCAGGAAACGTGGTTGAGCTATAGTATCTTATGTTAGGGACTAGATTCTGACACAAGGTCGGCATTCGATCACAAACCTTGAGCTACCAGGCATCCCCGCAACGCTGGAACCCTCATGCCCATCTTCGAAGATATCTACGTCGATTGGATCTTCGTGACTGAGGCCCCTTCCAGTCATTCTATCAACGCTGCTCGACTTCTCTTTGTTCTTCTTGTACTTGTCGTTCCGGTGCTGTTGGAGGTTCAGCCGCCAGAAAAGCTGCTGCATGATTCTCTTAATCCTGTAAGCCTCAAAGTCAGCTGTGAGCCTGGCATACGAGTTTCTGATGTGGCTTACCGTGTGCCATCAGTAGAATACTTGAGTTTGTTAGCTCGGCCTTGCGTATTGTCGTCTGGCCAGTACAGTTGCCCATTGCCATGACGCTCAAGATATGCTCGCGCCATCTCAGCAAGAGCGGTTCGATGCTCGCGAATTCTCCATTCGTGAATCGTACTGCCTTCCCAACCTTGGCTGGTCACAAAGTTCTTGCGGAAGACACGGACACTATCATAGAATCCCTGGCATCTCGGCAAATGAGGGTCGCCATAGTCGAGTTGCTCCCGCAGTTGAGTAATTGGGGGAATAGATGTTGGATTGATCGCATTTGCCATGATAGCGAGAGCTCACGTCTTTGAGGTTGAATACGATGGTGATGATACAAACATGAAAGCAAGAAGATATGATGGCGAGAAGGCTCAGAGAGAAGAGACGAGACACGCCGAGGGAACTCAAGAAAGGAGTACGGGCTGTCTTCGACTCTTGGTAAAAGTCAGAGACTTCAGCGCCGTACCCTCCATTATAATAACCCTGGATTCAGCTGGCATGGTTTACTGCACCTATCACACCGTGGAGTGGAGTTCCGGGGAGGTTGGAAAGTACACCGGTTGGTCCAACAGCTTGTGTTGGTTGTCCTAATTACCAACTTGGGACTCCAGGTTGCAGCATCATTTACCCCTGAGCGGCACAGCTGCTTCTTGTCTGAGGCCTCCTGCAAATGGGTTACCATGAGCTCCTGAAATGGAAATAATAGATTGTTATCAGAAGGCTTCATGGGCTTGTGCTCATCAAAGAGGTTCACAGCGAATTTGACAAGCGGTGAGGGGGAAACCCCCATTCTAAAGTCATGCCATAGCGCATAGGCTGTCTATGTGACTGTCAAATCACTATAAAAGGGAGGCATTCCCCATTCTCAAGGATGTCGTGCCGCGAAGCTCTGCACTCTTGTTGCTGTGGGTTCTTCTGATCCTTCCCTGGAATCGAGTACGGTTGCAAGGCATTGCTACAGAAACCACAAAAAAAGGAATCCCAGCGTCTCTCTTTGAGCGGCTTGGTATGTCTGGACTTGTACTTGCTTGCGATGGCGTGCCTTCGCAAACAATACTCTTCTTCATTGGACCAATAGTTGCAGGTGTACTCATTGAAGTTGCTCGCTACTATACCCGACCAAAACGAAATGGTAAGTGAGCACTGTGACATAATTTCGTTGGTTGGTGTTGATGCTCCATGATAACCAACCTTGTATCCAGTTGCTGACTCAGAGTGATCGGCAGAACCTTTCCAGGCGCGAGAGTTGACTGTCACCCCCATCCGGCCCCAGTCACGAGAGTTACCGGTTCCACCCCGGTCGTGGGAGTTAATCGAGACACCTACTAGAATCCGGGCGATCGAGCGGGAGCCTTCACACTTTGAAGATGATCGAGCTTTTTACACAGGTCCAAGTGGGAGACATGAGTGGCACGGGGATTTCGAGCTCAGACTCAACAAAGTTGTAACTATCAACTTGGTGCATCGTGAACACAGGCTAATTAAATGTCACTAGTGTTCAACTGTGGTAAGGCGTCAAAAGATGCAGGAATAACCATCAAGTCAGTCAACTTGTGCACAGTTCATTCTCCGAAGGTTGAGGCCCTGCATTGCAAGGCAGAATCGTCGGGTTTGTTCCGTCAATGAGTGTTTTGGGTGTGTCTCAAGAGATGATTGGTCCGCAGTCGGCATGGTATGCCACTTGACCTCATTCACGAATGAATGGGAACATAGAGTTAGAACGTTTTGGATGCTCGTATTGTTTTACTCGTCCATTGTATTATTAGTAGAGTTATGGGGCGCAAATGTCAGTAAAATATCGTGGTTTTCACATAAAGAGTATCTGTTTGATTGACTTGGAGTAACATCCTTGGGCCAACATTACAAAAACTTGGTGCCGGATGATCAGGAAACTGCCAACACATCAGTTCCCTGCTGGCCCCGTGCCACAAATTACAATTTGATCGACGAAACGCAGCAGAGTGGATGGAAGGCAACTGTTTGAAATGCCACTACGGAATTTTCATGGAGTAGCGTCGTTGATCAAAGTACTCTGTAGTCAAGGCAAATGAAATGTGCGGAGAAAGCTACCTTACATGAAGGATGAAGTATGTGTGTGTAGCAAGTAGGCGCAGTTGAGTGAGGATTCCCGTTGGATGCGTACGTGCAGCTGAAACTGCGAATGGTGAGGAACACAAACCGCCGCTACCCGCATAGTGCTGAAAAAACAATGACTTGTGCACGGGGTTTCCTGCGTTGCTACCAATTATCTTGAAATGATAACTTCCTAGGAAGTTATGGCTTTGAGGGGCCTGTTCAGTAAGTCGTGGGCGCAAACAACTATTTAGATGGCGGTACGCGATACATTTGGGTGAATGCGGATTGGTAAATCATATCGCAAGAAAAGAAGCTACAGGGAACCTGTCGTGATGGCTTCAACCATCTGTGGCCTCACTGCCCGTCACGTGACCTCGGTAACATAATCACTGAGGCCCACACTCGCTCGCATCACCTATTTTAGAGCGAGCCTTATACTTATTTTCTACTTTTAATAAATAATCGTTCTCTATGTTAAGTTTAATTAAAATAACATTTTATTTTCAATCAAAATATAATTAAAGGCCGTTTAAGAATTACTTAACTTAAATATAAATAGTTAATAAGAAATTATTTTTAAATTTATTTAAATTTATTAATAGTTATTACATTTTTATGAATAATTAACTAACGTACCTGCATAGCGAGTGGGCCAACATAGCGAGTGGGCCACTTTTCCTTCTTTCTACCTCTTTCACCTTTACACTAACATTCCTCCACGTACGAACATGCAATCTACCTCAATTGAACGTCGTATCATCCTTGCCATCCAGGCTATCGAAAAAGACCCAAAAATGTCTATACGAAAAGCAGCTTCTACCTTTGAGGTCCCTCGAACGTCAATCCAAAACCGACGCGCTGGACGCGTCGTACGAGGCGAGACGCGTCCAAATTCAATGAAGATGACTATATCTGAAGAGGAGGTGATTCTTGAATGCGTTATTGACCTAATTAATCGAGGTTTTCCCCCGCGACAAGAAGACGTACGAGATATGGCCGACCGACTCCTTTCTAAGCGCGACGCGACGCGTGTTGGACCCCGATGGGCAGAGAACTTCGTACGACGACAACCCCAATTGAAAATGCGATTTCGACGTCGAATCGACTATCAGAGGGCTTTAGCTGAAGATCCTACGATTATACAAGGCTGGTTTGCACTCGTGCGAAACACAATTACAAAGTATGGGATACACGATCACGATATCTACAATTTTGATGAGACTGGTTTCTTAATGGGAATGCTGTCGCACGCAAAGGTTGTTACGACATCTGACCGTAAGGGAAGGCCTCGTATGAAGCAGCCTGGCAATCGGGAATGGGTTTCTGTTATTCAGGGTGTATGCGCGGATGGCTGGGCGTTGCCTCCGTACATCATCGTGAAGGGCAAATATCACCTCCTCTCCTGGTACGCCAACGGCCAATTCCCAGCCACATGGCGCATCCATCCAAGCGAAAATGGATGGACGACAAATGAAATTGGCCTAGATTGGCTAAAGCACTTTGATCAGTGTACAAAGTCTCGTACGAAGAGTCATCATCGCCTCTTGATCCTAGATGGTCATAACAGCCATAAATCCACTGAGTTTGACGACTACTGCAAGGAACAAAACATTATCGCTCTTTGCATGCCTCCCCATTCATCGCACGAGCTTCAGCCTCTTGACGTTGGTTGTTTTAGCCCGTTAAAGCACTCGTACGGCAAGGAAATCGAGAAGATGATGCGGATGCAGATTTCGCATATTACAAAGGACGACTTCTTTCCTGCTTTTAAAGCAGCATTCTTTGCTTCAATGGGCGAAAACAACGTACGAGCTGGTTTTAGACAGGCAGGCCTTGTACCATTAGACCCAGAAGTAGTCATTTCTCGCCTGGATTTCAAGCCAAAGACGCCAACACCCTCAACCTCACGGCCAAGCAGCCAAGGCTCCTGGGACGCAAAGACACCAACTACAGCACTAGAGGGCGTACGAAGTGCTACATCCCTTAAAAAGAGGATCCAAGCACATCAGGGTAGCTCACCAACAGCAATGTACGAAGTAATTGACTTCCAGGCCAAAGGTATTAGCAAGTTAGCCCATAGGCTTGCTATTATTGAGGCTGAGAACTCTAAGCTTCGTACGGGGATAGAGGTATTAAGTAAGCGCCGAAGGGCAAAAAAGACCCGACTACGTCTTGGAGGGTCACTTAATACTGCTGAAGCAGAGGCACTACAAGGACAAAAGGGTGGTGTTGATGTTGGAGGGAAGAATAACCCTCAGAAGGAGGGTCGTACGGAAGGCGCTGAACCACGCGCGCGACGATGTGGCAATTGCGGAAAGACTGGACATAACGCACGAACCTGTGAAGTAGTTTGGGACAGTAATGAGGAAGAGGATGATGAGTAGTTTTAATTAATTTTGTACGTTGTAGCTAAATTAACTTACATAAAAGGTAGAAAGGTAGAGGAAAGTGGCCCACTCGCTATGTTGGCCCACTCGCTATGCAGGTACGTTAACTATATTAAAAAGTAAAATATTGTTTAAGATCTTATTTATAACAAAGTTCTTATAAACTACAAATAAAGATTTAGAAACTATATATAGTTAACTGTTACGAGCAGGACAAGGCAACCAACTATGGCACAAAGCAAAAGCTTCCATAATGATGACTCCGCATCATTTTCCCTTGTACTGCATTATATAGCTACGCCATGACGGGACCAGTTGTTTAGGCCGTAACACCACATCTCCCCTACAAGAGGCATGTCCCTATGCCGAGGACCAATCGGACAAATCGCGGGTATAAGCAGGGAAACTCCAGCAGACGTGCGGGGTAACCAGTCCTACACGTGCTGCCTACGGCCGGGACGCCCTTCATAGTGTGGGAGGCACAATCACACTATCGACGCAGCGTGCGGGAATTGAACCCACAACCCCTCTACGCAGGGTGGAGTCATCATTGTGTTACGAGCAGGTCAAGGCAACCAACTGTGGCACAAAGCAAAAGCTTCGATAATGATGACTCCGCATCATATTCCCTTGTTCTGCATTATATAGCTACGCCATGACGGGACCAATCGTTTAGGCCGTAACACCACCTGCTTTAGTAGTATGTTACGGCCAGCTAGTCGTAATGAGGTATGTTTGCAGAAGTTGAGGCTGCGGAACTGGTAACAGTAATAATCGAATGTAATAATCAGATGTAATAATCAGATGATTATTACACTGGGTCGAATCGGTCTCAAGTAGGGAAGGCTTCGGTGATCAATCGTAATCTTGTCAAAGAGGTTCTCAGGGAAGATAGCTGAAAGCGATCATAAGATCTGATACGAAGTTAATTGCTGAAGAAGCTATGGGAAGTCTGTCCTAGAGTCCAGCTCAAGTCCATCCTTATATACAATTCCTGATCCTGAACATGTCCTTTGTCCCTTGGGTCGTCTTGGATCATTCTGATCTAGAATGATCGTTTAGCCCCCAAGTCGTGTTGGATCATATTGATCCCAAATGATCCTTATCTTATCATCACGTGACTTGTATCATAGGTCTTCCGTTCCGTGAGAGGGTGCCTCGTGTCCCCTTGTCCTGTGCCTCACATTCAAGAGTCACGTAAGAAACCTCTCTGCAAAAGCATGCCAAGTAGTCAATGGACTACGGGGACTAGGGAACACTGTCTGGGGCGCGCCTGCGTACTTACTTCGTCGAGCGATCACCTCTTGTGTATTACCCACTCAGTACTATGCATCTGAAGCATGGTGGCCCGGCAAGAGCCGGATAAAGAATGGACGTACTATCTCAAACGGGGTTGGTAGTCTGCTACACCAACTGGACGCGACGCAAACCAAAGCCATTAGAGCGATGGTCCCCGTATACAGAACTACGCCTGTACCGATCCTATAGCGCGAGGCGGCTCTACCCCCAGCAGAGGTGATACTGGACGCGAAGCTCCACACAGCGTCCACCAGAATCCATCGTCTGGACGAGCGACACCCTCTCCGAACGAGACTCAGGGACAAATCAGGACCAGACTCACGGCTACGACGAATGGCAAGCCTCGTAAGCAAAAATACCGAATACATCGATCCGTTAGAACTCCCCCCTTGGGAGCAACTAGCGGACTGGCAGACAGCCCTCGCCAGGGTCGGCTACGAATCTAATAAGACCAAAGAAGAACAGGCCCTCTCCTTTGCAGGCAGGATGGCAACTTTCTCCAAGCGGGACATTGTTGTCTACACTGACGGGTCCCAGATGTCGGACGGCAGCAGCACCTCCGCCGGAGCAGGCTGGGTAGGGTACCAAGCTACACGGCAGATCTTCCGCGGATCCGAACCACTCGGCTCCCAAACTGAGGTGTATGACGCGGAGGCACATGCTGCGTATCACGGCCTGATGGAAGCCACCCGGGCTCCTACGGCTCGTATGGCAGATAACGTCCACATCTGCCTCGACAACCTCGCAGTCGCGGCTAGACTATACTCCCAGAGCACAGGAAGCAGCCAGGCTAGATTTAGGGCCTTCAATAGGCTCTCTTCCTCCTGGACTCGGAGACAAAGAGAGAGCTGGACAACCCCCGGCAGGGTTTATGTTTGGTGGTGCCCTGGGCACACGGGAGTACCAGGAAATGAAGAAGCGGATGCTCTAGCCAAGGAAGCCTGCAAACTAATCCCAAAATCACAACCACAGCCCTCATTAGCGCACCTAGAAAGGCAAGCTAAAGCAGCTGCCTTCCAAGCCTTTGCCAGAAAATGGCTGTCCCAATGCCCTCGGCAATATGCCGACCTCGAGATAATTCTTCACCCCAAGCCGCCCGAGCTCCGCCTCCCTCGGCACTTACTAGGAAGGCTATACGCAGCAAGATCCCATCATGGAGACTTTGCAGCATACCACGAGAGATTCGCTCATCAAGATGCGTTGCTCAACTGCAGCTGTGGGAAACCCAAGACACCAGTCCATTTCTACTTCTGCAAGCGTGGACGCAAGGCTACACCGCGCTACCTCCGCCAACGTATGGCCAAAGCAAGCATTGATTTCTTGTTAGGTTCTGCTAAGGGAGCCTCTCTTCTATGCGAATGGATAGAGGAGACCAATTTCTTTTCCGAAATTTGCCCGAGTCATTGAACAGGAACGTTAGGTGAAGACGGTAGCCTGTAACATAGTTTAGATTAGCATAGACGATGTCGGCATAGCGCCCAGCACGTCCTTTTGTTACCAGACGTTAAATACATCATCATCATCATCATCACCTTGTCCTGTGCACATATGGCGTATCGTAACCGCCGTAAGCCTGCGGGGTAGGCCCTGTTCTTGGTCATGCATGTTGGGTCGTAACAAGGCACTACAAGTAGAAAAGGGTGGTGTTAATGCTAGAGGAGACAATAATACTTAGAAGGAGGGTCGTATAGAAGGTACTAAACTATATGCGCAACGATATAGGAATTACGGAAAGCCTAGATATAACGTATGAACCTATAAAGTAGTTTGTAATAGTAATGAGGAAGACGTTGATATATAGTTTTAATTGATTTTGTACGTTATGGCTAAATTAACTTATATTATATAAAAGGTGGAAAGGTCTGAGAGAGTGCGTCGCTCGCTATGATGCGTCGTAGTAGTAGTAGTAGTAGTAGTAGTAGTGGTGTTTTACATCATCAGGGACAGGTGCCCAGCTATCTATGTAACTAAGCTCCGATCAACCAGAGCGCCCTTTGGGCATATGATGTGCCGTGCCGCCATTATAGCGTACGACAAGTCAGGCAGTCTATAATGTACACTTTTCTTCTCGTGCCTAGAGCAGTGGAGTTTAGTATCTAATCCCCAGGGTCCGTTCAGTTCCAAAAAGCACGCCAGCAGGGGGTCCCTGACTCGGCAGAAGCGAATGGGTCTCTAGCAGCCCTACGCCGTCCACAGACGGCGTTGCCGCAACAAGTAACCGGCCCTCGGAGGCATATTTGCCTACGCGAGCATTTTTCTGTTTTCTTATATTTTCTTATATAGAAGATAAAGGAGGAAGGAAGAGAGAGGGGTGTGGTAAGGCCGGGGCCTCAAGGCGTCGGTGGGTGTGTGAGAGAGTTGTGAGGCGCGGGATCTCGGGCTCGCTATCTTTGCAGAGAGTGAGCCTCATAGTAGCGCGTCACACGCTCGAACTTCTCAAAGGCACCCGGGTCTCTGACCAGGGCGTACCAATAGGCTTCGGCCAGGCCTATCGGGGGCGGTAGTGGTCCCGGATCGTCCACGGTCCCGGTAATCGGCCATAGCGCCGAGGTACGGCGGTTCTTCGTGCAATATACTGGATGGGTAGGCGATAATTTCCGCCCGCAGTTACATTTGAAGTCTCCGTCGTGCTGAAAGCGCCTGTGGTAGGCGTGGAAATGGCCATGGCCAGAACGAGCAGCGAGGAGGTGGTGCAAAAGAGGACGCCGTAGGTCCAATTCCGGAGGGCAACGGAGGGCAGCGTCAGTTTTCTTATAGCCTGGTTTGAGCTTTTGCTTCGAAGTATGCCACCATCGTGAATGGTAGCCACGGGCTCTGGCGCGGGCCATCTTCGCTATCCCAGCGTATGATGCTAGCGGTGGAGGGTCAGGCAGTAGGAGAGCGGCTCCTTCTTTAGCAAGCTTATCAGCTAATTCGTTTCCAGGGATCCCGGTATGTCCGGGCGACCAGTGGCATTTTATATCCCTTGCCCGCTGGGCGTCGAGTATCTCAAGCATAGCAGCCTGCGAGCTGGCGGGAGATCGTCCGAAACCCGAGATGAAGTTGAGAACGCCAGTATTATCGAGGCAAAGATGGATTGTAGTGGGGGAGGTGGCAGCTAGGTGCAGTGCTCGCCGTAGGCCCTGACGGGCCCCCTCGGCCTCGGCATCAAAGACTTCTGTGTATTCGCCGAGGCGGCCACGGCCTTCCGCGATGGCCTTGGGCCCACGGTATATCACATATCCGTAGCCCACAGCGCCTTCAAACAGCATGGACCCATCGGAGTAGATCACTAGGTCGGATCGCGGGAGCGCTTTTATCATCTGCAGAAATGCAGCAGCGGCTTCTTCTTTAGTGTCTCGCTGGGGTGCGGGGGGATTCGGGAGGACTAGAACCGGCCGAGGGCATGGGGGTAATAACGCGTAGGTTCGCTGGCGCTATGATGCGTCGCTCGCTATGCAAGTACGTTAGTTCTTTTATTCCGTAAAGTAGCGTCTATATTCCCTAGTTCTATACATATATAGTACGCCGTAGCCGTCGCGAGCCTGCGGGGCAGGCCCTGGTCTTGGTCATGTATATTGGGTCGTAACATTGTACCTATTCTCTACTTTTAATGGATAACCGTTCTCTATCACACATCTCGATGCCCACATTGTGACCATACGACAGAACCACTATTACTCATCATACTCCATTGCTCAGCCCAACTGGATGACTTTCTCTTAAACAATCACAGCAACACCCTGATAATACAAGAAACCCTCTCACAACTGGCCTACACCTCGGATCAATTCATCCCTGGTGTTTTCCATGATGCGACCCACCTGTTCCGCATCGTAAAACGTCTCATTATAGCACACACTAAAGGTGAGCTTACCCCGGAAAGTCCACAAATACATCTGGAAATCACCCGTCATCATGGTGGAGCTCACCCAAAAGTCGGAGATCTCCCAAGCGCCATACTGGCGTTGGAGATAATCGTCAACGACTCCCATGCTGGATAGCGACGGCGTACTGCTCGGAGGCACGCCGCCAGTTTCAAGAATCTGCCGAGACATGGCCATGTAAGGGGTCAGGTACCCAAAGTCATTATCGGCAAAAGCGAAAGGCGCCTTGTACTGCTTGTGCAAAGACTGACTGAGAACATCGAAGGTGTTGCCCTTGCTGAGATCCGCTGCCAGAGGCAGGGCGGTCTGGAGCGATCCGATCGAGTGCTTGTGTGGGACGAAAGAGGAGGGGAAATGGCGACGGAGATCAATGGTGGTGAACGAGAGGTAGGATTCACCGTCTTCACCACCTGCTGACTGCAGTTTCTGTAGATAGTGATGTCAGCATGAAGCGGCTATTACAATTGGGTATAAAAATGAAACTTGCCTGGGTTGTCAAAGCAAGCGCGGCGTGCCATGCCGAAGTGACGCTGACCCCCTTTTCCTTGCACGCACTGAGGATAGTTGAGGTTGTCTTCTCGTCCACCTCAAGATCTCTGTGGACTGGCCTTTGCGGGGTAGTTGTAAAGTCGACACCAGGTAGCCTGATCGGCTTTTCTTGCTGCAAAACCCGCTGAAAGATAGACTGCGCATCGGCAAAGTTCTTTTCCGAGGGCGAAGCTGAGATTCCCAACCAGTCATCATACGGCTTAGAAAGATTTGGTGCTCCGGATGTCTCATGTTGTGCCTGAGAGTTGTCGCCCGGTAGAGCTGCTAGTGTAGTAAACAGAGCGTGATACAGATGCAACATTCCTCGCCCGTCGATGAGAGTGTGAGGTGACTGGAGTAGAAGCTGGTTGGTATCTCGAATGTAATGAAGTGTGATGTGAAACTGGCTTTTGAACGCAGAGAAGAGTTCATCGGCGGTCGTTCCATCATGAACTCGGAAGCTCTTCTGTAGCCACTCGTCTGTAATAGCATTTTCGCGAACCACAATCTCCCGCAAAACTGGATCCACGATGGCGCCAACGCACGGGAAGTCCTTCGCTACAGCCTTCCAGGCTTTTCGGAGAGAGCCTTCCTTGTCGATGCTATCATCTTGGGCTTGGATTGTCACGCTGCAGCCGATCATCCAGTGGACAGGATAGCCTTCGGGAGACGCCAAACTCTGATAGAAAGACTCCATAGAGCCCAATTGACGACGCCAGACGCCATCTTTGTTGCTCCACGGGTAGTTTGTGCCGGAAGCTGGTATGGGCTGAACGGGCTTTTCCGATGCGCCGTTTGTGGAAGCTGGTTTGGTAGTCTCGGTGGTTCCTGTTGCCATCCTCGCGAATAGTTTGAAGTTCGGTCGTTCTGGAGGCGTGAAGTGAGGCAGTGACGAAAACAACAGTTTAAAGTGTATTAGGGATCTGGCTGCTAGATGACGATACTATTGCTGTTGCACATAAGGACACTGAGGGACAGGCATGTGAAGATGATGCAGTTGATTATATGATACGACGCGGCCTAGGCAACTCCGAAGGAGCTAGAAGCTAATACTTAGCCGTATCCAAATAAGCTTGTCATTGGTAGGAAACGCACCGAATGTGCATACCCGGACTGTAAAGGCACCGAATAGGGCTGAAGGAAGCCGAAGCTGACAGGTCTTGGCACCCCATCCTGAGGGGACTTATAATTGAATGCAAATTAAACCACAGAGAAGGATGATTTTCGGTATACGTCACGGAGAACCACGCATTGAAATTGGAAGAGACGCTTCGTGTCTTCATGTCACATGGGGGAATGAGAGCAGATACTGTGCGTGGTCTTGACGAATCTGCGGTGACGATTAAAATTGTCATCAAATTCAAGAGGGACCTTCCAAGAATCACGTCAGTAAACCAGATGTCGGATGTCGTGAAGGTTATTACCTGTGGCAAAGGCATAGAGTTGCCCGCACTCAGTGAACTAGTCTACTTTAGTTGTTGTGTGTTTACTACATGTATCATCTTTACAACTATGGGAATGCTTTCAGGCACTTCCCACTCTTACCACAAGCTTCTGCCCTCGAACCTGGCCTGAATTCAACATATCAAGACCTTGAATCACTCCTTGCCAACCGCCGGGCACTTCGCGGGCCGGGTGACATTTCAGACGTCCTTCATCCACCAAGGTCTGAACTTCGAGCGCCCACCTCGCTCCCAGATCAAATTTGGATTGGTCCGCATCGCGGTGGTACACTCCATCAAGCTTTACCTCACGGCCCATGACCACATATGCCATGGGCATGTCCATCTTGACTGCCTTTCTCGTCCTCCACTCATCGGGGGCATGTTCGAGGGATGCATACCTCGCGCCAGCACGACTCAGAGCGGTGAAGCAGCATTTTACCGATTCTGGCGTGGTGATGCAGTCGATAGCTGCTCGGATGGTACCCTTTGTCGCGTCGCGGATTGTCTCTCCGCATGTCGGCGACGAGTACGGTGTTGTAGAAGCTGCCCCATACTTCTTCACGAGAGCCGCGGAAGCCGGAGAGCAGGTTGCGATGGGGTCGTAGCCAGCACTGCAAAGCTATGTTAGACCAATTGCTTTAACCAGGGCTCGCAATGGTTCCAGTCGCACGTACCTCGATAGCAATTGGCAAGCCATGGTGCCAGTGGCTGTAGCACCACCATATACCAGAACAGGCACGCGAGTCCCGTCAGACCGTAATGGAGCAGGTTTTGACGGAGTGCCTGCTAAGAGAAGCGAGTCCTCCATAGCCAATGCTACAGTCGCCCATCCCACTCCTCCAAGCGCTGCGCCTTCGAGGTCACTCCATGAGTCTGGCACCCGCACAAGAAGACGCCTATCTTGGATGAGATACTCAGCAAACGCTCCAGAATCCGGGTTACCAGGATTTGAGCCGTGCATGGGGCCGCAAACCCGCATCCCTACGCACGTGCTGTCGACTTCAGGGCCAGCAGCGACAATGGTGCCCATGAAGTCACATCCCATGATGGCATTGGGTACCGGATGATAGTCTGGCATCTTGTAATCAGTCGGGTTCAGCGCGACAGCCGAAACCCTGACGACGACATCTTGGGGCTCTCTGATTTGCGGCATAGGCCGGTCTCGCGAGACCAACGGCGGGCCTCCGCCATTTGGCGATTGAGTAAGGGCTGTGATTGTCGTTCCTTTGGCCATTTTTGCGACTTTGTTGTTGAAGTTCACCACCTAATGGCATCCAAAAACCATTGTCCCCAGGTTGCCCTCTTTTATTGCGATGGTCTGGTGAGTGCACCGTGGAACCTTGTGTTCAGCCCTTCTATGCAGGGTCCTTGACAGGTTTCCATATATCGCCAAAGATGATGCGTCAGATATTCGAAGGATCGAGCCTGCATGCCATTCCTTGTTCGGATACAAGTAGGTAAGCCTCCGAATAACCCTCCGACCCCGGGCTCCGAACCGAAGTGGGTCCGGCGGACAGCCCAGTGCTTACAAGTTCCCGAAGCCGGGTCCGAATCCGCCTGTACTGTAGAACGACCCGAGAAGGATGTCAAGCTCCACTCCTCATACAGAACCAAACTCGGCTCAGCACATCCGGTAAGCGGGCTGAAGTTTCTGGAACCCTACGGTTGGAGGCTCGTAAGACGACATGGACAGTCCACATCAGGCGAGGGCCCTGCAAGATGTATCATGAAGGATTCCCAGACCATGCTGTTCTGGGCCCTCATGATCTTGGTCTGGACCAGGCTTCTAAGTCATCCCATTTGTGACGTTGTTAAGTCGCTGCGCGTTGCCCCCACATCCCACAAAGCCACGACTTCTGAACTGCCTCGAGTAGTCCAGCTGTTATATCTCACCTAACGGGCAGAATCTGAAGAAGTGCTGTTTGATTTTCAGTTTTCCAAGCCTTCGTTATTGTTACGACAGAGGAGAACCAGAAATCTAAGCAACCATGGCCTCTTCAATTCCCTCAGCGGGGTTGCCCACGACTTTGGCCAGCAACTTGACCGATTTTGCCGGCAACGTCGTCAGCGTCATCAGTCCATACATCCCGGATGCCATCAAGTCAAACCTGAACACTCTTGCATCCTCGAAGTTGACTCAAGAAATGGCCAAGAGCTGGAACTGGGCAGCGTATTCTTCTTTGCTGATCGCAAGCATCTATGTTTTCGATTGGGGAGCGAAGTCGCGTCGCGACAAGAGGCTTCGCGATTTCGGCTCCCCGCCCCCTTTGGTTCCCTTCAAGGCCCCTTTTGGTTGGTACTCACACATACCTACAGAGACGTTGCTCAATACTCACAACCTTTGCCACAGGAATTGACTTGGCTGTGTATTCTTTGTACCGGTTCTTCAAGTTCACCTTCTTCGAACTCGTCAACAGCTGGCTTGAGGCCGTGCCTGGCCGTACAGTTGAGATGCGCATGTTTGGCACAGGTCTCATCTTCACCGATGAGCCTGCCAACATCAAGGCGATCATGTCCACAGAGGTGCGGTTAGCGTTACGTTCAAGCCAGAATCTCATTGAAGGTTTCTGATTTATGAACGACAACTAATGTCGTGAGATAGTGGTCCAGCTTCGGAAGAGGCGAAGTCACAAAGCGTATCTGGGGAGACATGCTGGGAGAAACGCAGATCTTCGTTGGTGAGTTTTCCACAAGCTTATCAAGATTTTCTTACTGATGTGCAACAGTGGATGGAGAAGACTGGCACAACAGCAAAGAGCGCATCAAAGGCCATGCAAGTACTTCAATCATGCTGGCATATCAAGTATCTATTACTGACAAAGTAAATCTCATAGGTCATGAAGATGCGCTCGGACGATCTTGAGATCACTGAGAAGCACGCCTTGCAACTCTTCAAGCGCTTCAACGTGGGAAAGCCAATCGAGGTCTACGATGTAGCCGACCGTTACCAGCTCGATGTCGTCTCAGAGGTGTTTTTCGGCGAGTCTGCTGAGTCCCTCACTGGACACCATCCTTTCAGGGACCCCATGGAGACTCTCCACCCTATCAACACGGCGCGCATGTTATTCGGAAAGAACGCCTACTATGTCAAGGACAAGTACCTGGCTCCCAAGGCTCTTAGGGAATTGAACGGCTACACCTCGGGCATTGTCGACCGCGCGTATGCGAGAGACTTGTTAAAGAAGTCACCCGAAGATTACAACATGTTGGACGATCTTGTGAGCCAGAAGAAGAGTGTCAAGGTAAGCCAGCATCACTGAGAGGCGAAACGGATCATTCTGACCGAAGCTACAGGATATCAAAGACTCCATGATGACCATCATGCTTGGCGGAAAGGTATGTCAGGCCAGTGAGACACTGTGAAACCCCCGGGTTCTGACCAATTATTCCAGGACCCCTCGGCAATCCTCATTGCATGGGCTATCTTCCTGATGGGAAAGTATCCCAACGTCATGAAAAAGATGCAGGCCGAGGTTGATCGAGTGTAAGTATCCTGTTCCCCATCGACAGCGAGGTATACTTATGCTTTGTCAGATCCGGCGACAAGCCACCTTCAGCATCTGACCTTAAAGAGATGAAGTACATCCGGCATGTCATCAATGAGACTTTCCGATTGTATCACCCTCGTAAGTAGCAGGCAATGGAACCATTGAGAGCCTAGCAGCTAATCATAGATAGTTGGTATGAATGTCAGAATGGCTCTGAAAGACGCCACATTGCCGATCGGAGGAGGAAAGAGCGGCAGAGACCCTGTTGCAGTTCCCAAGGATACAACCATCAGTAAGTGGCACTGCGGAAACAACATGACTACTTCGGCGAAACTGCTGCTAACAGATCATCAAAGTTTACTCTCTGGGCGGTCTACAACGCCGGAAAGACATCTACGGTGAGGATGCGCTCGAGTTCCGACCCGAGCGCTGGGAAGGAGCCAACATCAATCGCTGGCACTTCATTCCATACAACCAGTAAGTCCTCCAAACCCCTTGGAATGACGAATTGAGAACACGAGGAAGCTAACCTTAACGCCTCCCAGTGGTCCTCGCCACTGCCTCGGTCAGAAGTTTGGACAGCAGCAGATGGAGTACGTCCTGGCAAGAATTTGCCAGGAATACCAGGAGATCCGGATTCCCCCGGGACAGCCCGAACAGCAGATTCGCATTGAACTGAACTTGAAGATGGCGCACCCATGTATGTGTGAGTTTGTCAAGAAGGGCAAAGGCAACTAGAACATTTCGCTATATTGGGCCCGTTCGGATAGACTATTTAGATCGCGGTCTATCACTGAAAAAAGTTCGATGCTCATGAGTGGACAAGTACAATCCAGTCAGGCATGTTACAGTTGTTCCAAATAGCCCGTAGAAATATTAGGTGACATGCAAAAACCTGCAAAATGTTAGACAGGAATCTCAGGGGAGACCTACTTAAACCCCCGGATCGCTCTTGCTCAGAACAAGCGTGAGAAATTTGTTCCAACAGACTTCATTTATAGGTTCTTGGTAATGCGCTTGATAGAAGATTGCCTTTTTCATCTCATTTCTGCGAGTTCTCTCTTCCTCATTCCTACCGAGGTATGTTGGGGCGTTGGGTATTATTATTTAAGGATTGCAAAAGTACATTTATATAGTGCTGGCTGCCAACATTGTCGTTTCTATAGATAAGGCAATAAAATATTCCAATCCTCAATGGACGGCGTTCCAACTATCCGGAGGCGAGAGGAACACGGCTTCGACTTTCACCCATCTTGACAGTCCAATTGCCAGCCCACCCTTCCCTGACACTTACACTCATGTCAACATCCTTCGTGGGAGGCGATAGCGTGGCAAGGTCTGCGTGATTCAATGCTGGGTTCTTATCCCAAATCCCACTCGTAGGCGATATATCGGCCCTCATGGCAAGCAGGGCAGCTATGATGAGAATCTCAGTTGCGGCAAATTGTCTCGCCGGGCAGAGATACGGCGCAGCACCCCACGGGACAAAGCCGCTGGCGGTAGATACATCTCGCTCGCCTCCTTTCTTGGGGATAAACCGATAGGGGTCGAACTGCAAAGCTGTCGGACCCCAGATGCCTGTTTCACTGTGAATGACATTTCCGGGAACCTGGAGGTAATTGCCTTCTTTCAAGAGATACTTGTCATCCAGAAGCGTGTCCGTCAAGACCTTGCGGAAACTGGGATTGACGTGACGAGTTCTCTGCGTCTCTTGGAACACCGAGAGGAGGAGCGAACACTGAGACTTGAGTGCAGCGACGTCAAGTACGAATTCTCCGTCTTCCAGATTGGCAACTGCATGTTTTGTGAGTTCTCCTCTCACCTCTTCGAGAATTTCGGGACGGGAGAAGAGTTCCCACAAGGTCCAGTACAGAGTCGGTGCTGAGTTGCTGAAGGAGGCAATGGTAAAGATGGCGGCCTGCTTGGCCTTGTCCGTACTAGATATGCCAGCCTCTCCTAGAACACGTTGGTGCTCCTTCATCAAGTGCGAGCTTTCTTTGGGCAGCTTTCTGCAGTACTTGATATATGACTGAAAAACCTTCTCTCGTGCCGCATATCCCTTCTTTGTAACATCAAGCCAGCCGACCAAATGAGCAGTAAGATATGTCATCCATTTCCTGTGCATCCTAGTTAGCGTGGCGATGCAGTTGAAATCCCGAGAGAAACTGGGGCTTACCAGTAGGAATTCTCGATTTCTTGGTCGAGAAAAGGGTGCTTCTCTCCATAGACAGCACAACTTGTTGCTTGGACAACAGCATGTCTAGCCCAAGACAACAATGGCACCTTATCCCTGGATGAAAGCAAATCATCGATGTCGACCAAAACTCTTTTGCCCATTCTCAAACTCAGTTCGTCAAGATGGCTACCTGGGGCCAAGCTCATCTTCACGGACTGGCTCAAGTCATCGGGCAGGCTGCCTCCAAAGATCTCATAGGCCGCATCTGAAGCATCGCCGTACTTTCGTGCAACGAGCTGGAGAAAAGGTCGGAACGACAGAGCCCTTGATTGTTTCTGGATGAAGGGTAAAAGCCGGCTGGAAGCGCTGATGTACACCTTGAAATTAAAACATCCAAGGGTGTAGATCTCGGCTTCGGTAGAATTGCTGGCGGAGATTCGGGTTATCAGATGCTATTTGAATTTGCGACACAACTCAAAGTTAATTAACGCACCTCGTCTTTCTGTAGTAGGTTGGCCCTTGGCTCATCAGTCCTAGGACATGTCCGATTAGGGGGAACCTCGAACGTATCCGAATCGGCTCATTGGGATCGTCTCCAGCATTGTACAAGAAATCTGCAGCATAGGCCAGCAGAACCAAGCCAGTGAGTCCATACAGAATTTCGCGAAGCATTGTGCTAGTATGAATGGCAAAGACTCTTCTCTGGGCTCAGGAGGCTCGTGGCTTTGTGCCGTTGGAAAACCCTTGTGGGTGTCTTTAGGTCCGACAGTTGTCGGATCTAACCGTGACGACTGCTTAAATATGTGGGTGCATACGTAGCCATTTGGAGAGTTCCTTGTATTCTAGATTGTATGAAAGAACGAAACCTATACCAAGTGTGGATCGAAGGATGCCAAGCCCCACGTTCATCCGGGGTTCAGAATCCTCCACTGGTGGGAGATCGTCTGATTCAAACACGCCCTCTCGGTGCCTTTGTGTAAAGTGGCCGAACCACTGCTTACCCGTATGTCCGTTTCAGGTCAAGAATACGCTGACTGTGTCCGGGGTATTGCTGACTGCATGGAACGGGCTACTTTTTGGGGCTGAGCGCTTGCTATGAATCAATGATGCACGAGTGAGGTAGTCGACCAAAGACTTTATGTGGCTCTGTGGATGCACGGCATCACAACCAGTACACGCGGCCCGTACCACTCCCCGCATACCAATCCTCAGCGGGCCTGTCCGGGACGCTAACCATTTATTCACTTTGCGAAAAATACAAGGAATTGGACAGATCTGGCCATGGCCCCCCGGCTGCTGGGCCTTACCAGGCAAAGCACTGCTCCGGTAGGGGGAACTTCCCGCAATGAACACCTTCGCCGGCTGGATGGTATTAGCGCCAAGACTAAGCAACGGAGTCTCGAGGAAACCCACATCAGATGCGACCCGTTGCCAAGGACAGCCCTCACTGCATCTTCCAAGCAAGCAGTTGCCTAGAGCTTTATTCGGTGAGATTGGAAAGAGAGGGGGTTTTTCACGGATGATAAGCCGTTATTGTCTTGGTGTAATTGGACATGCTACGCGAGTGGCGGGAGACCTAGGGACACTAGTCAGTTGTCGATGGAACCCCACGAATAACTCATTCCTACAACCAGGATCTTGGTCACTTTCCCAAGCTGTCGTGGCTGTCAAATTTGAGACATTTTCAGAGTTTCAACTTGCATGAGCCAGAGCCCTCGACGCCCGAGTAGTCTACCGAGAAGCATGAAAGTGGGCTGAAAAGCGAAGAACATACGTTTGAACGGATTAGGAAAGCGTAGGATTCAGTGGTTGTGCACTAGAATGTTACATTCGTTCGTCTGAAAGTTGTTCAAAACACAACTAAGAGATTCTTTGAGGCTCCGAACGTCTTGGCTCCAGCCCCGAACGACTTCAAATACACCGAAAGAGACTGATACGCGGAGCGACAAACCCTTGATCATTTCGCACGGACGATTAATCGGAACAACTTCCCGGCACTATGAACAATCAGACAGCAAAGAGATATGCTTGCGACCGGTGCCGGGAGCAGAAGCTTAAATGTCCCCGAAGCCAACCGGATAGTGGCACCTGCGAGCGCTGTCTCCGTCTAGGTGCGATGTGTGTCACGAGCATCGGCCGGCCACTGGGACGGCCTCCAATACACGCGAACCACCGTGGCCAGGTAGAGGACAGTCGATCGTTGTACGGTGCCAGGAATGGTCGTCCCTCGACGCATCGTGGTGTGCGTGTCACGATGGGTACGGATCCTGCGACGACAGCACAGAGCCAACCGCCACATCCAGGCCCCTCCCAGTTCTTTACCAGCAACAGGGCACTGGATCACGTTGCTACCGCCTCGGCCATGTGGTTAGATGCGTCGAACTTCCCGACTGCGATGTCAACGTCCGACGAGCCCGCCATCCCCTCGCCAAGAACACACTCACACGTCTTCTCCGACTTAAGCGTCCCCGATCTCGACTTTGGAGACTTGAACGAAATGGCCGAACACTTGAACAGGGATATCCACGAGCCAATGACGGATACCGAAGACAAGCTTTCCGGTCGAAGTGGGATCGCCACGCCTAGCACATCGAACGCCGGCGAGACGGGGGTCCATGTGGTAGGACTCCTTGGCAGCATTTCTCATCAATTGGCGGAGCTCAAAGACCAACCATGGGAATATTGGAATCCTCATCTCGCAAAAGATGCCTTTCAACATGGGAAAGATACAGAGTCACCAGCAGGACGAGACCTTGACATTTGGAATCGTGTTCTAAACGTAACGATGCGATTCGCAACTATTCTTGAGACAGTGACCCCAGTACCACCGCCGGCACTCTCTTTCACCTTAATGCTTCTGTCAACGTACGTTCAGCTTGGTGAACTCTTTGAGATTGTGTTCAATCGCATGAGCAGGTGTCTGCGCGAAGGGTCTGGATCGGGTTCATCGGCCGCGGGTTCGGCTCAGCTATTAGCGCAGCCGACAAGCATACAGCTCATGATGATGACTCAAGTCTTCGAGTACCAGATGCATACGGTGGAGCGGCTGATGGGTCTTCCTGCAGAGTTTCGAATCTGGGACCAACGAGATTGTGCGAACGAGGGTGAGGTCGGGATTCTTGGTCGCATGGAGACTTCTGAAATTGTTCGGGGCGTTATGAGACAAACGAGTGAGACTTTCCAGACCATTAGACAGGCTAGCAACCGGATTAGAGGCTCTAGCACGTAGACAATAAGGGCGATGGCGTGTATTAGAATATGACGACTTCGAAATCATAGTTACTTTGTTGTTATAATCACTGCACGGACCCTCTGATTGAAGCCATCGCAAATCCGTGAAAGCAGTAGAAGCGTAGGTCTCTCATACATACAAGTCTCCATAGAAACAGGGGCACTTCTGGATAGGAGCAACAGCCCTCATTACGAGGCATCACCGCGTTCATCGTGCGGGTTCTACTTCTAAGCATTTTCCAACTGATTCAACATAAGTACCGAGAAACATAGAGTAACGGAGTGCATGTTTCGAAGCTAAAGCTAAACTAGTAGTTACATACATGAATTGGATGTCTGCGTAAGACTTGGTAACGTCTCTGATCACACCTTTCTCTCGAATGGAGTGATGCGAACGTGCACCTTTGGCTTTTGCCATACTATGTAAAGCCGCAGATCCCGGTCCCAATCCATCTCACTCTTGTTCAAGAGTTCCCACTTGAATTTCCAGCAAAGCTTCGCAAACATGATGCGAAGCACCAAATAGGCCATAGCCTGGCCGAGGCAGTTGCGAGATCCGGCACTAAAGGGCCTAAAAGCAGCTCGGTCATCGTCATCAAAGGCATGGTCATACTCTGCGTGGTCTTTGGGGAGCCATCGCTGAGGCTTGAATTCGTACGGCTTGCTGAAGTACTTCTCTGAGTGCGTTGTGGCATATGCGCAAGACGAAACGACGACCTGACTATGCGATTAGTTTGATATCTCCACAAGAAGAGCGAGAAGACAATGATGGGTAGCTGGAGAGTAGACTGCACAACTTACACCTTTCGCCACGTAGTTCCCATCAACGATATGGCCAGGACTGATTCTTGGGAGTCCGTAGGGGACATTCGTGTGAAGTCGAATGACCTCCTCAATAGTCGCATTCAGCCAAGGCAGATCCTGAAGTTTATCCTCCGTGATGTCTTCATATGACTTGAAGGTTGCCCTCAATTCCGTCTGCAGCTTGTTCATGATTTTGTCGTTCGTTGTCAAGAAACACATGCCGGCCGTCAAAACGCTCGAGGATTCATAATGATCAAGAATTAGATGGCCGGCTTGAGACACGAGGAAGCCATCTGGCGGGAGCGCCTCCTCGTTCTTCAGAAACTGTGTCATGTAGTCCAGGTCCTTACGGTCGTGACGCTCCTCGACACGGGTTCGAATGAGCTTCTTGCTCGTCGAGTGAGCTCTGAAGTAGCTGAACGCAACCTTTGGCGGCAAGAATACATATGAGAGCGGGTAGAGCAGGGGGAAGCGGCGCATGACGTTGCGGAATGTGGCCCAGTGACCGATGCGCAGCAGTGACTCTAAGATAGGGTGGTTTTGGCCTATTCGGCGTCCATGTTAGCCGTCATTTCATAGCAAACGACTCGAAAGACTTCTTAAGTACAACAGATGCGGTATAACGTACCGGATTGAATGTTTCTGAAATTGTGGCCGAGAGTGATCGAGCCACCAAGATCGCAGGTGGCTCTCTCAAACCATGGAGCAATATCGACCCCATCTTCAGTGGCAGGTGAGTTCTTAAGCACCTCCACAAACTCGTCTACGTCAGCATGAATGATGGGTTCATACTGCTTCAATGAACGGGGACTGAATGCAGGGGCCAGCTGCTTGCGGGCAGCTCGATGCTTGTCAATGTCTCTCTCCGAAGCCAAGCCTTCATACTTGTCTCCAGTGTCAAGCATGTCCGACTTGACGAAGCCTGGTCGTCCATTGATGCTGCTGGTGTAGATATCTTGAACTTTGCATTAGAAAACTCAGCATCAACATGTGTTTCCTGAAGACGTACCTGTGTAAGCTTTCGGAGTAATGAAGACCAGCTCGTTGGGAGCAATTCTAACAACATCGCCTACTCATGTCAGGAGGCCAATTCGTCACTAGGAAGTGAATTCGGCTAACCGTATTCTTTGAAGGCCCGTTGCATCGCCCATGGGTAGCGGCCGGATAGCCTAAGGAGCGCAGGATCAGTCTTAGCGCTTTCCTTCAATGCATTCTGTCCATTTAAGGTAGTCTCATCAACTTACCATTGGTATCCATACCAGACGTTGGAAACTGCAGCAATCTTGGGTCCAGGATATTTGGCCAGAGGATGAAACCAAAACAAGTAGATGGTTCGAATCACGCTATAGGCAATGATCTAGGCACTGTTAGACACTCTACAATTTGTTCATCTCTTCAATTAGATACGAGGGGTCACTTACGCAACCAACAGCAATCGTGGCGTTGTCTCGAGTTGCCCAACACGTACCAGAAAACTCGAGATTCAGCATGTTGGCGGCAGTAAGATTGATGCCCCAAATTGAAATTTCAGCCCAGCAAACTAATTTCAAATTTGACAGAATGCTGCTACTACATGTAAGACCTCATGTTATCATCACGGGCTGGAAAGGAATAAAGCCCTAGACAGAACAATCGCGCGGTCATCAAACATACATACCAGGCTACAGCGTGCACGCACGGTGACAGATAGCGATAATCCGGCCTCTGCCGCCACATCTGCAGGCAAAGTCACCGACTCGGTGATCGGATTCTTTCACACAGATTTACACACTACTCTCCTCATCATCCAAAAGCGTAAGGTAAGGCAGTCGACTGGACCCTGACCGAAGGATTGCTTCTGAAGAATGACGCTGGCCAATCGGCTTACCCCCATAATGTACTCGTAAGTTCCTAGTCAGGCCGTTCGGAGGGCTTTCTCACACCTTCGGAGGCATAAGACGTGATCCTGCCGAGTCCACTTGCTCCCGGCGTGGGGGTGTAAGTAAGCCCGGCCCTGGCCGCGGATTCGGAGTCCACTAAGACAGAGCTGCAGGGACCAGTTTGCATCCAGAGCCTGGGCTCTGCGGTGGCAGGTGACAGGGATCGAAATCCAACAATTGTTTGTTCAATATTTGCCTCAAGTTCTGGACTGACGTCGGGTAAGCGATATTATGTGGCCGAGCTGAAGAGTTGAAGCCTGAATTATCGCGATCCAAATTCACTCATTGATCAAATAGTGTCTTTTGAAAGCGTCAACTTGCGTCGTAGTTTTCGTCCGTCTTCTTTGAATGAATCTCAGGGTTCGTCAACCACCTCTTGAGCTTATCACATTGTATAATATCAACAACTAGCTACGATCATCACCGAGGGCATCTTCTAATCAATTATATCGCCCGTCAAAGTTGTTTCTCCGAGCACGTCGAGCTCCTCAGTATGGCTGCCCCAAACATGGCCTCCCAAGGGAACGAGCCCATTGCGATTGTCGGAAGCGGCTGCAGGTTTCCAGGAGGTGCCAATTCGCCTTCCAAGTTATGGGATCTGCTCCAAGAACCTCGCGACGTACTCTGCGAGATTCCGCCTAGTCGATTTGACGTTCGTGGATTTCATCACACGGACTCTCAATTCCCCGGTCACACCAACGTCAAGCACTCCTACCTTCTTCAAGAAGATGTCGCCAAGTTCGATGCCCAGTTCTTCAATATTACAGCGCCAGAAGCGATAGCAATGGACCCCCAACAGCGTCTTCTTCTAGAGACGGTTTACGAGGGCTTAGAAGGCGCTGGCTTGACCATCGAAGGCCTTAAGGGCTCCAACACCGGTGTATATGTCGGTGTTATGTACGTCGACTACGAATCCCTGCAATTTCGTGACCTGCAGCACGTCCCAACGTACCTTGCAATTGGTGAGAACTGAAAGCCATGACGCGAAGAAAATATCACTAACAACTGTAGGTACCGCTCGGAGTATTGTTTCTAACAGAATATCATACTTCTTTGACTGGCATGGACCCTCACTGACGGTCGACACCGCCTGCTCCTCCAGTCTGGTCGCGGTGCACCAAGCCGTCCAGGCTCTGCGATCAGGAGAGGTTCGCGTCGCGTTAGCTGCCGGAAGCAACCTCCTACTCGGTCCAGAGCCATACATCCACGAGAGCAAGCTGAAAATGCTGTCTCCCGATGGCCGTTCTCGCATGTGGGACCAGGGCGCTAACGGCTACGCCCGCGGCGACGGCGTTGCCGCAGTTGTTCTCAAGACGCTGAGTGCCGCACTGGCTGACGGAGATCATATCGAAGCTATTATTCGCGAGACTGGTGTCAACCAAGATGGTCGCAGTCGCGGCATCACGATGCCCAGTGCAGCGGCGCAGGCGTCGCTTATCCGCGCTACCTACGCCAAAGCAGGACTCAACCCTGAATCCGACACTGATCGGTGCCAATATTTCGAAGCCCACGGTACGGGGACGCCGGCCGGTGATCCGGTTGAGGCCGAGGCCGTGCACACCGCGTTTTTCGGCAACCAAGATCCAGCCGCGGATCGTCTCCTCGTTGGTTCCATTAAGACTATCATCGGCCATACGGAAAGCACCGCCGGTCTGGCCGGTATTCTTAAAGTCGTGCAGGCCATGAAGCACGGCTACATCCCACCAAATATGCTGCTGGAGAACCTCAACCCGAACGTGTTGCCTTTCTACAGCAACTTGAAGATCCCCCAGGAGCTTACTCCTTGGCCACAGCTTGCGCCGGGCCAAAGCCGGCGAGCCAGCGTGAACAGCTTCGGGTTCGGTGGGACAAACGCGCACATCATCCTTGAGGGCTATGAAGCGTCTAGCTCTGAGGGAGACAAGAACGCCCAAAGTGTCACACCTTTTCTTTTCTCCGCGCAGTCTAAGTCCTCACTCCTGTCCAGTCTCTCTGCCCACGCCCAGTACTTGGAGCAGCATCCCGACACTAGTCCTTCAGATCTGTCCTGGACTCTGCGGTCGCGCCGTTCTCGCCTTCCGCTGAGACTGGCACTACCAGCTTCAACCATTGAGGTACTTCAGACTAACCTGAAGGGCATTATTGGCAACAGCAACTTCCAGCTGGAATCCAAGGCTGCCGGCACCAGCACCAAGGAAGCTCGCCTGTTGGGCGTCTTCACAGGTCAAGGCGCGCAGTGGGCTCGCATGGGCGCCGAGCTCGTCGAGACCTCCCACTATGCGGCTGACTTGCTAGCTGCCATGGACGAAGCCTTGGCTCAACTGCCAGAAGCAGACAGACCATCCTGGACTTTGAGAGAGCAACTACTTGCCAACGCAAAGACCAGCCAAATTGGCAGCGCTTTAGTTGCGCAGCCTCTGTGTACCGCTGTGCAGGTCATTCTTGTCGAGCTGCTTCGTCAATGTGGCATCAACTTCGCCGCGGTGGTTGGACACTCTTCAGGCGAGATTGGAGCCGCTTTCGCTGCAGGAGCGCTCTCTGCTGTTGACGCCATTCGCATTGCATACTATCGTGGTCTTCACTCTCGCTTGGCTGAAGGCCCAGAGGGTGTTCAAGGTGCTATGCTTGCAGTCGGAACAACTTTGGACGATGCCGAGTCCATCTGCAACGATGACTACTTCTTGGGCAGAGTCAAGGTTGCGGCATGTAACTCTGCCTCTAGCATCACCATCTCAGGCGATGAAGACGCGATTGAGGAGATGATTGACATTTTCGAGGACGAGAGCAAGTTTGTCCGACGTCTGCGGGTGGACAAGGCCTACCACTCACATCACATGGTCCCTTGCTCACAGCCGTATCTGGAGTCCATGAGGCCTTTTGCTATTCAGATGAAGCAATCCGACTCAAGCTGCACTTGGGTCTCCAGTGTCAACTTGGACCGGTCTCTGGGTGCGTCAAACAGTCTTGATGCCTCATACTGGGTGGACAACCTCCTGTCGCCCGTGCTCTTCATGCAAGCAGTCGAGAAAGCCATGCAACTTGGTCCCTTCGACGCCGCAATCGAGGTTGGCCCTCACCCTGCTCTCAAGGGTCCCGTTCATGATACGCTCCGAGAGCAAAAGGTTGAGATTCCGTACACAGGACTACTCCAGCGCAACACCAACGCAGTTCAGAGCGTCTCCTCCGCAATCGGGTATGTGTGGACGCATGTGGACAACCTCATCATCGACTTCGATCGCTACGAATCTGCCCTTAGTGGCCCGAAGGAGCATCGCTTCCTCTCCGACCTACCCACGTACCAGTGGAACCATTCTCAAGGGTATTGGCATGAGTCCAACCTTTCACGGAACCTGCGCACAAGAAGTCAACCCGTTCATCAGCTTCTCGGAGACTTGCAGCCCCAGAGCTCGGCACACCAGGTCACATGGAAAGCGATTTTACGTCCTAATGATCTTCCTTGGGTTCACCATCACAGAATTCAAGGCCAGACTGTCTTCCCCGCGGCTGCATATGCGGCCACAGCGTTTGAGACCATTCCTTTCCTCGCTGGAGAAGCTTCTGTTCAGCTCATGGAGATCAAAGACCTCGTGATCCACCAGGCTTTGATATTCGGAAACGACGAGCAAGAGTCTGGCATTGAGGTTCGGTCGGTGGTCAGCAATATCAACCGCGATAAACCCTCTTCTATCACAGCCCATTTCACCTATGAGGCATGCATCGGATCGCAGAAAGATTTCCAGCTAGTCGCTAGTTGCGAGGTTTCCGTCTCGCTCGGCGAGGCGTCTCGTGACACGCTCCCCGCAACTGCCCGGATTGAGCCTTATATGGTCGATGTCGACACCGAGTTGGCGTACTCTTCTCTCAACGATGTCGGCTATGGATACACGGGTCCCTTCAAAGCTCTGTCTGGCTTGAAGAGGAAGCTTGGCAAGGCGTCTGGTTCTCTCGCCTTGACAGCCCCCGAGTCCAATGCCGAGGTTCTCATCATCCACCCAGCGGTATTGGATGCAGCCTTCCACTCTATCATCTTGACTTTTAGCTACCCTGAAGATGGCAGACTTTGGAGTCTCCATCTACCGACTCGCATTGACAAGATCAGAATCAATCCTTCTCTGTGCGGGCGTCACTGGTCAGACGTTCTCGAAGTCCCATTTGTCGCATCCATGTCCGATGAAGAGGAGTCCAGAGACACCTCCGGATTCCAGGGCGATGTCGATATTCATGACAGTGAGGGAGAGTTCACTGCTGTTCAAGTGGAAGGACTCCACGTTGTACCCTTCACCCCGGCTTCCCCAGCCGATGACCAGCAGCAGTTCTATGCCACGCAATGGGTTCACTCAGAGCCCAACGCTGATATTCCTGGCACTTACGATGCCTCGGCTCAAGACAAGGAGATGGCAGTCATTCTGGAGCGTGGCAGCTACTTCTACCTCCGACATCTGGAAGACCAGATTCCAGAGGACCACCTTGGGCGATCTGACCCGTACAATGCCGCCTACTTGTCTTTCGCTTCTCATACCCACAAGCTCATCCAGCAAGGCAAGCATCGCTACGCAAAGAAGGAATGGCTTAATGACACGCTAGAAGACATCCTAGCCCTCTCCACGCCGTTCTCCGATCGACCCGAGATCAAGGCCATGCAAATTG